TGCTTGAAAGAATACTGAAAAATCTTGCATTAGTGCTATTTTCTCTTAGTTTTGTACTATGCTAAATGTTTTGTGGTTGAAAATTCAGAACTTAGTTACTTCAGCATTTGCTTATTGTTGCCAGAGGAGATTTCACTGTCAGCAATTGCCGTCTGCATATCATGGTTTCTTTTGGAGAAAAAAAATTGTGTGGCCCCCCCGTTTGGCGGAGGTACTTGGTATTTTGGAAGTTGTTTTTCTAGGTTTATACCAGGAGAGATTTCAGTAAAGCGATGGGTTTCTATAAGTGAACCTCTAGGATTTAGGGTTTTTGGCCCCCCAAGAACTTTGCCGCCTAGCATGATCTTGGCTTGGTTTTATTGCACATCATATTATGATGGCTGTGAGTCCGTTTAGCTGCAAATATTTTGGCAGGAAATCATTCGAGATCCTTTGTGGGAATTTTTTTTCCCCCCCATTTTGTTCTGCTTATTATGGTTCATAGTCTGGAATTATCTTGGTTCAGATTTGACTGTTCTGTGTCCTTTTTGTGGGAAGCCAAACCTGGACTCTTCTCTGGTACGAATTTTTTCCCTACTAGAATTTTTACTTGAAGCTTTTTGGACAAACTTGGCATAATTAACCAATATGTACTTGGTGCACGCGGGACAAAGCAAGGACGAAGCAAATTCAGATTTAATGTTTTCAACTATGGTGTAGTCGTTGTAATGATGTTCAATCAGATTGCTTATTGGTGAGCACTCAAGTTTATGCTTCTGTGTAACTTGTAATCTAATTATGAGATAAGTTACTCTGATGAGCTTGGATGTTATTTGGCCTACAGCTCTAAAACTAAACGTTCATTAGGTTCCACTCTGGATTTGCGCAGCGAATGACAGATTGGTTTTTGCTTTTTATAGATTGATAGCCTTCGCAAGAATCAGCTCACATTTTGCCTGTTTGATTTCTTTTCTACTATGCATTTCGCAAAATTTTCGAGTACCAGAGATATATAAGGTGGGACATTGTGGAGGGAGCAGGACATTGTTATAAGGGGGAAATTATGTGAAGACTTGATCTAGTCCTACTCTGCTCTGAAACATTTCAATATGGCGTTTCATTGTCTTTGGTTGACAAATATGACAACTGGGTGAGTTTTTTAAGATTGTTGTATTTGAAATTGAAAGTGACAAACTACTGTTAATTAATGATGAATGGTTTGGCTGAACCTAAAGAAAAAGGTACCGATTTCCCTGAAACTGCTGATAGACCATGTTCATGTGCTCCCTTGGAATGACAATAGTCTAAATGCTATCTTGAACAGGCCACTTGCAATTTTCCACTTGCATCTCTCTTAGGCTGGAAAAAACTTTACTGGCAATTCTTCGTAGGAAAGCCTTTAATTGGATTTTTTTTTTTTTTCTTTTTTAACAGAATTGTGAAAGTTGGAATTTGTTAAGAGTCGAAAGCTGACCAAGAAAAAAAAAAAAAAAAAAAAAGAAATGTTGAAAATCAGTATCATTTTGCCAATATGTTGCCTCTGAATGCAAAATTATATACCTTGAAATGTATAATTTGCCCTTATCCCACTGTTTAATTAACTGTTAAAAAAAAAAAAAAAAAAAAAAAAAGAAATGTGAAAATCAGTATCATTGCCAATTATGTTGCTCTTGAATGCAAATTATATACCTGAAAATGATATAATTTGCCTTATCCCACTGTTTAATAACTGTTCTTATAATATTAACGAATTTGTGCCTTTACAGTGAACAACCATGGTATGATCTAATACCATCTTTTACAAATAAAAATCACAGGATAATATAGTCCGACGCTTTTCGAATCTCGTTTTTTACTCTAATGATTGAAAAAAACGTTTCTGTGGTTTTAATATCTTCCCAAGTTTGTACCAAGAACAACAAGTGTCATTGGCATTATTATGGTACAAGCATGCAGCTTAATAAAAAAGTGACAGGATCCTTGAATTGTTCCATAAACCCCTCCAATTGCATGGTGCGCATAGTCAAAAAAGTATATCGACTCTATCCATTCTCCCATTCCAAGCAAAGTAGCACGCCCACCCAACCCAACTCTTTCCTTCCACATATTAATTGGAATTCTAATTTAATAATAATAAGCTAATCAATTAATACTCCTAATCCAAATATAAAGAAATTAATTAATCATATTTCTGCCTATGCACTCTCAATCTCAACCCTTAAATCATTCTTCCAAAATAAAAAAATCCCATAGAATAGTTATGAGCTTATAATGGAAATAAACTGTATTGTCAAGGAAAAAAAAAGAAAAAGAAAAAGAAAAAGAGCCATGTACCCAAAGTAAATGAAACAAAAATTAATAGAAACACCTGAAGTATAAAATGCCATAGTTAAAGTCATTCTGCTTCCTTTGGCGGCCCTAAGCGCTCTCTGTCACTCCAGCTTCCCGCTTTTTGTAAAACCCTAATTTCACTTGTGTTGGCTGGGTGTATGTACTTTTACACAGTACTCTTACCTATATCTTGGCTCTCTCGAACATCTCTTTCCCTCCCTCTATATAAAAAGTAAACAAATCTTACGGAGGAGGACGCAAGAATGGAGAGTTCAAAACAGAATAAACAGCAACAGTTCGTTTTGGCATCGATAACCGAGCTATCTTCTAGTTCTTCTTCTTCTTTAGCTGCTTCATCTTTGCCAGTGGTCGCTAGGTTTAGCGCTGATAATGGAGTAGTGGAGCTTCGATTTCTTCACGACTCTAACGCTACTGATTTTATTAATGTCGATCTTAGTACTGCTCAGGTTAGTTCCTTTTTCAATTTTTGTTGCTTTGGAGGATTGTAGTTTTATTGTTTGTTTGGTTACCGGGAAACTGGAGGAAATATCGAATGAAAAAGAAATGAAAGAAATATGTTAATTTCTTTTTTAAGAAATGCAAATTCTAAGGAAAAATGCGCATGTCAAATAAACGCCCTTGCTAAGTTTTATTAATTTTCTTTTGTGCTCATAAAGTTTATTGTAAGCAATTTTTTCGAAGGAAAAAAGAAGAGATGCTAGTGGTCTATTGCTTAGTTCTTGTTTGTCAATAAATGGAAATAGTAAATGGAATATAGTTCAAGGTAAAGAAGCGGAATGTGTTTATACTATTCAAAAGTTTGAGTGTCTATGCATTTCCTCACCAAGAACAACTTTAGAAGTGTGTATTTTGTTATATATTTCCTTTAAACTTGTAAACATTTGTAAAATTGTGGTTAGGCACGACATTTGTGATAACTGGTGATTGAAGAGTAGTTGACGAGAATTCGTTTTTTCTTTTATTTTAATGTCGTTCAGTTATTCAAGCTAGGACCCGATCAATCAGTTTGCATAGCTGAAGGTCTAGAATCTGATAGCAACAAAGAGGTATGCAATTTATTTTTAAGTAAAATTTTTCTCTTTCCCCTTTATATGCATTGAAAGTTCACTCTTTGCCTTTTCTTGGATGCTTTATTGGTAGTACATTGTTTAAGAAATAATTTTGTAGTTCTCTTCCATTTTGTTGGTTGAGATAATGGGGAAACAGGGAAATACCTCATAAATGGTAATCTATTTAAATAGATATAGAAAATTGAAATATGGCAATATGTCGTAGCCACAAGTTACCTTTTTATGTATCTGGGCAGTGTATTGGTGCTGCAGGCACAATGTAGTTATATGATTATTTGAGTGTTACAGATGTCCATGTCTTAACAGTATTACTTTTTACCAGAAATATTCAAGAGGAATCACTATCCAATTTAGAAATGAGGAGGAGAGCAGGACCTTCCATTGTGCATTTGAGCAATGGAAGAACGAAGTCATTGTTCAAGGTGCTGCTTTGAAAATTTGTCACAGTTTATTGCAGATATCTCTCTAACATAAAATGTCATGTAAAGTCAGACATTGGAGATATCCCCACATCACATTTCCTAATCTTGTCACATTGTTTTTCTATTTCCTTTTTTTGAATTTTTGTCCCTCATTAGTAGGTTGGAGTTTGCATTAAATGAATTTAAAAGTGCAGTAATTAGCTGTCTGAGATGCATTGGAGCTTCATTGTGCACAAACATTTGAAAGCATGCACTCCTATGCAGAGATACCATGCCTATACACACATTAGTTTTACTATGGAAGTAATTATAAAAAATTTGGAAAGGATGTTCTTTAGAGAAGTCTAAATTAAATGGACAAAATAATGCATCATATTTTGTATCTAAAGTATGGTTTTTGATCTCTATCTCATTTTATTCTCAATTTGCGAAACATAAACCATTAGAAGAATTCCCCTCTGCATAACTAATAAATTGATTCATCTGAATGCAATTAAATTTGCTCAATGAAAACAACCTTGTTGATGATTTCACGCAAAATGGACTGAGGATCATGTTAATGAAAATCCATTAAATTGAATATGAAGTTTTCAAATTGGAGCCTTTCCAATCCATGTATTGACCTCTAATTCTGGCCTATGTTATTTTGCTTTCTCCACAAAGTTGCTTTCACAGACACTTCACATTGTATTAGATGTGTGTAACTTTCTTCTTATTATTTATTTTTTTCTCTTCCAGGAACAACTTTACCGAATGGAGCACTCACAGCTCCTAAAAGCAAGTTTGATTACAAAATAGAGCCGTCATCAGCCAAAATGTATTTCCATTATTATGGACAATTACTACATCAGCAAAATATGCTACAGGATTATGTGAGGACAGGTTAAATCATTGGCTATAACGTTTTTCTCCCTTTGATCTTGTTTTGCAATTTCAATTTTCAGGCTTTTTTTTTTGGTTGAGAAGTTTGATCAAGCCTCATACTGTTATGAGTTTATGGATAAGCTCAAAATGCCTGGAAAAATAAAATCTAGATATGGACATCCACTATGAGTTGTGTCATGAATGTAACAGAAAAGCTTCATTATTTATCTCAGGAACCTATTATGCTGCTGTCATTGAGAACCGTGCAGATTTTTTTGGTCGTGTTGTTGTTGATGTTGGTGCTGGTAGTGGCATTTTGTCTTTATTTGCTGCTCAGGTATCTGGATCTTTAACTAATTAAATTTTTATATATTGTGAAAAAATTGGATGTTTGCTTTTGGCTCATGCCTTTTGTAGGCTGATCTTCTATTGTTTTTTGTTCCACTTTAGGCTGGTGCAAAGCATGTTTATGCTGTGGAAGCATCTGAAATGGCAGAATACGCCCGCAAACTAATTGCTGGGAACCCATCGCTGGGAGAAAGGATTACAGTAATGTTCTGTCTTGCATATTACTTTTTATGCCCTATAAGTTACATCTTTCTGCTCTCAGTTTCTTTGTTGGTACTGTGTCTTCTCATTGTAGGTAATAAAGGGTAAAGTTGAGGAAGTTGAATTGCCAGAGAAAGCAGATATTATGATCTCTGAACCGATGGGTAAACTTATGCATCATCCTTTGCCCTTATCATTCTTGTGACTGGTAGATATTTCTTATTGATGTTAGACATACTGTTTTTCACCTTCATTCATCAATGGCTTTGCAACTTTTGTTGATTTCTATAAAGTTTTATGCCTCAGTGCTCTTCGCTGATTGGGGATGAGTTTTGTCAACCAAAGACTAAAACATCTTGGACATAATGAAAGTAGCACAAGTCAAAACTCATACCTTTTCTAACCTTTTGGGAATGTCACATGTAGGCACCCTATTAGTCAATGAAAGAATGTTAGAGTCCTATGTGATAGCAAGAGACCGATTTCTTCATCCCAATGGAAAAATGTTCCCTACGGTTGGAAGGTAGGGTTATTCTTCATCTCAATCACTTTGATGTTGCAATACATACTGAATTGAAATTATGTTGCTACAGATACTGAATTGAAATTACTTGATCTTGCAGAATTCATATGGCGCCTTTCAGTGATGAATATTTGTTTGTTGAAATTGCTAATAAGGTATGTATTGGAAACTATCATGTTGAGGTTTACCTGGATCAATTATATTGCTGCAGCCTTTACACCTTATCGAAGGAAGGGAATGATGTAAAGAAGTCACATGAAACAAGAGAAATCAATGAAGCTTTTCTTATTGCAGTATGCATAATTTTGCAACTGTGATCAGACTTTTTTGGTTTATATCATGACTTGATCTTAATAGATTATTCCAAATGAGTAATCATGCGTTGCTTGTGATTTGTTTTCGTCTATACAGGCGCTCTTTTGGCAGCAACAGAACTATTATGGAGTTGATCTACAACCTCTATATGGATCTGCATTCCAGGGATACTTTTCTCAGGTCTACTTGGTTGTTGCTGTATAAATTGAAATATTTTTCCCACTCTGTTAACCTTTAATAGCACAAGTTTGCTGTTTTCTTCTTTTAAACATTTTATATGAATATTCTTTGGAGAAAGAAAATAGCATATGAAAGAAATTAATGATACCCAATTTCATTGCATTTTGGTGCTTGGGAGCTTTCTGATCATTTCTTTGTTGTGATTTCCATTCAGCCTGTAGTAGATGCTTTCGATCCAAGGTTATTGGTGGCTCCCGCAACATTTCACGTCATAGATTTTACTGAAATAAAGGTATAGATTCATCTTCTAGACCTCTTTTAATTTTCTTTTCATGGACAAATTTTATGATTTTGTTTGTATGTTTTTTGGGTCTTGAGATGTTCTTTAAGAATGTCTTCTATTCCACAATGAAAATCTTATTTTCCAAAACAATTTCTTCTCTCATGATGAGATATGGCATTGTGTCTGTAGGCTTCATATCTCATCCTTGCTTATGATGCGAGTTTTGTACATCTGAAAGAAATTTTGCTTGAAATGCTGTTTATGGCTTTTTAGGCAATGCATATTTATGAGATGGGGGCTGCTGCTTTTTGTTTTCACTTAATTTTGAAAGGAGCAGTTGTACGCTTCAAGCTTCATTCTTTTTGTTGCAATATCATATCTTTTAATATTCTTTACTTAAGAGGAAGTTAACTGCATCTGACTTTTCTTGATTAGTAATAACAACATTTTGCCATTTCTTTTTGCAGGAAGAGGATTTATATGAAATTGATATTCCATTAAAATTCATTGCTTCTGTGGGCACCAGGGTGCATGGGCTGGCTTGTTGGTTTGATGTGTTGTTTAACGGAAGGCAAGCATGTGACCTGATAATTTTTTTTTTTTTTTTTTTTTTTTTTTTTTTTTTTTTTTTTTTTTTTTTTTTTTTTTCCCTGGGGTATTTTGCAAGAAGCCCTGCATTTTTACTCTCTTGAACTTCTAAAAATTTATGCTTACTTTTTTTTTTTTTTTTTTTTTTTTTTTTTTTTCCCTGGGGTATTTGCAATAGCCCTGCATTTTACTCTGCTTGAACTTCTAAATTTATGGGCTTTACATATAACCTCTTTTGATCCACAGTACTGTACAAAGGTGGCTTACAACTGCCCCTGGTGCTCCTACAACCCATTGGTATCAATTACGCTGTGTTCTGCCTCAGCCACTCTATGTCATGGCAGGACAAGAAATTACAGGCCGGCTCCACATGGTTGCTCACAATGCTCAGAGTTATACCATAAATTTGACACTGTCAGGTTGTCTTCCACTCCCCTTTTTCTCTCATTTGTTGCTTTGTTTCTTCCATCAGTTTCTAACAAGTTGCTGCTAAATTCCAATAGCTAAAATGTGGGGACCTGGTGCTGAACAAGGAGGAATACTTCAGACATCATCATGCAAATTTGATTTAAAAGAACCATATTATAGAATGTCTCAACCACAGGTCTACGGAATGGCCCAAGATCAGCAGCCACACCAAATGATAAATGCTCAGGTAATTATCAATGCTCTTATCTGTATGATATCAGTCAGGTATAAATTGAATATATTTGACCCTGGTATGGTGGTTTCATTTCGTACCTTAGATTAGCCATTCATGTGAATTGGTGTTGACTTGATATATGGATGGGAGAATCATAACGTTGCAGTTTTCATGCATAGGGTTTGCTTTCAAGTTCAATTCTTGAATGATAATAACTGGTAAATCGCGTGAGTTAGTGTTGAGGTGTTCTTTTAAATCTGGCGGGTTAATTTTTACGTATTTCTCTCCTCTCCTAGTCTCAAGGAGTTTCATAATTAACAACATTTCTTAATTCTTACTATTTTTGTCAATATTTGTACTAAAATAGTTATCTCATTAGCAATTTCAGGATATACACATTCAATCAGATGATTTGGAGGAACCCGAGTTGATACAGCCACCATCGCAAAATTTGCATGCCCCAATAAGTTTGTGATGGAATTTTGAATATGTTTGAAAATATAAACTTTGCTTTTCCCCCGGAAGGGGTCTGCAATCTACATCGGAGAATTTAAATATGCATCAGGAGAACTTAACGCACTCCTCTTTGAGCTGGTTCAGTTCCCTTTGTAAAGTAGATCAAGAAGATTTTTAACTACAACTATTTTTTTGTATGATTGGTTGCATAGTTGATCCTGTGTGCTATTTCATTATATGCTTTAACGAGTTCAAATAATCAAATCCATTATGGTCCACAAGTCTTTTCATTGGGCCTTCGTTTTTTTTCCTTTTATCTTTAAAAAAATATATATAATAAAGTAGATGTTTTATAAAGAGAATGTGACGACTTAAATATAATGATAACAATAATAACTGAGATTACTTCAAGTAATTCATCTATTTATTAACTTATAAAATCTCCCATTTTATGTTTGTTTATTTAACAACATGAAATAATGGAATAGCTGAAATAATCAACTAATTGAACTAAAATGCTGGATCAACTATTATATAAAGGTGTCAAATTCAGCATAGTTACGAATAGCCAGTACTTGATTGTTGTTTGTGATAAGCATGGGCTCCTTTGGAGTCCAGAAGAAATTCCCTATGACCTGTCGCTACCGTACTCCAGCTTAGTAGTTTCACCGGCTGTCCACGGTGGGGCCACAGAATATGATTGATTGGCTGATATCTCAAAATTAAATCCTGAATATCTCTGGCACTGACATGCTTGTTCGGTCCATCTTTTAGACAAATAAATAAATAAAGTTCAAAGATTCCAAGTGAGAGTCTGTCCCAACCTTATCAAAATTTCTATAATCAACTTTTGTGCTTGACATGTACTTCCTCTTGCCCCTTAAAATGAAATCTATAATCAACTTTTGTGCTTGACAGCCAAAATTGTGACTTCAAGTGTTCTGTAAAACATTGGAAAAAATATACCAGCTAGCTCAATCAAGTAGAGATACCAGTAATGGCCACATGTTTTGATTCACCGGTGGTTGGATTTGTATAGTTCAGCCTCAATTTAATTTCTCACCCAATTGCTGCTACTGCAGGTTCTGGCTGAACAGCAACTACTTTATAACAGCGGCTACACAGTGTTGGGTGATCCATGAAAGAACCAACTTGAGGTGTGTAATTCCAGCATCTCTCACATTTCAAGCCCTCTGCACGTGTCACACCGATCCAAATTTTATTGCTTCCCTGAACAAGAAACTCCCCGGTGTATGGTATAGTTTCAACAAGCTTCTTGTCAAAAGTTGCAAGAACCTCTGCCTGCAGATTGTCACTTAAATAATCAAAATGGAAGGAATAGATGTTCAGTGAGTTCAAGGAAGAACACACTTGAACTCACTGATCAAAGCGGAAAACTTTGTTTAGGTAAGCAGAATAGAAATATAAATATAAGAAGAAAGAGTGGCAATAAATATAGAAGAGCGATTCTTCTTCCAGAGGTCAATGAACCTCTGCCTGGTCAATACAATTCATTAGAATCCCAGATTCCATTCTTAGACAAGCAACCAAGAGAGACGTGGGGTGAGTCTGCTCCATCTAGTCAATTACTGAACTAAAGTAAATGCAAAAATTTCCTTCTGATGCAAATTTAAGATGTTCAGTGGTTTTAAGATCCAGCTACCATTTCCCATTTGCAACAACATAATCACAAATACTTATTCCTGTGATGAATCCATGTATATATTTAAGGCATTATATGTACCTGAGATGTGATAAATATGCGATTTAGTGCATCTGCATCATTGCTGGCTGCACACATTTCACGTAATCTTGAAGTGAAACTGGCATCGGAGGTGTGCAAATAAACTTTTGCTTCTAAACTAGAACCAATTAGTTTCCCTATACGAGCAGCTTCCAGAACCTTATTCACCTCAGTTCTCAGCTGTTTGTGTTATTCAATTTATAAGCAAGCAAATATATCATGATCAGAAGGATACATCATCACATAAATAGAGCAACTTTAAAATGTTAAATGCGATGAGGTCACACTGTTACTTTCAGAACAGAGGTGAAGTTGACGCATTCAAAATTATATAAGTACACGTATTGGGACCAAACAACATGGTTTGGTTTGCAAATTTTAGCTGGGTCAGTGATTACCTCGAGAATTTTTTCCCACAACTCAATTTCTTCAACAGAAAAGGCAAGCCATTTCTCATTCAAGGCAGGCCACTTCGATTCAAAAACAAACTTTGCAATAGAACCATCTTGAAGCAGATATGGAAAAGGAAGATTCTGCCATACATCCTCAGCCAAATGAGGCAATATTGGAGCAAGAACCCTTGCAATGGAAAGGAGATGTGCAGCAAGAACTGTCTGACAACTTCTCCTTGTAAAACTTGTATTGCCTCTGAAATTATCAACTTAAGAGTGTAATAGATGCTTTTTATGTTGACCTAGATTTGCAGTACACATTCATACATCTGTGTAAAGATTTAACAGTAACGAAGAAGCTGAAATTGAAGGAAGAGAATTACCCAACGTAGAGACGATCTTTGGCAACGTCAAAATAGAAATTTGATAGGTCAACAATAACAAACCGTTGTATGATCTGGAATACAAAATAATTGTCCATGTAATTTACCATAAATAAGCAGATCAAAGTTTTGCATAAGCTGAAGTAGGGCCCCTAAAATGAATAGCATAACAGCAGAGAGCAGCATGCATTCCTAGGGGACTTCATTCTTCCAAGCAGGACCAAACCATAAAAGAGATACATTACACTGTCCTAGAACTCAGTTCAGCAGAGATTTTGTCAGGAGTACTGGATAGGTCCCAACATTTTTTTGTTCATATGAATTATATCAATTTGAAGATTGCCTTTTCTCATAACTCCAAAGTTGACTTTGTCTCAAATATAATTCAATTACCTTAAAAATTAGTATTTAGATCATATACATCCATTTACTGAAATGAAAAGAATTCTAGAAATTCAGCCACTTAAGGAAAATCTTTACCTGGAATATTTTGGGAAATTGATAGTTTTCGTAACTGTCTCTTATGTTCTTTACAACAGTTTCCAGCTGAAACAGTGCATACTTATCAATCATTGGGAGATCATCATATGCAACTTCAGTGTCAGCCTGCCAATAGCACAAGCAGTATAAAAGTCAGGGAGTTGATTGTTCAGCAAAAAATTATTAAACTTTGACAGCTAAATTTAGCCATTTGAGATATTTATTAAACTTACTTTCCAATCATGTAGATTTCCCAAAAGATATCTCAGTGTTCCTCGCAACTTCCTATATATTTCAGATATTTGTCGAAGAATTTGAGGACCAACCATAACGTCACCTGTGTAGTCTACACTAGAAACCCAGAGTCGTAGCACATCAGCTCCATAGCCTGGTGCTCCCTGTGCATAGCAGACATTGATACAACTTCTAGGTGGCAAAATATTCACAGAAAGGAATTTTAAGACAATATCCATCATGACTAACCCCTGCATTTTTCCCCCCTTCAATTACTGTTTGTGGATCTACAACATTACCCAAAGATTTGCTCATCTTAAAACCTTTCTCATCCAATACAAATCCATGGGTCACAACACCAGAATATGGAGCCTTTCCTGTAGAAAGAGAATAAACAGAATGATACAGTAACTTACTGGTTTAGGACATAATGTTTTTATGGAAAATTTCGGTGACATAAAATGTGTTGGAAACAAAATGCATCTGATTACTAGCATTCCTACCAAAATAAATAAATAAATAAACAAACAGAAATAATTTTAATTCAATAATTTTCAGGATAGCATTATTACTTCAAAGCAATCTGCTCCATGAAGAAAACTCACACCTCCTTGTTACATAATCAAAATTAAATTTAGATGCAAATTACCTTTTGCAGCGATACTTGTCAGTAAAGAGCTCTGAAACCATCCGCGATGTTGATCCGAACCTTCAAGATACAGATCTGCAGGATAACTAAGACCAGTCCTTTTTTCCAACACAGCAGCCCATGAAGAACCTGAAATAGCATATGAACTGAGAAAGATAAGATGACTGGTAGAGAAAATAAGCAATAACAAGTTTGGACATTTTAAACCAGGAATAGCAACGTTGTTCACATTTATAATATCAACCTATTTTGTTCACATGAATCCTGCGATGCACATGGTACATGTAAAGAAAACAGGTAAAGAACAGCAATAAAAGTTCTGTGTAACTATTGATACTAACATTCATGCACAATTCCATCAAACCATAGAGGTTGTCAATCTAGCATCAGAATAGTTCATAGAAAACAAGGTCCATATAAGCCTATAATTAAACTATTTAATCTCATAATACCTGAATCAAACCATACATCCATTGTATCTGTCCCTTTTTCATAGTCTGATGCCCTATCACGATACTTTTCAGGGAGTAGGTCATTCACTGTCATATACCACCATGCGTCGGTACCCTTCTGAGCTATTATAGCTGTTAAAGTAATGGCATAAATCAGACATCAGGACCTAAAACCGTGAAACTATCAAAAACATTAAACAAAAGGTTAGCAAAATACTGAAAACATCTTTAGACAATAAGAGCAAGGTATCACTGAGAAGAGCAGACAAGCACATGGAACAAAACAAAACTTGGGGAAAAAAAATTCTAACTAAACAAACTTAATGAAGAAAGTGAGAAAGCCACTGCTGTTTCTAGAAGGCTTACACTTGATATGATCAATAGTCTCTTCATTCATAAGCGGTTCCTTTGATTCCACGTGATAAAAGACGGGAATGGGCACGCCCCACGTCCTTTGCCTTGATATGCACCAGTCAGTGCGAGTTGAAATCATTGCGGAAATTCTGTTTTCTCCCTGAAGAGTGGTTATGCATTTGGCTATTTTAACAAGAAATTACCAATAATATATATAATCATTCGAAATACAACAGAATTTACAAGAATCATATCACATTGCAATTGCAATTCATGAGCACTGTTTAGTTTGTCTTAATGCCCTTGCATTAACTTCTAAGTTCTATAACAGCGTGCACAGTCATGCTGCAGTTAATAGACAGGTTTTGAACTACTGAATTTCATAAATCCATAAAATAAAAATTTTTCCCAAAGAATTCAAACTCGTAAGCTTTACAGAAGCATAATTTACCTAACTGGAACTATATTCAAAATGACAAACTTGAATGCATAGAATTGACATAGTGAGAAAGGAAAGCCTTGTAAACACATTTGAAAAGGCCATTTCTAGGTAGTTCGTTCATTAAGCAAATGTGCCTCAAGAACTTGTATTTATATCACTTCAAAAGGAGATGCGGGACTCGATGGAAGAAAACACATTCAAAACTTTGAATTAAAAGCACAGCCATGAAGATCTATCGTCACCAGAATTCCCACTGAATTAAACCTTATGAACATCAGAACTTCAATACAGAACATATAGATGCCAACAAGCACAAACACAAGATGACTATAATACGAATTTTTGAATACAAATAGAGAAAAAGATGAAGAACACACTTCAACTATAAATAATAAGTGATTTTTAACATTGTAACTTATAGAGTACTAAAAGAAACACCTGAGGCGGAACCCATTTTACATGGCCAATTGCATCCATAGCAGCCTGGCGAAAACCTTCTACAGATGCAAACCATTGCTCTGTGGCTCTAAATATTGTAGGTGTTTTTTCTCTCCAGTCATATGGATACTTATGTTCTGCATGAGAGAGAAAGGCAGTTTGTTACGGACAACAGGTACCTTTTTCTCATCCATATAAAGAAAATATGGTTATCAGCAGAAAGGATGAGAACAAATTTCTTGACGTTGGAAAAGGATCCAACTTACCATATGGCTCCTCCATGATAAGGGACATTTTTTCATCCAGAAAATTCACTACAGAGACATTGCCATCCCCGAGTACATCAAGCCCGCTAAATTGTACAGCTTCTTCAGTGAATTTTCCATCATCATCAACAGGGGAAAATACAGGCAACCCATATTTCATGCCAGTTATATAATCCTCCTGACCATGACCAGGAGCTGTATGCACCAGTCCAGTTCCTGATTCTGTTGTGATATAATCTCCTCCAATGACAACCGGGCATTCCCTGTTATCTATTGGATGAACATATCTGAAAGCAAATTTAAAACCAGATTTGAGTTTTAAAAAAATGATGACAACAACAAATCAAGTACACATAATTATTTCATAGTTAGCCATTTTCATTTTCAAACAAATAAAAAGTTCAATTTCATTATTAACCTGCAGTTTTCAAGATCTGACCCTGAAAGGGTTTTTCTGATCACAAGCTTCACACCCCATTTTGCTTCTAGAGTTGACACAAGATCAGATGCTACAATAAGAAAAGGCTTCTTTTGCTGCCGCAGAACATTACCACGCCGTCGTTTTTTGTTTGCAGAAGATGTAAGAGCATCTTCCAGGGACTGAACTTCAATTACAGCATACTGAAGCTTGGCATTGACTGCAACGGCTGAGGGCAGCAGGTCCCAAAAGAATAAAGAGAAAATAAAATGATGAGAGAGAGAGACAGAGATGCAAGTTAAAAAATTTGTCACAAGGCAATCGAAGATTCATTTGTTCTGTCTAGGTCAAGGATGGCATTAGGATTAAATGAATACACAAGGAGCAGTTTAAGGCTGATAAGGAAAATGAAATATGAGGGTGGTTATTGAGGTAATAACCTAAATTTCAGAGGAAGCATTTTCCCCCCTATGATTGTCCACCAAAATTGCAATTTCAAGGAATTAGTACCTCCTCTGGACTCAGTTCTACTTTTAAGTTTATTTGGTTACCTCACACCAAAAATGGCAAACCAAAGACATTAAAAAAATATATATATTATGTTGACGTTAATGATTGCAGTCAGGAATGCAAAAGATATATGCCAAATTTTGCATGAGAATATGAATTAGAACACATGCGATATGAAAACAAGAAAGAAAAAGAACCACTTAGAATTCAAACAGGTTAATGCATATACAACTACAAAGACTTACCAGCATTGGCTGGAACAGTCCAGGGAGTTGTGGTCCATGTGGCCAAGCACAAATCTGGAAAGAATTCCTCTAACAACCGGTTTGAGGTTGGAGGAGCACTCACTAACCGAAATATGGCATATATGCTTCTTGAAACATGCCCTTCAGGATACTGCAAAGAAAAATATTGTAAGTTTATGTTGTAAGTTAATTAATGAAAAGAATCCAGTTAATTAATAAAAAGGCAACATAAAAGCAAAAGGACCAATGGTTTTATTAGAAAAGACTCCAGTTAATTAAAAAAAAGGCAACATAAAAGCAAAAGGACCAATGGTTTTATTGGAACACATAACGTGTGAAGAAGGAAAAGACCTTGATAAAGACACATTATTTGAAATAAGGCCTAAGTTTCAGGGATATTTCTGTCTCATTAAAGTCTAATATGTGCCTCAAGGATACATTGGATTAATATATCAAATTTCCAAAATAGGATTAATTGCAGTAGCTCGATTGCAGAAGGGAAAACACATTGCAACTTCGAATTAAAAAGCACAGCCGATGAAGATCTATCTCACCAGAATTCCCACTGAATGTAAACCTTTATGAACATTCAGAACTTCTAATACAGAACAGTATAGTGCCAACAGCACAAATAACAAGTTATGAACTAAATCTATTTATCGACACGTTCTATCGAAAGACAGAAATAAAGTAAAAAGGTATATGAAGAACACACTGCAACTATAAATTAATAAGTGATTTTTGTTAACATTATTTAACTTATAGAGGTAGCTAGAAAGAAACAGCCTCGACAGAGCTCGTCCTTCACTTTTTAATAATCAATCGGCCACTTATACATCCATATAGACAGGCCTCGGCGAAAAAAACTTTATAACTAGATGCAAATACCTATTGCCTCTGGTCGGCTTCTTACTCTTAAGAATATAATAGTAGTGTTTTATTTCTCTCCAGTACAATATATCGTGCTATACTATATGTTCATGCTAAGAAGAGAACAAGGGCAGATTTTTTTAACTGGGAACAAATCAATGATCAACCCCTTTATCTTCATGCGATCATAAAGAAAAAGTGAATGTGATTAATCAACAGAATGAATGGTGATAGAACAAATAGTTTCTTGACGTTGGAAAATAGGATCCAAAAACTTACCATATGGCTCCAGTCCATGATAAGGGACATTTTTTCATCCAAGAAAAAGTCACTACAGATACATTGCCATCCCGAGTACATGCAAGGCCCGCTAAATGTACAGCTTCTTTTCAGTTTGAATTTTCCATCATCATCAACAGGGGAAAATAAGGGCAACCCACTATTCATCCAGTTATATAATCGCTACGCTGACCGATGACCAGGAAAGCTGTATGCACCAGTCCAATACCTGAATTACTTGTTGTTGATACATAAATCTCTATCTCACGAAATGACAAAAACCCGGGACAATTCCACATTGTTATCATAATTTGAGCAAACCTCTAAATTGAACATATCTTGAAAGCAAATTAAACCAGATATTCTTTACGTCTTTACAAATAAAAAAAAATATAGATGACTAACTAACAAATTCACATTACACCATAGATTATTCATAATATAGCATTTTATACATATTTCAAAAAAAATAATAAATTCACAATTTTTCTGTATTATTAACCTGCAGTTTTCCAAGATTCTGACCCTGAAAGGGTTTCTTGATCCACAAGACTTCACATTGTCCCCATTTTGCTCTAGAGTTTTGGGAACGAGATCAGAAGACAATACAATAGAGAGAAAGGCTTTTCTTTGCTGCCCGACAGATACAAATTACCCACGAGTTTTCCTGATTTGAATTTTTTTGCAGTAAGAATGATAAATGAGTCATTTCTGAATCCAGGGTAAGCTGAAAAACGCAGATACAGCGCATACTGAAGAACTTGGCATTGACTGCAACGGCTGAGTTGACACGCAGGTCCCAAAAGATAAAAAGAGAAAAATTAGAAAATGATGAGAGAGAGAGACATTGAGAAATGCAAAAGTTTAATAAAGTTTTTCACAAGAGCAAATTCGAAGAGTTTACATTTGTAATATGTCTTCAGGTGTCAATGGATTTAGGCATTAGGAGTAAAATAAGTACATACAAGGAAGCAGTTTTAAAGGTATCTTGATAAACGAAAAATGACATCATATATTTGGCAGGGAGTATTGATTCGGATCTCGGGGGTGAAAGAACCTAAATTTAACAAGTGCATAGCATTTTTCCCCCCTATTGATGGTCCACCAAAATTGCAATTTCAAGGGAATTAGTACCTCCCTCTGGGAACTCGAGTATCACTATTTTAAGTTTATTTTTTACCTCAACTGAACCAAGTGATGGCAAACGCAAAGACATTTTAGAAAAAAATAACAAAATAAAATTATATTATTGTTGGACATTTGGTTTAAAAATGATGTGCAAGTCTCTAGGGAATGCAAAAGATATATGCCAATTTGACAGATGAAGGATTAGAAATTTTACGATACAGCCTATCCAATAAAGGAATAACAAGATATAGAAAAAGAAACCCACGTTAGAATTCTATAACACAGAGGGTTTTCATGCTACTTAATAACAACTACAAAGAAATCTTTACCACGCGATTTGGCGGTGAACAGTTATCACACATGTATCAATAGGAAAGTTGGTGATCAGGTAATGTGGCCAAGCAAGCAAATTCTGAGAAAGATATCCTTTTCTAAATCAATCCAACGGTATTTGGAGGTGGAGGAGCTCAACTTCGACTAACCGAATGAATTAATGACATATTATGTCTTCTTGCAAAATACATTATCCCTTTCCAGGATACTGACAGAAGAAAAAAACTGAATATTTTTGTTAAAAGTGTTTTTGTTGAAATAAACAGTTTAATTAATTGTAAAGAATCCACTTTTAAATAAAAAAAAAGCAAAAATAAAAACTGCAAAAAGGACACAATGGTTTATTTAAGAAAAAGACATACCATAAACAGTTTGAAGACGTTAATATTATAAAAAAGATAAGAAGCAACATAAAAGCAGAAATAAAGGATCAATGGTTTTATTTATATGCATAAAAGCAAAAGGACCAATGGTTTTATTAGAAAAGACTCCAGTTAATTAAAAAAAAGGCAACATAAAAGCAAAAGGACCAATGGTTTTATTAGAAAAGACTCCAGTTAATTAAAAAAAAGGCAACATAAAAGCAAAAGGACCAATGGTTTTATTAGAAAAGACTCCAGTTAATTAAAAAAAAGGCAACATAAAAGCAAAAGGACCAATGGTTTTATTTGAAAATGTTGTTGTAAGTTTGAGTTTCTCGCTGTATCTTTTTGAATGTAGTACTGAGAGAGATGCTCATAAATATATTACAAGCTCTACAAGAGACATTGCTGCTTAGTGGTTTAAACGTCAAGTAAGCAAAAAAAATCTGAAGATACATATCATCTCTAACCCAACAATATAGATTGTACAGATAAAAACAACCAAAAGTAAAATTAAATGAACAAGTTCAAGTACATTTAGAAACCATCACTAGTCAATACAAGCCATTATGTCATCACTTCTATTTGTTTAAGAAAGTGACACTTGAATCACATTTAGTAAGGTTAGTGTAAAGCAGGGAAAAAAGAGCATGCTCCTAAATTTCAAAACTTATTTTACCTCCAACTCAGCCTCTGCAAGAGCTGTACGGGATTTAGGACTCCAATGAACCGGTTTCCGGCCCCTATAAATGTATCCTTTAAGTGCCATTTGGCCAAACACTTCAATCTATCAAAAAATAGGATATAACAAATCCTCAAAAGTTTATCATACTAATTCACTGAACCAGAAAGTCACATGCACATTGAATGAAAATGAGACAAGTACCTGGGCAGCTTCATATTCTGGATCTAATGTTAGATAAGATTCAGGCCATTCTGCCCACACTCCATAGCGCTGCAACAACAGAAACAATTAATCAGCTGTTACTAGCATGGGGGTTGTATATTAGAGATAACTATGACTTGGTAACATGCAAACAAAATACCAACTATTAACACCAAAAGAAAAAAAAAAAAAATTGGGCTACAACCTTAAATGATCCCATCTGTGTTTTAACAGTCGCCTTGGCAAACTTGGCAGCCTTTGCTCTTAATTTTAATGGGCTCAGATCCTTTCTGGCATTTTGATCCAATGATTGCAGAACTGTATAATTTGTGATGACAATCAACCTCTCTTGTCTTACCAAACAGACCTGACTTGGTACTGAAAATACTTTAAAACACATTTTCCCTCATTCTAGGAGAATCAGTAGGCAGGCAGCAAAAATGCATATCCTGATTGACATTATGAAAAGACACAGAACAATATCTAGAATAATCACATACAATCAAATCATTACCACCTATTCAAATCTTTATAACTTCAGCCAATTTAGCTAATTTCCTGCAGCAGGCCATGATGTCAATCTATTAACCAGAAAAGAAGCCAATACTTGCCTTTGTTCTCAATTGGTAGGCCATGACAATCCCAACCAGGAATAAAGCGAACCTTATGGTTTTGAAGAATCTGGACACAAAAAAGAAAAAAAAAAGAGCATGGCTTAAATAAGTAATATTAAGATCATTTTTACACCTATATAAACAGATGTGTCAAGAAAATGAGTCTAGCTCACATTCTCATTATTGACATATTAATATTGCTAAAATACAGTGGGAAAATTACAAAAAAAAATTGGAGTATAAAACATGACAGAAATTTTTACGGCATAAAGCTGATTACTTTATTCTTCTTTATTTCCTTTCTTTTTCTCTTGTTTGTTGCTTAGGGTGATTCATCCCAACTTCCAAATTGCAGAAAGGAAAAAATTCAGAATTTTTTATTTGCTTCTTCTCTTTTTCGCTTCGAAATGGAGTAAACATAAATTCAATACTTTATTTCGAATTGAATAAATAAAATCGACTTTTTTTGTTCTATATGTCTGATTTTCTCTATATTAGAAAAACGATGTAAAAATGCAGGGCAATAATAAATGTCTTGGTGAGGGAACACACCTTATAACGGTTAATTATATCCTTCAAGATTTTATTCAGGGCATGACCAATGTGTAGGTCACCATTGGCATAAGGAGGACCATCATGAAGAACAAAATTTCCCTGACAAAGCAATTGAAGGCGGCTAATAAGTTTACGTAAATTGAACTGATATACAAGGATAATTACAAAACCCACCCCATCATTTTTGTCGACAACTCTCTTGAAAACCTGATTATCCTCCCATAATTTTTGAATCTCAGGCTCCCTCGTCGTAGCATTTGCTCTCATGCTAAATGTTGTCTTAGGCAAATCAACTGTATGCTTGTATTTTCCTTCTTGTTTTTCCCCTGAATAATTCCAATCAATTCATAAAAAAGAAGTTACACATTACTTAAACGGATGTAATATGACTCTGTAGTAGTATAAGCACAAAATCCTTTGAAAAATGTCATTGTAATTGTCTAATTCCCAAACCAGCAAACACACACCCTCAGATGCTTTCTTGGCAGCCATAACAGGACCTCGAGATCTTCGCTTTGAAGTACCAAATTGGTCACTGGAATATGTACAATAACGCCTTGTATTCAAGAAAATCGAAGAGCTTCCTTTGTAGTAGAATAAGCTAGCATTCCTTAGAGATGAAGAAGTTGTTCGTGATAAAACCTGACAAAGTTCAACACATTTTATCAGTGGCAACAGCGAAATTAAATTCTCACTCTCTTCGTCACACTCTCTCTGTGACATTTTATCAAGCACATGAAGGAACACAATCGATACTCAACAAGTAACGCAAAACCCGACTAGTTTCGGTAAATCTAATCCTTAAAGTTCACTCATAACCCTTCCATTTACATACAGCACTGCAATTACAAAAGTGGCATCATGTGAAGAAGAATGGTATATATACCCCAGAAGAAGATGAGTGAAACATGGATATTGTAGCTTCACCGGGACTGAACGCCAAGGACTTAAGAAGAGACATGATTTTGCTATATAGAAAGCTTTATAAATTCTAATTATTCATTGGTAACTGTCAAAACAGACCAGTTCTCCATTCTAGGAACTGGATATAGGAAACTTGTGTGGATGAGTGAACAAAAGCAAAGCAGCCCGTTATTTTCTATTCAAACGTGTCCTTACGCTAAACACTACCGTTTGGTAGCGCTGCAAATAATATATCGAAGCACTGTTTTTAAACGATCAGTGGACTCTTTTTTAATGAACCAGTGAAATATCGGCTATCGCAAAGTTGAAAAGCCGTGGCTTGGGTTTACAATGGCTTAATGGCTTTTCTACTGAGAAAAGGGAAATGACATATACAGTACGAATAGAGGCAAATATAAAATTAGTAGCAGAAAATTTCTAACTATCTTGACAACCAAAGCTGTAAAAAAATAATAATAATAAATAAATAAAATAAAATAAAATAAGGTTAAGGATGAACAGAGGTCTCTATTTATAGAGATTAAATATATATAAGCTCATTATATAAATACGATTCGGCCTTTCATTAAACTGTATAAAATTATATTTATGAGTTGTGACTTAATTGGTAATGCAAATTGAATATGTGAGAAAAACTATAGGATTTGATTCCCAGTAAGTACATCTTCAGAAAGGGATAAGAGCCTTATTATAATTAAGTCCCGAGTCGAATTAGATGGTCTCTAATGATGGAGTCCAGATACCTGTAGTTTATATAAAAAAAATTTATAAACCCATTATATAAATAATTAGATAAAGACAAATTGAACTTTGTCAGCATATATTCTTGAACTGTAAAAAAACAAAAAATTACATTAAAATTTTTAACACACTACCATGAAGTAAGTTTGTGAATGGCCCAAACAATTTTCTTATCGGGTAAAATCGATGCCATGGAGGAATGTTTTGACCTAACAAGGAAACTTTTTCCTTTCCAGAAAATTTTAACGACAGTAAAAAATTTTACTGGGTGTTGCGTATTGATTTGTAGATTATCCGTATCAACGAGCAATATAATCTCTTTCCTTTTTAAAGTGGGCCGGACTATTGGTATATCTTAATATCCGGCCCAACTTGAGTTGGTGATATTGATGGGCCTTCCTTACCTCATTCCTTTTGATGATAAAAAATTTGTATTAAACTATTAATTATTCCAAATATTAAGTAACGAGTTTTGTATTTAACTAGCGATTATTTTTTAAATAAAAGCATAGAATTTGATTATATTTAACTACAAATTTTAAAACTTGATTTGATAAAATAAAATATTTATCCTAATTATGTTCTTTATTAAAAAAAAATTATTCGCATCAAAACAAGAAATTAATGAAATTTCAATTTTACAATTTGACTTTGACAATATTTTTTCTTAATACACTATAATTAAGTACGTGATGAATATTTATATAGACTTGGTTTTTTTTTTTTTTTTTTTTTACAATATTTTTCTTAATACACTATAATTAAGTACGTGAAATGAATATTTTATATAGACTTGGTTTTTTTTTTTTTTTTTTTTTGGTTAATTTTTTCGCTTATGTAGGAGTTGTGTTGGTCCCCGTTTGGGTGGTTACATTGGAGATGGAATACTAAATGCTTGCTCGCAACTGTAAAATTAAGTATCTCTGCTATTAAAAAAGACAGACAAATAAGCAAATAATCAAGAAAACTTTTGGAATGATCATCAGATTTAGATGGATAAAAGAACTGATTTTTTTTTTTTTTTTTTTTGGTTAATTTTATTCTTATGTAGGAGTTGTGTTGGTCCCCCGTTTGGGTGGTTACATTGGAGATGGAATACTAATGCTTGCTGCAACTGTAAAATTAGTATCTCTGCTATTAAAAGACAGACAAATAAGCAAATAATCACAGAAAACTTTTGAGACTGATCATCAGATTAGATGGATAAAGAAACTGAACTCAGAACAACTATATGCAGGCTTGATTCCATTATTTTACAGCTCATAAAACCTACAGAAATAACTTAAAATGTCCTGCAGATGGAGCAAAGATTTTATAATTATGAAGCTGGGGAATGACAATAACTAGTCCTGACTGAATGATTTACCCTTTCAAAATTTAATTAATGACTGTAGATACTTGGAAAGCAGACCTAGTAATCTAGCATTTTTCAGTTTCTTGCAGCACAACCAGAATAGACACTCTTCAAGGCAGATATTACCATTGGAACAATACTGATGAGAGCAAATTGGAGTTCTGAGCTACTGGTTTTGATGGTGATTTGTCCACTTTGCTTGTTGTTCATTCCTACATTGATAGCCATTTTTGAATTTCGACCAACAGAGAACTGAGATTGCAGGTTGGCTGTTACACCCAAATTGCCTCTCCAATTCAGTAGAGACAACCCCAATGTGGTCTGATCCTGCTCCATAGGAAAGTCCTTGCTCTTAAGGCGAACTTCAAAGTTTGCTCCATATGCTGTATCACCTTCAGATGTAACAGCACCAGCACTTCCAACCAAAGCCAAGCGCTTTCCAACTGTAATCTGGTCCTCAATTTTGAGTCCTGTGGCTGCACGTTTCCCCAGCAGAGTAATGGATATTCCTGCAGTTGTTTTGTTTATCTTAAAGTTCTTGACTTTGGTTTCAGCTCTGAGGATACATGCAAGCTGCCTTCCAAAAGTCTGAACGTCGAATCCTGCCATTGTTGATCCATTTTCTTTATGTTTTGCACAAATTGAGGAATCCAAACGGATGTTAAACACTTTCTTATCCTTCATGACTTGAACAGTAAATGCACTTGGAAATCTACCAGCAACAGCAAGATTTCTGTCAAGAGCAATACCATCATAGCCACAGTCATGGTCCCAGCCCTGTGATTCCACAATTGGCCTAACAAGAAGCTCTGATGTCGGCTCCAACATCCGGTATCTATAAGAAGGATTGTCACTGTCAAAAGAAGGTGAGAGGGCAAAGTCAGGCATTGTAACAGGCACAACTGCTGGACCTCCTTCTTCCTGTTCAAAATCTTCTTCAGTGTAAACATGATCTATTCTGCTATCTTTGCCTTTCTTCTTGAGCTCCTTCAACCTTTTAATCTCCTCTCTCCACTGCTTCTTTTGGAGGAGTTTCGCCCGATAATCATATTCCTCAAGATACGCTCTCTTGTGCTCCTTGCTGAGCTTATTAATCTGAGATCTCATCAAGGGCTTGAAGGGTGGGAGTTGATCGTATTCATCATCATCTCCATCAGAATCTGATAAATCCAACAACTCCACATCTGAATCAACATCATCACTACCCTGATCAGCAGTGAGTTTTGGATGAGGACGACACTGCAATAAAGAAGACACCAAGTGGGATAAAGGCAGAGAACGGAGCCTTAAGCCAAACATCTTCTTGTGATCATAAGGATCTTGAGGTTTAGTTTTTAAGTTCGCTTCTAATTCGGATAAAATCTTCAATGAGTAGCACAAGAGTAGTAATTGAGGTCTCCAACTTTGTCCATTGGGGAGGACCCTTTCTCCTTCTTTGTTCTTTTGACACAATAAATGATTCTCAACAAAAGACACCGGATGCATCATACTTGGGTCCATTAGACGTGGATCACCAGTTGCTCGACTGATGGAGAGCTGAACGGCATGGGCTCGTTGAGTGGCAAACATCTCAAAATTTAAGGGTGACCCAGATGGCCCATCAGGAGGTGAAGCACTTGCATGGGTGAGAATGACAATAGCATTTCGCCATATTGATGCAGAGAGAGAATTAGTGAGTGAAACTAACAGTGGCAAATCATTGAGATCTTTTGTATGAGCGTCTAGCCTATCAACGTAGAGGACAACATCTGGAGGGAACTTCTTTATCCACTTCTTTATAGATGCTAATATTTTCCTGTTTATAGGTTCATCCTTCACAGGGGTTCTAAGACCTGGAGTGTCTAGGATTCTGATCCTAACTCCATCTACTGTTCCAACAACCTCCTTAACCCTTGTTGTAGCAGGTTCAAATGCATTGATCACAACTTTCTTCTCACCAAAAATAGAATTAATGGTTGCACTTTTCCCCACTCCAGTTTTCCCAAAAACCAAAATGTTCAAACAGAAATCTAAATCATCTTTGCCCTCTGCTTCAAGCTGCATAACCATTCTCTTGGCAGATTCAAGGCTAAATTCTTGGCTAACATGTTCCCCTGCAGCTAGGAACAATTTGTGCAACAATGACGCAACTATAGAATCTTCAGAAGACTGTCCCAGTCGCTGAACAAGCCTCAAGAACTTCACCCTAATGTGATGTATCTTTTCAATCTTCTTCTTTTCTTCTTCACTTATATTTTCGTTCACAGCAGCCTTGACAGTATCTGATTGCAAAGTACGTCCTATAGTGTCAAATGAGGAACCTGAACCAACAGGGTGATCAAAAGTGTATGCTCTGGAACCATCAGCAGAAGTTATGGTGATGCTGCGTCCATCCAACTTAGCACTAGCTGCTGCTTTCAAAAGAGCAGCCAATGCAGCAGAGTCAAAAAACCCCTTTTCGTCATGATCCTTATCAGTCTCCAATTCATCATCTGAGTCGGGAACAATCTGCCCATCATAGAAATCATCAGCCACGGGAAGAGGAGAGGGGGAAAAACTTCTCTGCAACTCACTCATGATATGTTCACTAGTTCCAGAGCTTCTAAATATCATATCTTCAATATCTTCATCAGAAAGCCAACTCTTTTGTGCTCCTATTTTTTGTGAATCAAGCTTTACTTCATCTTTGATATTCCCCTGTGATGCTTTTTCCAATCTATCATGTTCGGACATTTCAGGCAAATCTCTTTTTACCAATAAATCCAAAGCCATCTCATCAGCATGGTTTCCAGATTCAACTTTAATGGCATCTTCACGCGCAAGAGATTCAGAACTCATACCAGTTTCTGGTCCAGTTTTATCTTCCAGTTTCCCATAGTCGCTGCCTTCCTCAAGAGCATCACTTCCATCATAATTCTTCTTGAAATCTGCAGCTTTTTCTGCCTCCACTTCCACTTCCAGTTCTTGAGGCTCTAGCACAATTTTCTGGACAGAGTCGTCAACAGGTTTAATTACAGTTTCAAAGGAAGTATGTTCCTTTAACAGGACAGCACTATCATCAACCTTCAGCTCTGCCACGATATCATCACAAACATTAACAACTTCAGCAATTTGTTCCTTCACAGGGCTAGCACTGCAATGCTCAGAGAACTGATAGTTAAAATCATTCACCACCATACTATTTTCATTGTAGCAATCTGTACCATTCAATTCAATCTTTGCCTGCTCCAAATTCTCAAATGGTAGCCTTTCATCAACAAAATGCATAGCATCATCGTCCAATTGAGAACCGGTCTCCAAGACATTTTCTTCGCATTCCACTAAAGACTCAATATGAGACTCTGCCGCAACATGCCCATCATCCTCAACTAATTCAATTGAAACAGAGTAATCGACAACAAGTTTGACATCTTCCTTCATTTCTGAATTCTTGTTATTCTCCACCAAAGGCTCAACATGAAAATCATCCTTGATTAATTCAACTGAACAGTGCTCGTTAATGGGACCCTCTGCTGCGAAGGCATCATCTTCACGACCGGAAACACCATTGTCAGCTCCAACAAATTTACCAGAAACCAAATTCCCATTGTCTCTTGTTAGTAAAAATTCAGACTCATTCACAGCCGAAAAATCACTTTGCACCAATAACTCAATTTCTTTATCTTCATCAACATCTGACCCATCCGACACTTTAACTCTTGGTGCACTATCCACGTTCTCAAGAACCCCAAAACTAGGACCTGAAAATCTGCCATCAGCACCCCCGCCACTTGCTATATCCTCATCAGACATTAACTCCTCAAAGTCATCGTCATCCATTGACAATTGGGCAATAGGGATAACCCGTGGGAAACTCGTATTATCTAATTTGACAGATTTAAATTCATTAGTAACCCCGCTCTCTGGGAAATCATTAGTAACCCCGCTCTCTGGATTTCCCACACTTTCTTCATCTGTATCCGTCATATAGGGCCTAGAAAGTTTATATTTGCCAAAAAAGACACTAGCTTCTGGCTTTTCCTCATCTGAATCGCCAACAAAAAGCTTCTCTGATGCACTTTCAAACTCCTCACCACTAACATACTCCTCAGCCTCAGACCCATTATCAACACTGCTACTAATATCACTAGTATGACCGTTAGATTCAAAATCAGAAGAATCATCTTCCGGAGTAATAGGAGCTCGAATTGCGAGAGAACCTGAAAGCGAAGGGGGCCCTTGTGTAGTTAAAAGAGAGACTTGTGGCTTTGATGCCATGGCTTGTAGCTCAGAAAGCAAAACACACACAATTACCAAACAAAAAAAAGAAGTGGCGAGAACTTTATTTTATATTTTTTTCCTTTTTAGGGTTTGTGTTGGTCGTAATGATTCTTCGAATCTTTAATGGTGTTCATTGTGAACTTTTTGGTTTAGGGTTGGTTGTGAGGGAAGGAGGAGCCAGTCACAAGCTGTAGGGATTAGTAGATAGGTTCTTTGTTTGTTTTTGTTCATTGTTCAGTATGGATGGATTCGGTTTTGGAGTTTTCTAGGAGATGAAGACACAAGTGTAATGTGTTGTAGGACATTTAGGCTTTGTATTGTCTCTTGTGAGTGACTATGATGTTTGGTTTTGGGAATAGGCATTGGGTTGGTGTTTCAATGCGCCACGCACAAGGTCCGTAGTCCATACAGCCATTGAGGGCTTGGAACTTGGAAGCTTTTCAGCTGTCACTAACCTGTTTTGCGGTCACAATTTTTTTTTCTTTTTTTCGGGTTTTTTTCAGCTCGAAATAATTGAATTTCCACCATGAGTCCATTCTGGGGCCAAAAAAACAAATTGATTAACACAAGTAGAAAATTAGAAAAACTTTCAATTAAAGTGTAACCTCAATTGATTTTATTTCTAAACATATTAACTTGGTAAGTTTCAATTCAGGTTACAGGAAAATCAAGAGAGGCGGCTTCAAATTTTAAATTAATATAGAGGTTTATATCATAGTCTGCTGCTTGTAAAATATGGTTGTAACCAAGCAGTCTTTCTTTGACTGTCTGCTCCAATCCCCATTATGCGCCATGACAGTTGCCCATCCAAACCATACAAATGTTGTGGACCTTTTGTTTTTTATTATTTTCGCATAATAAGACTGTTGCAAAAACTATAAATAAGTACTTAAAATTGAAATTAATCAAGTTAAATTATAAGAAAAAAAATACCAAAGAAACAATAATAATTTAGATGGGCCAAATTTTCTAAAGCCCATCACTCAAGGCCCGTTTCTAACCAAAACAAAAAATTTTAATTTTGAATTGGTGAGGTGCGCCAGGCCAGTGCTATAGTGCAACGCACAGGCGACGCTCGAAGACCCCAGTAGCAAGCTACTGTAGTGAGCCTTCCCCCTAAAAAAATTAATTTAATATCATGTGGACCAATGGCCCACGTATCAGATATTAAACTGATAAGAACAGATACTACACTTGATCTTAGCCAAAAGGCCGAGAAAGGTATGATTTGTTAACTGTTGAGCTTCGCTACTTATAATGCCAGTCGCGGCGCCAGTAGCTTAGCTGATCGATGTGGGATAGATACTATAAAGACTGATTGTTCGCTTACTGCCAAACCTAAACAGAAGAACAAAATAACAGATCAGTATATATTTATACACCAGCTAAGTACACAAAATTAGCTTCAATCTATAATCTTATACATGGGTTCTAAAACTTAAATCAAGCAAAAGAAAGAGTGAATTTATAATAACTCAAAAAGATTAACTATCTTACCAAAATATGCACATATCAACAAAATAACTTCAATCCGATAGCATAGACTTTTGTGATGTTTATGTTTCTTTAGAAATACATTGAGGAATTTATTGACCTGTGATTCAATGTGAGACTAGAAGTTTTTCTCTATAATTTTTTGTTAAATTCTTCAATATAAATAATAATTTACTTGATGAATTAATTTTAATTTCCATTTCAATAATTGGTTTCATATGAAACTATATAATGTAACTCCATGGGCTGTGGTTTGGGTTTGGGCTAGGCCCAGCTTTCCCATTGTTTAAGAAACTCCGAACAGAGACTTACAAGCCCTTTTTCCTCCGCTTCCAATGGCGGGTTCCTATAGCGCCACCTTCCCTTTCTCTGCGCGTACCACAATCCCCACGGCCACCAGCCGTGGATTTCGACTTAAGCCGCTCCCCGCTATCTCTGTTTCTGCTTCATTTCCGTCTAACCGCACAAAGAGGAAAAATCACTTACGCCCTAAAATCCTCAAAACCCTAACTAAACCCTTCCCTACCGCTCCTCTCCCTCACATCTTTCTAGTAGAAAACATACCAGTACCCAATCCTATTTCGTTTCCATCCGCAAACGACGCCGTCTGCAAGGAAATTCCTAGCGAAAGTGTCCCTCCTGTAGAAGCAGATAATTTTTTGGAAGAATTTCCTGCATCGGAGACTATTGCCGCAGTTGGAGAACCGAGTGGCATAGTTAGTAAAATTTCTGCAAAGTCTGTGATAAAATACGGGGGTTATTTGGTTGGGATTTTTCTGTTTCAAAATTTTTTTGTTTGGTTGGTGGGAAATACTAATTCCCTGGAAAAAGAAGAGAGACGGATTGATTTTCGTGGTAAAGTGAATATTTTGCCAAATGGAAGCAATGTGGCTTACTTTGATGAAACGGAACTGGAAGAGAAAATCAGTGAAATTAGGGCAATGGCAAGAGAGGCAAGAGAGAAGGAGAAAACGGAGAGAAAGGAGGGTAATGAAGAGAGTGAAATTGAGAAGGAGATTGGTGCAAGATTGGCTAAGTTAGAGAAGAGATTGAATTCAAAGAGAGAAAAATTACCCGAATCGTTTATGAACTATTTAGGCCTTTTTGGAAATGAAAAAGAGGAAGATGGGATTGGTGAGAATAATTTGGAGTTGAAAGAGGATAAAAAACCACTTAGCTTCAAAAAAAAGCTTAAATTTAAGAACCCTTCAATGAACTCAAGGAGTAGTCCGAAAGGGTTTTCAGGTTCAAGGAGCTCTGGAAGGTCAAGGAGCGAAGATGGGAGCTTTCAAAATGGTGAATCAAGACAAATTGATCCTGGGACTATGAATATGGATAGCAGAAGGGAAGACATAAGCACTCAGTTGAATTCATCTCAAATAGATGTCAGCAAGTTGCAGAAGGAAAACCAGGATTTTACAAAGGAAATTCAGTCTGGTATGTAAATAAAATATTTTTGGGCGCATGATTCATTAATTTTTTATGTATAAATATTTTTTTATCCTTTTTCATTTATGTTTTTGAGGAAATGATGATATTCGTTTTATTGATCTGGGAAAGCAGATTCTTTTATACTGTGGATATTTTATATTTTTGGTTTGTGATGTACAATTATTACTTTAAGATAGATTTTAACTTGACATATAAATGGGGGCAAATTAAATTTCATGCTTAAAGGGAGATATTGATGATGTTGAACACTGGAATTTGCCACTTTTGCTATTTGATAAATTGCAGTTATAAAACTCTGTATGAACATAGGGTGATTGTACAAATTTTTAGGTTCTGCCCAGGATGCTAGAGAAGAAAGGTTGTCTAGTGAAGAGACAAAGTCACAGAAATCAAGGGATTTCGGGAGACATAATTCTCAAAGCTTAAGAACACAAAATCAGAGAACTGCTACAAAATTTGACGCCCCTGCTTCATCGAGCAGTAATGACAGCAGAAACCCTGGAAAGAGACAAGTGGAAAACAGAGTAGGGGATAAACAATCAGCTGCACAAACAAATTTGTGGTGGTCGAATCTTCCTTATCTTCTTGTACACAACTGAAACTGTGACTCTCTCTAATATTTCTCAATAATTTGAATTGATATATATATTTTTTATGTGCAATTCCAACCTAAAAACAACAATTGACCGATTCCAACAAAAATGAATAGTAACTTTGTCCTTTCTAAACCAATTAATGTAGGTTTTTACTTTGATTCCCTGTCATAAATTGGTTTTTAAAGTATAATTAGCTGTGCACTTAATCCTTCTAAACCTATTGCTTAATTTTTTAAATGTACAATAAACAACAATGAATTTCTTCAGTTAATTTTGTCAAGAAATAATTTTCTATGTGCTCAATTTCAGGGTATCCATATATGTAGAAGATCAGAAGATGAAAGACCAGAAGCACTTTATACTTTAAGAACACCTTCTCAAGCATATAATCAGGAAGAGTCATTCTGTGTAGTTGCTTTTGAGGACCATTTTGACGCCAATCACTTCTGCTATTTGCTTGAATGCTACTTTGAAGATTTAGGGGAATTCAGTGTTGATGTTGTGCCGCTGTCAACAAAAGTAAGTAACACGAATTGTATGACTAAGCTAAGCCTTTTGCAGGGCAGAGATTACCATGGTGGGATATATGATTTGTGGGCTGGGTATACAAGGGATTAGTATATGGATACTCTTTGGTGAGCCCTTTCATTAATTCTAATGTGATAAAGGAAAAATTGAACTCTTGCAGGAACTTCATGATGCAGTGAGATCTAACTCCCAGAAATTGATTGTTGTGAGGAAGGGGCAACTTAAGCTTTATGCTGGTCAGCCATTTGCAGAGGTTGAGAAAGCTTTGTACTCTTTGCTTGAATGAGATCAAGCACTGAGTTTGTGGAAGAAATAAATGATCAAGCTTGGGTTTCTCTTCAATCCGTTACGGCTGACAATATTCTTATGGAAGTTCCTCAATAGATTAGAGTTTAAGTTCTTGTATAGCCATAGAGATCTCTTGAATATGTGGACAATTTTCTGAGAGGAATTTAGTCCTGTTCAGAGGGTAAGCGCTTGTCCTGGTGCTGACAATTTTGTTTGCTATAACTGCGAATTTTAGAAAGATAGGCTAGATTGATTTTTACGAAGAAAGGGTTATGAAAATGAAGTACAAAAAACATGTATTATTTGAAATGTTCCTATGAATAAGAATTTTTGTTTTGAAAATTTTGATGTTCCGTAATAACCTAATGGCTGATTGTCCGCTTCTTTTTAGATGTTGATGACTCGCAAAATAACACCCCAAAAAAAGTGAAAAACCTACAAATATATATAAAGAAAGGGGTTATGAAAATGAGTACAAAAAACATGTATTATTTGAAATGTTCCTATGGAAATAAGAAATCTTTTGTTTTGTAAAATTTTGATGTTTCCGTAATTACACCGTAATGGGTGATTGTCCGCTTCTCGTTTTAGATGTTGATGACTCGCAAATACACCCCAAAAAAAGTGAAAAACCTACAATATATATATATATACTATATTATATATATATATTCTTTTGCCAAGTTCTCTCCAAGAGATTATACGCTACATATATATATATATTCTTTTGCCAGTTCTCTCCAAGAGATATACGCTAATGTGATTAGCGCAGAATATCACTAGTTTTTATTACTGGATTCATGCAAAAATAGAATTTACATGAAATGGACCTACTACTAAACTTCGTTTTCATCTTTGTCCGTCAAGCAGTTTCTACCATGCCTTGTACAACTAGGCTAATTCTACTGTGAACTAGTAATTTTCACAATAGACTGAGAGTGAATGGTTGGCAAATTGAATTGGCAAAAGTTTTGCCACGTCTCCTGCTTCTGTTCTTCATTTTCCGTATATGCTTCGAAAATAGAAATAACAAGGTTTCTTGCTGCTTCTCTTGCCTCAGGCAGCCTATCATTCAACAAATCAGCAGCCATTTGTACAAGGGAAACCAGTCCAAACGCTTTCATTTCTTCCAAGCCCTGAAATAGGCACTATTTGTCAATATCATTTTACCTTACAAGCCAAAATAAGCAAATACCAGCCTGCATCAACCTTGTGAGTTAGCAAAAAAATTACCATATCGGAGACAGATTTGGAGATGCACATGGCAGCTTTGGCCCTGACTCTAAGGTTGGCATGGCTAACACAACCATGGAGCTTATGGAGCAGAGACAGCGGAGTCATGGACCTCACCATTGCATCTAATGCTCTTTCTGCTTCTTCACACACAAACCTTTTATCTTGAGAAGCTTTGAGGAGTAGTTGCAACAGCTGTACACCGACAAGACAAGGCTAATTCATTAACAAAAAAAGCCAAAGAAAAACAGTACAATCAACGAGAAAAAGGAAATAATTGGTCTCACTAAGTTGTCAAATGCATCAGTAGTGAAGTGAAGTAATTCATCTCCAAAAGCATTGAAAATATCAGATGAAGCCATTATTGAGGTCTTACACAAAGCACTTCTTGGGTTCTTCATGGCCTTTACCACCACCAACAATACCTTTTCCCTATACAAACCAGACATTAAGCATACTTCTTTAGCCTGTCCTATCACTAAAAAAAGACTTCATTTTTTCTAAGAAATAGTTCATACAAGATTGGGAGCAAGAGAGAGGAGTGATGAAGCGCAAATCGTCTAGCATTATTCAGCGATTCGCAAACCTTTGTCCAGTCCTTTGAATTTAAGCCTTCAATTAGGCCCTGCAAATTCAGAAAGTCAAGAGTCGGACCAAATACTGTGAAGAAACGAATGCAGAGGAACCCATTTGAGATAGAGCAACACGAGACTTACTTGGATCTTGGATTCAGGGTCTGGTATGGCTTTTAGATTTTCAGAAGATATATAATCGACAGTAGCATCTGCAGAAGCTGGCAGTGGAACCTTATTTTCATCATTTACAAACTCGGCCTGTTTTTGCATCTGAAGGGAAGCTTTTGCTTGCTTTTTGGGTCTTTCCGGTGTTATTGGAAGAGCATTATCAATGGGTCTCAATGCCATTTTTAAATTTTTCTGTAGGGTGGGGAGGTTGCGGACAGACTGAGAATTGATTTGAAGAATTTGATATGCTAAAAGGCGTTATTTACTTATTTATTGGTAGGTCTGCAAGGCAAATAGTCGAGGTATTGTTTTGCCTCTTTTAAAAATTTAAATTTTGAACAAAAGTTCAAAAGAGACGTTACACTTTGCAACGGTCGCCATTTTTTTCTTTTCAGAGGAATATCCAAAGCTGGTAAATCTAACAACAAAATTAAAAAGTCGGTAATGTTTGAATTATTTTTATATCTGATTCATGTTCAACCGCAGTCTTCTTCATGGTTTTGCCTATTGAAACGGTGCGAATGAAGTGTTTAGAAGTAATTTTCAAATTAAAAATAAATTGTTTCCCTGCATTTTTTAAGTTCTTTTTTCTTAATTAATATGAAAAGAAAAGGGATTTGATTTAATTTTTATACCTGTATAGAAACCAATGCTTATAGATTTTGATTTCACCATGAAACAAATATAATAATAAGAGAATATACTTAAAAATAGTATCATTTTTATTTTTAAAAAATACTTTCGCGGGAAAAATGAACAAATAATCTACATATTTAAATTTATCAATTATAATTTTTTTTTTGAATGTAATGTCAATTATAATTTTAAAAACTTAATCATATGAGTCATATATCACTAAATATTGAAATTTCATTGTAAATTATTCTTTTTTATTTTATAGTTTTTAATATTTAAAATTTAATCATTGCATTATTATGAAATTTTTATTTAAGTTTGAAAATTTAATGTTTATAATCTATATTTATCTATATTTTTATATTTATACCTAAATATTATTGTCACTACATCTATATTATATATATATTTATAAATATATCATATTCTTTATCTATTTATATCTCAACTATCTCTTTGCTTAATATTTCATTTCTTTATTTTTTTTAAATGGTTCTTTTTTTCTATATTTTAATTGGACCACTTAATATTTTTTAATTTAAATATTAATACTTATTTATGATAATTATGACTTTGAAAATCTAACTACATTTATTTCCTAGAGAAACTTTTAGTCAACCGAAATAGTTCAACATTTTTAGAAAAATGGTTTTCTATAGAAATGCTGAATCACGTTTATAGAACATCTTATTTATATATCTATATCTGTATATTTATCTATCTATATCTATTTTTATTATATATAAAAATGGAAATAAGGGAGAATAATGGTATTGTCATGCTGTCATTGTGAAATTTAGGCTTACTACGGGATTCGGGGGCCTTAAGCCCACCCAGGTCTTAGTGCAGGTCCGGTCCATGGAAATGGGTCGTAACATTAAGATATCCTAAAATAACTTTAGTCTTAGCTAATTAAAAAATTTTAACCTAAAAATATAATAACTTTAGTCTTAGCTAATTAAAAAATTTTAACCTAAAAATAATATTATAATTTTCTATAATTTGATGGAATGTTTTTTTTTTTGATTTTTTTATAGATAAATATATATAGATAATTAAGCAATTTAAAATTTTAAATTTTTTACTATTATTATCTTTGTTATTGTCTAATTATATTTTATTACATTATATTACTATGTAAATTATTAATAATAATTTATTATTTCTATAATTCAGCTTCAACATTTTTATTTTAAATAATATATGTAAATATGAGACATTTGAAATTTTACATTTTTTTTAGTTTATTTTAAATAAATATATCTAGATATTCAAATTTTGATTTAAAAAAGTATGATTAAAATTTTTTAATTACAAATTAACTCTAATTTGGTTGGCCAAAAATTAAGATAAAAAATCATTATTTTTAAACATCTCAAATTTTATTAATTATATTGATGTCATATATAATTCAAATCCTATTTCTATTAAAAAATATATAATTTTATTAATAATTTTTTAAATGCTTTCATGATTTTAATAGGCTCTAAATAAAAATAAAAATGAAAATTTAAATTTATTATTATTTATAATTTTTAATTTGTAATTTTTTAAATGCTTTCATGATTTTAATAGGCTCTAAATAAAAATAAAAATGAAAATTTATTATTATTTATTAATATTTAATTTGATATATTAGATTGGTTTTTATTCTATTATTAAAATATATTTATTTACTACAAAATATTACAGTGAAAGTTATTAACAAAACATGTAAATTAATTATATAATGATTTTCATAAATCAATTTGATTTTTATTTTTAAAAAAATAAGAGCAATTAACGTATAATAAAAACTGTACGAATCAATACGTAGACATATAACCAAAAAAAAAAAATATTTATGATATCTATAAAGTGTAATGCATTTTAACCACTCAATCTAAATAAGAATTTATACTTTAATAGTATATAAATAAAAAATCAAACGAACACGAAGAATGAGCATATAAAAAGCATAGTCAGCATAGTCAACCTGTCATAAAAAAGGCTAGTAATAATATAGAAACGGTGGCAAAAAATAAAGGCTCAATTGCAAATAATATAATTAGAGGAAGATACTTAATAATGTATATATCACATGTAAAATTATGGATAGCGGATTGTCTTATAAAATAATTGATAATGTATATATCACATGTAAAATTATCATGTAAAATTGGGGGCATGTCCAGTGAAATAATGTACATCAAACCTTAAATCCTCAGTTATTCTACAATCATTTTCCTGTTGCTCCAAATCCTCCATATCCTTGGCTGCTTCATATTGAGCACCTATGGGAAGGGCAATTGACTCCAACAAAATGGAATCAGAAAGCCAGAGAACTGATCGAACTTGCCAAAGCATCCTTTGTACCATGCCCGTATGAGAAATAGTAATGTCAAAAACCAGTATCCCGTACCATTTGCATGAGCATGATAGCAGGTGCAATTCCACAAGCAAGCGAAAAAGAAAATGAAAAAACAAAATTCATGATCACATTGCAAGCATCCTTTGTCAGGAGTAAACAAGAAGATCCAAACTCCACATGCACCCAGATGGGGAGTAAGATCCTTGTACTCGCCTGGCACTAATTTTCTGGAGGTAAATTGGTAAGTTTGACTTACAAGCTTATACCAGCTAGGATGTCATTTGTAGGTATGTGACCGCTGAATTTAACTTGCAGAGATGCTTGCAAAGAGGAAGCTTCAATTCATAACCTGGAGGATTTTTTTAAAATAAGTCATGAATTCAAGCATATATTAAGTAATAACATATATAATCTATTTTCTAAAAAATTATTTATAGGTTGAACACATCAATCTATTTGGTCAAATCATAGCTCGAGGTTCAACACCTAGGTTGTTTAATTAGTTTTTACAAGAGTATTCATCATGCTATCCATCAAAATGCGATATCAACAGTACATTAACAGGACCAGATACCCATGAAAAGGAAAAAGAAACACATTTTACAGTCCTAACAGCCGTGTTTGCAAACCAAATATTCATCAATTAGTCAGGACTAAAGAGAAAATGGCTCAGATGAACCACAAGCAAATGATAAATATTGAAAGCAATTTTTTGATAACTGTATAATCAATAAGATAAGAACATACCTTTGCAGAGAGCAACTATAGCCCCACTGAGGAAACGGATATGTAAATGATAAAGTGAGAAACAGATTATGATATCAAATGCCTTAGCATCGGATAAAATCATGATGATGTTACCAAGATCTTGCAGCATGTTGAGAATTTGCTATTTCCCTTAATACAGCCCCCACAATTGCTGCCTGTTCAAGACAACCAGCTGTATGCAGTGCATCCCCCAGAGCAATACAAGTTTTGGTATGTATATTAAAACCTTTCATCCGAGTTTCCTCGAAAAGCTTATATGCCTCCATTGCTCTGTTTGCATAACTCAATCCTTCTATTATAGCATTATAGCATGCAGAATCAGGCACACCCCCATTTGCCTTAAACCTTTCAAAAAGTGAATTAGCATCTGAAACGTTTCCAGCCTTTGCAAGTCCAGCAATCATAGTAGTGTAAGTAATGGTATTGGGTTTTAACCCTTGCTTTTGCATCTCTTGCCAAAACACAAAGGCCTTGTTAAATTTTCTAATCCTGCAGAGACCATTTATGAGAATGCTATAAGTTATATGATTGGGAGTGCATTTCAAGTTTTTCATGGATTGATAGCAGACAAGGGCTTCATTAGTTTCCTCTGCTTTCACCAATGCATCAAGCAAGCAATTCCATGTGTAGACATTGGGTGTTAAACCTCTTTGCATCAACTCTTCCATGATTAGGTATGCCTCATCAATTCTACCCACTTTTCCAAACCCATCAATGAGACTGCTATAGATAACAACGTTTAACTCTATGCCATTAGACTTGGCTTCTTCAAAGAGCATGTATGCTTCATCAAGCCTATCAATTTTGGCAAGCCCATCAATCACAGAACCATAGGTGACTACAGTTGGTTGGTGGCCCTTTGTTTTCATTTCCTCCAGCAGCTGATAAGCTTTATTCACCTTACCTGACTTGCAGAACCCATCAATAACAGTGTTGTAAGCACGGGTGTCCAGAATACAACCCTGGTCTTTCATTGCATAGAACAACTCATAAGTTTCACGTGCAAAACCAGCCTTCACTAGGCCATGAATTAGGATAGAATAACTTCGAACATCTGGAATGAATCCTCGAGCTTTTATTTCCTCAAACAAAGCCCTTCCTTTCTCAGTTTCACCAGCTTTGAAAACACAATCCATGTAGGTATTAAGAAGCATGAGATCAGGAGAACAACCTCCACGGAGCATTTCCTTGTATATCTTGTGACCATCCTCCTGCCGGCCACACCTGAAGAAGTTTCTAATGAGGGATGTATACACAATTGGACTTGGGATTCTATCAGAATCCAACATCTGTTCATAAAGCCTGTAGGCATCATCTAACCTACCTTGTTTGCCCAAACCATCTATAAGCGAACAGAAAGTAACCTCATTTGGTGTGCAAACATTATGATCCATTCCTTCAAATATAGAACAGGCCTCATCAAGTTTGTTAGCTTTACATAGTCTGTCAATCATTATGTTTACAGTCATGACATTAGGAAATAAACCAGCTTTTCCCATTGCATCACGAACCTTGAAAGCATCCTCAACTTGTCCTGCTTTGCATAGCATGTCTATTAGAAGATTATATGTTACATAATTGGGAACCGCATCTTTCTTCATCTCCTCAAAGATTCTTGATGCCTCCTCTAATCTTCCCATCCTCCCAAGGGATGTCAGTATGCAATTGTATGCAATCACACTTGGAATGCACCCCTTTGCCTTTTGTCTCTCAAGTAAACCATATGCCTCATCAAACTTCCCAGCTGATCCATAACCCATAATCAATGTGTTGTAAGCATACGCACAAGGAACTTTTCTGTTTTCTTCCATCTGCTCAAATATTTCCACAGCTTCATCCAGTCGGTTTGCTTTGCAAAGAACACCTATCATGCTGGTATAAGTAACGTCATCAGGCAACAAACCATTTGCTTTCATCTCATGAAAGAATTTCCAGGCCATATCCACTTTACCCACCTTACCAAAGCAATCTATACAGACATTATATAGAACAATGTCAGCATCAAAACAATTGCTTCTCATCTCATCCAACAAGGAGAGAGCAGCATCAAGACGACCCTCCTTGGCAAATACACGAATCACAGTTGTAAACAAATGTATACTTAATTCATAACCTAGTTCCTGCATTTGATGAAAAAGAGTAAGCATAAGGTCAGACTCATGAGCTCCAGCTAAAGCACCAATCAAAGTCGTATAAGCTGAAAATGCAGGGCGAAATTTGAATTTCCTCATGCATTGAAGAAGATCGAAAGCTTCTCTGAGCTTCTGCGACTTGACACAGCTCAAAATTAACTCAATGCACGTGTTAGTCGATGGGCCAAATCCAGCGATACTCATTTCTCCTAGAATTTGTTCGAAATATTCAAACTTTCTCGTTTTAGCCATTACCATTATAAGTGAATTGTATGCCTCTGGACATAGTGCCTGGTCAGTTTTTTTCTCAGCCCATCGAAAATAATTTACTGCTTGATTAACATCCTTCAGCCTCCTTAAGACTCGAATAACACATTCTGGTTTAGGACTTTCATCAAGCATGGACAAAGCATTCTCAACATCGGGTCCCCAAGTACCACCTTCCAAAATACGGCATACACCATCCACTTCTTTCTTTACGCTGTCAATACTTCTCCAGTTTTCTTGACTATTCCTATCCATAAACGAAGAGAATTTCCCACCCAATTCAGAAGAAGAAGGGCCATTAGATAAAGAAACCAAATTCCTCGAATTGGTAAATATGTACAAGCACTTCGAATCACACCTCAATATTGCTCCTGAAAGAGAAATTTAAGTTGATACAGTTAGAATTTTGAGCTCATCAGAAAATGGAACAAGAAGCAGCAGCGCCCGGTTTACCTGGATTCCTCAAGATCATCTTCATATATGCATCTCTGTCCAGCAGCTATGCCTTTTATCTTCCAGATCTGTCCTGAGTTTTAGGGTTTAGGGTTTAAGAGTATGCATGTGAGTTGAACACGAGAGAGTAAACCAGAGACGAAGAAGACGACGGGAATCCAAAACCGTACCGTGCAATATCACAAATTATTCACTTATTGATCGTCAACTAAAAATTGATGCCTCGCTTTCTTAAAAATATTACAATATATAAAAAATGAAAAAGTTCACTTAATTTATACCCTGTTAAAACGCGCCGTTTCTTCCAATTTTATAGTCTTGAAAACGCTGCGTTTTTATCTGCGACTTTTGTGTGTCTAATGTCCCGTACAAATCAGAGTCTGCCTGATGATGGATTAATTTTAACGGCATTTCCAAATACACACTCATAAAAGCTTTTTTCTGCTTTACAATGGCTTCTCCTCTACTTTGATCGCAACTCTCTTTACTCAGAACAGCAAAAGAACCTCAAATTCTAACAATGGAAGGTCAATATGCACAGCAACCTCGCACTTATGGACCGCACCAGATGAAAATGACGATTCAGCCCTCGCAGCACTCTGACAATGACCGGAGCAGTAGCGAGCTCCGTGCACTAGATTGTAATCTCTCTTCCCTCTGTGACCACATCCAGATGGAGGGCTTTAATTCCGGCTCCTTCTCCGATGTCGTCGTTCACGCTATGGGCTCCACCTACCACCTCCATCGTCTCATCCTCTCTCGCAGTTCATATTTCAGGTTCTAAATTTATCTCTTAATTTGATCGATTCATTGAAGATATAAATTTCATAGTTACTTGAATGTGGATTGTGCCTGTGGAATAATTTCATTTTATTAAGTTACTAATTAGTGAGAGAGACTCTGTCGTTTTAATAATGTGTTTGTTAGGAACATGCTACATGGTCCTTGGAAAGAAGCTAGTTCTCCTGTTGTGAACTTGCATGTGGATGATAAGAATGTTAATGGGGAGGCAATAACTATGGCTTTGGCTTATCTTTATGGGCATCACCCCAAGTTTAATGATAACAACGCGTTTCGTGTCTTGGCTGCTGCTTCCTTTCTTGACCTTCAGGTATCACATTACTGGTTCCCAGATTCTTGAGTCTGATTCTTAAGTATCATTCTTTATGTTTTGATTGCAATGCAGGATTTGTGTGCTATATGCACAGACTTCATTATATCTGAACTGTGGACTTCTAACTTCTTGGCATATCAGGTTAAGTTGGATTTTTGCTACTTCTTTATGCACCAGTATATGGTGCTTCCATAGTTTCAGATACTGAGGAATCTTTTTGCAAGTCAGGTATTTGCAGAGAGCCAAGATTATGGTTTACATGGAGAGCGTGTAAGAAATGCTTGCTGGGGCTACCTTTGTCAGAGTGGTGCCATGGAATTGAAAGAGGTAAAAGTCGAAGTAATTAATATTTAATTACATGTATGCATTGTGGGTTTCAGCGGTTATTGCCCTTTTTATCTTTGAAGATTACTTCCTCTCTGTTTTAGGGAAGGAAGATATAATTTATGGCAATGCAATATAAAATATAAATAGAATCAGACAAAGTTCATAACTCCTGAATTTATCAACAATGCAAGTATAATAGATTATGGTTCACACCAGAAGCATTGAGATTTCCATTCATTGTTTGTTAGAATCAACATCATCAAATGCCACAGGGATTACTGATTAGATATACTCAGTAATACCTTTGTGAATCTTCTTATGAAACCACTATGATTTCATGCTGCTGTGAAAATTCATAAGTGTTGCAGTATTGAGTATTAATGTTCAAATCATAGAGAACCTACAAAAATAAGAGAAGTCATTATAAATGATTCATCATTCTCAGAAACTTTGTTGATTATGATTTTAAGTTTTGAGGAACACATTTTGTCTTTTTTTTTTCCCCTCTGTTAAAACATGTCTTCTCAGAATTTTAGAATTTGTGAAAATGTTATAGTGAATGTTCTTTTTTGTTGCATGATTTATTAACATTTCAATCTAGTGTACTTCTCAGTGGATTGTACTAAAATTTCAACTTAGCTTGCTTAATTTTTGTCCATTTTGTGGAAATTTCCAGTTTATGATGCAACTACAATCTTTTAACACAACTGCAGTTCGATCCTGTTTTTAAACTGTGTTATTTTTCAAAGATTTCAATTTATTCATGTGATCATCTTTTGACATTTGGTCAACCATCTTTTTGAATTATTTATCCTTTCATTTTGATAGGTGCTTCCCAAGCTTTCTTCTCAAACTCTGCATGCATTACTGACCTCAGATGAATTATGGGTACCTAGTGAAGAGAAACGGTAAGAGGTGTAGGTTGGGTTGCTGCAGAATTGGGTTTACTGGACACTGGTTGAAGTCTTGATTAGGTTGGATAATCCATGTTTTCTTTTCTGTTAAAAGGTTTGAATTGGCACTATACACACTTCTTGCAAAAGGTGCTCTTTGCAAGACAGAACATGCTGAGCAAGGAAATTCTACTCCAGAGATGGATGTGGGTATTCATTCTGACTCCTCCAAAGCAAAAGGAAAAAATTTGGTCGATAATTGCCCTAGAAAGAGGACAGAATCAGAGCTAGGACAATGTTTAAAAGATGAGCTAAAAGGCCAAAGCATGATTCATGGTCATATGGTTGAACTTATTGATTCCATGGATGACTACCAAGTAGTAGTTTCTGATTCCAAACAGCCAAATTTGGACACTGTACATCCTCATGGTGTGGAACAATCTTCATCATTGTGTAGCAAGTTCTCAGAAATGAATGGAAATAGAACCTCATGTTGTTATGGTGAAATGCCAATCGGTGTTGGAGCAAGTGGACTAGGGACCAGTGGGTTGGCCGTGGAGGGGCCATCTGAAGCAGGCTCATACAATTTGAATAACAACAATTGGGTTTCAGGTGATCAATCTAGGCATTGCACATCAATGGAACAGTCTTGCGATGGAATCATACTCAATGATTGGGGAAGATGCAGTGTGACTCCTCTTTCATGGGGCGGAAGAGTTGTGGGAAGAAGACAGGTAAAAAGTTATGCTAAAGGGAATTTTGTGGTCCATGGCGAGGACTATGATACTTTTGTCAATATATTTGAAGGGGGTTCACTTTTATATTGTAACATGTCTTTTGAGGCACTTTTGAATGTGAGAAAACAGCTTGAAGAATTGGGTCTTCCTTGCAAAGCTGTGAATGATGGTCTTTGGCTTCAGGTTTGTTATTGAAATCTGTTTGCTTCTAATATTTTTGTTTCTTCACCATATATTGAAAGTTTACCTGTGTATAACAAAGATATTGAGAAATGGTCAATTTTTCTTCTTTTATCTCACTAATTGAGTCATTCGCTTGGTTCTCAGACTGAATTTCGGAAGTCATGTGGTCACCTCATCCCTAACCATCTGGCCTATCGCAGTTTCTTTAAATAGACAATTTTTGGTTCAATCTAGAAAATCAGTACTGGTTGATAATACACCTAAATCTGTCCTTTCTCTCTGTCAATTGGAAGATGTAAAATTTACATATTTTCTGTCTTGATTAAAGCATTTGTTTTCTCATGAGCCACTGTCTTTACTTGTGGCTTTTATTATTGATTTTTAAAGTTTTTCATTTGTTTATTACATAGATGCTTTTAAGTCAAAGGGTGCAAGAAATTGGTTTAGATACCTGTAAAGTTTGCTGCTTTGCAAGTATGGCATGCACTTGCAGGCAACCATTTGGCTTTTCACAAGGAGTTACCACAACAGGTTATTACATGCAAGAGCATGAGCACAATAATTCTCCTGGTAGCACAGGAAATATATATGTTGCTGATTCTGCTCAAGGTGAGGGTAGTGGCCTACTTAGACCAGTACGAGTGCATGTTAGGGGACCTATTGATGGTCTTGCTGGTATTGGACGTGGAACTACATTTGTTCCAACTGCTGCATGGCCTCCTACACGTTTTGTCTTTTCCCGTGTGCCCTTTAATATTGGCAACAGAAATTGCCAGCAATCTATTGCTAATGAAGATTCAGAGAGTAGAACTGATCACAATGGAGATCTATCAGTAGACGGGTTGACTGCCGCTTTGGTTGGTTTAAGCCAAGGAGTTAGCAACACCACAAATGTTCATGGAGAGCATACGGAGAGAGGGTATGAGACTGAACTGCAAGGAAGATTGTCTGGAATGTCTATTTCAGCACCAAGTACAAGTGGTATTGCCGTCCAGATGCTTGATTCACCAGAACACGCTATTGGAATTGACTGGGAGAACACAAACAGTTCCTCTATATCTTTAGATATGAAAACCCCTTTAAGCCATTTTCCTCCATTCCGTTTTGGGTAAGTTATGTATTTTTTCTATGGCTATTTATGCATATTTCTTAGCGTTAGTAATTTGTTTCTGGAAAGACACCATGTTGGGAAGCTTCTGCCAACTGTCTGGAGATGTACTGAATCCTTTTGGCCACTACCACCTGGATTTTTCAAATGAACTATACAACTGGAGGTAGATCTCCTCTTTCCAATAAATTCCCTGTCCCACCTAGAATTTGAACCGAAGACCCTCTGGTGAAATTTGAAGTCTTGATAGGGACCCACCCCAAGGAATTGAACATCATTCTTTATTGCTCATTTCTTTTTCTTGAATTGCCAGTTCATTTTATTGTATTAGTTGTGTACACAAAAAAAAAAAAAATAAATAAATCTTGTTGGCAACCATTTCTCTCAATTCCCTTTGAAAATGAATGTTGTAAAATGAAAGACATTGAAAATGAAGTCCTTTGACCTGACATATGGCATATCAGAAAGTCTTGCTCAACTTCATCTGCTAGTCTTAAAGAGGGGTTGTCATGATTTTGGCCTATCCTCATAGTTTCGATGACAGTTCCACTTCTGCAACATCATTTTCTTTTCTCTCTCTCTCTCTCTCTCTCTCTCTCTCTCTCTCTCTCTCCTCTCTCTCTCTCTCTCATCTATATATATATATATATATATATATATATATATTTAATGATTGGTTTCCTTACTTTTTTGCCATTTTTTTGTTCTGAATTGGCATATATATATTTAATGATTGGTTTTCCCTTACTTTTTTGCCATTTTTTTGTCTGAATTGGCTATGGCACGACAGGGTTGAATTTGAGGATGTGCACAGGCTCAGTGATGGCCAAGTCAAGCACTCTCCAGAATATTTTTATGCTGGTTCTTTGTGGAAGGTATCTGAAATATCAAAAACTACATCCAGCATGTGGAAGTTTCTAAATGTCTATGAGGCTTTGTTTTTTCACTTTTTATTGTTTTTGTTTTGGGTAAACTTTACACGATCTGTCTGATTTTTTAGGTTAGTGTTCAGGCGTTTAACGATGAAGATCCTCAAGGACGCAGGACCCTTGGTAATATTTTATTGACTATAAACTATTACTTTTGGCTACATGCTACTCTATGTTTATCAGGGTGAAAAAATAAATTATTTTCCATTAATCCAATCGTATAAACGTCTTGAAACTTTTCAGGATTGTTTCTTCACCGACGCAAGGCAGAGATTACTGACTCGCTTAGAAAGGTTAGTATTACCCATAGCAAATCAAAGTCTTAGGTGGTCTGTTCGATCAATTATGGAAATATATTCTTTCTTATTCTTTTTGCAGTTCTTTCAGCTTCAATTTTTTTATGACATCTTTCATGTTTTGTACTTTTCTTTGTCATTGTCGTATCCCCTTAGGAAACTGCCTGAGTATTTTAACTTTTTACTTATAATTAAAGTTTTCAATTGGCACTCAAGACGAACACTACTTGTTTTCAGGTCCATATGTATGTGGACTCTCGTGAAAAGGTCACTGCTCGTTATCAGGTGAACTTACAACTGAACAAACTGTTGTCAACATAATTATATGCATATTGGTAATGCAATAATATGCGGTAATAACGAGGGATTTGCAATGCTTTCATTTTTCAGCTCATATGCCCATCAAAGAGAGAAGTTATGGTGTTTGGAAGCTTTAAACAGCGGGGAACTCTTTTACCGAAAGCTCCTAAGGGATGGGGCTGGCGTACTGCTTTGCTATTTGATGAGCTTGCGGAACTTCTCCAAAATGGGACTTTGCGAGTGGCTGCTGTAGTGCAGCTTGTGTAAATTTTAAAAGGTATACCCAAGTTCTCTGCAGGGAAAAGTGGCACCTGAGTTCTTAGCAGCTATAAGAAGGTTGATTCTCTAAAGCAAGTTCAAATTGGTCTCCAGTGCTGTTTCAGATGTAAACCATGGAGTACCCTTGCATTCATTGCTTCCTATTCCTAAAAATTTTATTGATATATTCTGAGTCGCATCATGCAATGCCATTTTTAATTATAGAAGATGCTCTGCTACCAGGGATCAAGCTGAACTGAACTGAATGGTTGAGCTCTGGTGGTTGGATTTTCAAGAGAGGAGGCCTTACTGACATTTTTAGTTTCCATCGTGTGTATTTATTATAGAAACAAAATATATGTGAATAGATTATGTTCTGCATATATCAAAGCCATCACTGGTTCTGCAAGCTTACATAGTGTTGGACTGTGTATTGTCTCTGTTTTATGAAAATGTTCACAGTTTATGACAATGTGTAGACGGAGCTCAACACAAACGCGAAATTCACTCACTGTTTGCAGAAATTGGAACCGTCGAGTGTCGCCTTAAGTTTGAAACCATTGCTGTAATATAAATAGAGAAAATTATGATTTTGTTCTTATATTTTTTGAAATATATCATTTCGTATTTATTTTTTCCTTCTGTTACACTATCCTTATGCTAATACCTTTATACGGTCAAAATCAACTATTTTATATATACTTATCAAAATTAATTAAGGTCTTTATATTTAACTGAAAAAGTACAAAAAGATAAAATAGTGCAATAAAGATAAAAGATAGAGAGGAAAACAATGAATGTTTTAAAATATAAGGGCTTCTTGTATATTATAGCAAAATAAAATAATAAATTCGTGATTTTCTCTATAAAATATGACAAGAAACAATTTTTAGATAAAATTATCTTCTTCTAATCCAAAAAAAATTTGTAGCCACGTCATGCTGATTGGATATCGTATGTTACATTAATTAATTAATTTAACCGAAAAAAGTGATTGTCTTTTGTCGTTTATTTTTGGATGCGTAGCCTCTCCGAGAACGATATTTGTGTCTACCTGGAAAGGTAAGTTGCCAGTGATTTTGTTGAGAGGTTGTCGTTACATTGATCAAGGGAAAAGTGCCTGCCTCCAATTATTTCTAAAGATTCGCCTTCCGCCTGTTCTGACAAAACGACACGTCGTCTTCAGTTGGGTCGTTCACTCGGATAGGCTGGAAAGTTGCCAAAAACTCGTAAACGTCTTGCTTCGACGACTGTCGTCTAAAATCATTTAAGAACAGTATAAATGTGTGGTTGTTTGGCCTTTTTCATTTGACGCGTCTCTCCCTCCCAATCTTCAATCATCTCTCAACCAGTAAAGGAAAAAGCAAAAAAAAAAAAAAAAAAAAAACCTCCCAACCTCAATCATCTCTCAACCAGTAAAGGAAAAGCAAAAAAAAAAAAAAAAAAGAAAAAGAAATGCAATCTCTCTGAAATGCAGAAATCTCAATTGAAACCAAACCCCTAATCTTCTACGTCTTTTCTCAATCTGTCCAAGGCCGAGGCTGGGCCGATGAATGATTGATTTCCTCTACACATATCAAGTAAAAAAAAAAAAAAAAAAAAAAAAAGAAAAAGAAATGCAATCTCTGAAATGCAGAAAATCTCAATTGAAACCAAAACCCTAATCTCTAGTCTTTCTCAATCTGTCCCAAAGGCCGAGGCTGGGCCGATGAATGATGATTTCCTCTACACATATCAAGTAGAAAGATTTAAATCGGTGAGTTATGCTGCCTTCTAATGCGCTTCCCGGGAATGCTGTGCAAATTTAATTTCTCTTTGATTTGTACATGAATTGCAATAGTGATTATTATTGGGTAGAGATAGAGTTAGTTTCTCTCTCACTTGAGCAATGAAGAATTTTTGGCTCATTTTTACTGGTATCCGTGAAGTTTTGACATGCTAATTTCCGCCTGCTTTTGGTATTACGATGCTCACGAGCCAATTGTTTATGTCCTGCTCATGGTTTGATCACTATCATTTGCTTCTGGGTTGTCTATCATTGTGCTGGAAATGGATGTTTGATTTGTGATGGTAGAAAATTTATTTTCATTGCAGATGGGAAAGAACAAGCAAGGTCAGGAAAATGAAAATAGAGCTACTAAGGCTGTATGGAATAAGGAGATGGTGCATATATTTTGTGATATTTGTATTCGAGCCTTCCAAATGGGCATGCGACCTGGAACTCACTTTACAAAGCAAGGATGGAAGTATATAATTAAACACTTCCAGAAGGAGAGTGGACAAAATTTTAGCAAAAAACAATTGAAAAACAAGTGGGATGGAAGTAAAAAGGAATGGAAACTTTGGAAAGCTTTGATAAGCGAAGAAACTGAAATTGGTTGGGATCCAAAGAAACAAACTCTTGAAGCCTCTGATTCTTGGTGGGATGAAAAGATTAAGGTTAGTTTTGATTCATGGATCATGATGTTATGGATTATGATCATGCATGTGCAATCTCTTTTGTAATTTTGGGATTCACTTTTTTTCCATTTTTTTTGTTTTTTATTTTCTTTAATAATGTAGGCTATGCCAGCAGCTAAAAAGTTCCAAAATGCGGGTATTGAACCTGAACTTTGTGCAAAATATGATGTCATGTTCATGGATACAGGGGCTACTGGAAATTGTGCTTCAACTCATTCAATAGTTGTTCTGCAAAATGATAAGGATGGCAATGATGAATCACCTAGTAATAATGTTATGCCATCGGAATCAGATAAGGATGGCAATGAAGAGTCACCCAGTAGTAATGACATGCAGTTGGAAGGGAGTGGCTATTCAAGAAGTGAACCTAATTTTGTTGATAGTTTGGAGCAAATTATGGATGGTGCAAATATGTCATCAGCAATGTTGGATGGTGCTAATGTTTCATCCGCTCTACCTACTCAATGCATACAAGCCACTTTAGACCAAGATGCCATGTTGCTCGAGGGGCAAAGGAAAGAGAGAAAACAGAGAAGGAATGATGAGTTTGATATACAAGTTGATATGACTAAGAAACTCAAACTCGGGAGGAGGCAATTGGAAGGATTAGCAAAGTTATCTCAGCAAATTAACAGATTGATGGCCACCGTCGAAAGTAGTAGTGTAACTTCCAAGAGAACTGATCTACCAGGATGTAGCATACCTGAGGTTTTAGCTGACCTACATTCTATGCCAGAGATTGTGAAAGGCAGTGAACTTCATTTATTTGCTACAGACTTGTTTCTATCCAGGGCAAAGAGAGAGGTTTATGCTTCCTTAGGGGAGTCGGATGTCAAATTAACTTGGCTAAAGTATCAACATGCAAAGTCCTCTTGATATATAGCTTGACTGTAGGTTGTCCTGTGCAGAAATCTTTATTGTTTCCTTAACTCCTGGCGTGAAATTTAGAGCTACATCATTTTTTAACATTTTTGGTGTCTTTTGCGTATAATTGTTTTTCAGATAGAATGAATTAATAATATATTTTCTTTGTTTTATGTCATTTATTCCTCTGTGTTTTGCCTTCATAGAGGCATACTATTTATCAGATAGCAAAGATGATAAAACTTTATGCTTTTTTGATACTTCTGGCTCTATAGCGCTGTTGTTGGAACTTAGAAGAGCATTCAAGTTCAGTTTTCTCTCGTGGTTTCTCTAGTAGATAAACCAAAAGAAAATGGAATTCTTATCCATAGCGCTTTCAACCTGATGGAACTTGAAAATGCATGGGACTTCACTTGATATGCCACATATATTTGTACTTCTGACGAAATCCGAGGTAGGAGTTATGAAAAGCGGAAAATGAGCGACTGACAGGACTAATCTGTCGTTCGCTGGAGGATAATAATCGCACTCGTTGTTCATTGATTTCGTTGTTGCTAAAAGCGATGTCACATAAAAGAGGCCCAACGACAGTACGTATTGAATTCTGTCGTTCGCGCAATAGAACTAGTCGTTAGAAGTTAAAAGTAGTATGTGGGATAGAAATACATCTCTTTTATGTATTCTAAAGCCATAAATATAATAACACTATTATTATATATCATCATACTGCTGTGAAATATTGATACTTTAATTTTACAATATCATCACATTGGATATTTTTTTAATATATTAATTATATTGAAATTATTAATTATATATGTTAATGCCATCCAAAATTACAAATTAATAACAGGTATCAGGTTAGATACCACCCAAGGCGTTTGTCTGGTGGGCGGTGATCCGGTGGTGAAAACCTTATCATCCACATGCTTGATGAAGGTTCCATATGTTTAAATATTGACTCTACGGGTTCTTGGGGTTTTGCTGCCATAGGTTGAGGACGGCAACACCTGACCAATAAGAACAAAAAAACGAAAGGGTTAGACCGGAAAAGTGTTATTGAATCACTTTTGTGCCAGGAACCCAAAAAAAAGTCCCCCCGAACTCAATTCCCCGAAACTACCCGTCAGACTGCAATTGTTATTTATTTTCCTTTCCTTTTAGTTAGTTTTAGATCTCCAGTCTTTATTTTCCTTCTTTGGCTTGTAATTTCAAATTTTTTATTTCACATTCGTCACTGTTATTTCAATTCAGCTTTCTAATTTCGATCTTTTACTCTCTCAAAAATCAAAATCATGCCACCTCCTCTGCGTTTCCTACTATCATCACCATTTTTACTTTTCTCTTTTAGCATGCAAAAACCCTAATTTTCCGTCTGAATTGCTTTTGTAGGGTTTCTCTCCCAGCAGAAATCCCTTATTATCATAATTGCTTTTATGATTATTACAAAAAAAATGCTTTATGTAGATGGATTTTGAATTTTTAAAATTTTTAGGGTTTTTAAGCTTTGGATTTCAACAATGGGTGCCTTAACCAGCAATAGCAAGCGAGACCCGTATTCAAATGCTCCGGACTTTCACATTTCAAAAAAGCCTAGATTGTCGTCGTTCATGCATCAAGCTCCGAATCAAACCCTAGGATCCTCCAACAACACAGTCTCCAGAATCTCCCGGTATCCGGAAACGACCTCAAAGTTTCGCCGGGAGGTTCATGCGCCTTGTAGAATACTCAAATTTGGGATTTCCAGGTCAAAAGATATTGAGTACAGTGAAAAAAATAAATCCAGTACCGCAGAAATGGGGAATTTCTTGAGTAAACAGCTGGATTTCGCCAAGAGAAGCGCACTTGGTGCTTTTAGATATTTGATTAAAGAGAAGGAAGTCATTGATGTTGATAACGAGCTCGAAAAGTCTGGAAAGGAGGTTGTATCGGACGATTCTAGCATCCAGGAAGTTGAGGCTATTGAAGAAGATGGAAGAGAAGATAGGTCTATGGTTTTTGACCGGAGGTCGGGTGAGGGAGTTGTAGATGTTAAGATTGTGGAGGAGAGATCCGTGGTCACTGTGGATGGGAACATCGGGCTGCAATATGCGAGTAAAATGTTGGATTCATTAACATTGAATAATGAGGTAGTTGTATCCAGTGTTGAGGCGTATAAGAAGTTGTTGGGGATGGCCGAGAGGAGAGATGGGCGATTGAAAGAATTGGATTTCCAAATTGAGTTGAATGAAAAGAAGCTCAGTTTTTACCAGTCAATACGGCCAGTAAAGAAACCGGAAGTGCAGGTAAGGTTTTATTTTTTATTTTTTTATTTTATTCACTTTTTTGGTGATGCATCGAATTATGTATTTAGGCATGTTCCATCGCTCCCTCTTTGTACAGGAAGTATTTTTCTAATTGTAGGATTAGAGCCGTATTCTAGTAAACTTGTTAAGAGCTTTCCAATTGTTATTATACAAGGGAGGAAGAGATTTGAGATGTTTTCAAGTATTAAAAGGGTATAAATTGATTTACAGGAGATACCTGATGAACCTTTTATTCCTCTTACAGAGGAGGAAGAGTATGATATCAAACGTGCATTGTCAGCCAACAATAGGTATGTTTTGATCAATATGATTTTTCGAGAGTTCAATGGTTGCTACGATGTTATAACATTATTAGGTTCATTTTTCTGCAGGAGGAGGATACTGGTCACACACAAGAATTCAAACATTGATATTACTGGAGAAATTTTGCAGTGCCTTGCCCCAGGTGCATGGTTGAATGATGAGGTGACATTTTTGGGTTCCTAGTTTTTGTAGTGTACAGTTCTATTTATGTAGCATTTAAAAGGGACTAATGTGTTTCAGTCAGCTTGTAGTATGATTTGTTGATGCGTTTGAACTTTGTTTTGAAGGTCATAAATTTATACTTTGAGTTGCTCAAAGAAAGAGAAAAGAGAGAGCCAGAGAAGTTTCTGAAATGCCATTTCTTCAACACTTTTTTCTACAAAAAGGTTGGTTGATTATTCATTTTTTTTTTGTAATATTTTAAAAATGATTCTTATACTCGTGAAAAAAGAACTTTTTGTTTCCTGTCATATTAAAAATATTTCTCTTGGAAACTTGAGTTCTTGCACAATCTTCTATTCTTAGTTGTCAAATGAATTTGAGATGCCCTTAAATTTGTTCCTTTTCTTCTCCGTTCTCCTACATATGTTTCATTTTTTTCGTTGTTTTAAATCAAACAGTGCAAATGACTACTTTTTTTTTCTTGTTGTCAACCTCTATGATTTATAATAGACACACACACACTCAAACACATATATTTTCTTTTTTCAGATGATATAACACACTAGTCTTGATTTTTCCGAGCAAGCAAATTGCATAAAAGATTTAGAACTTGAATTTTTTTATTTTCCAAAAGTTCTTGTAACACTTGTCATTTTTGAGCTTGTTGAACCTTTTTCTTCTAACCTAAATTTAATTGAATGTCCAGTTAGCAGGTGGGGATAAGAAGATCTATGATTATAAAGCCGTCAGAAGATGGACTACAGAGAGGAAGTTGGGATATTTTCTGATTGACTGTGATAAAGTAAGATGAAGCACCTTCTTTTTAATTGTTGTATCATGAATTTCCTTTAATGGAATTTGGGAGTCATGCTGACTTGATTTTGATATTGTGCTCAGATTTTTGTCCCTGTTCATAGAGAGATACATTGGTGTTTAGCAATTATAAATAAAAGGGATCAAAAGTTCCAATATCTTGATTCTCTCAAAGGAAGGGACCTCAGAGTGCTGGAAAATCTGGTATACTTTTTGGTTTTTACTTCTAATCTCAAATAGCAGTTAGCAGATTCGAATTATGCCCTCTCACATTTATGCATTTTTAGGAAGTTAGGTCGTGTGAAAATATCAGTTAATGACTAAGATCTCTCACTTATAGAAAGGACATTAGCAAATCAAAACATCCTATGAGATCTTGTCTGTTTCCATTTCACATTTCAGTCTACAATAGTTTCTCATAATTTAAGAGTCAGTGATCTTTCCAAATCAAGTATTTTACTATCGTAATTCACAACTTCCAATGTATGTGCTATTCACAAGTTTGATTGATTTTCCACCTCCATAAAATGCCCAAGAAGTTTGTCAGTGATAAATAAGAGTTTGTATGAAAGGATTAATAGTTGTAGATGTTATGCCCATGGATATTAAATGCAATAAAGTTTTAAAGCTTGTGGGATTTCTCAAATCATTACAGATTGCCAGGTTAAAAGCACTTCAATTTACCTTTTCCTGGTAATGAATGGCGTTGTATGTATCCATTTTTGTATGGTGGGATATAATCATAGAGAGATTGCATTGTGCATTTGTCGTCTTACACTTCTGTGGCCTTACATCCTGATTTGTATCATTGGGACATGAAATTTATGTATAAATAATAGGGGAAAAAAGAAAGAAAAAAAAGAAACGAAGTGAATAAACAGCTCAAAGAAAAGATTTACTCATCCGCTGCTTCAAAATTTTTCTAATGTCGAACATTGATGTCTGCCAGGCCAAATACTATGTTGAAGAAGTAAAGGACAAGAGTAAAAAAGACATCGATGTAAGTAATTGGGAACGTGAATTCCTTGAAGACCTTCCTGAACAGCAGAATGGGTATGCATCCTCTTGTTTTGGGACTGTAACAAGAAACGTTAGTCTGTGATAGGTCTGAGAGTTTCTGTTGGTTGAAGCATATTTTGCAATGAAGGATATAAAAGATATATTTTTATAGAAGTTGATAATTATAAATGCAGTATTTTTTTTTTCCATTGGCTTTTAAGTTGAATTTTACTGATTCAATTTTATTTTTATAACAGGTATGACTGCGGTGTTTTCATGATCAAATATGCAGATTTTTATAGCAGAGGTATTGGGCTTTGCTTTAACCAGGTGAGAAACGTATAAGGGGATTTTCAATTTCTCAAGCATGATAAGCTGGTGAAATTGCTGGTTCTTTTATTTTTTTTTACGCAAAAATATTTGCATTAGGTTTGTAATTTGTAGCAGCACTTGCATTAATTGAAGATATAAACATGTAGAACTGAAAGGGCTTATGTACATCTGTCTGAGCATATACACAAGGAGAAAGAACATACAATACGTACTGATTTATAAGTATTGACTACCATTTCTTTAATAACCACATGGTTAACTTTTCTTATCGCTTTATCCATGTTTTTCCTGACAATAACCCCTATTCATGTTAAAGTCAATGGATTTAATGGTAAATTTGATGTTCAGTTCTAATGGAGCATCCAATGCCCCTGTTATAATGTGATGTTGTTTCTCTCTTGTTCTGATGCGTCCGTGTCATACTTCTGGTCAGATTGCTGAAAAAGCTTTTGCATAATAAACTCCGTAGCTTAATCAATATCATTTCACAACTGAATCAATTTATCTTGAAACACAGTAGTAATGTTGATTTTAACTCAAATCTCCATTTCTTTTTCCCATTTTTAAGGATCATATGCCCTATTTTCGGATGAGAACTGCCAAGGAGATTCTAAGACTGAGAGCTGACTGATTGGAGGAGTGATCTGTTAGTATGAATTTTGTTTAGCAATTCTGCAAAGAGCAGATCTGCCCTAAGATTGCAAAGTACTTTGTGCTTTTTTGTGAATGGAGAACCTTTCGACATTGTTCAACATCTATGGTAAAGCAATTTTGTCTAGTTGGATTAATTGATCAAAGATTGTTCCCGCAATTGTGCGACTGGTACAGAATTCATAGCAAAAAAAAAAAAAAAATGCAGGAACTGTGGCTGGCACAATACTGATGCACGCTGGGTTTTGAATATATTTTCCCTTTTTTTTTTTTTTTTGGGTTGAGTTTTTGTTTGTAATTTAGCACATAAAAAACAAGTGATTTTCTTACCTATTTTTTAAATCTTGACTACTTCCACCATTTTAATTCGTGGGCATCTGATATGAGCTGTAGCCTGATTGCTTGGCGAATGGAATAGTAATCAAACATGGCAGTTTAATTGTTTCTACTTTCAAATGGATTCCATACAAATGTTCATGCTAATTTTTTGTTTAGCCCCTCAGAAAGTAAAATTGTTAAATGAGCTGATCATTTGGATAGCTAATATGATTCAATGATTCTTATAAATTCTTCAGTAAAAAATGGAGGAAAAAGAATAATGCCGTGCATTTAAATAAAGGCAACCCCAACAATTGGAGATTTTAATGCACAGGAACATTGAAGTAAAAATAATTTCACAATACGATTTACATAACATATATTTCACATTGTTATTCTTTTTTTTTTTTTTTTTTTTTTTTTTTTTTTGTTTTAGCCCCTCAGAAAGTAATTGTTAAATGAAGCTGATCATTTGGATAAGCTAATATGATTCATGATTCCTTATAAATCTTCAGTAAAAAAATGGAGGTAAAAAGAATAATGCGTGCATTTAAATAAAGGCAACCCCAACAATTGGAGATTTTAATGCACAGGAAAGCCTTGAAAAGTAAAAAATAATTCACAATACGATTTACATAACATATATTTACGATTGTTATTCTTTTTTTTTTTTTTTTTTTTTTTTTTCACTTTCTTAGAGAATTGTTTTTGACGAATGATTTTTTTTTTTTTTTTTTTTTTTTTTTTTTCACTTTCTTAGAGAATTGTTTGACTGAATGATACATCTAACAAGCCAAGCCCTTCACCAGTAATGAGATGTGAATGCTCACCGCCACTCCTAAAACCAATAAAGCCTGAATGTGAACAGCAACATTAGCCCTTAATACAATCGGTATGCAGTAGTACATCAGAATCTTCGTTAAACCTAAAACCTCCTCCCTGCCTTGTGACTGCGAGAATGAAAAACAAACTCTGTGTTAAGTATGTGTATATATATACAGGCTTGTATACAATTGAAATTAAATACCCATTTGAAGGGGCCATTACATCAAATCAACAAATGCAAAATCATATTGAAACTGAACTACAAGAGAGGAGAAATTACAGGACAGGACAAGATCGGATCAATGAAGCACACAAACAAAGCACTGTATTAACGAGGAACTCTCTTCAGACTAAGTATCTCTTGTTCTTTTAGTCGATGTTGGAACCTAGCAAGGCGAGCTTGAAGACTAACCAGACCAGCTGCCTTCCGTGAGAGCACAAAGCTCAACTGGGTCACGTAGTTATCTATTAGACTGCCTGGTTGGTCAACTTCTGCCAGCAGTTTCATTTCCTGATACCCAAAAAACACAAATGATCAGCTGATGGGTGCCATATTTCTTCTTCCAAACTATGAAAAACATCATGAAACTCCAAAAGACAAGCATTATATCCGCAGACCCTAAGGTAATAATGTGACTCAAACATTAGAATTAAACCATTAAACCATAAAGAAGTTGGATCTTCACTTACCTCGCGAACAATCTCCATTGTGTCCTCTATTTCTTTTCTATGAGCTGCAATTAAGGCCTCTTCTTCCTAGGAACAATCAGTAAAGATCAAAATAAGACATAACAAGCATCCAAATACAGTTAAACAAGTGTGCATATGCAATGAAGAATATCATGTATTATCACCAACCTCAAGTATTGCATTGATATTCCCATCTGAAGGAGGATCAGGCTCATGTTGTCGCGATCCAGTATTATTCGCAGTATAGTTTCCTGTACTCAGCAGCCTTGGGTTGGAAATGTCTGATCCACTACTATCCTTTTTCAACCAGTCACCGAACTTTTCTGATTTTTCCTCCCTAGATACTTTTCTACGAGGCGGTGATACCTTTTGCATCTTCTCTTCTGCATCCACCGAGTTTTGGGAGTGTGATGAATTAACTTTTTGACTTGTTGAACCACCATAAGAATTGCTAATTTCAAACCTCTCCCTATCTGTTGAACCAGAAGACCCATTTTCTTCACGTCCATTCAAGGAATAACTTGAAGTAAAACTAGGGGGCGGTTTGTCATAATCAGGAGTGGGTATGTAAGAAATAGCTTCTTTTTCTACAGCCCTCCTAACTGTATCAACTGCTTTTGCCTCTTGTTGTTCATAAACATCATCTACCTCAGAATAAACAGGCAATGATGATGCTGATGACACATCCTTCGTAGTTGGGGGTATTGAATTCAAAGTCTGATCCTTTTTTGAATTTCCACTTTTTGAAAGACTTTTAACCCTGTGCATTTAAATAAAAAACACGTTTTAATAAATAAGTGTAATGAAACAGCCAACAGAGGTGACGCATATAGCTGATGCTGAGAACAAAAACATATATACCTGTCTGCATATCTCAAAGTATTGAGTGTATGTTCACAGGAGCCTGCATTTGGAGAAATGCAAGAGATCATAACAGTCCTAGAGTTGCCAACAAAGGAGTCACGTAGTACTTCTGTGAGTTTGCTCCCACGAAACGGTATATGAATCTGGTCATTGTCCAGAGCACGAATGCATTCCTTAAGTGCCAAAAGGCTCTTATTAATCTCTGCACCCTCAATCCTGGAATGGACAAAATGGTAGCATCAGGAATTGCGAAACCATGCAGGTAACAGAAAGGTTATCCTTGAAGAAAGTGAAAAAGGCCCATACTAAGGAAGGTTGTCCTACACACTAGCATGCAAAGCAAAGGTCTCGATCTTTCTCAATGGCAAAGTAGATCAGATATGTTCAAAATATAATCTTATGAACATATTACTAAGAGTTACAGGTATACGTAACTAGTGTAAGAAATAGAAATACTGTGGTTACTTCAAAACCAAAATAGAATATGTCAACGCAAAGGAGCTACCTTGTTTGTCGGTCATTGTCAGTGGTGTCTGCACCCCGTTCACTACCAGCAAGATCAATAAAAGAAATTTTCCCAACCACCTTTCCACTTTTAGACTCGTTCCCATCATTATTCCTCCTGGAATCTTTTACCTCACTGTGCTTCTTAATAGCAAGCTGCAAGATAGCATGTGACCTTGAAGATTCCTCATTGGCACCAGTAGACCCTGTACTTCTTGTTGCATTTCCCCTCTCGATATATTCCTTAACAATCTGTACATCAGAAACTTCAAATTCTTGCAGTCCTACAATGCAAACTTGTTGTCGCCCATCTTCTCTCATACAAAGTTTTCTATTTCATAATAGATCAAATCAGTTTTGTATGCATAATTGATCAGTCACTTAACCATATTCATATATTTTCTGCAGACATTTCTGAATCATTTAACCAATTAACAAATCAAACCAATTCCAAGAAAAGTAAGTTAATAAAAAGAAAGACCAACAAGAAATACTTACTTTCTATCATTAAGAAGATCAAAGAGCTTTCCACCATATATTTCAAAATAGCTAAGCCACAGTTTGAATCTCTGATTACGATAAACAGGTTGATGCAACAATCTAACAAGGTCTTCAGCAGCTCTAAGAGGCAATGGTTGCATAGTGAATGTCTTACCACTACCTGAAAATACAACCATTATAAGTATTTTGGATACCATAAAAAAAATTTAGACCATGCTTGGCTTCAGGAACAGGCACCAGCCAGTGTAAACAGAAGCACAATACAATCATCTGTACATCCCCACACCCCTCTACACCCTCTCCCCTTCTCTCTGTATTTGCCCTACTTCATTCTGAAAAGAAAGGAGAAGAGAATAGGCAGAGTAAACTACAACCACCTTCACTGTTCTTCCATCTCCTATCAAGAATTAAAATGCCTTGATACATTTCACAAACTTCAAATGTTTTTAAGCTGTAAGGATTTATCAAATCTTTACCTGTCTGACCATACGCAAAACATGTAGCTTTTGTTCGTTGGAAAATGATAGGAATAATCGGCTCCACAGTAACTCGATAAACCTGTTCAAACATGTGAAGAAATGATTTCATTTAAGTCTCTTTTTTTGATAGATCGAACTCATCAACAAAAAAGGAGAGCTACTCAAATTACCCAATCAAAAGGAACACACGCCTCAGTTCAAGCAAAACACAATAGTCTATTCCTTTCTTTTTTTAAGCCAGGGAGGGGGGGGAAGAGGTCAACAAAATAAAAGAAATTGAAGGGAAAAAAAGGTGCTATTACTATTAAAAAAATTTCACTCTGGCAGCAGTTATATGGACCTTTGTCTCTAGCACAGTAGAAGTTACCTCATCATTGGTGACATGCTGATCAAGAACAGCATCAAAACAAAATTCATGCTTCTCAACATATGCAGTCAAGTCCACCTTTCCAGATCAGCACAAAATATTAGTGCTTTAACAGAAACAGAAAAAGAAAAGAATATAAAACTAGGATATAATCAAGTAAAATTCCTATTTTCACCAGAAAAATCCAAATGAATACTAAAGAACTTCGCTGCACAGCAGAACAGGGAACAAACCTTTAGCTTGGGTTCATGGACAGTCAATGCATTCTCGGAAACAGTTACAATATCATCCTCCTTCCGAGCAATCTCCTTCTTGTTTAGTGGTCTTTTACGTACCTGATATTTATTTTTTTTTTTTTTTTTTGGGGGGGGGGGGGGGCATCCTCCTTCCGATGCAATCTCCTTCTTGTTTGTGGTCTTTTACGTTACTGATATTTATTTTTTTTTTTTTTTTTTTTTTTTTTTTTGGAGGGGGTGGGGGGCATAAAAGCTTCTCAGAACTTCTTGTTTAGCAAAAGAATGACGGGTAAGAAAAAAAATTAAATGTGTGGAACAGTCAAACAATTGTACTTGGGCAATTAAAGCAATAAAATAACTGAGAAAATAATATCCAAGCTGAGAAATTAAACTGTTCTTCCTCCATCTAACAATAATACTTTTCCATAAAATGGAGCATCTACAACTTAACAACCACACATGCACTGCTAGAAGTGCATGCAACGGAGACGATGGAGAGAAAGATATACTACCCTACATATATTATAAACTTACCACAACTTTAATTTTAGCTACATTATTTTCTCTATTGCTGCTGTTCTCTTTTTCATTAGTAGGAAAAGGAGCAGATAAATCTGGATCACTCTGCTCTCTTTGCTGTTTACTACTAGTTGCATTGAAATCTTCAAATACTTTCGAGCCACCAGGCATGAATGGTGATGGCTCAAAGGGTTCTGAAATGACATGCTGCAAATATATGAGAACAAAAATTCATTAACATATGAAAAGGGAATAATTATACGCCTCATACAATAAGAAAGGAAACAAACAAACAATTTCCATATTTCCTATAAATTTCATTATTACTACAAGGACGTATTTATGAATCTCTTTTAATCATTTGAACTTCAAACTTCAATAAACAATTCAGTAGAAACAGCAAATGGTCAACAGTTTGAACTTCATATGATAGTGACAGCTGATATTTAAAACTTTTAAAAACTGAAATTGAACGTGCATTCTATCAAAAACCACACTCGTCCATTTTTAAAGCTATTCTTGCATGTTACTAGATCTCTTAGCAATAAACTGGGAAGAGGAAAGCAAATAACAAGAGCCTTACATGATAGATAACAAAAAGGTGAAAGAGAAGAAGGGGGAAAAGTGCTTTTACAGGTTCCATTTTATGATTACAGGATCAAAAACTGTCATACTATACTGCATGCTTTAGTGGCAAGCTCATTATGGATTTCTTTATTTTTTTCTGACTGAAAAGCCTCTTGTTGTACAAGACACATGGTTCATTTACTGATATACTCATTACAAAAATAAATAAATAAATAAATGGTAACTGTTACCCTCCATTAAGACAAAGCATGCAATCAAGAACCGTACCTCGGATAAAAGCTCTGTATCATCCATAGCATGAAGATCCAAAAGACCAGCTCCAAAATCACCCCTGAACTCTGGAGAATAAAATCCATCTGATGCAGCCATACCAGCTGAAGTTGGGGCAGTTGGTGTGTAAGGCTCAGAACCTGATTCTCCATTGAAATTGAGGTTTCTCATTAGCTTGAAAAGCCTCTGTTTTTCTTCAGCAGATTGCGCTCCATAACCCTTTAATGTGAATAGTAAATTAATACTAATTTGTACAAAAACGTCTACAAGAGAAGTTCCTATGAAAAACAGAAGAATCTATAGGAAAAAATTTCATCTCCATCCAGCAGCGGGAACTTAAAAAAATATTGATATGGTTTATTTTATTTGTTCTATTAACATGCGCTGAAAACATCAACAAAAATTAATAGTTGTATTTACTTGTTTGATGCATGTGATATATTTGGTATTTACTTGTTTGATGCATGTGATATATATAATAATATTATATATATATATATATATACTATATATATATAATCATGAGGCTGGCAAGGTATAGCATTTTAACTGTGAAGAAGGATATATAATGAGGCTGGCAGGTATACATTTTAACTGTGAAGAGGCGTAAAAACCAAAACAAAAGAAACATTTGTTTCTCACTGAGGCGGATCTAAGAATAAGATTAATCATCAACTAGTTCCACACAAAGATGCTGGAACAAGGGAAAAAAACTGTAAGAAGCACACAAGTCCGCATAAAGAACTTGATAAACCAATCGACTTCCTTAAACTCCTTTCTCTAAACAAAACCGCCAATCCAAATGAAGGATGACTTTCCTCGAGAACGGTTCTGAAATTAACTATCCAAACCATACAACATATCTCCCATGAACTCCTCGCTTCAGAATAAGTATTCTAACTTCCGTCATATCAAATAAAGCTAGTAAGAAGAAGCATGCGAAAGACTCTAATGGTCACAAAAACACCGACCAACCAATTACCTGCATTAGGAGATTGGGGAGGAGGCGTTGATCGATGCCTGTGGAGGCCAAGGGAGAGGCCAGATGCTGCAAACCCGCAGACTGGAGCCACCGTGCCATGACCGCATCGCCAGCATCACTAGCGGGGCCTGCATTGTGCAAGGACCCACCGCCGGTATGATCATAAAGAGCGGTCGCCGCAGCAGCATTGCTCTGCTGCATCTGGCCGCCCATGTGGCGCTGCGATCGCTTTTGCGGAGCCAATTTCAAGATCTATTTACCACGTCTTCACAATCAAAAGAAAAGAAAATCACAAATTCCATAATAAAAATATATATAGAAATGCAAAAAAAAATAAAAAATGAAGCGATTCGGATAAGCAATACTCACAAGGAGGAGAAAATTCGAATCCAAAGCAGAACATGAAAGTGATTTCTTTAAAAATCCACTCAATCCACCAATTCTGCAATAAAACCAAATCCGATCTTAATTTTTTAAAAACCCTAAAAATTCATTTCTAAGAATCATCAACCACATTTTATCTAAGAATACGAAGGAAAAAAAAATACCAGACGAAATCAAAGACAAATAACAAAGAGATCGAGATCTGTGAGAGGTACAAATGGTGTGAAGCTTAAAATTTGTGATCAGATCTGAAACTGTAGAAATAATACAAAAACCCTAAAGAAGAATGTTGTAAAAGAGAAGAAAGGAGGCTGCAGGCTTTGTTCGAATTTTTCTTTGTTTGAGAAATTGTAATAACAGAGGCTCCACAAGACAGAGAGGGAGAAAGAGAGATGAAATGCACTTTGCAAAGGAGATATAAGTAATGTGAGTATTTACTATATAATTTTTGGTGCATTATAGTTTTGAAAATTTAATGAACTGCTATTTTAAATTTAGTGAAATTATTAATTTACCCTCGATTTTGTTATTAATTTCCCTTGTTTATTTTATTTTCTTCTAAGCGGACCGAAAAGAATCTAAAAATACAGAAGTACCCTTAACGTGAAACAGACAACAAATAACTATTTAAAAATAATAATAATAAAGATAACAAATAAATATATTCCAACTAGGATTAAACCTCGTCATGCTTAAATTAGTTTTTCTAGGCTCCGTTTATTTCTGTAAAATAATTTGTAAAAAAATATTTTTTATAATTTTTCATTATTTGGAGCCCTCATAAAAATAAGTCAATAGAAAATATTTTTCGAATTAAAGAAAAATTAAATCATTTTTAAAAGAAGACAACTCTCCATTTTCGACAGAGTAAAACATTTTCCGGATATTGGCGAACTTTATAAATCCATATTTTTTAATTTATTAATCATCATTGTAACGCCCCGCATGTTTGACAACTTCTATTTTTAGGGGAAACTCTTGCAGTTTTTATGTAGGACTCTCCCAAATCATTTTCAAAACAAAATATTCTTACTTGTTAAACTTATGAATACTAAGTCACTTCTAATTCATAATATGATTGTATGGTTTATATATAAGTTAGGACGGTGCCTCTGGCACCAAACTTGGCATCCACCGCGGGTCTTTCGGGATCGGGCGGCGGGTGTTATAATCATAGTCACTATCACCGATCACTATTTCCACGGACTACCACCGACGGTAGCTTTCATAATTTATATTTTTTTCATTCTTTTCATATTTAACAATCAAATTTTTAAATTATAAAATTTCTATTATTCATTTTTTTCATTCTTTTCATATTTAACAATCAAATTTTTAAATTATAAAATTTCTATTATTATTAATATTTTTTATGGTTTTATGAGATAAAGACTTTCATATTTTTAACTAATGTTCAATATTACAACTAAACAACGAAAAATAAGTCATTTGGAAAATATTTTTCATAAAAAAATTTATTTGTAAATTATTTTTCTGCAGGTTATTTTACATAAACAAACGAGAGCCCTATGTTCTTGAATTTTGATTTTGTTAATTTCTAATTTAATTAAAAATCTAATTAGTATTAAAATTATTTTCCATAAATAAGTCACCCATTTAAAGTCTATAAACAGTAATTTCACGTTTAAAAAAATGTACTAGTAGTTTAATAAGGATCTGTTTAAGAAAAGAAAAAGAAATTATTATTTCATGTATTTTATATAAAATTAGTCACATGTTATCATATGCCCCAAATATATAATATTATTATTATTTTTTAAATTTAGATAATATTATATAAATTTATTATTTTTCGTCATGTTCATTGCATTTCAAATACGTACTTGCAGGTACTAATTGAATTTAAATGTTCTCATCTGTAATTTGTAAGTCATTATATATCTTAAAATAATTAAAATAGAATGCTAAAAAAATTTTAAAACTGCAATTTACAAAATATTATAAAAAAATATTTAAATTTTTTGATACCTTGAAATAGGATACTGTATAGATAGATAAAAAATTAGCAAATCAATTTGTTAGGAGGGCAGTTCATGGAAATAAATATCACCATATGTAGAATTCCGAAGTGAATGGCAGGACCTAGCCTAATTATTTGTTTAGGGACAGATTAGACGCTTGTCTTTTTTCTACGCCAAGTGAAATTGACCAAACAGCCCAGCATTTTTCACAAATTTAAATTCAGGTAAAATTTATGAGTAAAATAATTAGAATCAGTTAAAAATCTGAATTAAAAATAATGCCAGCAAGTTTGATTTTCTGGAAACTATTAAATGCACCATAGCAGAATGCATTATTTCTTGAATAAAAATTTAGTCTTACTAAAATATAAATTTTTATGAAAATATTCATAATCATGTAATAAATCGAAACCCGCATTTTTTTTTATTTAAATTTATCTACTATGATGTTCGAGTGAATATAATATTTAAAATAAAGTAAAAATAAAATTATTTGTATTGGTACTATAACGAGCTTATTTAATATAATTCAGTTTTTTTCTTCTAATTTATATGTAATTAATAAAAATAATACCTTGAAAATTATTGTTTAAGACACTTATCAAAGAAACCTGAACATTGGATTCTCACATAATTGTAGATTTTTTTTTTTTTTTTTTTTTTCACATTAATTGTTACCGATTTTTTTTTTTTCTTTTTTTTTTTTTGTAGCTAGTGAAGATTTTCCAATATAAAAGGTGCAAATCCTGGTGATGGCTATGCACTTGTTAGATGATGATTTTGGGATGTGGACATAACTTCTGCTGCTGCCTGCTGCTCTGAAAAAAAATGCAAGCACCAGAATTGTTCTCTCAGGTTATATATATTAAAAAAATAATAATAAATTATGAGATGGGATATATACATATATATATATACTATATATATTATATTCAAAAAAAAAAAGAAAGTTAAAAAATTGATTGTTCGGAAGTTATTGTCAAAAAAGAAGTTAAAAAAATTGATTGTTGAAGTTATTGTCAATATGACCCAAGATGGGTTTATCTCTAGTATACTGCACTTCTTTTCTGCAGAAAGAAATGCCAAATTGGTATAAAAGTAATAAAGAAGATAGGTAAGGGCAAAATGACAGACAAACAACAACACCAAGAGAAACGACAATAATTTCATAATTTTATAAATAAAAAAAAAAAAAGAACTTGAATCTATTTTTTTATGCAATCTTTATATGATATAAAATTCCTAAAGAAAGACTTTGGGTCTGAATTTGTGCATTTATGAGTTTTTCCTCTCCGCTCCCCTTGGCCCTCGTACTGCTTTAACTAATATCTTTGACATCTAGGCCAAAAGACATTTGCATTTGTTTAGGACATTAGACGTTTTTGTTTAGCTTCTGATATGGTCTTTTAGGGTGTCTTGTTCTCCTCATAGTGGGGCCATACCAAAGTAGAATAATAATATTGATGGCTGGTGGATCTCCATCTCCTCGTATTAAAGTTTAGCAAATTGAATTCATAAAAAATAAGTTAAATGGTAATGTATGTTCGAATTAAAATTCGCAAAACGAATCTCAAAATGAAATTAATCTCATAGTAAAAAATAACGTAAAAATACTCCTAAAAGAAACTCTTTTTCAATATTGCCTAACCTATCATATCTTGAAGCTCACTCTTTTTTTTTTGAATAAAGCCTTGCTTTAACTTAAAGTATATACGTAAGGTTGAGATCTAAGAATTAATTAAGAGTTGAAATTTGAATTAAATAATATTCTTTTGACATAATTAGTCAAATTAATTAAGCCTTGCATCCACCTCATTTTAGGTGATTCTGAACTAATATATAATTGCTTCCTTTGCACCTCCAAACCGTAGGTTAGGTTATCACAATGTACTTAATTACAATGTACATCATATGAATTTAATGGTGGGAACCCATTAATGACTATGATTACAACCTGCATTTTAGATTACTTTTTATACAATTCCAAAACTATTATGGTTGATAAATGGGTTTTTATTAGTAGAAATTTAATTTATAGTTAGAACCTAACTATTAAAAGATATTTCTTTTAATTTTAATTTAAATTATTTAGTCCGACATTAATAAATTATATAAAACATAATTCCAGAAAGGTTTACCAACCAAAATTAATCTTTTGTATCTTTATTTATATAAACCATCTAAAAATGAGAAATAAGATTTTGGCAATAATGATGTAATTAAAGACGTCAAGTCCATGGTGAAGACAAGCAACATAATCACGATTTTCCATATAAACATGTTTTCAAAATGGAGTAAATGCATGAATCAAGCAAAAGGTGAATCAAAGGTCATTTGCTTTTAATATTTTATAATAAGCGATTGTAAAACTGGTCATGTCTCTTAGTTTAAATTTTGATTAATAAAGTAACTATAAAACTAAGTATTTGCCAATTGATTTAATCATCGACGCAGGTGGTCTAAATTCACAGCATGTGCAATTTTTTAATTTTATTTTATCAGATCAGATACGTTGAGGAAGCAGAAAATGATTGCATTGACTAGTAGTAGTAATAATAATAATAATAAAAGATAATTTTGCCTCGTTAGCCTCTATCTTTCCCACTCTGAACCAACATATTTGTAATAGGTCAAGGAACACAAGGCGGCAAGAAGCACAATTGACGAGTCACACGCACCGATTACGGGGCGCTACGCAATCTTAACAAGTCAAATTAAGATCTATGCTATTCTGAGGAAGGCCATTCTGCGGCCAGAAGATCTCAAAGAAGTAAACACTTCCTCCAGCATCCAAATGAGGGATTCTCTCTGGAACAAAAAAAAAATCGAGTGCACTGCCTTCCTTCAGTTTTCAGAGGTGGGGGCTATTTATTTTATTGCCGCCAATAGCGCTTCGCTTGCATGCAAGGCGGCACGCCACAAGGCGGCACGCCAGGTAGAGCTATCGCGGGCGGGAGACCTCAGGCTTCCAACGCCACAATTAAACAGAATCAAAATGCAAGATTAGAATAAGCCATCACCAAACAGAAGTAAAACTACAATTAAACCCCAAATAAAAGGAAATACTAATAAAACGAAATCTAATGCATAGCAAATCGCAAAATACACCAATTTCTTATTATATTTTATACCGATAAGACCAAAATTCAATGGCCTTACATGCTTGCTTGCCTGCACCACCTTAAAGTATATAATAATAGAATGTTGCCAAATTGCAAATGATTAGAGCCAGTAAAACATATCTATTTTGACAAGCCTTCCACAAATACAAAGGGAACAAAGAAGTTGTAACATCAAACAATTACCAACTTAGGCTGGTAAATTTTAGAATACACGCCCAATAGAAGATTGAATTATTTGTCAAACAAGAAACTAATAACCAAAGAAGGAGGAAAACATGTCTAGTCAATAATTAACCAAAATAAGGCATGAAGCACCAAATATAACAGTACAGAGATGGAAAAGGACACATAAAGCTAGAAATATGGCAAGAACTTCCACTTCGAAGCCAGCTATTCTCCATTCTTAGCACTTGATCTCCTTCAAAGCATAAGCGAAGTACAAAAATGTTGGGTCAGTGGCGCCATCCTTGTAGTAAGCAAACACCAAACTCCCATCATCATGCATGCTCTCCCCCACAAAACTGCAAGACACGTGAGCATGTAAATCACTGAGATCCAAACTACATGTATGCTCATATAAATAAATAAATAAATGAACTGTACTAAAACAACTGGGGATAACCAGCAGGAAAATTTGAAACAATAAAAATTACACTCACAATTGGAGGTCACTGAGCTTCGAGAGCAGGAACTTGGTTGCTCCCTCAATGTTTTTCTTGAAAGCCTGTTGCTTCTCCTCATCCAATTTGGGTGTCAACAACTTGATGTACCTCTTCATGTATGTGACAAACTGCTTCTTGTCAAAAGCAGGTTGCTCCTGCAAAAGATAAATGTGAGTTTTTGAAATTTTCACTTATTTTTGTCGGGAATAAAAAAAGGCACTCAAAACTTCTAACAGTAGCACACAGATCTCCTAAGAGTAGGCTAAGAAAGGCACTCAAAACTCCTAACAGTAGCACACAGATCTCACCTGGAGCCTAAAAGTGTCCACAACGTCAACAACTTTAACAGTCTGGTCATCAACACCCTCATCTTCATCCGCCCCTTCAGCAGAGGGATTTGCACCAATGTTCACATCAACGGCTCCTTGAACAACCCACTACATACCAAAACACGTAAACTAAACAATCAATAACAATAAAATAATAATCCAACATAAACCTCAAAAAAAATCCCTAAAATTCACCTTTCCCTCAACTTCCCACAGCATGCCATTCTCAATTTCCTTGTAAGGGAACGAATCCGAGAGAAGCTCATCACCTAAAATTCATTAAAAACGTTAATGAAGTCAACATTTTATAACTAAAGTACATAACTACATCTGTCCTTACAATTAATCCTGGGACCAAAGATAAAAACTTTTATGGGTAGATATGGCTCAGTATGTTCTTTCATTATAGGTTTTGATTAATATAAAACGTAAGGTGGATAAGAGAGAAAATTGTGCTTGCAATCAAATATCAAACATGAAAAGGAATCACCAGAACATGCAAGGAAAACCTGAACAAGCAAAAAGCAAGAAACTAACAAAGTTTTTGCTTTATAAAAACTAAAATAATAATAAAAAAAAAAGAATAAAGGTTAAAAAAGAAAAATTCATGGAGAAACTAAATATCAGTTAATCATAGATATAAAGTTAATTACAGTTGGTTCAACTAAATCAATACAGAAAGCATCAGATCTCCATGTACAGAAAATAAAAACAAACGTTGGAGCCTAAATCTTAACAGTAGAAGTTGATGATTCAAAACATCAAATAAAGCCTTTGAAAATAAGAGAAACCAAATCGAGATCTAATCGAATCAATTCCAATCTAGCTTACAAACCCTAAGATGAATCAAAATCAAAATCAAAATCAAAATCAAAACCAAAAGAAATATCGGACAAAATTAGGAACAGAATAAGCAAAGTTACCGGTAAGCAAATCCTGGTAGACCAACATGATTCTGAGTTTCTCCCGGATCGAACCACAAAGAGAAGAAGTAGAGAGAGCAGCAAGTACGCTAAAGAGCAAGAGAGGTTTTCTGTGCCGTCGGCAGAGTATATTTATAAGCGAGGGTTTTGCCGATACCCAGGTAATTTTCACGAGACTTCATAATTACGAAAAAACCTTTTAGTTTTTTTATAATACCTAATAAGTCCTCTTTTAGTGGGCTTTAATAAGGTTTGGGCCGGTGGATTTTTTTTTTTTTTTTTTTTTTTTTTGGAGAATGGGAATTTATTCTTGTTGAAAGGAATAAATTCTTGTGGTCCTGTTATAACATACATCCATAATTCTTAAGAAAAAAGATGGTCAAGAACAATTTTATTTGGAAAAATTTTTTTTTTTTTTTTTTTTGAGAATGGGAATTTATTCTTGTTGACAAGGAATAAATTCTTGTGTCATGTTATAAAATACATCCATATTCTTTAGAAAAAAAGATGGTCAAAGAACAATTTATTTGGAAAAAGATACCAGCACTTAAAATTTTTTTTTTAAAAAAAACACTTTTTAGCTGGAATTTCGCCCAAAAGCTATAAAAAACTGAGCTTGTATAGGATGAATTGATTTTATTTCTAAATAACAATTTTTGTTATTTATTGGCTGATTGGTTTTTTTTCATAATTATTTGTTCTTAACAATTAAATAAAATTGTCTGATAAAAATTACGTACATGGCTCAATTCGGCAACCGTTTTTAAAATAGCATAAATTATGTTGTAATCAGGGTCAAAACACTATTATATTATTATAGTATTTCGAACGTATCATTTATATTATTATTTAGATATTGAGAGAATGTATTATGAAATATTTCTCTGTTTAAACAACTAATTTGTTGAACAACGCTATATAAAATTATCAATTTATCTTATATATAATTCAGGGTCTTAGAGACACAATTATATTATTTTAATTGTTTGGATTTAGTTAAAATCAATGAATTAAATAACCATGTCTTAGTAATTATTTCGATGCTTTAATATTTTAAATAAAATATATTCTCTCTATGTCATTTTGTTTGCATGGTTTGATAAAATATACATATTAGAAATATAGTCAATAAAAATTATTTTGTCTTTTTTTACCGTTAACTTATTAAGATATTAATAAAAGTTTATTCATTTAATGAACAATCATAAAAGTTATTATGATAAAAATAATTGTTTATACATCTAAATTTAGAAATTTTACACATATTTTGAAACATAAAAAAAAAGAATAATAAACAAATAAAATGGAACAGATGGAATATTTCATTTTTTATGGATCAAAACTCATGAATTAAATATTTATTTATCGTCAAATTTAATTTTTATTTATTTAATAAAGCAATTAAACACAAGATGTGATCTACATTTCAAAATGTAAATTATATCCTTACTACAATATTACATATTACTAATAGGTATAATCCCAAAACATAAATTAAAATATCATATACTCCTGAATGCCACATAGTTGTTCAATCTAGAATTCTGGATCACATTCACTGCCTCAAGTCTTCATTTCACCTTATAATAATGAAGTTGCTATTGTTTTTGATTAATAATAATGAAGTTATTTCAAATTAATTAATTCAAGCATTTACAAAATGCAATCCAAAAATTCCACTAATCTACAAATCAGTGAAACGACACGCACTAATCTACAATTCACTAAAACGACACGCGGATCCAGTGACCCATACTCAGAAGATCCAGTGTTTGTAGAAGCGGGAAAGCGAAATTCAAAAATCTAAAGAATTTTGAGCGAGATGGAGGGAATTTGAAACCAGAAAAGAAATTTCTCAGTATCCAGTGACCTCTGCAATTGCCCAACCCAAACTTCCTCACCCGGCCATGGAAGAAACCATATCAAGGATAATTGCGGATCTCGAAGAGACCCACTGCAACCAAAACCCACCACCACCTCTTTCTCGATCAACTCTCGAAGATCTTCAATCCCTCTTAGATAACAATGACCCAGAACTCCTTGATCAATTCTTCTTCGATCTCTCCTCTAAATCCATCTCCCTTTCCTCACTCCTTCCTCCTCTCACTTCTACCATGGACTCTGGCCTCACGTATCTCTCTCTCCTGTCCTCTAAAGTTTACCTCTCTCTCCTCCTTTCTCCTAATTCCCCTGTTTTTACTCTCTTCACACCCATGTCTTTTCTCTCTCTTCTCCGTTCCCTTCGTCGTTCTCTCAAGCCCCGACCACTGGCTTCAATAGGGCAATGCTCTTCCTCCACCTCCGCGCGCGGTGGCGCCGAGTTAAAGAAGAGAAAGGGGCGAGCATCGAAGAATAATAATAATAATAGGAGGAATACGGGTGCTGGCAGCGATGAAGATGGTAATTATGGTAGTGGAGAGAGGGAAAGAGGTGTTTTTGACGTCAGACTGTTATTTTGTGTTCTTGAAAAATTGGGTTTAGCTTTGGATTTGATTCATCTCAATAGATTTCCTGATAGTTTAAAGTCTTTGGTTCATACTATAGTGGAAATTCCAGTTTTGGGTATTGAAATGGGAAGTAATGCAGCTAATTTTAACAGATTGGCGGATCTGTGTTCCACGATTTTGCGGCAAGTCTTGAAACCTGACCATGGAGAGGAAGGGGAGACAGCAGCGGAGGTGTTCAAATCGTTAACGTCATCAATTTTGGCTGTTAAATCACAGGCGAGGAGCTTCGCGTTGGGTTTTGTGAAGCATTTGGTGACTGGCATAGCCAGAAAGAATGAGGGAGTTAAAAGAGCTGTTGTAAATTTGCCACGCTATTTGGCACAGAAAGCACCGGAGAAGGCAGAGCCTAGAGGGCTGGCAGTGGAGGCGATAATAGAAATTGTTAGAGCTATGGAGTTAAAACATCAAGTTGGGTTTGTGGAATATGTTGTGAAAATGACACAGGGCAAAGTTCATCTTAGGCTTTTGGCGGTGGATTTGATTTTGCATTTGATGATGCTGTTAAAAGATCCATTTGGGATGGACTTGGACGGTGAAGTGAAAGGTTCATGGGGGTTTGATTGCCTGGAGGCGTTAATTCAGCGTTGCTCAGACTCAAGTGCTGCAATTAGAGCTCGTGCACTGTCAAATTTGGCTCAGTTGGTGGGGTTCTTGTCAACTGATGATAAGAATTGTGCGGTTTTGAAGAACGTTTTGGGTTTGGGTGAGGCGAGAACTGAAAGAATAGAAGGTCATATTAATGATATTTTGAGGAAAAGGTGTATGGATGAGAAGGCAAATGTTAGGAGGGCTGCACTTGTTTTAGTCACCAAGTTGACTGCTCTCTTGAGTGGTAATTTTGATGGAATTGTGCTCAAGACCATGGGAATGGCTTGTTCAGATCCCCTTGTGAGCATTCGTAAAGCTGCCATTTCAGCTCTTTCCGAGGTTAGTTTGTTGTGCTTTATCTAAAGTTCCATAATTTAGCTATTAGTCTTTTGAGTTTATTACTATGGGTGGTATTTGATAGCTAGTGATATCTCTGTCCCGATCTATCTTTGATTATTTAATTGGATTGTAGGCGTTCAAGACATTTTCAGATAAAATTGTGACAGTTGAGTGGCTACATGCTGTTCCACGGTTAATAACTGATAACGAATCTAGCATTCAAGAAGAATGTGAGAACTTGTTCCTGGAACTGGTTTTGGATCGCATTTCTAGAGTAGGATCTACTGGTGAATCCAATTTGTTCTTTTCAAATGTGAAAGCCAATAGTCTAGAAAGGGAAACTGAAATGTTATTTCCTGAAGGAGTATTGGTTCTTTTGAAAGAGATCTGCAACGGAGAGGTGATGCCTTGGGTGAGGAAAATCTGCACAAACCTAGGTAAGAAAAAAAGGTTGAAGCCCAAATTAGCAAATGCACTACAAAGTATCATAAAGACTTCTGAGTCTCTTTGGTTGAGTCATTCCAAACCAATAGAAAAGTGGACAGCACCACCTGGTGCTTGGTTTCTTCTATCAGAAGTATCAGCTCACCTTTCAAAAGCAGTTGCCTGGGAGTTTCTCCATCATCACTGGCAACTCCTTGATAAATTTGGAGCAGCTGGTGGGTTCAACAAACCCCCTGACATAGAAATTATGCATGAAGATGAAGAGGGCTCAGAATCCAATTCTGTTGCATGGGCTGGGGATCGTGTTTTCCTACTGCAAACAATCTCTAATGTTTCAGTAGAGCTTCCGCCTGAATCTGCAGCAGATTTAGCTCATAATTTGCTTAAAAGAATTGAAGAGTTCAACATGCATTCAACAGAGGTATTTATATTGTGTTATTCTCCATCTTAAATAGGGGTATTGGTTCTTTTGTTCATTGTTCCATTGTCTTTGTGGTCGATACATGTTCTGTCATTGTTACGCAGTAGTGGCAAAAGGCACTTGCAATTTGCTTAACTTGCATTGCCCAAGTCTATTGATCTTTAAAGGCTTCAAGGTCTATTTACTCCAGTTGATTGATCTTTTAAAGGCTTCAGGGTCTATTGACTCCAACTGTGGTTAAACTTTTCGATGGGTTTAGGAATCCAGAATGCACTGGATTCTGATATTTCTCACATACTGTTCTATCAAACTAATGCATTCTTGGTCTTGGACCTGGACCATATTTCAAGTCCAACTTTAGTATTATGTTTGATAAGTTGAAATTGAATGCATCTAATATACACTTGCTTTGATCTAACCGCAGAAAATATTTCAGTGAAGTTCTTTACCGGAGCTGAGTGCAATAAATTTTTTCCTTGGCTGAAAATAAGATGCTAAGTAGTTTCAAATTATCTACAATAGTCAGTGCAAGCTGTTCACATATAGAGTTTCCTCCTGGCATGATATGTATTTTCATTTTATTTAACTTGTTATTTGATGGCAGGTTAATGCTCATGTTAAGGCACTCAGAACGTTGTGCAGAAGGAAGGCTTTGAATCCTGAGGAGGCTGATGCACTTGTCATGAAATGGGTGCAACAAGTTTTCTCTAAAGCTTCTAAGATCTTGGAAAAGTTCATTTCAGGGGATCTGGAAGCAAATAGTGGAAATAGTTTCTTTACGCCCCCAAGAAGTGAAAGCACAAAAAGCAAGAAAGCAGCAGCAACGTGCCATTTGCTCTCTGAATCAGTAACTGCAGTTTACACTATTGGGTCTTTGGTTACCGTTTGTCCTTCAGCTGATGTCAGCACCATTCTTCCTTTACTACAGACCATCATCACTTCAGGAAATTCTCATCCAAACTTGAGTAAACTGCCAGGTCCTTCGGTATCTTTGAAACAGATAGCCCCTCCTTTATACATTCAAGCATGGTTGACAATGGGGAAGATATGCTTAGCAGATGGGAAACTCGCCAAGAGATATATTCCTTTGTTTGTGCAGGTTTGTTAACTTCCAAAAAAAAAAAAAAAAAAAAGTTGTGGCAGTTTGTTTAACATTCCAAAACCAAAAAAAAAAAAAATTCTTAATTAAGTATTAGAAACAGTGCTAAGTGTAGTTTTCTTGGCCTATTCATTCAACGCAGTCGCTCGCAATTGATTAAACCATCTCACTTATGGTTTATGAAGCAAAAAAAAAAAAAAAAAAATCTTATTAGTATTAGAAACACTAGTGCTAGTTTTCTTGGCCATTTCATTCCACGCAGTCGCTCGCAATTGATGCTAACCATCTCACTTATGGTTTATGAAAGAGTTCATAATTTGGAACTCTAATCACTGCCGAACAACATTAGCTCTAGAGCATCATATTGTTTCCCTTGGACATAAATGACTCCATACTTCTACCCATTTCTTCCTGCTGAAGGTTCTCAGCGTCACCAGTTTGTCTTGAATTCTTGAAAACTCTTTCTCGGGTAGTTTCCAAGTTTCTAAATGCCTATTTATCTTACATTGCAGGAGCTTGACAGGAGTGATTGTGCAGCCCTTCGGAATAATCTTATAGTTACTATGGCTGACTTTTGTGTTCGCTACACTGCTTTAGTTGATTGGTGAGACCTGTAAAGAATTGAGAATAAACTAACTTTGAACTGTCTCTTCAATCATTAAACTAAAAGCCTAATGCTAATGATAATATTCTTACCATTCTAACTAATCATTCTTTTAAATCAACAGTTACATATCAAAGATCACCAAATGTCTTCGAGATCCCTGTGAACTTGTGAGAAGGCAGACATTTATATTGCTCTCCAGATTGTTGCAGGTTTCAGTTTCACTAGCTTTTTTCTTATGTTTCCCACAGAAGTAATGGCCATGAATGAACTGTTTTCAATTTTCAGTTTCATTCTTATCTTGCAGAGGGACTATGTAAAGTGGAGGGGAGTACTCTTCCTTCGGTTCCTTCTATCCCTGGTTGATGAGTCTGAAAAGATAAGACAGCTTGCTGATTTCCTCTTTGGGAATATTCTAAAAGGTTGATAAAACTTGCAACTTATTGTATTTACATGATCATTGAAGATGGGGGGATATTTTCAGGTTTTGTTTAACGGGTATACTTTTTTGTGCAGTCAAAGCACCACTTCTAGCTTATAACAGTTTTGTGGAATCGATTTATGTTCTCAATGACTGCAACGCACATAATGGATCTAAGAATTCCCTGATGGAGAACCGGCTTTTTTCCATTAGGTAGGTGCCTTTATATTTTGTTACCGATAAAAACCTCTTTTGACTGAGATGAAGATTTTATATCTAGTATTGCTATTTCCAGAGGCAGTGACGAAAATTCACGGTCTAAACGAATGCACGTCTATGTCTCTTTGCTGAAACAAATGGCCCCAGAGCACCTCTTGGCGACATTTGCAAAGTTGTGTGCTGAGATTCTTGCAGCTGCATCAGATGGCATGCTCAACATAGAAGATATCACAGGACAATCTGTTCTGCAGGTGCTGATCCTTTAGAGAAGATACATCAATGAGTCTGTCTTATCATCCGTCTTTTGGTAAAATCTTCCTTCTAAATTATGAGCAGGATACTTTTCAAATTCTTGCCTGCAAAGAGATTCGAATTCCAACTGGTCGTGGATCACAAACTGACACTGGAGACATAGAGGAAGAAGGTGGAGATGGTGGAGCCTCTGCAGCAGCTGCCAAAGGAAGGGCTATTACTCAAGCAATCAGGAAGGGTCTTATCCAAAACACCATCCCCATCTTCATAGAACTTAAACGGCTACTGGAGAGCAAGAATAGCCCCCTCATAGGCTCTCTCATGGAATGTCTCCGGATTCTGCTCAAGGACTACAAGAATGAGATTGACGAAATATTGGTTGCTGATAAGCAACTCCAGAAAGAGCTTATTTATGATATGCAGAAGTATGAATCAGCCAAGGCCAGAATAACCGCTGCTGAGGCTGTTGCCACTATGCAAAACCCAAGTACCTTTCTTTCTCCTCGCCCTCCTAACACTGCAAGCAGAACAGAAACTCAAAATAATTTCACAGAAAAGTTGCATAATGATTCAAGAGTGGCTTCAGCAATGGCAGATGCTGCTGCTGCTGCTAAAGCTCGGTCTGTGCTCAAAGAAGTGAACAAAGGAACAGTGACACCACCACTCAGTTCCATCAGTGTACCCAAACTCAAGTCAAACCAGGGTGCAAATGGTGCCCAAAACGATAGACCCTTGTATGTATTGGAATCTTTGAGAAGGCGACAATCTTTCAATTCTGATGATGAAAGCTGATTCTGTAATTTATTTTCCCGTACAGTAACACATTCTTCGAAGAAAAAATTTAATCTTCAGCCCAGAAAAAAAAAAAAAAAAAACCATATGTAGGGGCAGAACTGAGTTAACTTGATTGTATATTCCAATTGTACATTATGCATACAAGTCTACCAATAAATGAGAATTACGACTCTATAATTAAGTTGACTTTGTTGTATGTTGTTGGAATAACTTAAAGAAAGCAGCTACTTGCGCAGTTCATTTATATTAAATCCAAAACGACGTCGTTTGCTCGAGGGGGAAAAGAGCACAAGGAATTGTCTATTAACTTAATTGCGTGATTAAATAATTATATTTAACATAATTACGAAGCACAATGTAATACCAAATTTTTTTTATCGATTATCTATTTTAAATTCATAAAATTTATTTCACGATTTCATCTTCGAAATTTTACACTTTAAAGTTTAAACTGTATTGTTAGTGGTTCAGTTAACAATTTCAAATCGGACGTGGCAAGTTTCCATTAGATAACTTGACCAAACTTGATGGCCAGAGCCTGAGGATTTTGGCTCATAAGTAGCAAATACAGACGCAGTCGTGTGCTTCGGGTCTTCTGCTCCTCCTCCTTCTCACTCACCCCATTTTCACATCTCTACACATGTGTATGTCTTCACAATGTTTGATTATCTTTATCAGGTAACTCTTAATCAACTCACATTCGTTTCGCTCTTGATTGGAATTTGAAATTCTTGTGTGATCTTTTCATTTCTGATTTGTCATATGCAAACATTAATTTGTGAATTTTACTCGGAATTTTAGGTGTTGAATTAGAGCTAATTGAAGCTCATTTATTGAAATCTTTGAAGTGGTTATGGATAGTAATAAAGATGAAGCGTTTAGATGCCTTAGAATTGCTGAAGAAGCAATTGCATCTGGAAATAAAGAGCGAGGATTGAAATTTATTAAAATCGCTCAACGTTTGAATCATAATTTATCTGTTGATGAACTTTTGGCTGCTTGTGAGAAGATCGATTCTTCTTCTAGGTCAAATCAATCTATTGATGAAAAATGCGTTCTTGATGATAAGAGTAGGCCTAGTTCTGCTAGAAATGATGAGGGTTTAAATGGGGAAAGGAATTATACTGAAGAACATGTGCAATTGATTAGGCAGATTAAGAGGAATAAGGATCATTATACAATTCTTGGAGTGGAAAAGACTTGTTCTGTTGAGGAGATTAGAAGGGCTTATAGGAAATTGTCGTTGAAAGTTCACCCAGATAAGAACAAGGCACCAGGATCTGAGGAAGCATTTAAAAAGGTTTGCAAGGCATTTAAGTGTTTGAGTGATGATAATTCAAGGAGGCAGTATGATCAGACTGGTTTGGTTGATGAATTTGAGTACAACCAGCAGTATAATGTTAGGCGGACAAGGAGGAGGAGAAATGTGCATGAGTTTTATGAAGATGATTTTGATCCAGATGAAATATTCAGGTCATTTTTTGGTCAGACTGACATGTTTAGGGCGCATCATATTTACAGGAGTAGAGAAATGAGTGGTGGTCGGCAACGGGAGGAGTTTAGTCGTGGAGGAGGGGCTAAGTTGCTGCTTCTTATACAGATATTGCCTTTCTTGTTGATTGTTGTACTTGCTTATCTGCCCTTTTCAGAGCCTGACTATTCATTGCATAAAAATTATTCCTATCAAATTCCTAAGACAACTGATAAACTCGGCGTGGAGTTCTTTGTTAAATCAGCAGCTTTTGATGACAATTTTCCTGTTGGAAGTCCTGCACGAGCCAACATTGAAGACAATGTGATGAAGGATTATAGAAGCTTGCTTTGGCGTCATTGTCACATAGAGCTCCAGAGGCGTCACTGGAACAGGAATCTGCCTACTCCTAGCTGTGATAAACTACAAACTTTGGGATTAGCATGAAGGTGAGCTGATTGCCCAATTTAATTGTAACACGAAAATATTCTAATTTATTTTTCTTTTCATCTGTACCAATATGTGGTGTTATGCACCTGTCTTATATGTGCTAGCGTGTTAATGTTTTCAGTGAGTATTGTCCTTGATTTAAAGCTCCCCTTTTGGGTAGTGCTTTATTTTTCAATTTTTAGTAAGTGCCAAATTTTATGAAGTTGCTTCTCTATTTAAAGTGACTGTTTATTACCAGCTCGTAGGACATGCTAGGAAGCTCACTTGTGTTGATGCCACTTCTATCATTTGGGATCTTTTTCTATCTGTCTGTGTGATAGTGATTGCCAAGGTGTTTTACTTGATTACATGGTAATTGGGCTATACTGAACTATCATATGCTTCCAATCTGCCCCAGGTTAATGCAAATAATTCGTGGAATTCAAATACATAATGATAGTGAGATTTAAAAGGCATGGTTAGGTTTAGCTTTGGCCCTACCACGGTGGCATTTGGATATGAGACTGCCTAACTTAGTCCTTCATTCTGTTGATTTGTCCTCTCTAAAAGGACTCCTGATTCTGAAAATCTCTTTCAAATGTCTCAACTCATATTAATTCCTTCTTTTTTCATTTGATTTTGTATTGACAACGTAGAAATACAACTTTGACATTCTCAGAAGCTCAGTTTAATTCATAATGAGTTGTGTGATAACAGCTTATGGCAAATCCTTTTACAAATGTCGTGTATGGAAAATTACTATCATTACCTGATGCGTGTTCGTAAAAAGTAAAACAAGTCTCTCTTTACGAAGGTGAGTTTGCTTCTGTTGGGAGGGTATGTATGCAGGTGTGCAACATTCAGATGAGCAGGAAGGTTCCGTGTGGCTGTTGGCTTCAAATATTGGAAATAGTTTGATCTAGGCATGGTTATACGTAGTGTTCCCATTTTATCTTTGATTAATTTCGTTGCTAAGTCTCTGGTGCAACACGGTTACCTGGTTCAAATCAGTCATTTGATGAGGATTCTAGGTCAGATTTGTTGGCTGCAATGTATTCCAATTGTCATTGTTAACATGTTATATCCAGTTGTATAATGCAGTCTACAATAACTTTTTACATTTGTGTCCATTTTACATGTCTTTGCTTCTGTGTTCAGCAATTACCTTTATAGAACTTAGCTGACGCTTGTAAATGTGATTTTGATTTTAGGAAATGTAATGAAGATGGGGAAAGCTTGTAGATGTAAGTTATTAATGATCCTGGGGAGAAGGCTGTAAAGCTCTAGAGATGTGACCTGGCACTTGCCTTCTTCTTGAGTTGGACACTTGGCCATTCACCATATGCAACGCTAGTGCAGGATTGGTGCAAACGGTCTTCAACGTCCTTATCATGCCATGAGATTTTTTATACCTATAAATTGTTGAGTGCGCCTACGAGGGTGAGGATTCAATGAATTAAAAAACCAATATTGTATGAATTATTTTTCTTGGTTTCAAAGAGTTGTTTCCAGTAAATTCCTAAGAAATTTATTTTTTTTACTAGTAAGTCTGGGTTTTAATTGTGCTTGGATTAAGGTTTGATGATAAGATCTCACGGCCCAAAAATCGAGGCCCAAAAGCAAAAATAGCAAATCAACTAGGGCCTTATAAAAGAGCATCTCTGTCTCCCGCTCAAAATTGAGACCTATCTCACATCACATGACATGTGTTTGGTGTCAGACAGTTTCAGTCTTGCTGGTGCGTGTCAGCAAGAGCAAGTGGTTGTGTGTGTTAACAAACTATTACGTGTCAGCTTCTGATCAATCGGTTCCTTACAGTTGGCCCGTTCTACTCTCTCTTTCAATCTGCGCGTTTGCCTCACGTGTACACATGTACGTACATACACGCGAAAGTGGGGAGCCCACGTGCTCACGTGCATGGCCAGAGAAATGTGGACTAACAAAGTGACAAAAATAAGACACTCATCCACGTCGCCACCGTCAAGCAGCCACCGGATGAAGTTAGTAGTTAGCACACATTCACCAAAAGACCATAATACCCTCACTGTATAATAGACAGAGAAAATGTATAAGCATATTCAGATCAAGGGTAATCTTGTCACTAAACAAAATATGCAGAAATTTCCAGCTGCTTCCTCCAATATTTTCTATTACCATAATACCCTCGAACTAAAATTCTAAATACAAAAATACCATCCCATGTACTAGCAAATCTACGTACCCCCCACTGTACTGTATACAAATACAGGAAATTAAATTAAAAAACCAAAAAAAAAAAATAATAGACGAGTCCAAGTCTCTCAGATCCATGCAAGCAAAGTCACCAACTCACCAGAAGTTAATCACCGGAATCATCGTCGCCGCCGAAGATGGACATGCGATTATAAAGCAAGAACAAGATCAGAACTAGAAATAAAGCCACGCCGAAAGGTGAGCCACTGACTCGGTGAATGGTATCTGGTTCGCCAGTAGAGAAGATAGTGGAGACAAATGAGCCGCGATCGGAGGAAAGGAACTGAATAGTCAAGAGAAGGATAATGGGAAGAAGAAGAAGACCGACTGGGCTTAAGAGCTCAGTAATAGCTTCAGTTATGGCCTCGCCTTGGTCGCCGAGGAGAAATGGAGCTAAAACCACCGTGCAGACAACTACAGCTAGTATGATTCCATGGGGTGCACCGCCCTGCTGCGGTCTCTCTTCAAACATCTTTTTTCCTTTTGTGTCTGTGTGCTGGTTATTGGGATTTATGATTTTTTTTTTTTCTAAAGAGTGAATGGAAAATGGGGTCATGAAGTGGTCTTAAAATAGGTGCTGGGACGCGCTTGTCTATGAAAAGAATGAATTGTTTTTGTTAACCCTTTTAAAATTTGAAAAGTAAATGGAGAAAACACTAGGCTTGAAATATGAGTTAAGTTTAACTTTCACACCCATAAAATTATTTTGGCTCATCTAAATTTGATTTTCTTTTCTTTTTTTTTTTTCCTAACCTTTTTATTTTTGAGCTCTCTCTTTACTTATTTTTAACTGAAAATATGGAAATTTGTGGGAGATCAGTTTGCTAGCAAGTCAAATATGCATGATTAGATGGATTACACTTATTTAGATCTGATCTATTAACTCATACAGGCCTTATGGAATGGGGTTATGGCCTCCAAAATTAATTCTTTATTTTTAAATCTGCAGTATAAAAATTTTTAGAAAAAATACTTTTTAAATTTTTCTCTCCTTATTTTTTAGCCGCTAATTATTTAGATTGAATTGCTATTGAGATTCGCATATAAAACAAATCAATCAAAATAAATATTTTTAAAAATTATTTCCATATTGTTTCTTTTTTTTTCTAGTGAAAATGTTCAAAATTATCTCATTTCAATAACAAATTACTTCTCGTTAGTTTGATTCATTAACTAGTTTACAAATCGAGTTTAGATAAGTTAATCTCTAATTAGATTTAGATGTATTCTTCTCTGATAACACATTAAAAAAAAGTGCATTTGCTTTCTTTTCTCCATTATTATCAATTATTTAAAGAGGGTCTCAATCAATTGAATAATCTAATCCAAGTTGTTTTGATTTGATAATAATTTTCAAACAAATACAAAATTTTCTTCGTTAGCATCATATTATTGTATTCTTATTATCTATATGCCGAAACTAATAAATATTTTGATAATTATATAATCATCCATCACAGACGGGATAACAATTGCATATATACTTACTCCTAATTACGTTAGTTTGATTCATTAACTCAGTTTAGCGCGTAAATCGAGTATTAGGAAGAACCTGAAAGTAATAATACTACATATATTATGCGAATTTTAGAGGAAAATGGTAGATTATTCTTCTCTGCATAATCTATCACCAGATTAAAAAAAAGTGCATTTGCTTTCTTTTCTCCATTTATTATCACATTATTTACAAGAGTGGTCTCAATTCAATTTGAATAATCTAATCCAAGTTGTTTTGATTTGATAATAATTTTCAATAAGCAACAAATACAAATTTTCTATACTGGATAATTGGAAGGGGTGTCGTACTAACTCATTATTCTTCCTGATAAGCCTATTCTATAGATCTATCTATATGCCGAAACTAATAAATAACCTCTTTTGAGAGTGTAATAAATAACTACTAATCAATCAACTAGATCCACAATACGTTGTCACAGGATAACAAAATTGACAAAATTATAATACAAAATTATTATTAAATAGTATATTATATAGGTTAAATATATAAAGAGGAGAAATTTACAAAACCTTTTAAATTCATAAAATATAAATTTCATGTGGGGCTACAAACAGTAAAAATCTCGGCATGGTTCATCGGTAGATTAATTATAGTGATTGGTTCATAATAAAATAAGGGACAAATGGGGTTCATTTAACTTGATCCTTGCACAAAAGCGATCTATCGTTCATAATTTAACTACATTCGGAGGTTAGCTGCGCGTGACACTTCAAATGGTGAAATGTTTAGAAGAGGAAAAGTGAAATATATGACCAATAGATGAATTTAGTCAAAAATATTGCAAAATGAAGGTTTTTTTGCCTTTTATTTTATTTTTTTTTTTTTTTTATTTTTTCTTTATCAAATGGATATATAAAAGATTTGTATCAAAGGACATAGGTAAAGATGGTTAAAATCAATATAAGAAAATACCTTGCTGACAAATTATATTTACGGTTATTATAAATTATTTTATTCCGTACTGGAAATATGTGTGAAGTGAAGTCAAAGAAAAGACGCTAATTAGATCTTTCAAAAAACCTAAGAAAGAAGTGGTTCTTCCTCGGGCAACCTCAGCTTGAGATCCTATATGTATGTTAAAAGAAATACGATAAAAAGACCACCATCATCGGAAGAAGGTGGATTACTCTTTAGTTCATGCAGCGCGTTAATGGAGGTATTCCATAGAAAAAACTTGGAACAAGTTCGGGGTTTGATTTATTGTGATAAAATTTTAATAAAACTACTTTTCTTTAGAATCTTTTCTCATCAATAGGTTCTAAGGATATATAAAATAAACCACATTTAGGTGAAATAGATTAATAAAAGCGTTGATATATCCTTTGTTTAAAAGAAGATAAAATCAAAACAATCACCATAAAATAATAACGACATAAATCACAATAAATACACACTATACAATACATTAAATTACAAAACACCAAAGATTAAGTACATCTTATTGGGACACTAAATCAGAGGTGGCGTGCAGTTTGTTGATTTTTTCTTTATTGCCTTTTTTATGGCACTGTAGAATATGACATGCAAAAATGTCTATTGATGGTTTTTAAAAAGAGGATACGCGGATGTCGTTGCCTAGGCTTGACTAATTCATGTTTATACATGATTTTGGATCTCGGCTTAGCTTACAGAAATTAATAATGACATTTTATGCAGGCAGATATTTATTTTTAACCCTCTCATATTGTTTTTTTTTTATTATCAATTAAAAGGTTAAAAAAAGAAAACCATTGGTAACTTTAGAGACAATTATTCTCTGAATATAAAAACACCATATAGTAAATCAATAAATATATAAATGAAACGAATATCAGATTTTAGCGTTTAATAACAATCCAAAAATTTAAAATTTAAATCTACTATAAATTAATTTAAAATTTTTTAAAGATTGCAAGTAAAAACATGGCAATCAATTCTATATTTATAATAACATGGACCATTAAAATCTCTTTATTATATATTCATATATTTATTTGGAGGTAAATGGAGATTCAAAAACCAATAACATTTAGACATAGTCAAAAATATTTTCTTTTTAGAGAATATATTCGATATTGAAAAAAATTCGTTTATAAGCCACCACCATAAATCTCATGTTAACCAGCAATACAAAAGGAGAAGAATTATTAAAAGAAGAAACTATATTTAATTAATGAATAAAATTTATACATAAATTTAACTTTCTATCTCGAACTCTATAATCGGACATACATTGCAAAAGGAACATCGAACTTTTTTTTTTTTTTTTTTTTTTTTTTTTTTTTTTAAAAAGGAAATTGCAAAGAAGGTAGAGGTTAAACATAAATATTACTGCAAAATTTTATTTTACTTATTATTTTTTATTGTATGGAAATATGAGGAAGAAGAAGAAGAAAAAAAGAAGAAGTGTCTTCCTCGCAACCTCAGCTTGAGATCCTAATATGTATGAAAGAAAGAAAAGAACCATCATGAAAGTGATTATTTTTGCATGGCGCGTAATGGAGGTTTCCAAGAAACTTAGCATCGGTGTGAAATTAAAACATTTTCTTAGATCTTTTTATATTTAAAAAAATTAGGAATAATTAATAAGCGTTGTAACCTTTAAAATTAAAATAATTACGAAAACAAAATCCATAAATACATTAATTAACAAATTAAGTACTTTTGACTATAATTAGTAGTGCAGTTTGTTGATTTTTTTTTCTTTTTTTTGGTGATGCAAAATTCTATTGATTTTAAAAGAGGATACGCGATGTCGTTGGCCTCAGGCTGACTAAATTCATGTTTATACATGATTTTGGATCTCACAATTAAATGCTTTATGCCATATTTATTACCCTCTCTATTTTTTTTTTATATAAAAATAAAACCATTTTGCAATTAATTAACCCATTTAAAAATGTTGCAATTCAGTAGTTTACATCCAAATTTTTAAACACTTAATTTAATTTTTAAATTGCAAGTAAATATGGACAAATCTATATTACCATGGACCTTAATTCTATATATTTAATTAGTGGATATAGCAAACCATAAATAACAATAGTCAAAAGTTTCTTAATTCGAATTTGAAAATCGTTAAGCATCCACCATATTTGTTAACAGAAACAAAGGAGAAGAATTATTAAAAGAAACTAATTTATTAATGATAAATTCATAATTAATCACTCACCATAATCACACATTGCAAAAGAACACCTACCTTGTTCAGGACACTTCTCAAAACAAGAACCACAATGGCGAGGATCGTTTTGAACATCAACACAGCTTCCATCACAGCATACAAATCCATAACCACATGTTTGACCACATGCTCCACAATTCTTGGAATCTCTTAAGGTGTCTCTGCAAAACTGCTGAAAACAACACGTGTTGCCACCCCATGGATTCTTCTTCCGATCTAAGCACACATTCGGATCACCGGAACATGATAAACCTCTCTGTCTCCCCCTTAAAGCTGATCGGAAAAAGTTTACGTGCGTTGGAGCATCAGATTCCTGCAACTTATCCCACCGGCGAGCGGCAACCCCATGAGAAGATCCAATCAGAAAAACAAGAAACAAAGGCCACAAGTTTTTAACATAACTAGAAAGCATGGATATTTACTTCCCGAGCTCGTCATGGGTTTTTATGTTGCAGATTCAATGAGATAAGGTCAGGATCATCAAACCAAATATGCTTGATTTATGGGTTTTTATCAGATTATTTATATGAGTAAGTGTACTTAATTTCTCAAATTTTAATCACTAAGATGCTCCCATTACGTAGAGGATCGACCTAATTCTTTTCAAACAATCGGTGAGTAGATATAAGTGTGAAGTAGACATGAATATGACTTGGCCACATACATACTGAGAGGATGAACAATGAATTAATACTCCTTTTTAAAATTTTTTTACTATGTTGGTCAACTAGAATCTCCCAACTAATCATTTTCATATCAATATTTTTTTTCCGGACAAGGTAGATCTGACTCAGGATTAATTATAGTTAAGGCTCTTCGCCTCCCTTTGCACATATATCTAGTGGGATTAAATCTGAGAGCTCTTCCTACATGCTCAGCTTGTATTGCCAACTGAGTCACAACCTCTTGATATTTTTCTATCAATATTAATAGCTTGTCAACAAGGTTTAACTAGCTTGTTCACAGCGGATTAGTTTTGACCCAATTTATTTGGCTCGATTTGGACCTCAGAACCCACTCAGCCCCAATTTGTGGGGCCATTATGAAAATCTTGGCCCAGTTTCGGACAATTTATCGGACTCAATTTGGGCCTTCAAACCCATCGCATGCCCAATCGGTGTTCAATTACATGAATTATGATTCTCAGTTGGGTTGGGTGTTACCCAACAGCCGTAGGAGGAAGAAGAATCAAAGTCTTGTCTTTTTTCGATAGCTAAAGATTGATGACATGTCTACATGTGATTTGGGTCTGATCCCCAAGCCTCAGCTCGTGACAGACAACGTTGCAATCCATCATCTAACATCAGGGTCCCAGACAACAGGTATTTATTGATCCTGACCTTTCAATAATCACAGCCTTATATTTTCTTGAAACCTTAGATTTAGATTATTTCTAATTGTTCCTCTACGCATAATCCACGTAACAATATCTATAGTTGGTGCTAAAAATCAGTCCAGCGGCTCAAGGAAAAAAACTATAAACTTAATAATCTGGAGTTCAAGCTCAAATTCAAGCCTGTAAATAAGAAAAAAAAAAAATTATAAATTTTGAATGAGCCAAGCTTAAATTTAGTTTTTAAGTTCGAATATGACCTCATGGAGTCAAATTTTAACGTCGGCTTGTTTGTGGCTCTAATATAATTCTACACAAAATGCCAAAAAAGAAAAAAAAAAGATGTTGGTAAGGTTGAGCTGATATTTTCTAGAGAATAATATATTTACTACTGTGAGTCTTGTGATGAGTATCTGTTTGATTGATTGAGTCATATTGGCTGGCAAGGGAGCTTGCAATAAGTATTGAATTTGGGAAATTGGGTTCTGTCTGGTGCTATTTTTGTGTGTGGTGTCGTTTTCATGACAACCTCACAAATGCTAGCATACTTTGCTTCCATCTCATAAAACAAAATAATACTGCCCTGGAAATTCCATACTTACATTTTGGTAATAAGTTACGGAGACCCACATGCTTAAAAACAAAGATAATTGCATAATTAGGGCTCAAATTAGTAATCACTTTCTGAATTATTGCATTACATTTTAGTACACTTCAATAGGCTTCTTGTAATCCAACGCAGCAAAATTCCAACATCTTTGTCACTAATTACAGGAGGGTGTTCTTTTTTACCTTTTCTAAAGCCAAATGCTGAACTAATTGTTAGCCATAAACAAGGATATGGACCTACATTTGTGCCTCTTCCCATAATGAAGCTTCTTCTGTCAAGTCAACATACTTGTGTGTGCATGGCTTTTTTTTTTTTTTTTTTTGGGTCAAAGACATTGAAGAACAGCTTAAAAGCGAACATTTAAATAATATCAATACAGTATTTACTGCTTGTCATTTGGACTGATTAATCAATTGCTTCACATGATGATTAAGCAATAATACAAAACCTAGTTAATCATGTTTCACTCTAATCATAGAGAAAAAGCAAGAGAAAGAATCTCTTTAATATAATGCGAGAATGACTGTACGATGTTAATAGTAAATAGTAATACAGCTAAATCTTCTAATCAGTTCCTTTCCTATAAAGCCTTCAAGTGTGAAGAATGATTGGTGCTTTCTTTATAGATAATAGTGAAAGCTTCATTAGCAAAGCACCAAAAGAGAGAAAAAAAAAAAAAAAGAAAGAATTGGGAAGTGATATGATAAAGAGCATGTGAAGATGATAACAGTAAAATTTGTTTTCTTTCTCCTCTTTCCCCTTTTATGAATAGGAAGCAACGGTCAACTTTTGTCTTTAAGCTAGTATGAGAAATAGAGGGACCAAGAATGCTTGGATTTTGGTTAGAACGGTCACGGGAAATTGTTCTAAAACTTCAATTCTCTATAGCCACCACTTGTATATATGACCTTCTCCAATGTCTCTCTCTCTCTCTTATCCTCCATGGTTGAGTTCTCTTTTATCTTAAGAAGTATTACAGGTCTAAGTGCTCCATGGCTTCTATTTCTTCCTTTTCTTGCTCTCCTTTATCTCATGATTATGAGAGACCAGACCTTGAATCCATAAAGGCACTTGTTATTGCAGTAAATGAATATTTTCTTGAATTCTTAGCAAATATTGAATTATGGAATTCTTTGAAATCCCAATGTATTTCTAAGCTAAATATTAGAAAGCAAGAATTCTTTGAATTTTCCGAGCATTCAGTTATATCAAATCTTTATTGGGGGATTGAAAGCATTGAAGCTGCAATTCAGGAGAAAAATGCAGCAGAGAGACTTACCCGGTTAAAGAATTCGGAAAGAATGCTTCAGGCCCCAGCATTGCTTGAAGAAGATGGAGTCACAGCTGGAATTCAAAACCATTATTTGGTTTGCTGCTCATACTTTTACCTTTCTTTGGTTAGAAAATTGCAAAATGATGAGTCTCAGGTTGCCCTGCACTTTCTCCAAGCAACATCGGTATCGCCAAGAACTATTCGAACTGAACTTGCTCCAGAACTCTGTGCAAGTCTGTTTAATTCAAGAATTGTTTCAGAAATGGATGTCATCAGTGGAAAGAATGATAAGGAGGCCATTATTAATGAAGCAATTAGGGAGATTGCAAGGAGATACAAACACTGGCTAATGTATTATCAGGTCATGTTATATGGAGAGACTCTCCAGTGGCAGTGCAGAAGCAAAGATGCTTCATTCCGCGATGATGAATTGCAGAGTTTCTGGTTAGTTCTCCTTTTAGCGAATAACATCACAATTAATGCAGAAAAAAATAGAATTCTTTATCATTTTTTTTCCATCATATTGAATTAAACTTTGGATTTTCTTTGTTTCATATATGAATTTTTTAATGCCCTTGAAATATCTCGTAATATTATGACAGGCAAGTAACCAAAAGTAGTGACTCTTCAATTTCAATTGAGCAAGGACACTTGCTGAAACCATACAAAGTAAGCCCAAAACTAATGTTGAATTTCATTCAGACTATATGCAAATATTCAAAATGGATATTCTCATGCTCTAGGTTTATAAAATTTGCATTTTTACAAATTCTTATCTTTGTAGTTCCGCAAAAAATTTAATGCAGGATGAGAAGGTGCATCCACTCGATCCTCAAGAATATGCAGCTTATGATACAGCAGACAAACTTAAAACTTGCACAGAAATTCGAGATGACAGTAAAGTTCAAAACCTGAAAACTCAGACTGAAGAGCCTGAAAAATATACAAGCATCAAATGCCTTCAGGAAGTACTGATGGAATCCCAATCGGATACACCAACTTCAGCAAATTCATGCTACAGTTGTTATGTGGAAGAAGATGATGATGAGGTAACTTTTTGAGAGGCACCACATGAGCATAGAATTCTGTCTTGGAAAATTAGCTACCAAATGCATGTTTTTTTATTGTATCTCAGAATTATTGATTTTAATGCACCCCACCTGATATTTTTGGAGAATCATAATTATTGAATGATAGCTTACCCTTTTTGCATCAGGAAACTATGGATGATACTAAAATGTCAATCAGAACTACAAGTGAAGCTGATATGCAACTACAAGTTTGTGATCAGTTATGTTCAGAATCAAGTTTTTCGGGCATTTTCACTTGCTAAACAAGAATGTAATGAAGTGTTTAACAATGAAAACTACTTTATTTTTCTTTACAGGATGCAGGAGGCTTCTTGCTTCACATTGAACCAAATATACAAACCGATGATTTTGCCACTTGTACCTCAGCAAGCAGTGCAAAAGGTTAATGAAGTAAATATCAGTAACTTCTCTTCTGGCAGATTTCACAGTTCTATCAGCGATTTCGATTTATCTATCATGGAACTTCGAAATAAAAAATCAGGTTCTTTCCCGGATGGCAATGTTGAAGGAATTGATCGGGTAGGAGCAATTGCTCTACAGAATTGGAAGGTCATGCAGATGGGTAGACACCAAAAAGCTTCAAGGGAAAAACAGAGCTCGCCAAGCTCAAAAAACATGAATGATCTTTGTCTGCATTCGGGAAAAGATTCCATTTCCAATACTGAGTTAATGGCAATACTTGAGAAAGCAATTTCAAAACTGTGCTTCTCCGAAGGATTAGCAAAATGCGAGGAAGACTATGCTGTAGAACTTACAGCCATTTACAATATGTTGAACAGCAAAAAGGGAATAAAATACACTATCTTAAAGGATATTATTCTGGATCAGCTGCTAACAGCTATTTCAAGTTCTAAAGAGGAAAAAGTCATAAGGGCATCAATGTCTATTCTTACAAGTATTGTATCAGTAAACAAGTCAGCTATAGAAGATATCAGGAAGAAGGGATTGCGGTTGTGTGATTTGGCAACTGCTCTCAAGCAAAATGTGCATGAGGCAGCTATTCTTATATATCTGATAAATCCATCCCCAATAGAAATAAAGACATTAGAACTTATGCCAGCATTGGTGGAGATTGTGTGTACTTCAAACAACTACAAGGGGAAAATACCTTCAGAATTGCTGACACCTCCTGCAGCATCATTGATGATTGTTGAAATTCTAGTAACTGCATTTGATTGTGGTACCAATAACATGCACTTGGCTGCAATCAATTCTCCCAGAATTATCAGTAGGTTACTAGATGTTGCTAGAGACAATAATGTTGAGGAATGCATTTCCATGGCCAATATTTTAATAAAATGCATGCAATTTGATGGACAATGCAGAAAATGCATAATGGAATTTACTACTCTGGCTCCATTTAAACGTCTACTACAAAGTAATGAGAAGCGTGCCAAGTTAATAGCACTTCAGTTTTTCCATGAAATCCTCTGCATGCCAAGGTATGCATCCTCCTCTATAAACTCCAGTACAAAAAAAATATGAACAGTTTATGGTCATTAGAGGGAAAGATCATTAATTCGTGTAATTCATCTCTTTCAAGGAGATTAGAGGGAACAAATAAATGAACTGGCTATTAACATCCAAAAACTTTTGTCAGGTCATCAGTCATTACCTTATTGCAATGGTTACAGAAAGAAGGAAGTGATGGCATTATGCACATTCTGCTGCAGTGTGTCCAAGAACTTCAACCTCATTACCAACTTTTGGCAGCAAATTTATTGGTGCAGCTAGACATTCTGGTTAGTAGTATGACTTGCAAATAGCAATCAAATAAACTGCATTTCAGTTACCACAGGAATATATGATTTGAATTGATATGGTCTTATCAAATATTCGCAGGGAGACTCATCTGGTAAAAGTATGTTCATGAAAGAGGCTATGCAGATCATCCTCAAGTCAGTGGCATCTGAAGAAAGCTCTACTTTGCAGCAACTGTCTACTTTCATTCTGGCAAACATTGGAGGAACTTATACTTGGTCAGGGGAACCATACACAGTTGCTTTGCTAGTAAAAAAGGCAGGCTTGACCTCTTTGAAACACTGGAACATGATAAGAAACTTTGACTGGTCAGACCAAAGCCTGCAGGTAAGATGTAAGAAATAAATAAACTAATGACTCATTTAGTGGGGTGTTTATATTTTCTGTATATTAACCAGAGAGATTAAGAATAAGAAAGGTTCATGAAATTCAGGATGCTGGAATTGAATCCTGGTGTAGCAAGATTGCAAAAGGCATTCTTAGCATAGGCAAACCAGTATTCCATGCTTTAGAGAAAGGTCTAAGAAGTAAGATCAAAAGGGTTTCTCGGGACTCTCTCACCGCTATTGCATGGATTGGATGTGAAATTGCCAAGCATCAAAATGGCCTAAGAAATTCTGCGTGTGAGATACTGCTCGATGGTATTGAGCAATTTTTGCACCCAGGAATGGAGCTTGAAGAAAGACTTCTAGCATGTCTTTGCATCTATAACTATACTTCTGGCAGAGGTAATGCCCTTATTGAGTAACAACCGCCCTGCACGAATTTATTGAGCTCAACAATGAGTAGGAAATTTGTTGAGCCTCTATTTAAAAAGTACGTTCTTTGTGCAGGAATGCAGAAACTAATCCATTTCTCAGAAGGAGTAAGGGAGTCCCTGAGACGTTTTTCAAGTGTAACCTGGATGGCTGATGAACTACATAGAGTAGCTGACTTTTATCTGCCTAATAGATCAGTTAGTAATCTAATACCCTTTAGGTAACAATGCCGGTGTGATACCTTTTTTTCCTAATAAAAATTCTTGTAATGGTAAGAACAGCGTATATCTTGTGTACATTCACAAATTTTGGAGGCAAAACACAACTGCAGTGGAGCTGTAACTGCCCTTATCTACTACAGGGGACTGCTCTATAGTGGCTATTCTGATGGCTCTATTAAGGTATTTACTATACTATCATATATCCAAACTTGCCAAGGCCTGAAACATAAGACATCTATGCTTATTTACCAGGTGTGGGACTTCAAACAACAATCAGCCGCTCTTTTATGGGACCTGAAAGAGCACAAAAAGACAGTGACATGTTTTTCACTCTATGAACCAGGGGAAAGCCTTTTAAGTGGGTCTGCTGATAAAACCATTAGGGTATGGATAAAATAAAGTTTCATACAAATCTCATAATGAAGGAAATGTGAACTATTGATCCATTTTTTTCCAAACAATGCCTTAATTATGTAGGTTTGGCAAATGGTTCATCGAAAATTGGAGTGCATTGAAGTTATATCGTTGAAAGAACCAGTTCATAAGATAGAAACATATGGCCAGATGATTTTTGTTGTAGCGCAAGGCCATGGAATTAAGGTAACCATTTAACTAAACATTGCTAAAAGAAGTGTTCAAAACAAAAGCATTTTAGTATAGAACTTGCTATTTACAGGTGATTGATTCATCAAGAATAGCAAAAGAGATGTGCAAGAATAAGAAGGTTAAGTGTATGAGCGCAGTGCAGGGAAAACTTTACATAGGCTCCATGGATTCAAGCATACAGGTTGGTTAGTTTTTATGAGCATATTCTTTGATACAAACTCTTGTAGGAATTGGAAAAAGTACATGACCGATTTTCTTTTCAGGAATTAGCAATAACAAACAATAGAGAGCGAGAGATCAAACCACCAATAAAGAGTTGGATGATGCAAAACAAACCAATCAATTCGATAGTTGCATACAAAGATTGGCTTTATAGTGCAAGTTCAATTGTTGAAGGTTCAAAAATTAAGGTAAAAAATTGCACTGTGGATATTTTTGTTCTAATACTATGCAAGAAGCCTCCAGTTATTTAAAGGAAATATTACAGGAGTGGAGAACAAATTACAAGCCCCAAACGACAATACAAACTGAGAGAGGCAGAAATGTACAATTCATGGGAGTAGTGGAAGACTTCATATACTTAAATTGCAGCTCATCAACCAGCACCCTTCAGGTACACATTTTTCCTCTAGTACCTCAAAAGTTTGCTATAGTTAACTTTAGTAGAAAAGGGTAAAATTTTGAGGGACTAAAGCGTTTTACTGAAACTAAAATTTTCAATCTTGTGCGCTGGACATTTTTGTGAAATTAGATATGGTTGAGAGGGAAGCAACAGAATGTGGGGAGAATATCAGCAGGCAGCAAAATAACAAGCCTACTCATTGCCAATGACATTGTTTTGTGTGGTACTGAGAAAGGACTAATCAAGGTTTGTTCATTTAAAGCCTTCTGATTTTCAGTTTCTCTATTTATCCACTTCAATGGATAATGGTTTTCTCCTTTTGTGACAGGGATGGATACCACTCTAGAGGGAGGAAAGGAAGAGTTGTCTGATTGAGCCAGATTTTAGTTCCATGTAAATATATAGTTTGTGCACTATATATTGATATTACAAAGAATAGAGTTGTAAAAATATAATTGTGTTATCTGTATTACAAACTTGGAGATCAATAAAATTATAGCTGATTTAATGCACTGCGAGACCCAGTTAAAATCCTGATAGCCACTCCGTTCTCCATAAATTACAAACAATAAATTATAATAATAGTAATTTGACCTATCAAATTGCATAGCAAAAAATATCAAACAACTCAAAAAAAAAAAAAAACAGTAAATGTGAATTTTATATTTTTCTTAAAAAATTAAAAAATATAAATAAATTTGAGAGCAACAATAGCTTTAGGATAATTTTTTTCTCCTAATACAATTATAAAATTATTTTAAATATATTCATAATATAGTTTTAAATGTATTAATGGAATAAGTTTTCTACTAAGTAAATTAGAATTTTTAGAAAGAAAAAAAATGCAATTTTATATGAATAAAATATTTTTTGAAAAATATAAATAAAACTATTCATTAAATAAATAAAAAAACAGTAAACATAGTGCGGGTAACGTCCTTGTTTCGTCTATTCCACGGTTTCACCTCTCTTATCCCCGCCGTTTATGAATTTTATTTAAAAGCCCTAACTAAAACTTTCTTTCCCTTTCTGCAAATTGCTTCGCTCAGAGTCGTCATGAAGTGAGTCGACGAGCATCAGCCGACGGTGTAACTTATGAAACAATCGGTTGGCTCCGTTCACTAATACGGGCACTGAATCGGACCGGGGTTCCCTCTAACTGCAATCCCCTCTTAATTTAACTGCCCTTGCACTACCGTCTCTCCCTCTCAAAAACCCTAGCATTCATAGGGAACAACTTACGGAGATCACTGCAGGAGGAGAAAATGCCTGGCCCTACACAAGAGATGGAGCCAGTGGAGCCACAGTCACTTAAGAAGCTTAGTCTAAAATCACTAAAGCGAGCGCTCGATCTATTCGCTCCAGTTCACGGCCAGCTAGCTCCAACGGATCCTGAAAGGTTACCATGGAACCCTAATTTTATCCTCCTTTTTTTTTTTTTTCTTAAAATTATTTCTCGTTATCTGATACTAATTGGGGATTTTTTTTATCGTCTTCATGCAGTAAACGAATTCGCTTGAACTATAAGGTTAGTGAAATTCCGTTCGTTCGTTTGTTTTAGGTATTGGTTATTATTGCATGCCCATTGGAACATTCAAACCATATTCATTGGAAGATGTGATAAGCAGCTTTGAATTTTCGGTTACATGTTAGGACTTTGGATTTTAGGTCATGAAGTCGTTGTTTTATGGGTCATAAGCTGCTGTTTAATTCACTGTGTAGATAAATGTCGAGTATAAAGGAATCAAAAGCGCAAACGAACTTCCTCGACCAGTTAATTCTACTACAACTGAAAGTGGCCCTCAATCATCAGCGCCTTCCAATGCCCTTGCTCTTCCAGGTCCTAATTAAAGTTGTTTTTCCCTTTGAACTGATTAATTGTACTTGTTCGATCATTAATGCATGTTTTTCTTCTATATATGATGCAATTTGTTTCAGCTTTTCTTGTGAGCCAGATCATGTTACTACTTACCAAAGCAATAGAGGTTCCTTATATTAATGTATGTGTCTCATTGTGCTGCAGGTCCAGATGATTCTAGGGACTCACAGAAGGGCGGGGTTCAAAATGCATTGATTGTTGGTCCATCTCTGCAGCCAAAGGGACCGTGAGTACCTTCCCCCCCTCCCTCCTCTCTCTCTCTCTCTCTCTCAAACGCACATGGAGATACCTAGCTGACTTTTACTTTGAAGAAAATTAAGTGTGAATAGTTATTTCCCCTCATATATTTTACCTTCTCGTATCTCCTCCTGCATACATTTTTGTTCTATATCTACTATTGTTTCTTTTTCTTGACAAAAAATCTTCTATTGGGACTCATTAATTCGATGGTTTTTTTTTTTGCTCTTTCAGAAATGATATTGGTCTGCAGGGAAAAAGCAAGGCATTGGTTTCTGGTTCTGGATCTGAAAGGTTTAGTTTCCTTGATTTTGTTCTCCTTTCTGCCACTCGATAATTTGTGAAGAAAATATGCTTACGATGGCGCATTACATGTTTAATGTCTTTGGGCTTCCGGATAGGTTATGTATTCTGCATCGATTCTCTGGCTAGATGCTTAACTTTGATAATTTCTGCTGTTTACAGTGAAAACTTAATTAGATACGTTGTTTAGTACATAGTGTCAAAAAGAAAATAGAATATGAGGTCCTTGTAGTGATAAATGGCTTAATGTTTAAATGTTTGCAAAGAGCAAAGGTTGATATCATACAGAACCTGTTCTGCTTATTTTGTTCCTCTTACAGATGTTTTCTGAATAATATGGCATATTTGGCTTTAATATATATTTTCTCCATTTATAGGAACTTCTCAACATCTGCTATAATGGAGAGAATCCCAAGCAAATGGCCACGTCCTGTCTGGCATCCTCCATGGAAGAACTACAGGGTAAGAGCTTTCTAATTTTTGTCATTGTTGATCACTACAATTTATTGCAACTAAGTGTTATGTCTTACATAGTTTGTATGATTATACAGGTCATAAGTGGTCATTTGGGATGGGTAAGATCTATTGCATTTGATCCAAGTAATTCATGGTTTTGTACTGGTTCTGCAGATCGTACAATCAAGGTAACAAGTTCGTTTTTTTCTTTTTCGATGAATTGATGTCATTGTGGAATTGCACAAATTTGGGTTGTTTGCTGTCCTGGGTTATATATGGTTTGGATTTATTTTTTTTCCTTCTTTATTTCTTGATATTTATTAGTTGATGAAAATGTGTGTATAAAAATTCATATACTTGTTTAAGAAATCATGATCCTATATGGGATCCAGATAACATCATGGTTTTAAGATTCCGATAAATTCTTTGATTTTCTTTTTCATACAACAAGGGAGCATTTTTAAGTAGAATGTTAACCGTCAAACTTAGTTCATTATGGGAATGGATGAGATTAGAGAAAAAAAAAAAAATTCATATCAATAATCTGTGTTACAGGAAAGTTACAGCCTATTGGGAGTTCCAACTTACCTTCACCCAATTAGAATTTCCTTGTTATACCCCTGTCCCCTTGGTGCATCATTTAGACTAGATTTTGCAGGAGCTATTTGTAATGGATTTTCTTTCCTTCCTGAATTTTGGTTGACCAGATATGGGATGTAGGAACTGGAAGGTTGAAGCTCACACTGACTGGGCACATTGAACAAGTACGAGGTTAGTCAATATCATCATTGTTGGCAATAATTGCTTGATTATTATGCTTTTAAGATATAATATCTCAAGACTGTTTACTTTTACAGGCCTTGCTGTCAGCCAAAGGCATACCTACATGTTTTCTGCTGGTGATGACAAACAGGTGAAATGCTGGGACCTCGAGCAGAACAAGGTGAGAACTTCAACCTAATTTGACTATTCGAACCTACTAATCCATCAGCCTCTATAATAATAAAAAGAAACTATGATTTGAGTGGCTGATCTTTTTTAAACATATATAGGTTGTCAGGTCTTATCATGGTCATCTGAGTGGTGTCTACTGCTTGGCTCTTCATCCCACTATTGACCTTTTGCTAACTGGAGGTCGCGATTCTGTTTGTCGGGTATGGTATTTTTCTCTATTGTGGATAAGTTGTTAAGGCGAATGCTGTTTATATGTATATCTACTGAGCAATTTGTAAACTTTTTATATATCTGGGATTAGAAAGATAACTTGCGAGAGAAATTCTCAGGTCTGGGATATTCGTACAAAAGTTCAAGTTTTTGCTCTTTCTGGGCATGATAATACAGTATGCTCAGTTTTTACTCGACCAACGGTATGCAATCACCCTTCTCTTTTTCCTCCACTCCTATTTAGTTTTTTTTTTTCTTTTTCTTTTTCCTTCTAATATTTATTAAATTGTCCTGCTATCAACATGAGATTGTATGTGACACATGCAACAGCTTTAGACAAGACATGAAATAAATTAAGAATTCATGGCTGAGTTTTTCTATCTGTATTGCACACATGTGTATATAATTGTTGATTATATATCCGTTTTTCTGTTTCCAGGATCCACAAGTTGTAACGGGTTCCCATGACACGACCATCAAGTTCTGGGATCTCAGATATGGTAGTTTGTTTTTCTTATGATTTTTTTTTTTTTCTCATTTACAATTTACTTTCAGTCTTTTATCATAACAATTGTTTGTCTTACAGGTAAGACTATGTTAACACTCACACACCACAAGAAATCTGTTCGAGCTATGGCACAGCATCCTACAGAGTATGTGCCTATATTCATTTTCTTTCACTTTTTGTTACCAATGGGGCTATGTTTGATCATATAGTGGTTCTGCAATCATTCTTTATTCTTTTTATTTATTCTTTCAGGCATTGCTTTGCATCTGCATCAGCTGACAACATAAAGAAATTCCGCCTTCCAAAAGGAGAATTCTTACACAACATGCTGTAAGTTTTATCTAATGTTTCCAAAAAAATGCAGAGAAGATCGATAGAAAATCTTTCTTGTCCCATGAAAAATGAATCTGGTTGAACACCTGAAATGAAGTGAGTTGATTAGAAAGGGGGTGGTTAGACATATCTCAAAAAAATGTTCAAAATAAGTGCACTATATGCTTTCTCTTAGTAATTTTATTATCTGGTTCAGATAATTTTTTGAAAGATTGCAATTATGACTTCTTTAGCACCTGGTTTTATTATCTTTCAAAATTATGTTCTTCCATGTTGTAGTTGTAAAGTCTAACAACCTAATTTTATTTTATCAGCTCGCAGCAGAAGACCATCATTAATGCAATGGCTATCAATCAGGATGGTGTAATGGTTACAGGAGGTGCGGATACCTTTTACATAAACTCAAATAATAATTTGTCTGACATGTGTCTGATGTCATTAGTCATAGTCGTCCTAGAGCTATGGGTCACAGTCTGGGAGAATAAGGCCCCTTCGTCTTTGCTTGGCTCTGTTGGTGTGACTGTTGGACAGAAAACTATAGAGGTGTGAGAATTTGCCTGGGTTTATCTTACAAACAACGGAATCACTCAGGCTGGGATCAAGCTGGTCTGTTTTATAGCAAATCTTGGCTGATCCAAAAGGTGGTCATACCTTAGGTTTAGTAGCTGAGCAAGGCAATATGTGCCACGGTGACCTCTAAAGACCCAGACTAACTCTTACCTCCTACAACATCTGGCCTAATTTTGGTTCAATTCTTGCTTGTTAGTAGATAGGAAGAATGAATTTCCATTTTGACTTGGCTTCTATACCCAGATTACATGGGCCTATGAAATATTTGTTCCATTTCTTTGTAATTGTTTTCCCTCACTTTATTTTAGGTGATAATGGTAGTATGTGGTTCTGGGATTGGAAGAGTGGTCATAATTTCCAGCAAGCTCAAACGATTGTACAGCCTGGTGTGTTTTTTTCTCGTCTATCTTTTTTCCGTTGTTTTTTACTGATGATGGAATGAAACAACAATGACGCTACTATTTCTCTACAGGTTCATTGGACAGTGAAGCTGGTATATACGCTATCTCATATGATGTAACTGGTTCAAGGCTTGTTACATGCGAAGCTGACAAGACAATTAAGATGTGGAAAGAAGATGATAGTGCGACCCCAGAAACACATCCTCTCAACTTCAAGCCACCTAAAGATATCCGTCGGTTCTAGTGGTCATGTTGCTATTCCTTTTTTTTTTTTTTTTTTTTAGAGCTCTTGCAATCTCTCAAGAACAATAAGAATGTAGGAACAGAAGATCGATAAAGTCGAGCGACACCACGGAGCCAGGTAAAGACACAAGAGAGGCACATAACGTCAGCAGAGAAACTTGGATACAAATAAGGACGACACTAATAAGAGAAGTTAACCCTGTCGGTTTTCTTACCGCTGGTTCAATGTTGCTATTCACCTTAACTGGACTTTTAACTTTACGGAAAAATTTGTCTTGGTGTATATATACTTGTAATGTTCTTTATTCTTCCCATCAAGCGTTTCGGCAGATATAGTAACCTGGTAGCCTATGCAGATTTTTTCATCATATACAGCAAACACTCTTTTATCTCGAATTCATCGTAAAGTACAATTGGGGGAATCCTATATCGTCCCTGTCACAATGAACATATGGAATTGATTTTCTCACATCAGGAAGTTACAAGAAGTTTGAAATTCAAATTTTTCTAGCGATAGGTGCAGATGTACAAGACAGCAGTTTATATTGTCTGGCTCATGTTCGATGAGAGACTACACCAAGAATTTCACAGAGAAGTGAAATTGTAAGTAATAGAAATTTGTCTGTTATTTATATCATTCGTCTGTTAACTAGTTATGCCCAAAGTTTTGAGGGTTTTGTCTTTTTGTCATTCATGATATAGGTACGAAATGGAGTCATTTGGAGCCTCTCCCAATTGTTTGTAAAAGGAATTAATCCATGGGATTCGAGTAGTTGTTTTTCTGTGATATCGTCTAATACAGCCTAGTTGAAATCAAATCCTAGTCCTTGCATGAGCACACGATCACGTACGGAAAGGTGCTGACCGATTTGCCAAATACAATATTTTCAGTTTCTGTGTCTCACTCTGTTTCTTACAAACCCAATCTCTTTAGCCCCTCATAGAAGACCTCAACCGAACCAAATTCCAACAAGGACATCCTAAAAGTTATACCGAGTAACCACTCTGGAACCTTATTTTCATACTTTCAGTCTTCATTGCTCTAAAAGCAAAGCTGCAACTGAATAATCAGTCTGTTTAAGATTTGTCATTTAATATTTGGATGTAATTGAATCTAAATTATTGGTCATCCGTGTCTCTGAGAGAGTTGGTAGCGATTGGTTTGAATCCAAGAACTACCGGTATACACGACTCAGAAGAGTTTCCATTACTTTGTAAAAGGAAATTCCGAGGGAAAATAGTTCTCAGGGGATTTACACATATGACGCTGTTAGTAATACCATGGGCCTATCTCTCTCCTCAACCTTTAACCGACGATTCCTATAGAGAATAGTTGATGAAGAACAGCGAATTAAGGGGAAGGTAGTGGCCACCCGGATAGAAGAAGAGAGAAGTTATATTGGGAGTAATGATTAATTTTGTGTGTTTCCGGGTTTTGCTTTTCTCGGGTGAGTAGCCAATTTTGAGTCTACCCTTATCTTAAATGAGCCCAATACTGAATAAAATTTTTGATGGGGGGCGCGCGAGTTCCTTTTTTTTTTTTTTTTTTCTTTCCGCGTTGGCAATGTATCGTGCCATTTCACTATATGTAACCTTTATTCATAGTAAGTGGGATCCTTATCAGTCTGTCACAATGAACATAGGATTGATTTTCTCACATCAGGAAGTAACAGAAGTTTGAATCAATTTTTTCTAGCATAGTGCAATGTACTTGAGAGTTATTTGCTGGTCTTGAAGCTACCACAGAATGTAAATTTTTATATCATCTGTATTATTAGCAAGTGAGGTTTTTGCTTCATGAAAGATAATGTCATTAGCTCCCAATTTTGAAGAATTTATGGATTTATTTTTTTATAAATATATGAATCTTATGCAGAGCGAAGGGACATTCAACATATTCTTTTTGGCCTTTTTTCAACCATCTAGCCCTCTAAGCCGCACAAATTCACAAAGGAACCAAATAACATAACACCCAGTTTTGTTATTATTATTATTATTATTATTGTCATCTTCTAATTGTAGATTGAAAAACCGAAAGAGGTTTTCTTTTAAGATTTGGAAAATTTTCAGGTTTTAAAGGGTTAGTAAACAGGTATCCTTTCCGCGTTCTCTGAGAATAGTTGAAGGAAACAATAGGGGAAGTTTCCCCGTGGAAAATTTATGTTGATTTTGTTGGGTTTCGGATCCCAAATTAGTCTACAAAATGAGCCCAAAATGCTTAAATTTTGGGCCCGGGCAGCAAACAGATCCATGAGGCTAGGAACAAGCTCCTGATGATCCACTATCAACAGTCTCGACCCGAATCATCATAGACTGAGGTTAGAGACTAGAGTTTCAGTAGCAAATAAAACCCTAATCGCAGCACTGTCTCCATTCCCTTCTCATTTCTGCGGCGCTTCAAAGCCTTAACGTCCATCTTCTCTGGTCAGTCCCTCTCTCTTTCTCTGTAATCAAATAAATGCATATTTATTTACCGTTGTATTATATTCTCCCTTGTTTTTTTTGCTGTTATTTAGCAGATAAGCCTCTTAGCATTCAGGAAGGCGAAGAAAATGAGTAGAGGCGGTGCAGCTGGGGCCGGCGGAGCCAAGGGGAAGAAGAAAGGAGCAACTTTCACTATTGATTGCGCGAAGCCGGTGGAGGATAAGATCATGGACATTGCCTCTCTCGAAAAATTCCTCCAGGAGCGCATCAAAGTCGGCGGCAAAGCTGGAGCTCTCGGTGATTCCGTCACTGTCACCCGTGAAAAGTCCAAGATCACTGTAACATCCGACTCCAACTTCTCCAAACGGTAAATAGCTTATTTTTGGGTTTTGTATTTGGTTCTTCTTATGCTTACTAGATAGACAGGGTAGTCAACTATTACAGTGAAATCGTGAATTTATAGATGTAAATGAAGTGCTGCATTGCTAATGGATCAGAGCATTGATATTGTGTGTTTTAGTTATCTGAGCTTGTATGACCACCTTATGTTTATCATCAAATGGTGATGAAGTCTTAAGTTTATCATCTTTGCTTATAAGATAGTCGGTATCTTTGCTTGAAAGAAGCTAAATTATAGCAAGTAACTTGTTTTCTGAACTGACACCATTTGCCTTCTCTCTTATTGCAAACTTCATTTGATTGAGTTGGATTATTATTTGGCCTTTACAGATATCTCAAGTACTTGACAAAGAAATACTTGAAGAAGCACAATGTGAGGGATTGGCTTCGAGTCATTGCTTCCAACAAGGATCGTAATGTTTATGAGCTGAGATACTTCAATATTGCTGAGAATGAAGGTGAAGAGGAAGAGTAAATTGTATCAGTTTGTCCTTTTCATGTCACTATTCTCATTTTTTTCCCTCTCTTCATAGTAATCTTTCTTACTATTGACTTTAATTATGCTTTCTTTAGTAAGTTTTAGAACTTGAAGATGATGATATTTTGTTAAAAGCCTATTCCTAGTTATGGTTGGATATTAACCATATTTTGAGATTTTTGGTTTTGGATAAAGAATGCTTGCCAAAATTATATCAGTGTGGTCTCCTTTCAACAATTTTTATCGGGGTCTTAGTTGCAACAGACTTCGTCCATTCCTAACATAGGAAAGAATATTGATGTTTTGCTGGTTTTTAATTTTGCCTAGAATATTCTTCTGGCTGCATTCGATCTTTTTTTCTGGTTTACTTCACATTTTCATTCACCATGGGTTTTGACTATTATTTCATCCTCTCTTATGCTTCGATATTGCAAAGTCCTTACATATAGTAATAGAAGTACGTTAAAAATGTACAAAGTCTCACCTTAGAGACATTGGCATCCCTTTCATGAATACTAGGTTCTTTTAATTGCGTCAGTTGTAGGTTTTTCTCCAGCATGTATGCAGAAATGCTCAAAGGCATTCTTGATTTTTGGTATCTAGGAGTTGCCTTTTCTTCCAGCAAATTAGTGAAAGTAAATACTTTGAGTTGCTCTGAGAATGGCAAAACCAGATGTTCCCCAAAGCCAAAATATTTAGAGTTCTGTCTGTTGATTTTGATATACCAATCTGTAAGATTGGTCATCTACTTTGTTTTTGTTTATTCAAACGAGACTGTGTTGCTCACACTTTGCTGCTTGTCTTGAATTTGGTTTACACAAAATTTGAATTTGCCTTGAATCTGAGTGATGGAATTTAAACATTCTATGTATTTGCCAGATTCCTTTGTTTTGGTTGAGAAAAAATAGGTCACAATTGATGGAATTGATTAATTCCATTATATGGTCTTAAATGATACTATTTAAACTGTTTAATTTTATTTTAAAATAGTACTTGATTCGATGCATTTTTTTTCCATCTGAAGAATGGAATTTGAGATTCATTGTATTTCATAATGTATAGGTTTTACATTCCATGGATTTTTTGAAATACGTGGATTTCACGTTCTATCAGTATATCATACGGTGCTTTTTTCTGTATTAAACTTGTGGAACCATTGAACCCTCAAGACTAGGGTTGCTACACCTAGCGGTGGTTACACGTTTTATTGTGGATAGTGTAGCCAGATTGCATTTGATTCGTTTGCGAAATACTATGAAAATATAATATTTTTTGGATATCAACGAGGGTATTAACAATTTTTCATTGTGAAATACATAAATTTTCAATTTTCTTCAATCTTCTCTTTTCCATTTTTAAGAAATGAAGTCAATTAAAATATTTTAAACAAAAATTGGCATTTGCTTAATCAAATGGCATTTGCTTAAGTTAATTAACTGAAGAACTTGAAATGATAACAAATAATAAGTAATAACACAAGTGGCTGCAATGTGCCATTACCAAATTTGATGGAGGATGAAGAGTAGAAAATTTTGAGGCTTCTGTGGACCAATCAGCCATTCCCCGAAAAAGTATTTAGCAATCAAACAATCTTTAGGGAAAATGGCCAATTGTTATATCTAGGCACGGCAATGGCGTCTTCCCCTACTTTTTATAGAGCCAAAAGGCCTCCATGCAAGGGACAGAAGGCATGCTATTGGAACTAGGGTGTAAAACAGATTGTAGGTTTTGATGGGTAAAGAACTGTAGACAAACAAATAGGATCAAATTTAATTCCCTTTACAAGAGGCAAAGAGAGAGGCAAGAACAAGTTAGTCAAAAAATTCTGCAGCAACTTGGTCTCCCATGTTCTATAAATAGGATACATACTTTACTTACAGTGTATCTTCAATTACAGGAACTAGCTAGAGCTACATATCGCCTTGAAATCAATTCTTCTTCTTTCCCTTTTTTTTGACTTCCCCAAATAAGTTACTCCCTAGAATGCCAATTTGATATAGTAATATAATAAGTTAATAACATATTAAGAAAATTCAGGCCATAGTTTTGATGAGATAGTGCTTTCCTTAGGCTATTCAGTGCTATCAGAATTCCTCTCCATGGACATGCAGGCCCTAATGCATATGCAATACATGCTTCGCGCGCACCAAGCCAACCCAGCTCCTACGCATCCGCCCGAGCCTAAATTAATTAGTTCATGGCGCCCAGCTCTTAATTCTGGAAAATCAACAAATTTGCATATAAATTAATATAGGCAGTTAGACAGAGACTTATGACATGCAACTAACGAATGACATTCATTCAAGAAGTATGAGTTCTTTGCTTTTTCAGAATTATTTATGCAAAACATGCATTGTGAATGCAACCACTTCACGTATATAAATAAGTTATATACGCATCTTAAAGATTATATCTGCATAATAATTCAATCATCGATCACTGTCATTGGAGCTATATATGGCCTTGAAAACGTTTCTTCTCATTACCCTTTCGGTTGCTGTTATGGCCACCATAAGAACTGGGGCTCAGTTTGGAGATATAAACACCCTTCTTGGTCTTATCCGCATCCAAGGGACAGTATACTGCTCCATGAATGATACTATGAGTAACATTGCCTCTTCACCCCCTTTTAGTAGTAAGTTAGCGCTAATAAATATTGTTCAGCTCCCATTGCAAACTTGGAACGATGCGGTTCTCTGTCCTTCAAGATTCATCTCATTGAATTTTATTTTACTTTCTTTGCAGATGCTGTGGTGCAATTGAAGTGTGGAGAAAATGTGATTAGTAGCACAACGACAAATGGGTCTGGACATTTTTCAGCTACGTTAGATCCTTTTAATTTTATTGTTTCTTCATTATTGAACAGTTGTAATCTGAAAGTTGCGACTCCGCTATCAAGCTGCGACTCCGCTCTACCGTCTGCCGGCGGTCTACTGTCAGCTTTACAGTTCATCGGAAACACTTTTGTAGGACAAACAAATATAGGACAAATGAACATTATTCCTGCAGGATTTCAATTTGTGCCATCCCATTAAATAGACACGCAATACTTTATTATATGAATAAGATCAGTTTGGTTAATTTGAAGGATGGATTCTAATTAAAATTCTTATTCCAATGTTTGATATTACATTAATGGATAATTTCTGGAAGTGCACCAGCTTAGCACTAATAAATAGTAATTAGGAGAGTGTAAAGTCACAAAATTGGTGGCACCCATGGATGGACTAATTAACCTTGAAGAAGCTAAACTACAAAATGATATATTTTTCGCAATGACCAGAAGGATTGGCATCGAGAATAGCAAAAGCACACAGGAGTCAGCACCACCATCACCATTATCATGTGCAACCTCAACCTTTAATTACACGGACGGTGCCAAAATTCTAGGCACTGTCGCCTCATTTCATGGATTATAAGCCACGCTACCTTCCATGGATATCTATTTTTTACATTATATATTAAACTGCCTAATTAAGCATTTTTCAAGAACTCTCTTGTTTACGTATATAAACTTTAATTGTATTATAATAACTTAATTTGTGTCAGGGTAATGTAATTAATTATATAATCCAAGAATTATTGTGGGCCTAAATTATGCATGGTCAGCTAAAGGATAAGGATGCACCGAATTCATTTGAAAGACGTCATAATCAAAAAGAGTTCGCGGTGGCCACAAGTTTCATGATCGTCAGTATCCATTTTGAATAAAAAATTTGTTTTAGCAAATGGAGAATCATAACTTGTTGATTCAAAGAGAACTCAAATATATAATTGAAAAATAGAAATAAAATAAAAATTCAATTTCCTGCTTTCTAAAAGAATGAACACAAATTTATTATAATTTTATAATTCTATATTATATTGATGTTCACTGTCAATAATTACCGGTAATTGATACCGACCATTAATCATTATTAATAATAAATTTTTATAACATTTTTTAATTAATATTCAATCATAAAATCAAATAAGGGAAAATAAATTATATTTATTTCGAAAGAAACTGTGCCTAGAGGTTGAAACGTGTCAACTTTTGCAAGATTGAGCACACAGAGTCAGAAACTAGTAGTCTCTAGTCTCTGGAAATAAGACGCGTTTCTAACTTTTTCTCTTCATATATAAGCAAAGACATTAACTCTAATGTTGCATCTCCACCACTAAGTGAGGAAAGAGAGCGGGCCGCGAGTAGCTGCAGAAGGATTGATCCATTCGAGAATCTATTTCTCAGGGGATCGAATAGCTTCTGCAGTATCTGCTTACTCTGTACATATATCTACCAATAAAATGACTCGCTCTCTTTCCACCGCTAAATTTCTGGTTGCTTCAATTGTTGAGGATCTACCACTTTCTATCTTCCGGTGAGCCTACACTATCAAACCCTGTTTTCTTTCTCTTTTTGGTTTTTAAAAGAAATGGATGTGTAAGATCTTGATTTTTAACGTTGTGTGTGTGTGTGTGATTAAAAAGAAGGGAAAAAAAAATGGTGGTCCAATCTGTTTCTGATCTTGTATATAATAAATATCACACTGAAACTCTGTTAAGTGAAACAGGAGAGGCTATGCGGGTGCAGCACATGGGTCTGAGTCGGCTAGCTTTGGTAGGCGAGGGTCAAGGACTAGTATTGTGGGGAAAGTAGAAGAAAGAGCTGCGACGAAAGAAGATGATTCAGGATCATCTACTGCGTGGGCACCAGACCCCATCACGGGGTACTACAGGCCAGCTAATTCTGCGGCTGAGATCGACCCGGCTGAGCTCCGGGAAATGCTATTGCACAACCGGGTTAGGCCACGGTAGAAGTCTGAGATTCAGATGCTGAAGTGGTGGCGTTCACTTTTTAGTGTGTTTCTTACACCAGCATATAGTAGTACTGTACTAGAAGTTTTTAAATGTTGCCAGTTGCGTCATACCACTCTTATTGTCTTAAAGACTCCTGTAGTCTTGGTTATGACTTATCATATCAATGAAGAAAACTATCCATTATCAAAATTTATGTTTCCCGTTTAATGTCTCGACACTAATATATTTCTGATTGTATTTCTTTCTTATTTTCTTAATGAATTTGGAATTTTCTTTTTAAAAAAAAAACACTGTATATGATATGTTTTTATTTGTACATTAAGTTAATTATTATTAAAATATATATATTTTATTAGTACTTTATTATTTTTTGGAGAAAGATTTTAATATTTTTGTATGTAATAAATGATTTTATTAAATTAGACCTAGTCTGGTCGTAATAAATTATTTTATTAAAATATATATAAATGATTTTTGTTCTCTTAATAAAAAAAAAGGTCTTACTGAATATAATTATTTTTTTGCTTTTATTGAATTGATTTGAGGTATATGATAATAAAGCTTTGATAAAATTGAGTTTGCATTTAATAGAAAGAATTGCAATTTCATTCCATTAAATTTTTTTTATATATTTTTAATCAAGATAAATCATTTGTTTATTTTCGTCATTTATTCTAACTTGGTTGATGGGATCCTATGCTCAAAGGAATTTTATAATTTGAAATTTTAGATATGACAAATTCAATCTCTATACTCTTTAAAAAAAAAAAAAACAAAAAGAAGAAGAACATCTTTTACCAATTAGACTTTTAACATTGAAATGAACCTTGAAAAGGGGACATCATCATAAAGATTAGAGAAAATAAAGAATTGGGTAGAGGCCAAAATTCTCCCAATCAATTTCAATAATTTAGTGCATGGGCTTCTCTTCGTTAACATTGTCGGCCCATCAAGGAGGCCTATTGGGCTGAATAAAGTAAATCCTCGAAGGAAAATATTGCAAAAGGGTTTTTAATTTGGAAGAATCTTTTCCTTTATGGTTAGGGCAATGAAGAAAAACTCCTCTCGTCGCAACCGCGGAGAAATTGTTTTCCTCGCCACGTACAATTGCCGGCGATCCCCACCGATCACCATATCACTTCTTTTCCGATACACAACTCACCAGATTGAGTAAAGAAGCTCAGCTCAAAAGTACAAGTTTCATAGTCAGGTTTATCAGGAGGCCATCAGTCTAAAGTAGCACAGAAAAAATAATTGTGAGTTGCTCCAATTGAAGCTCTTCCATAATGCACCTTCAATTCAATATTAATTTTCAATTCAATGTGATTAAAAATAGCATTGAACATTACATGATTTCTTTATTCCTTTTTTAAAATATGCATTTTCAATTTAAGTGTGGTTGAAAATTAAATTTCCCTTTTCTTTGGAAACAAAATTTACAAATTTGTAAGAATCATGTTTGTAATAACTATCATACCACATATTTTCACCTCAATAAAAACTGGATGTTAAATCAAACAATACCAATTTTAGAATCAAAAGTCAAAAGTCAAAACTACTGTTGAGAAGTCTATTTGAAGACAAAGCAATTGACAGTTGAAGAAGAGTAAAAGCTAAAAAGAAAGAAAGAGCATTGCAAAAATTACCCAAACTTTATTTATAGTCTTTGAATTGGCAATAGCAAGATAACTAACATCATTGTCATTGAAAGAGAAATGAATAATAATTATAAGAGAGATGTGATTTTGCACTCAAATGTTTTGACCATAAACTTTTACATGGTACAAAGACATGGCTTCTAAATAGGGACCCTTCTGTTCCATTATGTGGATGGGTCCTTATCTTGATAGCAAAATTACAGAGAACTCACTCTAATGGCCTTCACAATATCTAAACAACTCTTGCACCTTCCCAATGACTTATAGAGTGCCCTTTTTTCACTTGTAAGCCTTTATTGTGGGTAGTGAGGGTGTCCTTTGGAAAGGAGAAAATCTAATCCCTCTTGTGGGTTAAAAAACATACATGTCTTAAAGGGTCCACTTTTATTAATGTTCTGCTCCAATATGAGTGTCCCCTTAGGCAGCCTTTTTCCTTGTCTTAGTTGCAATTGCATACTTCAGTAATCAAACCCCTTCTTATGTCTTTTTTTCTTTTCAAGATGCTTTTCTTCTTTGCATGCAAGCCTCTTTGTTCCAAGTCATTCAAGAATTCCCCCCACTATTGTAAAAAATAATTCTCTTTAGGTAAGTTGTAATAATTTTATTAATTGTTCATAGAAAATTATTCAAAAATGATAAAATGCCACATCATTTTATTAAATTGTTCTACTCTAGACTTTACAATTCCTTCCCAATACACAATAAATCAAATGTACTTTACCCACTCATGCAAGAATTTATTGGAACAATTTCAATCAAGATTCCCCAAAAGAAAAAATTTAAAAAATCACACACAAAATAGTTAATAAATTAACATCAGAACCAGTAGCTTCTTCATGTGGAATGTGAGATGCTTCTTCAATTTTTGCAACTAAAACCCTTGTATACAACTGTACAAGTAGCTCTGAAATAATTAATTACCCAAACGCTTGCACAGTAGTTGAAGTAGCTGGCAATCAGAAACTGCCAAAAATTTATTGTCTACTCTACATGGTGAGAGAGAGAGAGAGAGAGAGAGAGGGTCATAAAATAGACAATTAAAACATACAATAATAGAAAATTTTGTCAAAGAAAAAGATAAAACACAATAAAATGATAGAGACAAGCTATAAACATGACAATAAGGTAATGCCAGGAAAAATAGGCTCATGGCCTTCCAGTGTGTCCAATACCACCAGACATGTGTGCCCATGTGAGTATCCAACCTTACTCCTTGATATTGCTAACACATTTATTTTATAATTAAAAAAAATAATAATAATAATAAAAAACACATTTTTTTGTCACTGCATCAGATGCTAGATTACAAAAAACACTAGTAAGAGATTAAAGAATACAACTTTAACTCAAAACCCTCACCAAATCACAAGGGTGAACTGACAAACATATTATGTATATTGGTCATCATTTCTCTTCTTCTTCTTTCCCAAACAGTCCACAATAACGGGTTTTGATAGTCTTTTATAGTTTCAAGCCACAATACAATGAACTATCTTAAGAAGAGAATGATAATAATTTGCAAATATGAGCATAAAATTTCAAAGAAGCAAAATACAAGTGTGACACTAGTTAATAGAACTGAGACCAAGATAATAAACACAGAAAATAATAATAATAATAAACAGAGATGACTAAATGTACTTGTGTATTATAACCCAACAGGAATTGCCTTGATGATGACGATGATGATGGTGGTGGTAATTCTTTTCTTTCTTTAGCCTCTCACAGCTAACAATGAAGGAATAGCAGATAAGTTTGGAGTAGTGTTTTTATTAGAAGCTTCTCTTATAATGTCTCTTTTGCCATCTTTTGAAGAAGGCTTGCTAAATGCTCTCATAGGACTAGCAAAAGCCCAACCCCAGCTTCTACTTCTACCATGAGCGAGAGGTCCAGCTGCAACTGATCCAGGTCCTGATGATTTTCCATTCATGTCTTCTGTTGATGATGAAACCCAATAAGATGATGATGAAGAAGATGAAGAAGAAGAAGTTATCATAAACCCACCAAAGATTCCACCACATTTGACTCTTTCTTTCATGTTAGAAGTAGCTGCAGCTATTTTTGGCTTGCCTTCTCTTTGTGACTCCACTCTTCTTAGGGTGCAGTCTCCAAAACCAGTTGAGATTCTCTCAAAGAAATCACCAGAAAAGCTTCTGCTTCCACATCCAACAGATCTGGATCTTGACACTTTCCTTTCAAAAGACGAAGCAGAGGCAGTGGCTTGGCTATTAGGACTATCATCATCTTCAACCACCGCAATGTCTCCTTTCTTAGACAAAGAAGACCCTAAGCACTTCTCTTTTGGCTTAACAATGGACCCATTTGTTGTTGTTGTTGTAGTTCTTGTTACTGCCATTGATGATTTCTTGGTAGTAGTAGACTTAGAAGAAGAAAGATAAAGAAAAGACCAGAACCTGCCTCTTCTTGATCTTGGGCTAAAATTAAAATCGTCTCCATCATCAGCAGAAGCATCCAAGAAATGGTTTCTCGCAGGAGTTGTTGTAGACTTGCTTCTCTTGAAAACAATATCACGATCTGATGATGATGCGACCATAATTTTCTTTTTCTTTTTAGCCAAAAGAAAAGGGATTCTGGCCCTCCTTGTGTAATATTCTTGATAATGACTATTATTATTGCCAATATCATTTCTACCTTTTGTAGATGTGGGTCGCACAGCAAGAGAAAGTGAAGGACCAGCACCACCATTGCCAGCCCCAACACCAACACCCACACCAATGTCAGATCTAAACGAAGGAGAAGAAGAGGAAGAAGAAGAGCCACGAATAGGTAAAGGAAAAGAAGAAGAAACAAGTTTGCCAAGCTTTTCTTGAAGGCAAAAAGCACAGATCCCACCTGGGTTATTTCTATAAGGATGATCACTGCATTGCATACCATCACCCATGTCGTCTTCACCTATACCAACTCTACCACCACCCCCTCCACCACCACCTTTGATGATTCCATCCATCATAATCTATATTTTGATGATTCTTGCGAAAAATCTCTCCGGTTCTAAGTTAGAAATCTTTTTCTTGATGTTGGTCTTTTTTTGAACCTCGAAAGGGCTTTTCACTAGTTCTTGCTTTTTCCTTGGAGAGAGAGAGAGAGAGAGAGAGAGTGAGTGTGTTATGCAGTTGCAAACAAAAGAAAGGGCACATATGGTCAGAGAGTGCAATTGAGTGAATAAAAAATACTATAAAATAAAATACGAGGCATTGAAGTAAGAAAGGGGGGGACTGGGGGGAGAGTCCCCAGGAGCACGTGGAATACTGACTTAACCTATATATTAAATGAGCAAACAAGACAAGCAAAAGTGCAACCAAAACCCTAATAAATTTCAGGAGAGGTCCCTCCCTCCTCTATCCAACACAACACACAATAATCTCTATAAAACCCTCTAAGTTTTGCTATATGTCAGATCACTCCCTATCTCATAAATTAAATAAGAGTTTAGAAATTATTTAATCTTGATTATACAAATTCTAATTATCGACGGTTAAGAGTAAACTGTAAGTGTAAAAACCCTACGCAAATATTAAAAAATAAAAAATAAGTAATAAGTTTCCCTGAAGCTAGCACCAGTAGGTATCTTCTACATCATTATTTTATAAGAAATGCCCATAAACAATGTGTCGAGTTTGTTTACAATACAGTGAGACACCGTCAGTCCCATTTTCATATGTTGTTCCTTACTTTTCACAGTGTTAAGAACGAGATTGGTAATTGACTGGATCAAATTGGTAAATCTAGTTTTTAAACTTCAAAGATTTATATACACGGAGAGAGAGCTCTGAGTAACAATGGCATTCATTCTGGTCTGAGGCGGATAATTTGAAGCAGTGGAGGAGCCATAACTAGTGGTAGCTGATTGATTAAATTGAGGACCCACTTGTATAGTAGCATTCCTCGTGTTGAATGTGCACAAACATATCCAAATCTATCGTCTGTGAAGAAAAGATATTGCTTTGATTATAACAGCCATGTCCGTCCCTGCCATTTTCCCCCAATCTACCGCCCATGAATCAGAACGGCACCAACATCCTCGGCAGATAGAAGCCGACTGCTTTTTTTTTTTTTAAACTAACCGGCAGGTGTAATTTCTCGGGGCCGTAGAGTGTAAAATGAATGGGAATATATTATCAAATGTAACAGTATACATACATTATTGACCTGCAGTGCAATAATTAGAGAAGAGTAACTGAATTTTCAAGACACATTCTTCAGGACATTTCCTCCATGCTTAACAGCATAAGTTGTAATGGAGCAAGGGTTCAAGAACCTGCCTAGTCTCACATTATAATAATAATAATAATAATAATGATTCTTTATTTTATTTCTTTTATTATTATTACTTTTTGTTTTGTTTTGGTTTGATTTGGACGAGGGTGTAATTAGCGAATATGATGATAGTAACCCATGGATCTTATTCTTGCCTTGGGGGTTTATGCATGATTTCGTGCGATCGACCGTTGGATTTAACGAGTTGCTCATGGAGACCATCAGTGCCTTTTGTCTTTTCTATCCAGCCCCGTGAGGCTAGCCGGTACATTTGGGTTGGACTTCTTGAATTTTCTTTATCACGCCCTTAATCCACGCGATCATGCTCAAATAAAATTCTCAAATTCACACTTTTAAAGTAAAATTTATCTAAAAATATAATTATTTTTAATTCAATTTTTTTCGGTTATCTAAAGAAAAAATAAATAAAATTTTTAAATTTTAATCAGATTGATATATGAAAATTTTTATTTTCAAAAATGAATTATAGAGTCGCTGAATTATCATTTTATTAATATTTTAAAAACTGCACAATTAGTTTCAGTATAATTTAGAATCAATTGACTCTTGAAGAAACTAATTATTCTGATCAGAGGAGGAAAAAAAATTATAATTTAAAATTTTCATAAGTAATTTTTTAAAAATGAAAACTTCAACGTGTTAATTTAATTATATTTTAGAAACCAATTTAATTTTTTCCGCTAATACAAGTATGATAAGGGTACGGATTTTCGTGTATTGGGGGCTTGTGCTTGAATTTCTGATATCACATGATTAGAGGGTACCCCAGTTAGTGAAGAGTCCCTATCCATGGATTTTTCTTGATCGTCTCTTTCTTTGTCTGCTGTTCCTTCGCATCGGATTAGACAACTCAACCGTACAATCTTAGCCACTAATTTTACTAAATCATCTGTCAATCCAACGGCTCAGATCAAATATTAGTTAATCTAAAGCTTCTTGATTGTTCATCCTGTCTCTGGATTGTCTCTGTTATCCTATTAAACCCAATTATTATTTGCAAAGAGTCAATAAATGGGCCAACAATAAACTTCGATCATCCAAATCGAACGCACAAAATTTTTATCTTAAAAGCAAAAATGTGAATTGTCAGTATTCACAAACCAAATTTTAACATTTTCATGGATCTATCTGTTTAGAAAATTGTGTTTGTATTGTTGTCCTAATCCGATTAGGCAAAGGGTTATCAAAGTTATAAGAATTTGATTAGATTAATTGGAAAAAAGACAAGATTTTGGTTCTATATTTGGGATATCCAGGGGATCATTCATGCTTTTAGGGCACAAACCCACGATCTCACCCCACTAATAAATCTTTCTAATAATAATTTGTTTATTTGCTTGTACATATTAGCATCACCATCTTTTATTTACTGGGAGACGGATTTGCAGAAATAACGTTGCAGGTTATAAAATAGAGTAGTTCTTTTTTGAACTCACTAAATTTATAAAAACACTTATAATCAATAAGATTCGAATATCGAAACTTTTTACTATTTATATAAGTAAAGAGACTAATCAGACCGCACCTAATTGGCTAGTTTGCATGAATATTGATTAGGGAAAGCCGCTTGGTTATTATGTTTTTATTAATAAATAATGGTCATTTGTTTAATAATAATGCATGTGGGATGGGCAGAGTGTGCAATTAGAGGTACTCAAATGTGTCCTCAGTGGAGGTAATTGATAAATGGTGATGGGTTTCATGAGTCTACTTCTCACCTAATGGACCAGAAAAGAACAACCCATGGCATACTGTGATCAACTGAAGATAAGGGCTCAGTGTCTCCTCCTTCTGGGCCTTGGACCCATCTTTTGTGTTTCTCTGTCCCTAACACAGTGAATTGGAGAGAGATCAGTTTGTTAAACGGAGAAAGGACATCTGAGTCAAAGATGTGTTGCTTATATACTATATATTGGGAAATGGGTCAAAGATTATTATCGAAAATTACCAATCTAAAAATTGATTCATTTAATTATAATTCAAAGAAAACTATTAATAGAAAGGCCTTATCCTTTGTAGCTGTAGATATCTGTAACAGAAGACAAAAACGAAAATGGACTCGGTCCAGGCTCCAAATATAAAATTCAAGGCCCAATCAGGTCTTGGGTCATCAGATCAATTTAGATCCACATTTGAAATGCTGGGCTTTGTATTCGGACTGCCCAATTACCAATTAGAGCTCAAAAATAAAAAAATTTCCAAACGACGAAGTTTTACTGTACCTCTTTCGAAATATAATCTACAGTGGCCTTTTGAACATCCTATTTCAAAGTATAGGGCTTAATTAATTACTTTAGAAAAAAGCATCATGAACTTTACACGTTGTAGTAATTACATCCATTTTTTTTTCTCTATTTTCAATTGTTGGGCGTAATTATTTTTTATTTTTTATTTTTTATTTTTATGACATATTTGTTAGAAAATTATAAATACAGTGGAATTTGAAATATTTGGCTTAGATAATAAATGAAGATACTCATTTAAAAAAGAAAATGCTATACATATATATATCAAACTCTACCTTGCATGCAAAACTGATGAAATAGTATTTAATTTAATTATGACAACTCTCTCTTTTGTCTTCTTCTTCTTCTTCTTCTTCAAAGGCGTTGAATCTTGAATATTCAGGAACTAATTCCGACATAATTTTATGGGTTTTCCCGAGGTGTAATAAGCCTGTCGTGCTGCGATCCTTCTTCAAGGCCATCAGAAACGTTTCTGGGAGCAGGCTTAGCATTTCTGTAAATTGCATAGAGCACTAGCTGTGCTGTTCCAAGTAAAAATCCAGTCCCATTTGGCACCTAAATATGTAACCACACCCATTAGTCTTAACCTAATGGAGCATAACAATTAGTAAGCAGTGAAGCGGTTACAGCGTATCCATCTATCTTGGGCAAGTATGACAGCGTCTTAAAGTTTAACTATTTGAATTATGTGTACAGTGTGCAAACAAAAGTTGTCAGGAAAATAACGTTTGTGGCTAGCTTTAATTTTGTCGTGTACAATTGTAAGTATGTGATAACTGATGACAGTTGCTCGCTAAATGGTCAATATATGTCTCTTTCAGATGAGAAATATCATCTCAGACGACGACAAGCACTATTTATATATGCTGGTCCCACAACAAAGATCGAAGAACCTACTGACCCATGCTGTGGTTAGATCTAACGGAGCGTAGTTAAGAAATTTCCAGATCTAATGACAGGATGAAAGGACACTTACCCCGAGAAAATAGTCACTAGTGAGAAAAGCATACAGAGTCCAAACGGCACCGTTCAAAAAAAGGAAGAATGAGAGGAAGAAAGGCATGAACTCCACGCTTTTCGTTGTCACCACTGTTTTCTGAAACGACACAGTATAATAGCACATGTCAAAGATACAGGAAAAAGAAATCTCCATCGCTAAAACATGTGTGTCAATATTTGTGTCCATCTTGTGTATGCTTGACCACAAAAAAAAAAAATAATAATAATAATAATTAAGTTAGGACCCACACACACCAAGTTGTCTTCTAAAATATAATCACGTGGCATCATTGTTTTCTTTTTTATTTTGTATTTATGAAAATTGAACCATGAACGTGTACGTACGTGCATCACTTGTACTATCAATCGTCTTTTCCCCTCACAGATCGCAGAAATTCAATCTTTCTTTCTTTTTTTTTTTTTTTTTTATTCCAAATCTTTTTCTTTTTTTTTTCTTTTTTTTTTTTTTTTTGTCTTTTTTTTTTTTTTTTTTCTGAAATAAAGTGAGAGTAAACTAATTTTATAAAAAAAAAAAGGAAAATAGACAAAAAACTTATACTACCTCTTAATATTAATTTGGATTTAGCAATAAAGAGATTGGAATAAAACTAAAAAATTTATAAGGACGACGAAATTAATTTTAAATTAAGATTAAAATTGTAAACTCGATCATCGTTCCGTTTAAAAAGAAAATAATTTATAAGTTTGATCATCGTTTTATATGATCATAAATCAAAATTGCCAAATATATATAAAAGTGCAAATTAAAACCTCATAATATTATAAACTCAACCTCTAAAACTAAATATTAAACAAAACCCTAATTACTACCAACTGAACCAAATACATACATACACAAGAGATGTAATAACAAGAATTACGAAGAAGTTCTAACAGTCAACTTTATTTTACCCACGTGACTTGCAACAATATAAACACACAAAATATATATATAAGTTGAAGAAGAAAATAATAGATATGACAAAGCTAACTACCAGTCTACCACTGTCTAATCATCAGTTAACAGCCACACGATCAATTATTTCTTCATTATAGGTAAATGATAAGAAATGAGAGAACTGATGAGTGTGTGTAGAGTTTTTGAAATCTTAATTACTCACCATGACAGCTAAAGGGGAAGCATACATAACGATGTTAAGACCAGAACATATGAAACCCGTTGCATCTATCCGTACTTCACCTTTCAAAGCCAACCGAGTTACAACTATTGCTGTCGCCAAAAACCCCACATCCAATAACCCAACAAGAATCCACGTTTTAGCCTGCAATTAACCACAGTGTTTTGTTATATTTCATATTGTTGTTTTGTGATCTATAATCAGAAGATTTATGATGATTTATATACAGTAGTACCTTCATTTTTGGTGGTGCATATATGAGAAATAGAGTAACAAAGATAATCTCAACTAGAATTCCAAAGCCATTAACAGTAGCAACAAGAAAGGCTCCTGGCTTTATGATCCCATAGTAAGTCCATAAAGCTGCATTCAGTAATGTGCATACATAAGGAACACTTTCAAAATCCTCCGTCGATCTGTTCTTTATAATTCTCCAAAACGTTCCCCTGCAAAATAAAATCAAATTACGCAGAGAAAACTGAGTTTAACTAATATGCATAGAAAAGAAAGTTGAAGTAGATCAAGTGAGAAAGAGCTTAATCAATTACACTGGAGAAAGGAACATGAGAACTGAGATTATATTGCCTGAAAGAAGAGAGAAAAAGTAACAGAAATTAAAGAAAAGAAATGAAGTTGTTTTCTTTGATACTGGAAATACTGTACTGAAAAAAGAAGATCACCTATGACTCCAACAAACAAGATTAAACCTTCCATGGTAGGAAGCTAACTTCCTTCAATGTTTTACTGAAGATAGAAAGAGAATAGTAAGTCCTTGGTTAGATTAGATGTGGGATTCTCTATTCTCAGTAGAGAAATCAAAAAGAGAGAGAGAGAGAGAGAGAGATAGCTCTTCCTACATGTAATGTTGATTAAATATGAAGTATATGTCGTACAGATTTCAATCTGGGGTTGCCAAAAGAAGTGGTTTGCATAATGTTGCCAATAAGTCAATCCGTCACAATATTAAACCGAAAAATATTTTTTTTTATTATAGATTAATCTTACAACAAAAGTTAACATATTTTATTATATCTAGTAATAATTGCAAGGACTTGATTTGCATTTTTTTTAATTTGCAGTTTGAATTCCAAATCCATTTCTGTTTAATTTAATTTATCCTATATATATATATTCGCGTAGGGTAGAACCCCAATGTATATAATTTAACGTGTTCGTCATTATGGGGCCTAACCTTGATGTACGTAAATGAAAAATTAATTAATATGAATCACATGGAATTAAAAAAATTGGTGACTATTAGTTGCTAATTAAATATTTGAGCAAGTAAATAAATTTATCCATATATTTTTCATAATAAATTTTGTAACACTTTATTAAACATTTCAACTTACAAAATGATTATATCTCACTCCTCAATTTGTAAAAACATAACGATTAAACACTTGTTAAGTTGTTAAAAAATATAAGAGCATTGTTTCAAAAATTATACAAATTATAATTAAATTAATATTTTATATATCAAAATCAAAAATTATAAAAATTATTATCACTAATGATCAGGGCCCAGTAAGTTTTTAAATACAGGTGGTTATAGATATTTTTAAGATCTCACAAGATTTTTCAAAAAAAAAAAAAAAAAAAATTAAAAAAAAAAAATTAAAGGTGAAATTTTCTGTAAAAAAAAAAAAAAAAAAAAATTAAAGGTTGAATTTTTGTAAACATTTTTATATTTCCCACTCTGCGTCGGTCACATGTCAAATTATCTAATGTGAAAGGCGCTTTTGTTTTTCCTTCTTTTTTTTTTTTTATGACTGAATGCACGAGTTTATATTAGGGAGTGCGTATAGTAATAAAATACATAAAGCAAAAGGAAACAAGAAAAAAGACAGCTACTGTCTATAATGAGATTTATTAAATTTAGAAATATTATTTTTGGTATTTTCGAAATGCTCCCTGACCGAATGAATCTCATTAACAAAAATTTAATGCTAAAAAGATAATAATAAATGTCATTAGCAAGTGACTGATTGGCAGTCAAATACAGCGTGAGAGAGGGAAAAAAAAAAAGGGACTCAATCCTAAAAAATAATTTTATTGCATTTGGAAGGCACATGCTTTAATGCGAATACAATAATTTTGACAGCTGCGTGAAGAATATAGGGGTGTTAAAAAAATGGGGTGGGGATCTGAAATCGACCATTTAAATTAAATAATGCGGCGATGGCAGGCTGGGGACCCCGAAATTTTTGATGTCTCAACAACCAAACAAACTTAAATTTAACCCTGAATCACGTGTGTACCAGTTACCGGCCTTTTAAGTAAACCAGTTTTCTACTGTTAAGTTCTTCAAAATTGAAAATTGTTAGTTCACGCATCATTCAGATTTATTTAAAATTGCTACTTGATTATCAGATGTCCCTCGTGTATTAATGAAATATGATTTGTACACGTATGATTTTTTGGAGGATAGATTCCAACAGAGCCTTATGATAATGAGACAAGAGGTCTTTTCAAATTATCTTTTTTTTAAAAAAAAAAAGAAAGAAATCTAAAAATAAAAGTATCCAACGTGCGTGATTGGTTGATTGATTGATTTTTTCTTCACTGTGGTGATTATCTTCTAACAACGCTATCAAGAAGCTTTTGTTTGTCTTCTGTTAATCAACTACAAGAAATCTAAAGAGTTGGACATTTTGTATATTGAAAATGTTGATGAGATCCCATCAGAATGCGCGGCTTCTCTGTATGGTCGGTTTCTCTTCCAAGCACAGAACTGTGAGCATACATCAGAAAATCGTTTTGGGTATCTCATATCTAATTAAATATTATCATATTATTAATAATCTATGCTCTCATTTCTTTGGTGCTTCTTATTGTCGAATTTTTCCACATCATACATTATTGCTTGCTAGGATTGGAGATCGAAAGGACAAGATAAAGAGAGAAAATTCAAGAGAAATGGAAAATAGCTGCAAATGCACCACCAAATAAATCTTACAATCGAGATTTTCCTTGTTCCACTGGAGCACTCTGCAACAGGAAAGTATAGACATTATTAGAGATGCAAACTAATACAGATCTGCAAGTTCAGCGGTAAAATTCACAGAAAAAGCTGGAACAGATTATGAAAAATTTGCTCAATGATCAAACGGAGGCCAACTTATCAGGGTCCATGGATCATACTTCCGCAGTCAACCCATGACACAATTAAGTTCATCAATTTAGATAATTTAATTTTAAAGAAATTTGAAGTTTGTGCAAATAGTAGAGATGATTTCAAGAGGATCAAAAAACACTTGTTATGACATATAAGTAATTCAATTTGCTAACTTCATAGAAGGCCTTAGATCCTCCTGCCATTCATTGCAAAAGCTTACCCCTGAACAAAGATAGGTCTGATTCAAATTATTATGGTAGCTACAACCTACAGCATACATTCCCCCAGTTGGGTCCTAGGCAACCGTAAATTCCATAGGCATAGACAACACTACTAGTAAGAAACTCTTCTGGTGCATCCTATAGTAGTTCATGTAGATTGTTATTGCAGCTATAAAATGAACATTCTAAATTTCAGATATCTCACCAGTGGAGCACCCTTGGCAGCTCTTTCAGCCAAGAAAGCACAGGGCTTGAAAAATTCTCCATATATCTTTGACCATTCCTCCAATCTTGAGTAAATATACTTGGATCCAAGAGAATCAGCCCAGAACAAAATACCTCCCCTGATACAAGACAACATCAATTAATTAAATAGTCTAAAACTTAGGAGATAAGCCCCTTCAGTGAGTTAAAATCACAGACCTGTAAGGCGGAAAGCCCATGCCCATAACAGATGCAATGTCAAGGTCTGCAGCTTTGACAGCAATTCCTTCAGCAAAGACTCGACAGGCTTCATTCACAACTGGGAAGAAAATCATCTCCACAATGTCCTTCTCAGGTAGCTTTTCAAGCTGCAATAAAGATTAATTCCAAAACACAAATGAGCATGAGAGAGAGAGATTTTTATCCACAAAATTAACATTTTGCAGTTTTCAGCATTAAATACAAGTATATGCTCAAGTCCAGAAAAGCTTGTAAACACCTTAGGATCAACGGCAACACCAGAAATACTTCTAGCTTTTTCAATGTATTTCCTTAATTCAGGATCTGGGCTAGCTTTGCGCTTATCATTGTACAAGTAGAACCCTTTGCGACTACTTTCCCCTGCAATAATTACATGATAAATCAACATCAAAACACACAAAAGTTTTATGCAATTAACAATTTCTATCGAATAAAAGCGTGCTTTCTAATTCAGGAACTAAAATTCTACCCTCTGGTCACACTTATGCCCAGGAAGTTCCTGTGTTACCAAAGGAAGAAAAAATACCTGCTCTCTTGTCCTCTTGCATTAGTGGGATGAGCATTGATTTATAGGTTCGCTCAGGGAAATTTTGAACAAATTGCAAGCCAGTTGCTATGGCCACACCAAAACCAACCAAATCAGCCAGCCTACATAAACAAATCAAGTATTAATCACACTCAATACAGCAAATTAGAACATCTTAAGATGCAACATAAACCAAATCAGCTAAATGAGAAAAAAGTATAACTATGTTTCCTAATGTGTAATCTACCGGAATGGGCCCATTGGCATTCCAAATTTGGTGATTGCCCTATCAATCCGATAAAGGTCCGTCCCACGTTCAACTAGCAAAAGACCAGCTTGTGTGTAAGGAAAAAACATCCTGTTGACAGCAAATCCTGTGCAATTTCCAACCACAACGGGAGTCTTCCTTATCTTCTTTCCAACATCTAGTAAGTCCACAATTACTTGAGGAGATGTTTGATTGGTACGGACAATCTCCAAAAGTGGCATAACATGAGCCGGACTGCATTAGAAGCAGAATGTTAGGTTGACCCAAAAGGAAGAGCAGGGAAAGAACTCATATTTGACACACACCCCAAAAGTAGAGAGAGGAATAAGATAATTTTGCACTTGATTATACCTAAAGAAATGGGCTCCAATGATCCGATCCTGAGACCTGGTGTTCTGGCCTATCAAGTTCAAATCAATTGTTGAGGTGTTGCTTGCAAGTATGCAATTCGGTGGGCAATATTTTTCAAGATCAGAAAAAATTTGTTGCTTCAAAGAAATATTCTCAATGACGGCCTGTTATAGGTACCAAGAACAAATAATAATTAACTTGTTTTTGATACTAAACACTAGCACTGCTAAACCAAATTAACACATAGTTCATACTACCTCAATCACCATATCCACATCTTTAAAGCTTTCATAATCAAGGACACCCTTAAGAAGAGAGAGGGTTTTTTCAAATTTCTCTTGAGACATTTTTCCTTTCTTGACACGGCTTTGCAGATTGGCTGGAGGAAAAAGGAATATTTCTCACAACTATATAACTTCAACAATCATAACATTAAACAAAAGAAGAAAAAACTGAATTATTAGCTGGTTGAGTTCAGGCTTTTAAGAGAAGGCTGGAGTCTTACCTCTTACTCTATCTATCCCAGCTTGCAAGAACTTTTCATTTACTTCTTTCAGTATTACTGGATAATTACTAAGGATCAGTGCAGTTGCTATTCCAGAACCCATTAGTCCTCCACCAAGCACAGCAACTTTATTCACTCGTCTGGGCATCAAGCCCTTGTCAGTGACTCCAGGAACCTGCTCAAGGTAAAGGTAAATAGTTAATGAAGTTAAATGGTAAGAAAGAAACATTATGACTCCAAAGAAGCATCAGTGGATGAAAACCCAACAATTCCATAAGTGAAATTAGAACCTTTGTGGTTCCACGCTGAGCAAAGAAAATGTGGACCAAGCTTTTGCAGGTGTCAGAACGGACAAGCAATTGGAACTCTTCTGCCTCCTGCCAACATCAGAAGTGTTATCACAAAGTTGCTCACTAGCTGCAATTTTTGAAGCGAGAAAAGAATGATGAAGTTAGACCGAACCTTCCAGAGTCCAGCCCGAGGACCAGAAACCACACCTGCTTCAACAACATCAATGCAAACTATTGGATGTTCAAGATTAGGAGCCTGTTTCCGAGCTTGTGCTCTTGCAAACTTAAATATCTCTCTTGCCTCTCCAAGGGGATCTAACTTATCAGTCTTGTAAAGACTAGCAACCCACGGCCTCCTTCCTTCCAATATATCAAGGGCCCATTGACGTGCAGCATTCACCAACTCATTAGGTGAAACTAATGCATCTACAAGACCCAAAGCATGAGCTTCTTCCCCTTTCACTGGTTTTGATGTCTATATTCATCAAGAAGAGAGAAATTTCAGACAATTTAACTACCAAACCTATAAAAGTTGCAACTTACAACAATCAAGCTATCAAAGACGTAGCTTGAACATACCAGCATCATTTCAAGGGCCTTTGAGATGCCAACAAGACGCGGAAGTCTCTGTGTTCCTGAACCAATTCAAATGCAGAAGATTGACAGTAAGGAAATAACCTCTCAGGTAACTATGAAATTAGAAACAAGATCTCATTCAGATATGTACACCTAATCATATATCATAAAAAAAAATTGAGAAATAAGAAAGTACATTTACACTTAAACATTGATTTATTATTGCTCTTAGTTCATCATATGGTGATGCACATCCAGCTTATGGCAATAGTAATTACACCCTAAAACAGGACCTGAATTTGAGCGTAGATTAATCAAACTGAACTAACTTTACAGCATCATTTTTCAATTTTTTGTCTACAACAAAATGGTTAAAAGATCACTATCACTTAACAGTATAAAATGGGACGAATGGTTCCTTCATATATCGGGCCACATGTAACTCGACCCATGAAATATCACCTCTAGCTAGCACCATTATTCATTTTTCCTAAACATCACTAGATCATTTAACAAATGTGTCCCATCATCTTCTCGACTCCTCCATAAGGACCACCTTTAACTTCCTCAACATCTGACTGTTAATTTGATGACCAAAAGCCTACCATCAAGGTCTACATCATCCATCCAACTCTAAATCTTTGAGTAACGTCATCCATCTTTAAGACATGAATTAGCTACCAAAAAATATGTGCAAAATACAGCCACATAATTTAGGATACCAGAATACGTTCTACTTCCAATCCGTCTTTTCCATCTTGACCTTCAAGATGCCACATTAAATAACCACACAACAGAAAAGTATGTACAAACCATAATACAGAAATTATTAATTAGTTGAAACAATAAAACACATGAATTGATGCATTAGTAGAATAAAAGAATGTAACGTTGGAAGCCTTCCAATCAGAATGAACCTAATGATCCCACTAGCATACCTCCAAAACCAGGTATAATCCCAAGTTGAAGTTCAGGTAGGCCTAACTGCGCAGTAGGAGTTGAGATGCGTGCATGGCATGCCTGAGATATCAAATCCATTAGATTATCTCAAAAACCAATTAGAAAATCTTATAGTTTGAAAGATTTAGTGACACATACCATTGCAACCTCTAACCCTCCACCTAAGGCAAGGCCATCAATTGCAGCAACTGAAGGTTTTCTTGCAGCTGGAGAAGCAACCAATCAACCGGTCAAGATATATCATTGCAATTTTATTTAACGTGTTCAAACCATAACGAATGAAGTATTTTAACAGTACCTTCTACAGTGTCAGTTAGAATGTCCACTGATATAAAACCAAGCTTCGGTTGATCCACTGAAAAAACATATTAATACGTTACTGGAGTTGCAACCCTGCATTGCTAGAGCATAAAGCACATAAACGCATTTAACTTACCTTTCCCCCCTTGAATTCCACCAAATGAAGATATATCAAAGCCACCAGAGAACTTGCCCTTTGCACCTGGTCCATTAACGTGATATTTCAGCTTCAAATCTCATAATCACACTTCCCTTAAAAAAAGCTTACAAGCATATGAACAGCAATCTTGTATGACTAGCAATTTAACACTTACCAGTAACAACTATTGCCTTCACATCGTCTCTTCTTAAAGCTTGCTCATAACTATCTTTCAAGCTGTTAAGCACTGTGAGAAGAGTAGGAGAAGGAGACAGAGAGATAAGCCCAGTGTATAGTCATAATTATTGAGAAAGAAGGATTTAGCATATATGATCCTCCACTAACTGGATTGCCCTTAACATCCTAATTTCCCAAATAACTCATAAAATTGTTTATTACTCCTAAATTTGAGCACTATACCTCATTCAAATTAACCCGGTAGCACCTGTAATCCCGTTATAGCCAAAATAAAAACATACACTCCGAAAATATAATACCACTACTTAGATCGCTAAGTGTGAGCTGAGGGAGTTGTGCCCTCCGGCACTGATCTCCTTTTCCCAAACTAACACTTCAATTTCAAAAAACATATCACTTCAAACAAATCATAAATTTCGACAAAATCGATTAAATAAACACAAACACATGAAATCGAGCTTCGCTATGAAAATATGATCATATACATGAAATGATCTGAATATATAAAGATCTAGGTTAAGCGAGAAAAGAGACTCAGAGAGACAAAAAACGAGAAAGGCATACCATCAAATGAGAGGGAATTGACAGGAGGATTGATGATGGTGATGATAGCCACCCCATCGGATCCTACTTCAATGGTGGCTCTCCCCTTAGCAACGCTTCCCATAGTGCTTCTCTATTCGGATAATTGGGTTTGGGTTTTGGCAAAAAGATCACGAAATCGGAGCTCTAAGCTTCGGCAGAAATGGAGAATTGTTAGTTCGCTGTTGAATTTAAGAGGTGGTTTCGTGTACACTTGAACTGAGTGACGTTTGTAATAAGTTTGTCACGACAAATAAAGGATTTATAATTTTCATGTGCCGCTTTAAATTGTACGAGAAATTATTGGAATAGTATTAAAATAAAATGCAGTTAATATTATCTCGAGTTGGATAAGCACATGTACCATTGGGTTTATCCGTGTCCAATGAGCGTGATGGACACTCGCCAGGCACAACATACCGTATTACAGAAGAAGAGCCGCTTAAATATATTAGTATATGAATTTAATTTGATGCACATTAAAAAATTTCCATATTTAAATTCTCATATTCTTTGAACTAGATTTTATATTTTTATGGCTCCAAGTAATGTACTTTATTTACCTTAAATATATTATTAGAACTAAAAATATATTTTACAAAATAAAATACAATTGCCAATTAATAACTTATTTATTATTATACTTTTCTTGTAATGTATGATATCATCTCATATTTTATAATTTTTTTAATATATTATCAAATATAAGAAATAATTTCATTTTGTTATAATAGGTAATTAGTATCAACTAAATTTGATTAAGAATTTAATCATAAAAAACAATAAAATGAAGTATGGGATTAGATTTAATTATAATGATATAATTATCAAATTGAATACTATTAAATAATTTCAAATATGGTATGTAAGTAATATATAATGATACAATAATAATAATAATAATTAAATACGAGGTGATATTTAATCGTTTTATTTTCTTAGTGATTAAATTATATATGATAATTCTAATAGCATGTTTGAAACACAAATTTTTGCAAAAAAAGAAAATATTGATTTTGATTGAATTATTTCCAGGAATAAATTTTACCAATTAGTTTCTGAAATTATAAATAACATATTTAATATATACAACCTTTTTTTACTTTATATTTTAAAATTCAAAATATATATATTTCACTAAATAAATTTATAAAAATAATAAATAAATTTTGGTCTAAAATTATAAAATCATAAAAAATGGAAGTATGTATTTACACATAAACAAATATCAGATTAACTAAAACATATGTGAAAATGAATATAAATTATAAATAAATTTGATTAATATTTAATTTTTTTTCCTAATTAAATTGTTATAATTTATAAGGAAACATATTTTCGTTATATATAAAATAAAAAATAGAAAATTTAAAAATTCATGATAGTTGTAATTGCAAAATTCATTAGACTTGTTGCCACGCGCTCCAGGTGCAACTTGCGACGCTTGTCCAAACTCGCTTAACCGTCCTATATATATTGATCATATTTCGCCTCGAATTGCTAAATATGCGATGGGCTTGTGGCCATGTCAACAGCCCACGGTTGAAACTTGAAATTACGATTTACAGAACCCAAAAAGAAATTATTTTGCCGCCATAGACGGTGCAACTCTCCAAGCCATTTACTAAAAACTGTGACAGGCGGCATCTGGTGATTGGTTTCTTTTTTGCGAGTTTTTCATAATTCTATATTTTGGAAAAAAAGAAATCGTACTTAAATTGAAAAAAGAAAAGGCCAAAAGAAAAAAATTATTTTTCCCATTTTCGAACTGAAAAGAAGAAAATAGGTTGATGCTGAGACACAGTCCATGCAAGGAGTTGGGAGATATTTCCAAAGTTCACACATTACAATGCTATCCCCTTCAAACCCTTAAACTATACTCTTATTTTTTTACGTCCGAATATTTGAAAATGTATACTCCATTTTGCAGGATAGATATGTAATTCCACAATCTGCGTGGCAAAATGAGTAAATTTCTGATTTCCCCACTTGCATAATATTTTTAGAAAATTAAGATCATATTAATTATTTTATTTCAATTTAACGGTAATTATTTTATTTTAACTTCATCTCCACCGAATGTTATGTTTCTTAATTATAACAAAATAATTATAAGGTAATTTAATCAGTTTCTTTATTTTTCTAAATTGAGATAATTGAATATTTTATTAATTTTTATAAAAAATAAAAAAAAATATTAAAATGAATATAATGGAAGCAGTAGAATTATTGCTAATAATTAAGCTCAAGTAAGTTGCATGTAAGTTATAACTCCAAGGTTGAATAGTTTTCTTTTTTTTTTTTTCTTTTTTGCTTAATATATATACAAGTTTTTTTACACAGGAGAACTTCAAATTCGGGACAACATATGAAGCAATAGCCTTCTACTTTTAGTAACATTTAATAAATTCACTATTATTTTTACGGTGGAAGACTCAAATTCGAAACTTTTTTCTTTTCATATTTTTTATAAGATGTGAAAAGACTAAACAAACTACATTTAATTTTTTTTTATATATATACACACATGGCTATTCACAATTGATCATGACAAAATCACTTGGAATAAAGTATTGTAGTTGTTAGTGTTCTTTTTAGGAAAAGGAAAATTGTAATTTAAATATACATATTTTTTTTATAATACAATAATTCATTGATCGAGGAAATGATGTTTTAGATGAATGGCTAAGATTAAGGTTTGGAACCCTAATTTAAATAGTTATTTTGTAATATTCACCCACTTTAATGTCAATCTGTAAACTAATTAAACTGAGCTAAATATTAAAAGTAATTTATACTTAATTCGTTTATTAAATTGAGTTTTTGAGTGTTTGCAAATAGTATAATTCACATATTAATAGTATTTTATGATTATTTATATTTAATCACAATACTATATTATTGAACAAGATTCATAAATTAAAAAAGATCTCTCTCTAATCTCTACCCTCTCTCCTTTTCTTTCTACCCTTTATATAACCCACCCACCTTCACGGACCTGTGTAGGCTGCTGCCGATGACACTTCACTCGCAATACTATATTTTATTAAACAAGTTATTATGCACATAATAATAATTATTTTAATTATTTATTTATAATTAACTACCACAATAACTATTATAGAGAATTCATATCATATTAGCTGTTATATAAGTTAATAATGTACAATACATATTTATTTTTTTAATATGTAAAATGTAATCATAATTTTATTTTACTACTGTGGTATAATTATAATTTTTCACAATAAAAAATTATATTATAATTTTAAATTTGTAATTTTTAATATGATAGTTTATAGAATAACTATTTAATTCATTATTTCATTGTAAGATGCAATATGATCAATGCAAATGAATTTGTAGACCAGCTACTTGATTTATAATCATACGTGTGGGGTAGTCATACGTGTGTGACACATTAGCTCCATTATCCCTCACCAATAAACGACACCGTTCAAAATATGTTTCACTGCTTTGAGTTGTCAGGATATTTTTCCCGGCTTGAGCCAAAAATATATAAATATTTTTTTCCCGCGCAAATAAAATGCAAACCTTCCAAATTCCCCTCCATCTGTTTGTCAAAAGTGGCAGGAGACAAGTCCTCCATACTCTATAGAGAAACAAACGACGTTCAAATTGAAAAACAAAGTCACCACCATGGCCGCCACCGCCACCGCCACCATCGGCAGACACGAAGAGCCACCACCTAATCTAACCGACACCGAAATAATAAACCTAGCCCATCAAAACCAACTTCATCCTTACCTTCTATCTACATCTTCACATGCTACTCTGCTCTCCTACATCCAAACTCGCTTGCGTTCTCCCACTTCATCCGTCGCCGTATCAGAGTATATACTATCTCTCCTTTCGCTCATTTCTCTGTCTCCTCGTGACCTTTCTCTCTCTTCCCTTCTCTCTTCTCTCCTCTCCACATACACTAACCTTTTCCTTTCCTTCCAAATTCCTCACGATTCCAATTCCCTTAAAACAACCAATTTTTTCACCACTTTATTAAACTATGTTGTTATCGAAGATCTCGAGTCTATCGTCGACTCGATTGTAACCGATTTGTCAAAATTAGTGGATTCTGAAGATACCCAAATACTTGATATTCTTCCGGGTTGTTTTAGCTGCTTATGTGGCGAGAAAGGAAAAGAATGTGTGAATTTGATTTTTGAAAGGATAATTGAGAGCGAATGGTCAAAAGTCTTGTTGGTGAAAATGGTTTTTCTTGCAAGGGAATTGCAGGGATTTATTGACAAAGTGAGAGCGAGGGAGTTTTTGGAGAAGGTGTTCAGTGGAATGAAGAATGTGGATTTACAGGACTTGCCTTCGCTTGCATATCAATTGTTGGTTTTGGCGTCCAAGGGTTTTAATAAGAGGGATGTGGTTGAAGGAATTGTGAGGTTCTTTGGGTCTGAATTGGGACCGAAAGCCAGTTCCACTGTTAGGCAAGTCGAAGGGACTGTTTTGCTTCATGTTAATTTTGCGGTGAAGCAGGATCCTTCTTTGGGGCAGGAGTTTATAGGTCTTGTTAAATTGGATACAAGGGCTCTTAATCATTTCGCCGTGGCTGTTTTATTTTCTGTTGCAAGGATAAGGAGGTTCACTGAGAGCTCTACAGGGATTTTGAAAACTGCAGTGCTCACTGCATATGGTGATTACAAGTTTTCCAGGTGGAGATCAGTGCGTTTAAATGTTTTATCTGTTTTCTTATCGTTCCGAGTACTCGTAGTCGTAATGAAAACTAATTATTATTTCGTAATTTAGTGGAGTAATTTTTCAATGGTTGACACAGAAATTGAATAATTTTCTTGTGTTTCAAATAAAATATTTGTTTCAAGTAAATACTAGTTTGATGGTTGATTGTACTTTTTGATATGAAGCTTGCTGTATTTAAGATATTTGATCAATGACGGGAACTGCATATTTTAACTGCACGCATTTTTCCATTTCTCCTACTCATGCAATGATATTTTGTTTTGTAACTTTTTCCCACCTTCCAGGGACTGTCTGTGGTTACCAGATGATTTAAAGAAAGAGTATATGCAAAATGTCCAAACAGTGGAGAAAGCTATATTGAAAGTTGTTAGTTGCTTTTGCCACATATTTATCAGTTGGCATGCTTATATTTGGACATTTAAGTGCAATATAGTTGGGATGTTTCACGCTTTTCTATATTTTATTTCTCTTCAGGCTAATGAAAGCAACTGTGGAAGCGAGCATATTGCTCCTACCATTGTACAGTTTGGCTTTTTGTTGCTAGAGTCATTGGATGCGGGAATCTGTGGAGACCTCTGCAATTTTGATGGTATTTTGGGAGTTGAGAATCTTAGTGTTCAGCTGCTGAAAACTCTATTTGAGGTCCATGATATGGCAAGAAATGAGGTGGTTATAACTCTTCACTAGTGGAAAAAATTTGAAATGTTCTGTGGCAAAAAGCGAAAAAATATGCTTGATATGCATGCTTGCTTTCACCCCCCTCCGCTCCCTCTAAAGTACTGGGGGTATCTTCATTCTGCTTATGTATGTTCTTTTCACTCGCTAGGCCAGAGACTGAATGCACCTGGCACGGTATGCACAAGTATGATAAAAGTCCTAGCATTAGGAATGAGAAATCTCGAATCTATTAGTATTTCATTTTGTGCAAGAAGATGTAGGGAAGTTTGATTCATTATCATGTTGATCTTCACTTCTATCATATTTATTGTTGAAACAGGGTTCTTTGCAAGTGAAGAGATCCTTGCATCTATCAGCAAAATGATTTTTAATTAGCATATAGCTCTCATAAGTGCTCCAGTTTGTTTAATTATAGAAGACCCCAACTCTACGCATAACTATTTGTTATTTTATTTACCATCCAAAATATCAATTAGATGGTTGAATATGGACTGCCTTTCACTTCTTTTCATAGTTTCCGTCTTTGTTAAAATGAAATTGTAGAAGGAATTCTATATTAGAATCTCTTAAATTGTTGATTTTAGAATCAGACTTCTTTCCTTGGATTCATTTTCATGTCATATGCTCTTTTCTATTGGATAATTAGGAATTTGTAAAATCAAAACAAATTTGCCTATACTTTTTCTTTTTAGTTTTTTGCAAGTAATTGATTAAGGCCTCTTTTGTCTTTTCCGTGACTTAAATGTCATATGCAACAGTACTTAATTTGCCAACATTTTCCAGATTATTGAGCAATGCAAGTTTCGCATCCTTTCTTTGAAGCCAGAAAAAGGCATACTGATCACACGGTAACTCTATAGCACATAGCTGCTGAACTTTTTGTCAAGTTTGCATTAAAATTGCGAGTGACATCAAACCATCTTGTGTAGACTGCTCTGTTGTCTGGTTCAAAGTTATCCTTGCCCAATGTTGGAACATGTTTCTCGCCTGAAGGAATTATTGGATTATTTCACTTTCATGCATGGAAATATTGCCTCTTGTCTTGTTGCTGCTCTAGTGCCTCTCATCAAACTTAACCGTGATCTTCGGGTAAATTCTCTATGATGTTCAACCTTCAAAATTCAAGAACAGAGAACTTCAATGATTAATTGTTTCTTATTATGTAATAAAAATGAATGTATGATGTATATATACAACAAGGAATTCTACTTTTTTTTTCATGTCCAGCTCTTTATGTGGGTGTTTACAGTATAGAATTAGAAGCATTTTCTAATGCTTTCCATTTTACCTTTTCTTTTTCCCGGTTAAAATGTTAGTTTCCGTGTTTTTCATTTAAGGTAGGACTATACCATTTTGGTTGTTCGTAAGGCCATGTTCAGACGAGAAGATGCAGTTCGTCTTGCAGCAACCAATGCTATTATAAACGTTATATTGGCAGAAAAGCAATCCAAGAGAGACGGCTTCTTTTCTTTTCGAGACTCATCGAGCCAAGCAAGTTGCAGTCAGCAAGCTGAAATACCTTGCGGCTTTGGTGGAGATCTTTTTCTAGAGCTGAGTGGTCTACTGCAAAGATGTCTTTATCACCAGGTGACATATTTAATAACTTTTAGACATGCTGTTCATTTTCTTTAATTTGCAATTTTGAACTGTCTCTGAATATGGTATTTTAATTGATGTCTTCAGACAAGAGTGCGGGAAGCCATTTATCATGGTCTTTTGAAGCTTGTCTTGGTGGATCCAGCATGTGGGAAAGCTGTATTTGATTTTCTCTTGCCTCACTTCCTTCGTTTTTTCAAGGAGGTAGTTGTTGATCAGTTCAGATGGATTCATTATAAAGGTCATATTAAATTGGAATTCCATTTATTGAGACTGTGTTATATGCAATGCTTGCAGTTTGTTATATCCAATTTGGAAAAGGAGATAATCTGGCTTTAATTTATTAACTTATAAGATTCTCATTTAATCCTGGATTTTAATTAGGGTACACAAGTAAATAAAGTCTGTGCTTGTGCTTGGCATTGAATTGTGTTACGAGCAGGATGATGATGTTCAATGTGGAATTAGTAACTGTGTCAAATCAGAGGGTGGCAAAGCTGGCATTGAAGAGCCTCTAGATTGCTTTCTATCCTGCGTTTCTTGGATCCTACTTCTTCAACCGCATGATAAAACTGATCATCTAGATTCCCCATGGGCATGTTTTGGATTCTCCCTATCTCAAGAGAATGAGGTATTAGTAATTTTATGAAATTAAATAACTTCACTGGTAGGATGATAAGATTTGATGGTCTGGGTACATCCTTATTTGTTATTGCCGCAGGTAGGAAGAAATATGTCTGGCGAGTCGTTCTCCAAGGCTCTGGTGAAGATTCGGAATTTTCTAAGGAAGGGAAACTTTGAAGGTTTGTTTGGTTTTTCCTAGCAATATAATTCTTTTGTTTTAGGACTTGTTGAAGCATCATGTATGGAGTCATTAATAACTCGGGCATTTTGTAAGGCTTCATTTCTTTCATGCAAAACAACTTGTTTGTCAAGAACATTTTCTGAAGGGAATCATTTTATGAGAACGTGACTTATTTTCTACTGTTTTGTTGTATATGAGACCAAATTATATAAAAAGGAGCTAAATTATGGGTTTAACTGGTTGCCATGGATGGCAGGCAATAGCTATAGATGACTACGTTGATCGAGCAGTTTCACAAAACAAGTACTGGTTTAGTATATTTTTAATTCTCTTGGTTTCGAAGATTTTGCTTACTACTTCCCTTCTCTTCATGCTAGATCAGATATTCTTAGTCCCACTCAGGGTTCTGGTTCTACATCTGTAGAAGAGAGAGGAAAATGCTGTGCATTGGTTTTATCAGGCATTATTGAAGTTGTATTGAATACTATTGCCACTGAGTTGGAGAAAGCGACAGCTTTGAAGAGGGTAGATCTTGAAAAGGAAATTCTTGATTTAGTTAACTTTCATGAATCGCTAGAAAAGTATAGATGTGCAAGGCAAAGCTGTGGTCTCAAAAGAGGTAATCTACGGATGACTGCTGTTGATATGCCGGCTAATATTTCTTTCGGCAACAACCGATTGACTCAAGAACGTATTCCTTTCTTGGCAACTTCAAGTCTCTGCCAGCTAATGAAAACAGCACTGAGTGTATGCAATGATGATTGCTCTAAAAGTTCTGCAGCTTCTCAGAACCATAGCAAGTTGTCCTCGAGGGAGACATTGAAATATGTTAAGATTATTTCTTTTGTCTTGAATAGTTCTCTCCGTCACCTAAGGTCTTATCCCACTGGAGGAAAAGAAGATCCGTTAAAGACTTTAATTTATGGGGAAATCAAATCAATGGGATTGCCTTTGCTGAAACTAATTTGCTTGTTTATAAAGTTTGCAAAAGATCAGAAAAAAGAAATGAAGGGAAAGAAAGATTTTGAGGACAGAAAGGAGCATTTATATCCAGCCTTATTGTGTTTGAAAGAACTTACTATAATTAGTGTGAAGAATTCACAGTCAACTGGTTTGCTTGAAGATTTGTTATCCGTCTCTACCCTCAATCATGAATTGGATGAAGAATATGAAGAAGCTTCCAGGATTGATGATCAACAGACAAGAATCAAAGTCTTATTCATTATCAAAATTCTTAGGCCACTGTTCACTGAGCTACTTGGACATTCATCTTATCATGAAATTGAGGTAAATCTGATGTCTCGTGATGTGCAATTTTTAGAGAACTTTATGCTTGCCATCCTGAATTGTATTGAATTTTGAAAATTGTGCTATTTAACCTTCCATTTGATTCCAGATTCTCTGTGAAATGATGTTGATGGTCGGTGAAAAATTGCCCTCAAAATGGAGAAGTTCTAGTGCATCTTGGGGCATTCATGTCTGCAAAAGCAATGGCATAAGGAATTCCAAGGTTGCAAGAAGTGTCGCAGAACTTGCTGTCTCTTTAAGCTCTCCTCCAGATGATTTAATTGTGGCTCAACATATGGCTAAGGAGCTACTACAAGTCACGGGATTCATTGGATTGGAGAACAACAACCCTCCAGAGATGTCTGAATCATACCCGATCATAAATCGGTCAACAACAACTACTATAAGTGCATGCATACTGAAATCAATTGAAGCAGTCATCACTGAGATGGATTGGACCATTAAAAAACTAAAGACATTCTCTATGGTTATGCACAAAAGCATTCATCTCAGTCAGAATGGGGAACATGCTTCTGGATTCCCAGTTGATGAAAATCTCTACGCAAGGGCTGAAGCAGCGGTTAAAGTGCTGTCTTCCTTTGTTCTAATGAGACTCAAGGGTAAATACTCAATTTACATTGTCTTTATTCTCCGTTTCATGTGTTATATATGTTTTTATTTTTAAAAAAATAATTGCAGACCCTCAAGCAGAACATCTACTGAGGTTGATTGCGAAGTTTTACAAGCATTTGGCTCAGATTTCAAGGCTCAGAATTGCTCCTAGGGGATGCAAACAACTGATACCTAGTCCAACATTCCAGAGGCTTGTGGAAATAACCTGCAAGCAGCTGACAGTTCCTCTTTATACATTTGTTGCGGAATTGCAAAAAGTATAATCCTCGATTATTACATAACTGTTTATGTTTTCTGCATCGCGCATACAAACAATGACCGCATTTCATATTTGTTTATCTTGAAAAAATTTCTTGCTCATTTCAGATTCTATGATATTGTACTTGCAGGAACAACAAGAAAATCGTAAGACTAAGGGTATTATCAACAAGATCAAGAGGGAGAATAAATGTATTCCTGATCTGATTTTTCAGATAGAGGATTATGAGAAGTATCTTATCCGGCTCAGCAAGGCATGCAAAGTCAATTTACTGAAGCATGCTAAGCGTAGCACCTCCAGGGATTTCAGAATATTAGATCCCAGGAAAGAGGAAGAAGACGCTGCAGATCACGAAGAAAGCCAGGATGCAAATGCGGACAGATCAAACGAAGATTCCGAAGACAATGAAGGCGATGAATCAGATAAAGGTTTGTCACCTCCAATGAATAGTCCTGAAGCTGCACAGGAATCTGATGATGAAGATGCATGCGCTTTTCCCAATGGAAAAAGAATAAAGAGTGATAGAGTTGTGCAGGACTCCGATGATGAGACATAGGTAGGACAAAATTACAACTGAGATAAAACTTTTAATAGTATTAGTTCAGGATTTATGCCCTCCACATCCTTTACGAAAAGTCAGAAATACCCTGTTAAAAAAGAAAATTTTCGTTTGAAAGCTTTTATTCGAAATTTATCATTTCAAAAGGCATTGAAGGTTGCTATTTCTGCTTATTCATTTCTTCTCTAAAATTTTGTATATCTAGACATTGAAGATTGCTTTCATATACTCATGGCCACTTCAGGCACGAAAACAATCCTAGTGAGTATGCATAATGAGCTGATCGCATTTTCGAAGAATCATTATGCACTTCCAAGTTCCAACTGCTAATGATGAAGCACCGGTCGGTAACGGCCGTAAGCTCGATGATGCATAAACAGGTTTGGCTAATCAAGCAACAACGAATGATATGAGGCCGAGAAGTACCACCATCAGTCTAAGTACTTAATGCACTTCTCTCTGCTTCTCCTGGAAAATGACGCTAAACATGCAGATGATGATACAGACAAGATGCCTTTTACTTTGTTGCGTGGAAGAAAAAGTAAAAAAAAAAAAAATTTGAAAGTGTGATAATGGAGATTTTATGATATTTATTGTAAATTCTTTATCTGGTTTACATTTGCTGTGTTTATTTGGTTAGTTTTTCATGTTTTTGTATTATTTTGTATTGTTTGTTTTAGTATTTAGCCTGTATTGTTTATTTTTGTTTTTTTTTTAAACTTAACTATTCATTAATAATGAATATAAGTTAGTACATTATAATATTTCTATAGGAATAAGAAATATAAATATAGAAAAATGAAAATTTCTATTTGGAGGTGTTCTTGATATTGGGAGAAGATGTTACTCTGAGGAAAAATTGGTCCATTTCAAATAGGATGATAAAAGAAACCTTACATAATATCGTTCTGAACATTATTTTTTGAAACTTGTTAATATATCAAACTTTAAAGGAAGAATAAGCCGCACTATCAAACTCTATTGATAAAAGAAATTTATATGAACTTGAAGATTTATAGTCTCCAACCGTAAGCAATTAATAATCCATCTTGTATTTTGAACTGGCAGATAAATAAAAGATCTATATAAAAACTTTTCAATAACGAAGAATAACCCCATGAAAGGAGAGAGAGAAATTAATAACCATACTAACAATCTATAAGACAAAACCTATAAGAATACAGAATACAAAAAAGAAAGAGCCAGATGGAGAGGGAGACGACTAGGGTTTAGTTTCTAATATTGTTTGTTTTTGTATTACTTTATATTGTTTGTTGTTTTTCCTTTTACTCTGTTAAGATTGTTTGCCATTTGGTTTATCAATATATTAACATCAAAATCCGAATTCTGTTTGATCTTCTACCTTGAAAATAATTGCTTCGATTATTATTTATATTTAACTGTGAAATTGAACATTTTGTTTGAAAGCTTTTATTGAAATTTTAGATTGTTTGATAATTAGAAAGTGCTCTTGTGAATATTACAAATTACATAAGATCAGTGTAGCAAATTTCTCTCTTTTGACAAAAATTCAAGCCCCATGCCATTTATTATCATAAAATGACAAATAATGAATAGTGAACAAAAATCCGAATAGGATAGATCAATAATAAAGAGCACTTGCATAATTGATTACTATAATTTATATTGAGTTGATTATCGACTGTCTCTAATAAATACAGGTCTGAACACCTCGTTTAAATATAAAAAAAACATAAAAAGTCAGACAAAAATCCACAAATAAGTCATTCGAGTACTGGGATATTCTACGCTCTATTTAAACCCGGCCCAATAGAGGTAAGAATAACCCATTTAGATATTACTTTATACTTGAGGTGTCCGAATACAAAGCCCAGTTATCCTTTGGGCCTTTCTCCATAAAACAAACGTACGAACGACGACGTATTTTTACGTAAAAAGTAAAAAGGAAAAGAAATAAAAGCAATTTCATCCTCATTTAACCCAAAGCAAAGACTGGAAAGTAAAATCATCAAACAATAAAAAACACACACACACACTCTGTCTCTCTCTCTCTTTCTTACTCAGAGTAGAGAGAAGAGTTTGCGCTTCTTTCACTTCAGACTAAATCAGAACGCGATACCTTCATCTCAAAGGAAAAGCCACCAAACCAACCAAAAAATAATGAGCACCGAAGAACCTAAGAGAAGCATCACCGGCGGTTTGATGGGCAAACCTACATCAGATGATCGGAAAGTCTCTCCGGGTATAGCTCCCACCGCCAAGAAAATCATCATCAAGAACGCCGACATGAAAGATGACATGCAGAAAGAGGCCGTCGATATTGCCATCGCCGTTAGCTCCTTCTCTCTGCTACTCACTAAGCTCTATTTATTTGTTTCGTTTCGATTATTTGACTCAATTCCCTCTATTTCTCTTTATTTTTTCAAATTTTTTTTGTGGGTTTTTAAATTCGGGTGGTTTTTAGGCGTTCGAGAAGCACAATGTAGAGAAGGATGTTGCGGAGCACATAAAGAAGGAGTTCGATAGGAGGCATGGGCCCACTTGGCATTGCATCGTTGGTCGGAATTTTGGTAAACCCATTTCAGCTCTCTTTCCATTTCTGGGGATTTTTCTTTTGTTTTTATGTTCAGATTTGATGCATATATACTTTTATATGTTGGGGGTCATGTGGTGATTTTCTAGGCCTTCGGTTTCCGATTATGTTAATTACTACCAGGACGAGTGATGCTCTGCTCTAGTTAAAAAATAGGATATATAGATCTAGGCTTGAATTAGACGTTATTTAATTACATCTGTCTTCTGTAAACTCTGCAAATGTTAGTCGATTTTTGTTATAACCATCTGGCCTTTGTTTCCGTTTTCCACTTCTTTGTTCAACTTGAGTAAAAACAGCTCTTTTTTTTTTCGGAGCTCAGAATGGCAATATCCGGTTTAATGGGTAAATCAATCACGTTGTAATATTTGAATGGGTGATTATTAGCTACTGGTTGTTGGAGATAGTTAGAATGGGTGTTTACCATTGAGATAGCCAAGAAATGGACATACTTTAACCCAGAGTCAACCTCTGCTTAATATTGGCTCTTTCTAGTATCTGAGTCTGAATATTGTCGAATGTCCCAAATTAGAGAGAATAGAATTTACATCTCAAGAAACAAAGAGCTCAACGTGTTCCTCTGTTGGGCAATAAACGAGTTCATAAATATTACTTGTCTGTTAAACTTAATAACGCGAATGCTTCTACGCTGCTCAAGCTGGTCCTGTCATTGGAGGGAGTGATTTTTGTCATTATACACTAAGTTAGAGTTGCATGCTTGATGAACTAATGGTTTAAATGAATCAAAAAAATAAGATGATACGTGTATAACTATATGATTAACTCATTTCGGGATACGTGTATAACTATATGATTAATTTCCAGCTATGAATGGAACTCAATGGATGTAGGTGGAAAACTGAAAATATTAATAGGCAGTAGTTAGGCTTTTTATATTAGGATGAAGCAATTTTGATCTTGAAAAAAGGGGAAATTTATTTGTTCTCCACTGCTAGGTGCCATACCAAGCTAAGAACTGCATGATTCTCTTACAGATGCTAATGTTGCCATGGTTCTCAAATTAATACTTTCAGTAGAGAAATTTTTGTTCATCATTATTTGAAAGGTGGCATACTTAACAAAGTAACTCAAAAAAAAAAAAGCACCAGTAAGTCATTAGCATATTTGGGAATTGGGATGCAATGAGCTATGGCTTAGTAATTTCGGTTCTGATTAATTAAACGTTACTTGCTCTCTAATTCTCTTTAACCACTGAATGGCAAGCATTACTGCATGATTTTAATAGGATTAGTGATTTTGATGATAGGATTACCTCCGCCCTGAATACTGATATGGCCACTTCAGAATCTGTCTGGAGTTACTTAGGTAGTCAGTTGCTGAGATGAGTGCAATCTTGGTCTCACACTCTATGTTTTACTGTCAGGTCTGAAGAAAAGTTAATTATATATTTTGGATTTTCCCTTAATTTCGTTTTAGAAAGAAATTGCTTTCATAGTCCATATTTATTAATGTTGTTTTGATAAATAATGGCAAATATATTAAAAGTTTATATTCAGAAATCTTATTTTCTCATTTCTTCCTCTAAATGCACAGGTTCATATGTGACCCATGAGACAAACCACTTTGTTTATTTTTATCTGGACCAGAAAGCAGTTCTGCTATTCAAGTCTGGTTGACGAATGATGGAAATCACAAAGATGGTGTTAAAACATTGAAGGTTATGATGCTATATAGTTAGTGCCTGTATCTATTAACAAAATCTACTGGCATACAAAAACTAGCCAGAGATTCTTGTGCCCAACTTGTATATCTAAACTTTACTCGAAATGTTTTTGAACTTTGGATATGAAATTGTGGTCTTTACGCCAATTGTTTTACGTGTTCCCTTTTGCTTCAGTTCTTGTTGCAACTTTTGCTGCTGCTGCTGTTTTTGCCTCATCAGATTTTCCAGTAGAATATAGTGAACTCTTGTTTGTGGCATGTGGGAATTGAATCTGTTCATTGTGCCTTTTCCCAAAAAAAAAAAAAAAAAAAAAAATTTTGCCTCATCAAGATTTTCCCAGTAGAATATAGTGAACTCTTGTTTGTGGCATGTGGGGATTGAATCTGTTTTCATTTGTGGCCTTTTCCCAAAAAAAAAAAAAAAAAAAAAAGAACTTGAATAAAATGCTTTTTGGCAAAAAAAAAAAAAAAAAAAAAAAAGAACTTGATAAAATGCTTTTGCATAATCTGAACTATGAATGGAATACCTTTTCTAGAGGGAGCAGAGAAAATCCAAGATCAGCATAGACCTCCACTTTCTTTTTCTTTGTTTTTTTTGAGTATTGGGAAGAGAGTATTCGAATTCGGATTTATTCTCGAAGTCGTATATGCATTTATCATTAAGTTATGTCTCCACTTTCTTTACGTTTGTTGTTTAAGGTTTTTTGCACGGAATTAAGTAAGCAATTAATTTCTCTAAATTATAATAAAATCAAGGGTTATGAATAACTTATGAAGATAGTTTTATTTAATGTAAATAAGAATAGTATTGGAAAAATATTATTTATTGGATTTATAAAACTGATTTATATTTCGACACGAAGAATATTATATGACACTTTATTTAGGACAAATGGATAAATATTAGATGTAGAGTTTGAAAATAAATTGATAATTCTGTGCCTGTACAATTTTTCATCATTTCAAGTTAATTACTATTTGATCAACAGACTTCAAATAAATACCTTAACATTCAGCTTCAAGCATTTGCAAGTTGAGTTACCAATTTATTATTATAATAATAATCTCTCACTCTTTCCACAGTAACATTTGCATCTTGAGGAATAATTCCACCTTCCAAGAATACCCTCTAAAAGTGTAAATACCATGTATTAATAAAGATTAGAGACTCACTAATTGCAATCCCATCTTGGAAAAATCCCCACATATCTTTTCTTAAAGAAATTCTGAAATGCAAGATAATGTAAATACAAATTCTGAATGCTAAGATAATGTAGGACGGAAACTGTCGGTGACTTTTTAATAAGGAAATTCTGGGCACAGGTAGCAAAATACAAATTTGTCTGAAATGCAATCTCTATTTGAATATATAAAAATTACATTCTTGTGTTGTGGGAGGGTACGCAAACAAGAACCTAACTGTCCCTTTCCAGGGGAGGATTTGTGGATGGTAGCACCATATATAGACAAGTAAGTGGCAAACCCTATTTATTCCATGTTAGTACCTTCGCCCATCTCTGTTTCACTCTCCTGTGCTTCCCTTTCTTTTGTTCCAACTCTTTCAAACCTGCATGCCCACATTTAAAAAAAAAAAAAAAAAACGGTATTAGATTCTATGCTATTGATTCCCTTCCCTCATGCGTTTTTAAGAAATCATTTCTATAACTTTCCTCTCCACCTTCTACCGAGTTCTTGAAATCGATACGAAATTCACTTTTTTTTTTAATTACTTTATGAATCCATAAATATGAAATACGTCGGGCATTGAATCGCTTTTTAAGAGTAATTAATTGTTAGAACTAGTTTGTTTTCTTCAAAAGCCACTTTCCTAATCACGATGGGATTAGAAAATTCAGTGGAAAATAAAAATATTTTGGTCTATAATCGTAATTCAATATTATAATAGCAAACTTACTGTACAAACCAGATTAAGACATGAAGCTCATATTCTAAAAATTTAATGCATTGTATATTTGCTTTAACATCAATCAATAAATAAATACGTCAAATTGTATTATTTATAACTTTCAGAGAAATATAAAAAAGAAAGCACCCTACCGTATCTCTTTACACTCTGGAAAGTCTTTTAAAGGGCAACAAAATTCTCCACTGCCTAATTTATGGATACGTCGTTGGTCAGTTCAGTAGTCTCATTCAACACAAATGTTATATATACCTGCCTCTATGGGCGGAAGCTTAAAAACAATGGGCACCCAAGAATCTAATAAGCGTTTAAGGACCAAATTTCCTCACTCGAGACAGTATTCTTATTTGCTGCAAACAAACAAACAAACAAACAAACAAACTACACTCATATATTAGATTCACCCGTTCAACCTTACCCTTTATGTATCCAGAAGAAACTCAATTATTTTCTTTTTGGCCATTGATGGTATATTTTGATCAGTAGCTCATGGCATGGGGGCCATAAAAAATTTTCTTTATCGATGGAGTGTCAATTCTTGATTCACTCGCTACTCACAGCTCTCTTCACCAGCAAAATTCTACCTTTTTCTCAGTGGGTAATCTCAGCACAAATTACACTCTACCACAAGAATCTAACTTCTGAATGAGTGAACAGACAAACAACATTTGCCTGTTCCAAGAAAATGTTAACTCTCATGAACCTTAACATTCTTGAATTTAATCTTTAATTTATCGAAAGATTCCAGAAAAAAATATCATGTGCTAGTATACATAATTGATGAACTAATATAATACTATCATTTTGCATTACTCGTGTATATATATATATAATTAGGGCCACAATGATACTTTCAACCGTCCTTTAAATTGTTTATGGAGCAAATGACGAAACAATAAAGAGTAAACCATGGGCTCCCATACATACGTTGGACTGAAAATTTGAATGCGCTTTGGCTTCATACCAGGTAGCAAAAAAAAAACCGATAGACTGAGGGTATCGAAGTCATTACAGAAAATATGCGAGGTTAAAACTGAACAAAATCATTGGAAGTGAAAAAAAAAAAAAAAAAAAAAAAAAAAAAAATTGGAAGGTGAAAAAAAAAAAAAAAAAAAAAAAAAAAAAAGGAAAGAGAAACAAAAAAAAAAAAAAAAAAAAAAAAAAAAAGGAAAGAGAACCATTGTTCAGTTCCTTCTCTTTCGCAGTCTTTCTATATGTCTGTCAATATGCAAAACCACCCGCTCGGTTTCTGGTGGTTTTGCGGTTACGAGAAGCAGAAGACGAAGATGATGAAGAAGAAGAAGGAGAAGAAGAGGTAGCAGTTGGTTTCATGGCAGCCAGTGAGCAGTTCTCTTTCCTTAGTGTTTCCTCTTCATCCATAAATATTTGCCTATCCCTGCACTCCACGCTACAAAAACCTGTGTCTCCTCTGCAAATTTATAAAAAAAAAAAAGTAAACACACAAATCAAGCTTTTAACAGAAAATTTAAAACATGCCCATTAAAGTACGTCACAAGCTCTAATAGAAAACCACACAACAACATAAAGAAAACGGGAAAAGATCCAATCTTTTGGATATTAACGAGTAAAATCTGGACTAATATTGAGTACAAGATCTGAATATTTAAAGAAAAGGAATAACTGGAGCTTTCTTACTTGTACATGTAGATGTCTTTGCCAGGCAAGAGTTTTTGTCCACAAAGAAAGCAATGTTCCAGAAAAGTTGGGACTGGAAAACAAGAAGAGTTAGCAGAAAAAGAGGTTGAAGAAGATGAAGAAGAAGAAGAAGATGGTTTATTGATGACCATATTAGCTTTGTTGATCACTTGTGGAGTTTTCATGTTAACACCGCCCTTTTGTGCTTCCAATACTATACTTAAACCCACCATCTCTCATTATAAAAAATTTCTCCTTTTATAAACCCCTAAAATGAATCTCTCTCTCAAGAGGAGACAAGAAAAGACAGGGGCGACTCCACGGTGGCTGTGGCGGAGGTGATGGTATCGGAGGCGGTTTTTTGCATTGGAGGTGAGGGAGACGTGGAGGAATTTAAGGGAAATAAATAGAAGAAGAGGATACAAAGGGGAAGGAGATTGGTGGGTCCAGTCACAGCCGAGGAGAGCAGTACACAGGACGATTAGCGTAGCGAACGTTTTGACTTCTAGTGCTTGTTAACTGCCACGTACCCCTTTTGAGGTTTCTATTTTCATTCATTTTTTACTTTCCTTTTCTTGTTTGTTGTTTTGTTTTCTTCCGTTAATTTTGTACGTTACAGTTCAGTATTTTTTTTCACGCACTCGCACTTCAACGCGCGTTGAAAACACGTTTCTTACATTTTGGGTTGGGTCCCGGGGATACAGGTTTCGAGTTTAAAGAGTTTTGGCTGGTTTTACTTTCGGAGTAATAAATTTGCTTTTCTATTTGCCAAATGACGCTCTTTTGGTATGGTTGCCATTGCTTCCTTTTCTATTTTATTTTATTATATATTGCCATTGCCTTCCTTTTCTATTTTAATTTTATTATATATTATATAAATATATATATATATATACTATATATATAAAACTTATTAATAATTAAACAAATTGCTTCTATTCTATCTCGAACAATGCATGTGAATATGACAACAACTTGTCTGCAAGCTAAACTTTAAATAATCATCATTATTTGGGGTCAAAGATCAATGATATCAATATTCCATCAATTCCTCTCCAACAAATAACAAAGGCTAGTAAAAGATAATATAGAAAGTTAAATTAATAAGCTAATTAACTTATTACATATAAACAAATGCTTCTATTCTATCCGAACAATGCATGTGAATATGATCACAAGCTGTCTGCAAGCAAACTTATAAATCAACATTATTTAGGGGGTTCAAGATCATGATACATATTCCATCCTCTCCAACCAAAACAAGGCTAGAAAAAGAATAAGAAAAGTAAACATTAATAACTAATTCAAGAATGTACCTAAAGATATGCTTTTTTATTTAATTATTTAAAAAGTGACAATAAAAGTAAAACCAACCAAGTCTTAATTTAGATGGTACACGAACTTAATTCTCGATCTATAGAAATTTCACTTTCAGAGAAGGTAAAAGATCTTTATACCCTACTGTCTAAAAGAGACTAAAATGATAGAAATTTGAAAATGAGACACATAGGATGGAGAAATGTTGCATGCATTTATCCCATTTTTCAATAGTTTCAATAATTTACACTAAGAAGTTGGATAGTTATTTTCTTGAAATACACCCTAATCTTGACCATCTAGCCCATAGGCAGCAAATGCATGCACGCCTTCTGTCTTAAACAATGGAGGGAGTCAATAAAACTTACCATCAAAAATACAAAGTCTCTCTTTAAACCTCTTTGACTATAAGTGATGAGAAAGAAAGGAATAAGGAAAAATTTTAATAAAACACAAACGACATATGGAGCTTTTGTTTTCATATCTTTTTCATGCTTATCAACAAATAAACGATAAGTGTTGTAGACCTAGATCATCGAGAGATGAAATCCTACACGTCTGTCGACTCACACTCGCACATAAAAGTTAAAAACTCATTAATTGATGTAAGCATTACAGCCACCGGTATCCCAAGAACCACCATCGTCTTCCACTGTTTGCTCGTCCATTCTTGGAATTCAGCATTTCCATAGTTTACAACTTAATAAGCATAGATATGGGAAAAGAAACATAATCATCAAGACTGTTTGCTCATCCTAACGTCCGTTGATATACATAGATTTAATAAAATTTAACCAAAATATTTGTTGCGTCGGTGGACCTGTTTTGAATAATGCAAAGAGAAGGACAAAATAAAAAAGAGAAGGAAAGCTGCGCAAAGTAGATAAAAAGTAACACGTGTTGGATAAATAGAGCAAGTAGTTTTGCTTGACGTACGCACGCAAGTGAGGTAATTCACTATTACTTACAGAGGGAGATTATTATGGAGCTTTTAAATGCGCTATAGAGAGGCAAAAGTAAACCAAAGAAAGAAAGAAGAGTGCTTTGTCCAGGTGGTACAAACTGAGAACAGGACTACGTGTCCATCCCTAGAACACCCCCTCGGCTCTGCTTTTCCAATTCCAACTCTATCTATCCCTCTACGCTCTGATCTGCTAATCTCTCTTTTTTTTTTAAAAAAACAAAATTATTTTAAGGAAAAACAATAATAATTAAATGAATATAATAAAGATCACTATCAAATATTTTCAGTAGACAGAGACGCAGAGATTCTTTCATAATAAAGCCGGCGCTTCTCAGCACAGGTGGCAGTTTTGCCACCTGTCCGCGGTATTACTCCTCATTACATTAATGCTTTCATTAATCAACTGTCTTAATTATTATCACTCTTACTCATTAATTATCTCTTAAAACATAATTTATCAACGGACCATTATTTACCCTGCAACAACTCATAGAATAGGAGAGAAAAGGGCATTAATTAAGGTCTAAAGTGGGGCCAAGTCTTTTTTTGCCACGCAGAGCAAAAGTGGGGTCCAGTAACAACTCAGTTGGCCCTACTAGTTAGGCTTTGATGGGTCCCAATATAATCGGCCATGTTGCTGGAGGATTTGAATCAAAAGAAGTTGTTGGGCAACGTGGTTGTGATGAGAATGATAAAAAGTGGGGTCCTATTCGGAAACAATGGAACTAGTGAGGCCCAATTGATGTTGACATGACACGACACGACACTACTTTTTGTTAATCCTAGCTTAATTTTATCAACTTTGATTATTAATAATCCTAATTAAATTAAATTAAAATAAATCCCAACAACAGAAGAAACAACATAGTCCTGTCCTGTGTGTGTGATTGCAACAGCGCAAGGACTTTTGTCCACGATACTTGCGTTGGAACTAAAAAGCAAGATTTCAGATCGGAGATTTGGGAACAATTGACATGATGGAGATGTTCTTCTTCCTTTTTTTTAATTTTTTTAAAAAATTATTTATTTTTCATCAAAGATTAAGAAAGTGCCCGAAGGAATATATTTTCGGAGTTGAATTTTATTTAATGGGTATAAATTCCATAACGCATGTATGCTTTGTGAATTTTAATGACAATTCCCAATCAAATTATTTCCTTGTCAATTCAGGGTATCACCCTTTCAAGACCATCTTTATTTTTTTTTATAATATATTAACTATTATTATTATTATTTTGATCGAAAAATTATTAAAATATTTAACATTAAATAAAAAAATGAAGTAGTTTCAAAAAAATTAGTGAGTATGATGATTATAGATTATGTTTTTCTTTTTTTTTTTTTAAAGAGATTATTATACTTTATGTTGATTATATAGTTTAAATGTTCAAAAGAGCAATGATGATGGCCCCCATTCTAGGAAACAAATTCCTGAACCTAACTAGTTACTACGTACCATTAGTTTGATGTTCGACCTAACAATAATATATAAGGAAAAAAAAAAAAAAAGAAGAAAAGAAAGAAAAAGTAAAAGTCTTGCGTGCTTAGATATTTTCCTTCAGAGAAGACCATCGGAACGTGAAGACTCGATTATAACGTATCGCAAGCTAACACATGCCCTATTGTTAAATCTTGCAAGTGAAGAATATATGATTTTTCTTTTTCCCGGTAAAATGACGCTATAAACTAATTATTAGCAATATTCATATAAATCTATTTCAGAAAAGGAAAAGAGAGCATAGGTTCTATTGAATCCACGCTTATCGGTAAATCTTCATTTGATCCATCTAGTTTAACTTTGGGCCTATGCTTTACTTTGGTAACATAGGATGGATCTTGATTTGATCCGTTGATCCGGCCCATATTTATTCCTTGAATGGGCAAAAGACTTGGGCCCAGATCGACCTAGAACGATTGCTTGAGGCCCTCAGCATTTCCATCTCAAAACAAGTTTTTCTTTTCTTTCTTTTTTTTCTTTTAACCGCGCATAAATTGTGAGCAAAATAAGAGAAAAACATTTGACATGGTTTAGTTATATTCTACTGGCGAAGCTATTTTGATGGGAGTATGGACATTTGTATAACATGTCTTAAATGGGAGGATGAACATCATCTCTTAAAAAAAACAATGATTCAGTCTCGGCTGTTCAACAAAATATAACATGTCTTCACCACTTTACCTTTTCATTTACATATTCAAATATTTATCCTCGGACTTTAAACCGTAGCTTTATCCCTCCTTAAATTTTATATATTTTAGTTTGCAAGTATTATGCATTGATTTTAGAACATGTTAGCGCAGAAATGGTTGACTTAAAACTATTGAACGAAAATTTGATTTAAAAGATTTATTGTTTTCAAACATAAATGTAGATGTAGTTACGAACAAAGTGGGATGGATATAGAAAATTTATATAACTAATTCCAATTAATTCATCATATATATATATAATTTTCATTATTTATGACAATTCATTATTTTGAAACACAGTGTACTACGGAAACTATCAGTTAGATATTTTGTGACTTAACATATGCTTTAAAGTTAAAACTTCTTAATAATACAAAATTATCCTCTTATTCCCTTGTTTTATTTTTTTTAAGCCTCTTCTTCCCTTGTTTGTTTTCATTATAGATGTATCTACATCACTCTATCTATGGGCTATCTTTCACCACCATTGAAAGCTGATAAAGATGTGTTCTGTCGACATTCATATGTGCAATGTACTAGCTTTTGCTTTTGACCTTTTTCGCATGCCAAACATTTCTTCTCAATCTTTTCAACTACCCATTGACACTTAGAGAGAGCTATTCGCCATAATTTATGAATAAAGCTAGATCTTTCTTTTAAACAAGACTAAGACTAGTCAAGTTGCTAACTTGCTGACACCTATAGCGTGCATGCTTTGATCAAACCAAGCAATATTCACATGCAAACCCTTAATATGTAATTACATCCATTTCCAAAATATATATACACATATACATTTTAAAAATTTAAACTTGAGATCTCTTACTCGTTAGTCGTTACGCTGTTGAATAGATCAATCAAATTACAAATAGTCAAATGATATATGTATATATATAGATGATGATTCTCGTTACCTTTATTTATTTTGTTAACTACTTTTTGTGGAGCAAATTAAATGCACGAATCCTGCTATTTCTTGTCCTAATTGCTACTGTAATGGTGTCTTTTTTAGATTGGTGCCTCTTAATTTTGTAAATTAATATAATGCTCAAGTTCTAAATCCGTATTCTTATCAAACAACCCAATTGGCAAAAACATATTAGACAGGCATAAAATATTTCTTTTCCTTTTATCAAAGTTTTACATATCCTTCTGTGCTTCCATTTTAAGTTTATTTAGGATAAAAGATGCACGTACGTTTCATTTACACATAATTTCATTTCCAAACGTTATGTATCCTTTGCACTTGTCTTTCTAGGTGATGGAAATACGTAACCCTCACTTTTTAAATGTATTTACATTTGGCTCATACGTATAAGTACAAAAAAGTAAATTGACTAATGATTTTTTTTCTTTTTGTATATTAGAGCAAAACGACTCTCACTTGTAATTCATGATTTTGAGCCTTTTAGCTCGATATATATAAAAGAAAATTTCAAGAGATTCAAAAACTTTTTTATTAATTAGTGATCTAGAGAGAACACTTAAACTCGAGACTTTCCAATTTTCAAATAATTGAAAAGACAAATCAATCTACTTACGATCGATTCAAAATTTGAATTTTTTACTTTTCATAATTTGAGAAACATACTCCACGATCTGAAATGTAGAAACTTTTCACAAATACTGGACCGTGTACGTATAGTTGTCTCTCAAGTGTAATGTTCATTACGTCAGGTAAAATGATATTGAGAAATAATGGTGGTCCATTTGCTATTATGGAGGAAACATCATCACGTTATTTCTTTGATTTGACAATGTTGTCTTCTTAGATCCTTAGCAACCATATACAGTATTTGCTACTGTGGACATGCTTCCGGTTATTTCGATAACAACATTTTCCGTATTAATTTTTCTGTTCATCCCCAAATCCTTATATGTAGGGAGGTTTACATATTTTTTGTTTTCTACGTGTAACTCTTTCGTTTGTCATTTTTCATTTCATTTCAACAAATTTATAAATAAATAAATACTTTATAATATGCTTCTTTTTTTCTTGAATAAGTCAATGCATGAAAATCAAAACAGCACACAGAGTAATTATACCCCTTTTGTTTCAAGTTTTGACCATTTGGCTTAACATCTCTTAATCAATTAAGTTGTGTTCGGTTTAATCCAACATACCCTATTCCAATTCCTCAAAAGTCAAAGTAATTATATTCATTTTCTTTTTTCAAGATCATGTTTTCAATTTCAATCATATGATTGTAAATATTTTATTTTTTCTTAATTCACCTATCCCTATCTAAATTACTGATGTAACTTTTTTTTTTTTTTAAATTTTGGCCCGAGCATTTCTATTACTTTTTTTTTTTTTTTTCAATTTCCCAAAAAAGTCAAAGTAATTATATTCATTTTCTTTTTATCAAGAATCAATGTTTTTCCAAAATTCAAATCATATATTGTTAAATATTTTATTTTCTAATTCACCTATCCCTATCTAAATTACTGATTGTAGACTTTTTTTTTTTTTTAAATTTTGGCCCGAGCATTCTAATTATTTTTTTTTTTTTTTTTGAAAATATGAAACTTAATATCATTTTTTTTTTTTTTTTTTTTGAATATGAAACTAATATCATTTTTAAACTCCGCGGTTGCCTTATCCCGTAAGGCAATAAAGAGATTATCTACTCTTCTTTAGTTTTGTACGTCTCGCGTCTGTGTATATATACAAACCTAACAGGATAATCAATAATGTGATGAGTTGGTATATATATCCAACTGCCAGCTTCAATAATATTGCAGAAGAACACAAACAAGAAATTAAAAAGGCCATTGATGGGGATATGGGGAGCAAGAACTGGTTATTCTTGTACTATTTGGACCATCAACATGGTTCTTCTTCTGCTGAAACAAAAGATTTACTATTGGAGCACAGTCTTTGCTTTTATATATTTCCCAAATTCAAAAACGAATGGTTGATTTTTTAAGTAGAAAGATTGAGTTCTAAAAGCCATATCTTCGTCCCAAAATTTATTTCAGGCTTAGATATTATAAGGGACCAGAGCAGTACCGCCTTGAGAAATTATATGCTTCATGCATTATATTACATTCCAATTTGAATTTGAGTACCTTTTCCAGACAGTGATGTCGAGTTGCTTGTTGATAGAGATAACGAGATACTACCTTACATGACATGCAAGTGGTATCACACGTGCATGGCATATGCTTTCTCTTTCTTTTTTATTTTTTATTTTTTAATTTCTTTTTTTCTGGTAAATACATAATTACACATGGCATGCCAAGCCGATGCCTGTCTTGATGTGCTTTATATTTTAGCGAAAGGACTTCACGTTTCATGTTGATGCCAAGGATCCATATGGTTCGGTACAATGTTGTTTATATCACATGTATAAGTGGGTCATGCATCATTATTAATCTTTTTGATTAGTTATTAATTATGATTAATAGACATTCATAATACAAATAATATCTGAGATTATAAGAGATCTTTAATTATAAATAGATAGATACGTCAAAGTAATAAATGACAAGCATATTTATTAAGAAAAGGTTGCTTTTGAAGGAGTGTAGGCAAATTAATGAGTGGTTTTCCACTCAATTGACACATTATATGGTTAATTTAATTATATTTTTCCAAGATCCATTGCGTTATAACCATATATATGTACAAAAATATGAAATTCAAAATGGGTATTTTTTCTTTTTCCTTAATTGATGAAGATCAATCACCATCCTACAAAACTTTCTCGTTATCAAAATTTGGTTTATTAATATTAATAGACATGGTTATCAAGTTCCTTGATAATGAAAATGACCATACGTTATTTGTCTGTATATATATAGTTTCTTTATATACACTTGAATGTCGTGTTAGAATAAAATTGTTGCACATTCATCACACTCAGATTTGCACAAGGAATTTGCTTACTCTAAATGATTATAAGCTAAGAAGATACCTACGCGAAATGTATATATAAAATAAATTTAATAACGACAATTGGTGTAATGATAATAGGTAAACTACAAATAAAAATGACAGATGACGATCAACTGTTAACAATACATGATGAATAGATATACGCTCAATATATTGCTTTGAAGTTTATATAATTCTTTTTTTAATCAGCAAAATCATGTTTATTGAGAGAGGAAAAAAAAAAAAAAAAAAAAAAACATGTTTATAAAAAAAAAAAAAAAAAAAATCCTACTTGAGATCGGAAGAATTCAAGCTAGACCCAAGCTAGAAATGGGCGACCTGCAAGAATTCCTTTCTACCCAAAGCTCTAATTTACAACTTCTATTTTTTTTACACTGTAAAAAACAAAAATTCTAAATAATCAAACATTTTTTTTTTTTACCAACTCCAATTTTCCATTGATGTGAGTTGGTTTCCTAAAATGTATTGTTTTCATATTTAGCTAACACCTACCAGTAGTGGAGCAACACATTAGGTAATATAATGAATTGATAGGAAGGAATTAAAAGAATTTAAAATAAATATTCAATGTATTAAAATATGGAAAGGTCATGATTGCGTGGCAGTAAAATACAGAAAGAAGTTCATACTTCTCTTCCTTTTGCCATTTTAACCATTTGCAATTGGCCATTGCATATGGAAAATAAAATCAAAAGTAATAATTAAGCTTTATGTCAAAGTCGTAAATGATGTAATTTATATTTTGGCTTTCCGACCGGAGAGAAATAATGAATTCACACGATTAATTTTATATATTGCTTTCTTCAAAGGATTCTTTGAAGACGTCAAAATATAGATCCTTATACCTACTAAAGCCACCAAGAAGTTCTTTGTATCAGTTAATTTAATGGAAGGTTCTAATAGCTTTAAGCATTAGCAAATCAAATTGTTTTGAGAGTTTTCGTAAGGGGAAAAAAAATCCGCAGGCAAGACATAGAAATTAAAGAGTAGGGAAGAGAACACAACTGGCTCATAATAAAGTAGCATTTGATTTTTTTTTTTTTTTTTTTTTTTTTTTTTTTTTTTTTTTTTTTTTACAAATGGAAGGTTTGAAGTTTGAATATGACGACTTTTGTACATGGAGATCAATAACAACAAAGGGACAAATTAGGAAAGACAAGGCAAAGGGAAACAGCAAACATAATATAAGAAAGTTGAAATAATGAGAGATGAAAAGTTCCTAGCTTTGAACTTTTTGTCCTTTTAAAGCCGTATCTTTTTGTAGTGATTTGGATTCTGAGCAAATAGCTAAGCTTTGCTTCGCAAACAAAAAAATCTCGTCTTAATCTCTCTAATCTCTGTGTCGGTTCTTTCGATTGTTCAACCTCTCTCTATAGAGAAAAATGCGAACAAACATACAGTTGCTTATCAGCTCTAGCTCGGGGGTGGCTTTCGACATGTAAACCCTTTTTTTTTTTTTTTTTTTTTTTTACAATGGAAGGTTTGAAGTTTGAATAGACGACTTTTTGTACATGGAGATCATAACAACAGAAGGGACAAAAATTAGGAAAGACAAGGCAAAGGGAAACAGCACAACATAATATAAGAGTTGAAATAATGAAGATGAAAAGTGTCTAGTTTGAATTTTTGTCCTGTTAAAGCCGTACTTTTGTGTATTTGATTCTGAGAATTAGAACCTTTTGCTTCCATAAAAAAAATCTCTCTTTCTCTCTCTATCTCTGTGTTTCTATTCGATTGTTCACTTTTGAAAAATCAACAACTAGCAGTGCATGCTCTGCTCTGGTTTGCTTTCAGAAACCCTACCCCTTCTTCTTCACATTTCACTGTTTGGTTTATTGCATGTGCTAATGCGTCACTTTTTCCCACCAAGTCTTTGGCCTTTAACAACTCTCTTTCCCAGTCTGTCTTGTATACAACCGTTAAGATTGATACTACGCAAGTAACTTGAGCCGCTAGAAGTCCATAACATAGCCCCACGAACCCTATTTTCCAGACAAAGCCTAATAGTATGGCCACTGGTGCACCCACCAGGTAAAAGGAATAAAAGTTGATCCCTGCCCCAATTCCTGGCCTAGCACTTCCTCTTAAAATCCCACAACTTGTGGTTTGTGGACAATTTGCTAGCTCACATAATCCAATTACCGGTAGTACCACCATGGTTAGCTTTAGAACTCGTTCATCTTCTGTAAATACTCTTGCCCATGCTTCTCTTCCTAGAGTTGTTAATAGCAAGCCAAATAATGAACTTACTAGTGCTGATCCTACTGCTACTGCGGTTGCCAATCGTGCCTTTTCTGGTCTTCCTGCTCCGAGCTCGTTCCCTACTCTGGTCGACACTGATGCACTTAGTGCTGTAGGCAATGTGTACATAAGTGATGTTGTCTGAATCACTATCGCTGATGTTGCCAAAGCTACGCGAGGCTCAGATAAGTATCCAGCAAGAATTGTCATGAATTCGTACCACCACCATTCTAAACAAACACCTAAACAACTCGGTATAGCCAATCGAAGTAGAATTCCCCATTCTTCACCTATTGAAGGAGTTGAAGACAGCGGGGTTGGTGAGAGTGGAACATATAGAGACTCCCCATCTTTAGGAACACGAGTAAAATACATGTAGCATAAAATAAATAAAAGGGTATTAAAATTGGAGATAAAAGTGGAAATTGCAATTCCTGGTACTCCAAGATGAAGATAAAATGTTAAGAATATAGTAATGGGTAGATGTAGAACAACGGAGATCAAAGTGCACCACATTAATGGCCATGTTGTTCCTTTACTACGTAAATATACGCGTAAAGGATGTAAAAGACTATTGGCAATAAGATCTGGGATGGAGAAACGGCAATATATACTTGCAAGTTTGGTTATATCAGGTTCTTGATGGATGGATAGCATTAGAGGTTCAAGATTAACCCATATTAAGCCAATAGGTAGTGAAGCAAGAAGTAACATGACAATCGTTCTTTGTAGAGTTTGAGATGCTACTGATAAGTTTCTTGAACCAAAAGCTTGGCTACAAATTGGCTCCATCCCCATCGCCAGGCCTGATAAGACTGAGTAGCCTGTGATGTTGGTGAAGCCAATAGCTAAAGCACCACCAGCGAGCTCAAGACTTCCTAGCCTTCCCATGCATACAACTAAAATCATGTTTTTCAGATAACCAACCAAGCTCATAGCAACTATAGGGAAGCCTATGTCCGTCATTTTCTTTAGTTCGTCGATGACCTGAAACAAAGAAACTAGGGAATGAGAAATTATGAATCACTATATAAACCACATGCAAGAAATTAAAAAGATCAATCTTCTCTATACCTCCGGCATGGTCGGGCACTTGCGGGGTTTCTCTGTTGTGAGCATCTTTATCTCTTTTTCGCTATTTCTATTTTGCTTGTTACTTCTGGTTTATTGAGAAAAAGGGAGCAAATTACTTAAGCAAAGAGTGAGGATTGAGGAGATTTATAGGGCAGCTATAGGTTGGGAAACGGTGGGATTTTTAAATTAGTTTTTAAGCGCACATACAAAATGTAAGAAAGTATAAAATTGTAAAGGTGATGTATAATACCAAAAAATAATAATAATAAAAAAAAAAACACATAAACCTTATTTTAACCGTGTCATATACTGAAGCTGTCATCCCATGCCCTACTGTTCAAATCACGCTTTGTCATTTTCCAAATTAAAACCAACATATCCGCTTACTCTTTGGAAATCATCATCCGCAACTCAGTCTCCACGTGAGATAATATGACCCATCCATTTTTAATTAATACCTACTTACCCTAAATTAATCCTATAAATACTTTATAATACAGTGTTAGTGATAACTCTTGTGATTGAGACAACATGAATTCAAAATCTCCGTTCTTTACATTAGCAAGAACATTAATCAAACCAAACCTCACAATTAATTTACCCTTTATAGATATCATGTGCAAAAGGTGGCTCTATATATATTACAAGTGCTACATGAATAGCTACATGTGCATATCTAAGAAAGGTCGTTGGAGGGTAGTGAAAATTTATGAAGATAGATACATATGTATAGAAGCAGGGATTCTTGTATTAGATCCTTGAGGAATCTTGATAATATCGTAGAAATGTTGGTATCATGTCAGCTTTTGCAATGAAAAAGAAAAATTGGAAGATGTCTACATCATAAACAGAGTTGGAATTTATAGATTGTATTGGAAGCAAAAGTCTTAATTTTTATTATTCTCACATGTTTTTAGATGAATCCAAAATAATCACAATCGCCATTAGGACCAAAACCTCTCCACAAATTTAATTGGAGCACACACCTTGTCTATTAAAGCTACTACAGCCAGACTCCTTTCTATATCAGTTTTCCATATTTCTTCTTTTACAAGCTTCATTTTATTCAACGTTACAATAACATCGATCTCATCTTTAATGCCTCAATTATGCTTTCTCTTACACGCTTCTTCGATTCACGTAGGCCTCACCCCCTAACTAACAATTCACACACACACACACACACACACATATATATATATAATGGCTTTACAATTATTAAATAATTAATTGATGTACAATATATATTGAAACAGAAGTTGTTCATCAACATAATTTTCAAATCAAGACATTTAATTATTAAGAGAATCGATTTATTCTTATGTATTTTCCCTTTTGTTCCTTTTTTTTTTATAGTCTTGTCAAAAATGTACTGCAGTGCATACCCTTTAAGACCGTTTGCTTCTCTGCCCTCAGATTCAAAATTGTTGAATTCTCCAAAAGGTATTTCGAGAAATGTTTTAGCAGGACTTTCTAAAGGGTCATCATGTATAAAGTATTCTATATTTATAGGGCAACATTCATTCTCTTTGATAGAAAAATTATTCCCCTGGTTTAAACTCATGATTTTCAATTTCATATTATAAGTGTACTAATTTTTACCGTTACACCGAAAACTATTTTCTTATCAAAACTTTTTCCAGTTATACAACTATAGATAAATTGGGAATACACAGAAGAGTGTGTTCATTCACAACATGAAGATGAGTACTCCAATCAACGTACGCTGATTTAATCTATTAAGAGCACATCGAGTCTACTTCTATATGTGTAATTTTCCTTTTGTTTCCTTTTTTTTTTTTTATAGCTCTTTGTCAAACAAGTGGTCTGCAGTGCATACCCTTCTAAGAACCGTCTATGCACATTACATCTGCCAACTCACGTCAGAATCAAAAATTGTTGTAATTCTCCAAAAGGTATGATCGAAGAAATGTTTTCAATGAGCGAGGACTTTCTAAGAAAGGGGTCGCATCATTATAGAAGTATCATATAAGTTCTATAGTTGGCAACCCATTTCATTCTCCTTTGAATAGAAAAATTATTCCCTTCTTGGTTTTAAAACTTCGGACATGATTGTTCCAATTATCCATACTAAAAATAGTCGTACAATCTGTTATTAAGCCGGTTTAACACCACACAAAACACCCGAAAACTATTATTCTTATCAAAACTTTTTCCCAAAAGTTATATATATATTAATATATAATATATATATATAGTTAATTTTGAATAATTAAAATAATGTGGGAAATTAAGAAAATTTATGTTTAATGTAGACGTTAGATGAAAACCATGCAATGTGCATCTAGTGTACACCAAAATGACAATTAGGACACTCTGAACTCTTAATCTTGACATAAATGTACCATCACCACTTCCATTTCGCATTAAATTCTGTTCTATACCACAATGTGGGGCCAAACTTCAAATCACATTTAAAAAAAAAAAAAAGAAAAAAGAAGAGTTAAAAAAAAAAAAAGAAAAAAAAAAAATCCCCAATCTTATCCAAGATGTGATTTTATGCCTTCCTATTCAACAAATATCACCAGTGTGGTTGTTAGGGGGAAACGATACCGTATCCAACCATCACATCTCCAAATTTTTTTTGTTGTCATTGAAATGCTTAAGCTTTGGGGCCAAAGACTCAGACTGATCCTCGATCTTTGTATCCAACAACTCAAACAACAAAACCACCCTTCTCCTTCTCACCCTCACTTCTCCCACAATTGCTGACAACGAAATATTATTTATATATATAATAATACACATTTATACATATTAGAAGCCCTGAGGCATGACAATATCTCAAATAACCAATCACAAAACAGATCTTATTATCTAAGTCTAAGTCTAAAGCAAAGCAATTTCACCCAATCCACCAAATTGCAATTGCAATGCATGCACTCTAGTCGACATTGTTATGCCTTTCTTTCGCATGCCCCACTTACATATGTGCGTTTTGGTTGCTGGGTTAGTGTCTTCTCTTTTAGCAATTTATATATAGTGTATATATAGATTATAAAGAAAAAGTTAAATGTTTATATCTTTGTATGAATATAGTAGTATTAAATTAGTCAAACCCAAGAAAAAGCTCAATAAAAAAGAGAGATTTAGTGGATCTTAGAGGGTAATTAAAATCCATTTTTGAGGGTCCATGAGTTTGACATTTCTTACTAGATATAGCACTCAAACCCTTTTTTGGTTCTACTTAGTCAACATTTTTTGTTACATTTTAAAACCTAACTATGATGGTATCTCCCTAAAATCAGAAAATCATAGTGGAGACAAGATTTGTCCACATTATTTGGTCTCTTCACCTCATATTTTAGCTTGCTAGTGCCAAATACTAGAGGTAGATCTTTAATAAGTCAAAAGCCAAATAACATTGTGCCAAAAAATCTTTATTAGATCAATTTCTACTATCTATATATCTATTGGACATTTGGAAATTTATTATGTTGGTAGAGCTTTGTTGCGTTCCTTTGCTTGAGCACTAGATGCCCATTGTTTCATATGAAAACAAATTCAATAAAAGAATGTTTCTTGGAGCTATGTCATAAGGAATCTTGTTGCAATCTTCACGACACCTTTTATGTATATAAATATAAATATATACATAGTCAAACTCGATTATTGCTTTTTTCCCTTAATTCTAAACACAAAATTATTAGAGACGTTAATTTCTTGCTAGCTGGAATCCACATTTAACTTTGTTACTGTTGTTGCTTTTTTTTTTTTTTTTTTTTTTTTGTCTAGCACATGACCTATTCTTCTCCACAACGTAGCTACCTTTCTATCACTGTAATAATAAATATAGAACTAATGATCTCAGCATAATCATGACACAAACTGCGTATTATTGTTAATGGCTTTTTCCACTTTAATTCTTATAACCACAAAATACTTATGAGATGACCCTAATAATTTATTCTTTGGCACAGCTGGAATCCATCATTTAATATCCTTTTGTTTACTTGCGCATGTTTGTCTTTTTTTCATTTTCTATTTTTTATTTTTCTGTTACATCAATCCTTATTATTATTATGAGTTCATCCATACAGTAACGGGATAAAATTTGCTACTTTATGGAAAGATTTACTGTTAGAATTTCAATAATTATTTAAATTATGTCTTTCAATAAAGAAATACGTTTTTAAAGGGTTGAATTGACATTCAATTTCTTTGTCTTTTTTTTTTTTTTTTTTTTTTGACATAAGCTATATAATTTTCCATACAGAACGATTTTTATTTATTTTCTTTAGAATTTTAATAAATTATTTAATTAGTCTTTCATAAAAAGAAATACGTTTTAAAGGGTTGAATTGACATTCAATTCTTTTGTCTTTCAATTGGCATTTAATAAGATTCAAGCAACTAGATTTGAACATTCAAGTTAGTCATGGATAGGATAGATATTTTTATTTGAATCATAATTAATTGTTCTAACAACAACAACAGAATATGTATGATTAACAACACCAACCAAATTCTTAATTATTTTGTCTATATAATTTAACTTTTTTTTGAAAGAAAAATCATGTTTGGTCTTTTCAGTACCAAATTAGACAACAACATTTGACAGTTCCTATTTAAATTTCCCTTATTTATTTATTTATTTTCCATTTAACCAAAGCTAAAAAGTGATCAAACACACAATATCTATAGCTATTAACACAACATATATATTTAACATAATCCATAAGGAAATAATCGTACAATGACATTTACATTTCACCTAACATTTTCAAAATTGAACAATTTTGTTTTCATAATATTGGATAGAGTAAAAAAAAAAAAAAATCTATTAATGTGACTAAATTAAGAAGTCATATATTTGATGTATGGTAATTAACAAGTGGGATGATATATATACATATAGCTGAACATTTAATGAAAATTTAGAGATGCTAAAAGTTTATGAATAGCTTAATTGGTGAAAATTGAAGAAAAACAAAAATAATATCATGTGATTATCATATGGAGTATTGGGTTGCAGGGCACATCAACATGTGAACCTTAAAAATATCAACTCTTCTGTATATTAATAGTCTATCAAAACCAAACTTCTCCCACTCCTATGGGATTCAACCAAAATGCTAAAGCAAACAACATGTATGTGTCTATATATGTATATATGTATATATTATGTATATAGTATATATATATAATACTATATATGGCGTACTCAATTTGTGATGAGATAGAGGTACCCTAGACATCATACATGCTAATTAAATCGGGTGACCTAACTCTGGTATACACACACTCCTTATGGAGCAACTCAACCAAGCTAATGGGAAATGTCTCATTGTTCTTCAACATGCAGTTCTATCTTATCGTCACTAATTATAATTATTATTCGCGAGGATAAAATTACTTTGTTTGTACTCTAGTAATGAAGGAATTAGGTTAACAATGAGATAAAGGGACTCATTTATATTAATACGTATGGGAGACTAAAAACCAAAAATTGCATGTCTAAAAGTTATTCTAATACAAAGCCAGAGGAGCCAATTTGTGCAAAAAGTTATAACTATATGCTCAACTACTCAAGTGGCTCTCTACTTCTCTAAGTTGACATGTCTTTAATGTTTAAGGACTTCCATTTCAGTCATCGTGTCTAAATTCGGTTGACTGTTCCCTTAAAAGTCTTTTAATAACTATGATTACACAGAGCATGGTGGTGAGACGGGTGAAAATTGAAATATATACAAAGATTCTATCGACTCTACATCTGCGAACAAATTCCCAGTTGCGAGCAACCGCATAACACCCTTACGTTAGGCCAAAAAGTCCCCACATCCCGGCGAGAAGTGACAAAGGGGAAAAAGTAAAAATGATTTAATATATATATATATAGACACATACATGCTAATTAAAGGTGACCTAACTTGGTTAACTCTTATGGAGCACACTAAGTGATGGGAAATCTCATGTCATCAACATCATCATCTATGCATTATATATATACATAAATACTTGTTTGTACCTCTAGTAGATGAGGAAATTAGGTTAACATGAGATAAAGGTATTTATATTATACGTAATGGGACTAAAAAAAAATTGCATGTTCTAAAGTTATATATGGCCATATTGCATTTGGCCACAAAAGTTATAACTATATGCTCAACTCAAGTGGCTCTCTACTCTCTAGTGCTTATGTTAGGTCGGTTCAATTTATTGTCTTAAATCTAAATATGATATAGGTGGGGTGAGAGGGTGAAAATTAAAATATCAAGATTCTATGACTTCAATTGTGACATCCCAGGTTTGGGGCACCTACACCTTAGGCAAATCCCACATCGGCTAAGCACAAGGTGAAAATAATGTACAAAAAGTGTGGCAGGCCTTAGGATGTCATGATGTGTTTTGGGCTATCAGTGCTATTACATAAATGTTTAAATTAAACAAGAAAAAAGAAAAGGACCTTTATGTATACTATTAACATTTGGAGGCATCATGTGTAGAAAGCTATGGAAAGGGTAAAATGGCAGAAAGTTTCTTTGTCATTCTATTTAAAAATAATAATCAATTTTTATTTGAAAACTAATCTTTTCTTCCGGTCATCTTCAAATAAAAGATTTAAGTTGTATTTTTTCCTATTAATGAGAATATTATAATATTATACTCTTTCTTGAAGAATTCAAATATTACAATTATAATTATTATTAAAAATTGGGTGTAATATATATATATAACTAATACAAGATATGTGGCTGATTTTAGAGGCGTTCGGACTATTTCGTTGAAGGACAGTAATGATGGACCGACAACACCAAGGTCCAACATATAAAGAATGGGCTATTTTTTTGTAATTGTATACTTTTTCCTGGACTGAACTCTGTAAAACAAAGTCCAAGTCTTGATGAAAGCCCTTTAGATCGAGCTAAATGGGCTGGACCCATAATTAGATGGCCCTGTTGGGCCCTAGTTCTAAAATCACGTATTTTTGGATTATTTTTTGAGGAGCGGTCAACTTGCTCGTGTTTGACCAACTCACCTACACCTACACGTAATGTTTCTCGCTCCATGCTTAGCTGGAAAGTATTTATTAAGCAGTAATTAGCAACTGATCTTTTGGATATATTCGCTAATTTCTTTTAAAGAAATTCCTAATCTTATTCTTGCCAATTCGTCGGTCGTTAAAAACTACTGACAAATGCACTGTTCCGTCTTAAGTTGTTAAGTTCTAACACAACCGAAGACTGCTAATTAACGGATATCTATCCATATTGGTTAGTAGGAGCTGATGTGGCAATGGCACGCAATTTTAAGAAAATGATTAGCGTCACGTTTCTTAATCTTTATCTGTCTCGCTAATCAAAAATTTTAAAAGCGGATTAGTCTCTCTCACTTCTCAAGTTCTCGGTGCGGTGTCGCAGCAGCTCGATAATGATCGGAAGGAGGATTTGGCAGAAACGGATTTGGACCTCCGCCCCGCGGTCTCTATTCCCATATACTTCTCAAGCTTTGTCATCGCCGTTGCCGGCGGCAGTCACCGAGCATAGACAACCACCTCCAGGATTGTCTTCACTGCTGGCTTTCTGTAGTTACGCTTCGTCATCGTCTCGTTTAGTTAATAACTTGATCGACGTGAGTATCTGTTTCTTCTTTGGCACAATCAAGTTCAATTAGCCTAATCAAATTATAAGAGTTCCAATTTTCCCTCGATTTTGTAGTTCGGCGTTGAATATAGGGTGAATAGACATTGCTTTTCGAGTCATGCGTTGGCGGATCATCCAGTGGGTGGAATAGTTGATGTACCTTTAGCGCAAACTGGTGAAGGGATTGCTGAATGTGAACTTCTCAAATGGTATGTGCAAGAGGTGAGTGACAAACTCAAATATAATTTTCATGCAATCGGATCAATGAAATTTCAGTATGTTTCAAATTGTTAATTTAATTGGGAGTGCATATTTATATTATCTGTCTTACTGTTGTATGCCTACACTCAACGCTTGTGACCATAAATGACTTCGATTAACAGTAGTGAATGTGGATTCTGTTCTTCGGGCAGGGGGATGAAGTTGAGGAATTTCAACCAGTATGTGAAGTTCAGAGTGACAAAGCAACCATTGAAATAACAAGTCGTTACAAGGGGAAAATTGCTCAAATTTTTTATGTTCCCGGTGACATTGTAAAGGTAAAATCTGTTTTGAAACTTATGCAGATTAGGATTCATTATTATTTCATGCGTGGTGTTGGCTGCTTGAGTGGGAGTGAGAAACAATGTTTGGTAATACAGATGATATTGGCAATCTTTCAACAATTGGGAGATGTGGACTAGGAAATTTGTTTGAGTTTAATCTAAAACCAGGCCAGAAAATTCAGTTGCTAGGAAATGTACTTTAGCTAAATTTTGGTAGCAAAGTCTGAGCAAGGGCAGTAGGTTAGTTGGACAATTTATATTCATATTGTATAGCAAGTTACAATGGAAGACGAAAAAAAGAATCGAATCAGTGCCAGTCATGAAATAGTTGTGAAAGTGAACAACTATTACTATACTTTTTATGTATATATGCATTGTTACTTTGAATTCTTGAGGATATATATCTTGTTTGATTAAACCGCAGTAATGTTGTAGGTTGGAGAAACTCTTCTTAAAATGGTAGTTGAGGATTCTCAGGCTACTTCTCTGATGCATGGTGACATAGAGGAGACGAAGTCACTTGGTTCCAAGCTGGATAAAAGTCAAATTGGTGGAGTCTTGTCCACACCAGCTGTGCGACACCTTGCAAAGCAACACGGTATAAATTTAAATGATGTTCCTGGAAGTGGTAAAGATGGAAGGATACTAAAAGAAGATGTACTTAAGTATGGTATTCAGAAGGGAATTATCAAAGATTCATCTGGAACTATGAGTTCTGATTCTGATTCTGGAAACAACTCTCAGGGGGAAAAAGGTAGTTTCTCATATGCATCAGCTGGATTAGGACAGCCTCATGATGATAAGACAGTTCCCTTGAGGTAATATTATATAGAAACATGAATCTGCAACAGCACACACTTATATATTTTTGAACATGGGCCAGGTTTTTAACAAACCTGAAATATATTTTACATCAGTTAGCATCTGCCTCATAGCCATACAAAGATTATATTGGAAGAGGGATAAAAATGGAAATGGTTTGTATGCTCTAGAGCTATCACAGTTTTCATAATGGATCCAAAACCAAAAAAAAAAAAAAAAAAAAAAAAAAAAAAAAAAAAAAAAAAATTCTCTATCGATGCCTGAAAAGCACAATTTTGTAGTAATTGAGCTCTAACAAGTCGTTCCTTCGTTAGCAAGCAGTGGCAATGAGTGAACAAAGGGAGAAAATTGCTTAAGAGCCTCAAATTTATTCTTTATGTTTCCGGTGACAATTGGTAAAGGTAAAATGACGATGGTAGGTTACTGAGTTTGAACTGTTTGCTTGGTATAGACAGGCAGCACAGTGTTTCTTTTTGAGAGATTATATCTAACCTCTGTTACTTGGCAGATTAAGGATTTCTTGAAAGCGCATACGTAGTTGATCATAAGTGGTGTCAAGTTCCTTGGTCCTCCTATTCACACCCTCGCGTGAATAGGGGAAGCGAGGAAAGGGTTCAATTGTTTTTCTAGTTTGTGTGGTTTCTTCTAGTTCTCTCCGAGTAACATCCACTTCTATATATAGTGAATATTGTGTATTAAATGCATTACAAGATGTCTTCCCAAGTCTTCATACTTAAGACCGATCTAAGGCTGACAAACCATCTTAAGAGGCAGCACTGTTCGGCTGGCTTGAAGTGTAGTAGTGGGTTGAGATAGAAGAACAAATGTCAGAGCATAAGTGGAGCTTTCCCGCTGTGTGTTTAAATAAGACCAAAACGGAGGTTTAATTGTGAAGTATGGCATACTTCGCACATAATTTTCAGTGTGGTTTTGGGACAAAGTGGTTCCATCAAACCTTATCCATGTTGGGTGGCCAATATTTTGAACTTAGTTGGCAGCCTTTTTGCCTCAACTATATTCGGGGAGGAAATCGAATAGACATAGGGAAGAAGTCCATGTCCTCACTGTTTTGCAGCTTTCCTTTAAACTAAAATGAATATTTACAGGGCCAGTAACAGACCTTACGCTCCAACAATCTCAATTTTATCTTACCAGAAAATTTTTCATTTTCTAGCTGTTCTAGCTTCAGTGCAAGGGCAGGATTTCTGTAATCTTTAGCTAAAATTGTTGGTAAGGGGCGAGAAGCATGGGATTCACACTGATAGCCAACATTATAGAGGGGGCGAGAGTTGTGAAGAGCGGATGCAGGCAACCAGGATACTTTGGTAGTGTGAGCGAAATTGGCAACGTGATTTCACCAATTATTCCGTATCCATGCTGAAACCCCAATTACGGCACACGTATCACCAATGGTAAGGTATCAGCTAAGAAGGGACAGTTCTCTGGGACAAAAAAGAATCCAGAATACCTCACTTATTCTAGCCGCACTCGTCATGATAAATATTTGATCTTCCAAATTTGTTGGATCACAATGATGGAAGGTCTAATTGATATTCAGCACTACTGGTGATTGAATAGCCCTTATTATTATGGTGGTGCAATGATTATGGAAGTAGGTGAGGTTGATGAATAAGCATGGTAACGTATATATCTGTGGGCTAGCACTATGTTTGGGCACTTGAACAGGGGTACCCTGTAAAGTATATTGAATTCTTGAGAGAGTAATTGGGAATTTACTAAGGTACAGTTGCGGTTAGTAATTTTGAAATGTATATCAAGGTAAAGCTGATATGCAGGTGGACGCGACCATTACAATATTGTCCAAATTGTACTGAGTGCCATGGATCTTATAGGAGAAAGAAAAAAACTTCGTTTTGTGTCCTTTTATGTTTGACAATATTAAAATGGTTAGCTGTGTTAGGATAGAGTCGTGAATAGCGCTAAAATCACCTACCGTAGGCATCTTTACTATCCGTTTCCAATGAGAATGATTCCGCATCAATTGGGTCATTACAGTCCTTATCAATGGATTAGGTTCTAAGCCTGATGCAATGACACAAATTAGAGAATTGGCTTAGTATGTAAAGGCGACCATACTTGAACGCGTATGACGCAAGGAATAAGCCTAAAACCACTATCGTGAACTTGGATCTCCAAAGCGAAGGCTTTTGTACGCAGATAAGGGTCCAAAAATGTTACGTGCGTAGCACGTACATGTCCTTGTCGCTGAGCCACCCCCCAAAAGGATAGGGATGGTATTGCGGTAAACAGGGAGGAAGACTCTTGGCTTTCGCGTACACTGCTGCAGTCACGAAATCAAAGAGACCTGCCCGAATGAAGCGCCCTACTGTGCTGATCCTTGCCAAAGGCAACACGTATAAATGTTAAATGACACAGGATTCTTAGCCATAGTTTGAACAGAAGAGAAGAAAGTCATTTGAAAATTTCATTTTTTTATGCAATGGAGAAAAAAGATTTCCAATCGTGCAAAATAAATCAACAAGTTTTAATGTTTAATTACATTTTAATAATTAAGTCCCCAGATTGTCCTTATCAAATAATTCTTAAAGAAAGAACACTGATTCGTGCTAAGGATACCCTGCAAAAATGGAGACACAGCATGATAAATAAAGGAATTGGGGCACCTAAGAGAATGAAACGGGTCAGAGAATTAGTTTAACAACACAACAAATATTTGAGTTTTACCACTCCTGTATGCAAAATTGATTTATCAATAAGATTTACCTCGTATCAACGGAGCAGTCGCACCAAAAGGGAATCTGTAGAAATCCTCCCCAACATCATTCAAGAACAGAAAGATGTGATGCATTTCAGTGAGACTCATAGTATGAGGAAATGCACGATGATATAGTCTGAGTCGCCATGCCAGTTCTTCTGATTCTGATATTGTTAATTATTTTAAGGGTAAACTAGGAAAAACCCTAAAAGTGACTCCATTTTAATTAACCTAGTACTAGATTAATTAAAATCCCAATGTTTAAGGCACAGTTCTTGCGAACGCCCGAGGTGGATTCCCGAGACTATGTCATAGCTGATAAACTAACCGATGAATGACGCTTTGGCAAGGTGAATGATGGATTTAATGAAATGATTAAGTGATTTCGTACTCGTGGCCACACAACAACTCGTGGTCACAATCCCCGAACGTGCATCAACCGTGACTTGTGCCAGGTATATGAAATGGAAAAAGGGATATTCAATTCATTCACACAAAGGTTAGAATTCGAGTAACATGGCAGCTGGATTAGGACCCCTTCTTTGGAGGGCCTGTTGAAGGTGTATTGGCTCCTTTTTAATCTGCATTGGAGTGTGATGTATGAGATTAAGGTGCAATGTTTAGTTTTAGAACAGGCTAATTTTGCCAAAGGACCGCCATCGATTGATCGATTCAGCGCCGTCTTTGCGAGGTTAATGCACAAAATATGTGTTGAGGTTATTTGAAAGGCCAATTGTGGCCAAAAAATGGTTGTCTGAATCGGTGCAAACAAGCACGATTTTGTCCGCCAAAAATTGAATATTTGGGCTTATTCTGCCAAAAATTGATTTAAGAAGCTTTTAAGCCCAAAATTGGTTGAATTTTAGGCAATAGTGTTGCCAAAAAGTGGTGATTGGGAACGAGACTGAATCCGCCAAAACGATTCGATTTATTAAAGAGTTCTTTTTTGTAGACCAAAATGTGATTTGAGGTGTAGGCCAATTGTTTACCAAAAATGGATTATGATTGTGTGTTGCGATTAAACATACAACCGTCGAAAAATATAAAATTATTGATTTAATTGCTTTGAGACATCTATATATGACATGTTGTCTGAAATGCATTATAGCCGATTTGGCTCGCTAAAAACAACGAATATACAATTCAATCATCTTAATAAAAGATTAAGTCAAACTGATTTGGAAGGTTTGAGAAAAATGATAAAAGATCGTAGGTTAGAATGATTGCCGAAGATTAGTATTAGATTAAAATGAAAGGAGACCTAATTTTAGAGAGTTTTGCGCTTTGTTTTTTTTTAAAAAAATGTGATTGAAATGCTGACGTGAGCGTTGAAGCACCTATCCACAATTATTTGATTAATTGGATCCTTTATGGCGAAGTGTTCGAAATAAAAAAGGCAATTACAGTACCGTGTTATGTGTATTATACTCACACGAACATTTGGATTAGCTCCACAAGATAATGTCTGGCATCTTAAAAAAAAAAAGAGCATATATAAAGAAACAAGAACAAACGATTTAAAAATAATAATTAATAAACCGAGGAAACAAAAAAATATAAAATCGATCCGTGATTATTTACAGCCAAACTACAGTACTTACACGTCTAAATGATGACGTGAATGCATTTTATGCAGTTCTGTAGAAGTTATGAAAGTATGTTAGATCAGATGATAATATTGCCATAGAAAGTGCTAAAATTAAAAAAATCTGAGCAAAGTCCGGTGTTACCCTTTTTTTATTGAGAATTTAATGCGAGGACAACGACCGCTTTTAACTAATTTTTCTACATGTAGTATAGTTCCATCCTCGTTTTATGATTGGATATTATATTGTAAAGACATATTATTACCAATGTTTGTATGAAATATTTATTATAGGTCGTGATTTTACGAAATTATAAGCACAGGAACAAAAATGCAATAATTAAATTAAATTAAAAAAAAAAAAAAAAAAAAAAAAAAAAAAAAAAAAAAAAAAATCCGAATCCAACTACTCACCAGATTTTCTTTTAACTTTTTTTTATGGAACAATAATTTTATTAGTTTCATTGTTTTGCATTCCAGTGAAATATGCTTTTTAGCAGAATTATTAAAACAACTCTTTCAGGGGTTTCCAACGGACAATGGTGAAGACAATGTCCATGGCTGCAAAAGTTCCTCATTTTCATTATGTAGAAGAGGTTAATTGCAATGCATTAGTGGAGCTTAAAGCATCTTTCCAGAATAACAATACTGATCCGGGCATCAAGCACACTTTCCTTCCATTGTTGATAAAGTCTCTTTCAATTGCCCTCAGCAAGTATCCCTGGATGAATAGTTGCTTCAATGATGAATCATTAGAGGTTATTCTAAAAGGTTTGTGTTTATTCTGCCAAGCAGTATGTGCTAGTTATGTTACTAATGAGGACATTTTTAATAAGTGATTAAGGTTTGGAATAAGCTTGCCATGTCTAGGCATGACACTTCTTGTTTCTGAAAACTCTTATTTTTGAGTAACTAAAGATTGGAATGTGCGGATCCTGTGCAAAATCTGCAAAGGTCTAACGTATCTGGACATAAGTCACTGTCAACAAAATGTTAATTTGTCAGTTAAATAGATTGAAGCATTTCATACTGCATAGATCAGCAACAATCCACCAATCTGCCTACTTATAAAAACCACCGAAAATTATTACTACATTTCCATTAATACATAAGCCTATCAGTAGTTTCTTGCTAGTGGGCAGATGTACATTTTTGTATATGTTTGTTTATGCATGTGTTCATATTTTAATAAATGGAAGCTTTGATAATTCTGATGACAAATGTTCATAGCAATTTGGAATTTATAAGTTAGTGTCTCCTTTGTCATGTTAAATGTTATATATATATTTTTTTTTCCTAACAAGAATTCATTATCGATCATTTTAGGGTCCCATAATATTGGAATTGCAATGGCTACTCCACATGGCCTGGTTGTACCCAGCATAAAGAATGTTCAGTCTCTGTCCATCTTGGAGGTTAGTTTCACAACTTTTCATATGATATCATATGAAAAGTCCTAAGCAAGAATTCATTATCGATATCCAATTTAGGGTCCCCATAATATTGCGGAAATTCGCAATGGCTACTCACATGCCTGGTTGTACCCAGACATAAAGAGATGTTCAGGAGAGTCTCTGTCCAATCTTTGGAGGTTAGACTTGTTCAGCACCTTTTGTTCAATGATATCATATAAAAGTTGTTCGACGTCATTTCCTTTATGAGTTTAATGTAGAAATCAGCTGTTTTAATTAATTCTAGAATTTTTCTTTTAAGAAAAAAGCATGAAAACTGAGATAGGTCACAAAATATGCTCTTCATCACAAGCAATTAATTGATGCTGTGTTAGTTTCATGCGAGATCGTTATGAGGCTCGAATGCGGGTCATATGAGAAGTTGCATCTGCGATTATTATCAGGCATCAATCAGGGATGGCTTGCCGTAAATGAAAGGAATAGTTTCATGAACGTCAGTTTTGAAAACTAAAGATCTTCTGAGAATTGCAACTCACCTTTGATGCTACGAATTCTAGATGGGATTGAAATGAGTATGGGAACATGCGGATGGATGTAGTAGCCTAAAGCTCTCTCTCTCTCTCTTCGTCGTGCATCCTATATAGTTTATATGTATAAGTATATGTGAGCGGAAGTTGGTGGTAGATAGTTTTAGGCCTTACTGTTCCGGTGGTAGTACTTATTAGATTGTAGATCAACTGTACGTTAAGGAATACTTATAACTCACACATGTCTGAGAAAGGATTGCATTTATATAGTTTAGTATAGGTACAACCAGGAGCTGGCATTGGCGGTTACAGACAAATGGTGGCATTCGTGAGAGAATATCAAGGGCTGCTAAACCCTGTGAGGAGCATTAAAACTTGGGGGGAGACAGGATTGTTAACACTACTAATGCAGCCTATCTCGTAGCTCATTGGATGTGGATAGGGTTATTGGATGCCTATGCTAAGCAATTTGCCCTGAGGTTGCATCATGTGCAAATTGGTTAGAAGATGCAGAAGTTGCCGCAGTTCGCCCTTTGAGTGTCGATGGAAATGTCTATCCTGCCAGGCCTGGGCATCAATCATCGACTGTAAGGAATACATTTCAATTCCTGTAGAGCGTCTTTGATATAAGGTGTTCATTTATTGAGTCCTTTTCATATGATATCATATGAAAAGTTGTCCGTCATTCCTTTATGAGTTAATTGAAATATGTGTTTAATTAATAGTCTAGAATTTTTCTTTAAGGAAAAACATAAACTGAGATATCACAAATATGCTCTTTTCACACACAATTATTCTTTAGGTCAATGCATATGAAATGCTCGATTTTATTATCAGCATCAATCAGGATGTTGCAAAATGAAGAATGTTCATTCAGTTTGAAAACTAAAATCTTTGGAAATTGCAACTCACCTTTATGCTAGCAATTTAGATGGATTATGAGTATGGACAAGGATGAATAGTGCCTAAACTCTCTCTCTCTCTCTCTCTCTCTATATATATATATATATATAAGAGAGTTTAGCTTACTGGTGTATACTTTTAGATGGTAGCTACAAATACTATACTCACATTCTAGAAAGGATGCATTTATATATTTAGATAACAAAGGAGCTGGCACGGTTACAACAATTGGCATTGGAGAACAAGCTTAACCCTGAGGACATAACTGGGGGAACAATTACTCTAAGCAATATTGGTGCCATTGGTGGGAAGTTTGGTGCTCCTATCATCAATTTGCCTGAGGTTGCCATCATTGCAATTGGTAGAATTCAGAAGGTTCCGCAGTTCGCTGATGATGGAAATGTCTATCCTGCATCAATCATGACTGTAAGAAACATTTCATTCGTTCTTTTTTCATTTATTACATTTTGCATTTGCTTGTGATTATAAGAGCAAACACCTTTGTCAAAAAATCCTGATATATATATATATATATATATATATAGGAATGCTGATTGTTGGGTGGTGTAGGAATTACAAATTCGTGCTAAATTGTTTATTAGTTGATAGACATAGCAGGTTTTCAGTTTTATCACTTGGATATTTCTTTTTTTTCAGGTAAACATTGGTGCAGATCATAGAGTTCTAGATGGGGCAACAGTTGCAAGATTTTGCAATGAGTGGAAACAGTTGATTGAAAAACCAGAATTGATAATGTTGTGTTTGAGATGAGTGAGCTTGTACGATTCTTTAAAGAGAAACAAATAGAAACATTGTACTCTGAAACTTACCGTTCAGTGCCAATAATATTGAAAAAATAATGAACGGTAAAAGAAACTGTTCAAATGTCTGAACCTGTAATGCTTCTGCTTTATGGAATTGCTTCATTTTAACATAGTCACGAGCCAAGAATTCAGATGGGCTAGACATGTACCTTCCTTTAAGAATAATTAATTATTACCTTGCTTAAAAATCGCAGCATAGTAAAAATATAGCTTGTATCATAATATTTCTAGCCAAAAAAAAATAAAATGATTACGGTAACAATAAAATAGTTATAAAATTTTAGTTTGTATTTCAATCTTATTAATGAATTGCTGAATTTCTAAAAACAAATTTACTTTATATTTCAATTTTGTTTCAAATGGAAATTAATGTTTGTAAATTGTAAATTTCCTTCCTCTGATGGGATTATGGATTACAATAACAGTTAACACACATATCATAAAATAAAAAATAAAAAATCATGTTATGGATTGTCTATCTGTTTGAAAAGTAATATGGAAATTAATGTCTGTAAATTGTCAATTTCCTTCCTTCAACGGATTATTATGGATTACAATGAAATTTGACACGCATATTTATAACGTTTTTTCTGATTCAAATAATAACTTTTAACTTTGTCTTTAATCATAGTACAGAGTCTTCGTGCACTAGTCAAAGAGACTCCAGCATTTGGGTTTTAACCTCAAAGAACCAGGAAGGAAGAGAGATGGCTACGGCGTCTTTAGGCGTTCAAAAGCTACTGCAAGTTGGGACAAAAATAATCGCCGTTGGCCGTAACTACGCCGCTCATGCCAAGGAACTCGGCAACGCCGTTCCTAAGGTTATATTTGTATATATAAATTTGATTCAGATTTTCGTTTTTAGATTTCGTATTGAAATTTCGGTATCAGTAGGAGCCAGTGTTGTTTCTCAAACCCACATCGTCATACTTGGAGAATGGAGGCACAATCGAGATTCCCCATCCATTGGAGTCGCTGGATCATGAAGTGGAGCTAGCTGTTGTGATCGGCCAGAAAGGTCGCGATGTGCCCCAGACAATCGCTATGGATTATGTTGGAGGTACATTCTTTTTCGATTGTATACTTAAACGTTGTTGATTTGATTCATGGAAAGAGGAAGCAATTCAACAACTTGTTTTTTCCAAATAAGAAAAGTATTAGTTTGAAGATGAATTAACGGACTATTTTTGAATTTTAGGCTATGCTCTTGGCTTGGATATGACTGCAAGAGAAATCCAATCTTCTGCTAAGGTAAAATTTCTGCACCCAGTTCAGGTTTTGTGAGGTAATAAGCCAATTCCGTTGAACCTCTTGTTTAAAGTTTTGGAATTATTGCAAGAAGCAAAATTTATGCCATTTGTGGGGAGAGTAAACCGATAAAATGATTACCATTTATTTGATAGTTTATGGATGCACCAAATTCATATGTGAACTTTTATGGTGGATCGTCAGTGTATACGTGGAGCAGTGACCCTCATGAGGATAAACATGTGTGAAAATCAGCAGTGTCCAATCGTTAAATCTTGAATCTTTTGGCTTGTTGGTTGTGCTGTTTTTCACTAAATAAAATTTATTTTCTTACTGAAAACAACTACCCACACTGCTTAGGGTTTCTTTTCTATTTTTTTTGTTATTGTGTGTAACTAGTTCAGAATTTTGTATGTGGTGACTGGCCTTTTACTTACTAATGTCTCTTCCATTCTACTATTGTCAGTCTGCAGGGCTTCCATGGACTGTGGCCAAAGGGCAGGACACGTTCACACCTATTAGTTCTGTCGTAAGAAATCAATTGGAATTCCTTTTGTCACTTTTTAACTGCTTCTTTCTTTGCTTAAATCATGTTAATAATAAACTTTTGAAGCGTAATAATGAGTGAAGATAAACGTGCAATGTGGGATTGGGAGGGTATGGGATAAGATAGTGAGGGATTGTGCAACACTTTCTCTATGCACTTACAGAAAGTTCCCTAACCATCAAATCCAACCTTGATTATGGTCTCTTCTTTAATATCTAATCCGTAAACCTTTGACTAACAGGACCTTAAAATCTTGGTTCTTTTTAGTTTATTCTCTAGCAGTATGTATTTTTTGTTCAGTGTTGTTGATCATGCTTTAACTTTTGATTCTGAAAATACTTACTGCAGCTTCCCAAGTCAGCTGTGCCTGATCCCGATAACTTGGAACTGTGGTTAAAGGTGTGAAAAAGATTATTTTCTGTACTCAACACTTCCTTTTTCAAATGTTATTCTCATACTGATTGGGATCGAATGGATCTTTCATGCCATAGGTAGATGGGGATGTACGACAGAAGGGTTCCACTAAGGATATGATTTTTAAGATTCCCTATCTCATTAGTCACATAAGTTCAATCATGACACTTTTTGAAGGAGATGTTATATTAACAGGTACCAAATTGGACTCCTCCTGAATTCCATCTAAAGATTTTGATATTTTACTGACAAAATATGGACATGTAGCTTTCCTCTAATAAAGTTGGTATATCAGTTGATACTGATAAGAGCAACAGCAACGCCTTGTTAGTTGCTACTGCAATTTACATTTGTTTATTCTACCAAAATCATAACCATAGTTGTTACTGTAATATCATGTTTTTTTATCTATTTAGATAGGTTTTCTTCTCGGACATAGTTACGGCAATATTTTGAGTAATTTTATTATTGTTTGAATCATTTTGAGCAGGCACTCCACCAGGCGTTGGCCCTGTAAAAATAGGTCAAAAGATAACTGCAGGCATAACAGATCTTGTCGATGTTCAGTTTAATGTTGAAAAACGAATAAGACCATGAAGTTATTGAAGCAAGTCCACATCCTATCATACCATGATCATCACCTATTGTAAGGGGAAATTTTCTTTCAGATTCTGGCTCCGAATGGTGGCCGAGGCAGATCCAGTAAAGGACTCACTTTGTCAAAGTTGCTCGACCAGTGATTTGTAAGCATCGAATTTTGTAATTTGTTGTTGAATTGGATCATGGCATGATCAACCTTTCCATGGAGCTAATAATAAAGTTGTGAATAAAATTGTGGACTTAACAGATAGGGAAGTGCTATTATGCATTGTCTTGGGGGGAAAAAAGGCTATTTATTTATTACCATTCTCTATGATGTGTTTGCCCAAGTTATTGCTTGCCAGAAGTTTGCTCGAGTCATTGCTTATCAGAAGTTAAAACCAGTGTTTTAATATTACAAGATTTGTGTTTATTTAGCATCGCATACTTATATTGAACAACACGAGCAGGAATAACAAATCAGAATTTCTGAAAGAAATCATAAATGTGTTTATTTATCTCTTCAGGCTTCTCTTGATTGAGGAAGTGAGCAACTCCTTCCATTATAACCACTTCCTCCAGAAATGGAACAGCTTTCTTGAATCCACCCTTCTCTATATAATCCTTGGCTCCGAAAGAGTTATAGGTGAGGTCTTGATCTCCGACTATAAACTTAGCAGGCACTTTCACTTGAGCCCCATTCCATGGCGCTGTGAGTTCCCAGTTTCTGCAGTACGAAAGCAAGAAAAATAAAATGGCAAAAATGATATGATAATCAAGAATAAAGACACATTTAAGTTCAATTTCAACAATCTTAAAATGGCAAAAAGCAACAAGCTTTTTATTACTGTCCAACAAATAAAAATTTAGATGGGAAACATACCGGTCTAAAATCCGGTAATAGTTCAGTCCTCCGGTGAAGCCTTTCTTTTCAAATTTGTTGGTGTAGTACTGCACATCTTCCTCAGAGAACCAAGAAGGTAACACAAGTGGAGTTTCCGGAAGGCGGCTAAAAGCTTTGCCTTTAGGCAAGAAAATGGGACCTGGATGACGATATGTGAAAAATTCCTTCAAAATTCTCTCTGTACCAAGCTCTGCAAATTCAGCTTCTATTTCTCCAGGCTCCTGAAAAAACAACCACCAAGCAATTAAGAAAAATTTAATTGGAAACCCAAAAGCAAAACGTATCAAAGACATTCGTTTCAAATTTACCTAATTCCTACCCACCTAAACCCCTAATCTACGTATTGAAAGAATCACTTGAAACAGTAGATAAAATATTAAAACAATAATTAATCCATGCAAAAAGTATCTTAATTAAGTACTAAAACGCGGTAATCAACAATTCAAGAACACACCTGAAATCTGCACATGTAGTAATCATCTCCATACACAGCTCTCATCACCTCAATACGTTTCCCATTAGGGTTTCGAAGAGCAAACACCACACTGAGGTTGACCAAAGCTTTCACTCTGTCTGGTCTAAACAGACACAAGTGCCAAGCTATGTATGCGCCCCAGTCATGGCCAACAACAAAAACCTTCTCTTGCTGTGGTGCTACGGCGTCGAGAAGCCCGATTAGATCGCCGACGATGTGGAAACAAGTGTAGCTCTGTAAATCATCCGGCGCATCGGTGTCGCCGTAGCCTCTCATGTCCGGTGCCACAGCTCGGTAACCGAGAGAAGCCAGAGCCACGATCTGGTGCCGCCAGGAGTACCATAGTTCAGGGAATCCATGGATGAAGAGAATTACGGGACCGTTCACTGGACCCGCCTCTGCCACGTGTATGTTAATGCCATTGACTTGAACAAATCTGTGCTCTATAGCATCCATTTTTTCTACAGAAGTTTGATTGGCTTTGGCTTTGGCTTTGGCTTCTTAATGTGCAAAGAAGAGGATTCTAAGTATTTGTTTCCCGGAGAAAATCCAGCCTCATGTTATAGAGAAAATCCAGCCTCATGTTATATTTAATATTTAAAATTAATTTGTTATCCTTTTAGTCAAAAGTAATAAAATACTAATTTTCCTGTGTACAGTACTGAAGTTAAACATTTCAACATCTTGAATCTTGAGTCGGAATAGAATTTCTGATATGAAAAAGAGTTTCTTTTTGTTTTTGTTTTTTCTCTTGTTTTTTATTCATTATGAGGCCCCAATGGGTTGGAAACTTGGAATAACATTTTTGCCAATACATTAACATGCAAGCTCTCACACAGAAAGACAACAGGAAATAGCAAATCAGAATTTCTGAAAGAAATCATAGATGTGTTTATTTATCTCTTCAGGCTTCTCTTCATTGAGAAAGTGACCAACACCTTCCATTATAACCACTTCCTCCAAAAATGGAACAGCTTTCTTGAATCCACCCTTCTCTATAAAGTCCTTGGTTCCGAAAGTGTTATAGGTGAGGTCTTGATCGCCCACTATAAACTTAACAGGTACTTTCACTTCAGCCCCAGTCCATGGTGCTGTGAGTTCCCAGTTTCTGCAACATAAAAATTGCAAAAATGAAATTAAAGAATAAAGAAACACTTACATTCAATTTCAACAATCTAAAAATGGCAAAAAAGCTACAAGCTTTTTTTTTTTTTTATTACTGGCTAGTGAGTAAAATTTAGAGGGGAAACACACCGGTCTACAATCCGGTAATAGTTCAATCCTCCGGTGAAGCCTTTCTTTTCAAATTTGTTGATGTAGTACTGCACATCTTCCTCAGAAAACCAAGAGGGTAACACAAGTGGAGTTTCCGATGGGCGGCTAAAAGCTTTGCCTTTAGGCAATAAAAGGGGACCTGGATTACGATATGTCAAAAATTCCTTCATAATCTTTTCTGTACCAAGCTCTGCAAATTCAGCTTCTATATCTCCAGGCTCCTAACAAAAACAACCGCCAAGCAATTAATAAAACTTAATCCGTAATAATTACCATAATCTTTGTGATAAACCCAGTTTGCGCCTCCCAGGATGACAATATCCAACAAGTAAAAAACCATTTTTGTGGCAATAGAAGAAAATTGGACTAAAGCGACATGGGATATTAAATAGGGGCCCAAGATTACGGAAGAACACCTAGTCCCTACCCACCTAAATCCCTAATCTACAGGTCCTACAAAAGAACCGCTTGAAACAGTATATAAAAAATTAAAAATATTAAAGCAATAGTTAATCCATGCAAAAAGTATCTTATTAAGAACTAAAATGTGGTTATCCATAATTCAAGAGGAGACCTGAATTCTGCAAACGTAGTAGTCATCTCCATACACAGCTCTCATCCCCTCAGTAGGTTTCCTCTTAGGGTTTCGAGGAGCAAACGCCACACTCAGGTTTACCAAAGCTTTCACTCTGTCTGGTCTAAACAGACACAAGTACCACGCTATGTATGCACCCCAGTCATGGCCGACAACAAAAACCTTCTCCTGCTGTGGTGCCACGGCGTCGAGGAGCCCGATTAGATCCCCCACGATGTGGAGGCAAGTGTAGCTCTGCGGATCAGCCGGCGCATCGGTGTCGCCATAACCTCTCATGTCCGGTGCAATTGCTCGGTAACCAAGAGAAGCCAGAGCGACGATCTGGTACCGCCAGGAATACCATAGCTCAGGGAATCCATGGATGAAGAGAATTACCGGGCCGTTAACTGGACCTGCCTCTGCCACATGTATGTTGATGCCATTGACGTGAACAAATCTGTGCTCGACAGCGTCCATTATTTCTACAGAAGTTTGGTTATTTAGGTTTTGGTTTTGGGTTTCGCTTCTTAATGTGCAAAAACGAGGATCGTATATATTTGTTTCCCGAGAAAGTCCAGCGTTAGAACAAAAAATGACGATAATTGTTAACATTGTAATCGTAACAGTCATCGTGGCGATAATTATTGTTGAATGATGACTTGTTGACTGCAAACGGACAAATGACTTACTACTTACTACTTTATAAAGCAAAGTCCAGGCAGAATATGCCACCTAAGCAGAGGCAGACGAATATAAGAAAAGAATAAGAGTTTGACTGTTGTCTTCGTGAGATGAGTTATTCGGGATGATAAAATTAAAGTTATATTTAAACTCTAAACATTTATTAAATATTTATTTTTAATAATTTTATGTCAATAATAATAAAATTATAATTTTCTTTCTCCTTTTGAAGCTTAATTCTTTACTTTTGTTTTTTTTTTTCTTTCAACTGTAAAAATAACTCCAATTTTACTCAAAATTCAAGTTGAAGTAGTTTGAGTGATGAATCATTCTTCCATCTTAATTTTAGAAAGAGTTTACTATATTTTTTTAAATGTTTTTTTTTTTTTTTTTATTTGTGTTTCCCGAAGAAAGTACCTAGCGGTTTTAGATACTAAAAAATGGACCGAATAATTGTTATACATGTATCGTAACAGTTCATCTGGCGATAAATTATTGTTGAACTGATTGACTTGTTTTGCTGCAAACGGACAAATGACATTGACTCACGTGTGTATCAGCTTTATCAAACGCAAAAGTCAGGCAGACTATGCCACCTAGAGCAGAGGCAGCACGATATAAGAAAAGAAATAAGAGTTTTGACTGTTGTCTTCGTGAGATGAAGTTATTTCGGCGATGATAAAAATAAAGTTATATTTAAACTCCTAAACATTTAATTAAATATTTATTTTATAATTTTATGTCAATAATAATAAAATTTATAATTGTTCTTATCTCCCTTTTGAAAGCTTAATTTCTTACTTTTGTTTTTTTTTTTCTTTCAACTGTAAAAAAATAACTCCAATTTTACTCAAAATTCAAGTTGAAGTAGTTTGAGTGATGAATATTCTTACCATCTTAATTTTAGATAAAGGAGTTTACTAATAAGTTGTTTTTAACATGTTTTTTTTTTTTTTTTAAATGTTTTTTTTTTTTTTTTTGTAAAATAATAAAGTTTTATCTATTTAAGTATTTATGTATTGTTTTGTGGATACGGCTGACAAGGTTTACACTAAATAAATTTAGAAGAAAATATCATAAGAGCTCCCTTAGCTTAGTCGGTAGAGTGCATGCTTTTTGGCCATGTGGTCGCGGGTTTGATCCACGGACGGTGGTTTTAATTTTTTAGCCACATATATCATAAATGATTTACTTTACAATTCATTTTTGGCTTCAGTGCTTGAATTTTTTATGCCCCAATTCATGTGCTTTTTTTTTTTCCCTTAATCATATAGTTATCCTTTGCTTTACAATTCATCTTTAGCCTAAGTGCTTCACTTTATTATGTCTTAATTTATGCAATACAAAGTACTAGTATTATATATAAAGCAAACTTACTCTCTTTATTCCATTACTCAAATCATTAGGAGACTTCCTTTATTCCACAAAACATTTGAAAAAAGAAAAAGAGAAGATAAGAACAAACCATAGAAGAGGCATGAGATAGCTCTCTTTCTCAAATCAGAACTTCTTAAAGAAATCATAAATATGGTTATTAATTTCACCAGGCCTCTCTTGATTCAGAAAATGAGCTACTCCTTCCATTACAACAACTTCTTCTAAAATAGGAACATCTCTCTTGAACCCTCCTTTCTCTATGTAGTCCTTGATACCCACAAATCTATAGACAAGGTCCTCATCTCCCACTATGAACTTACTTGGTACTTTCACTTGAGCCTCAGTCCATGGTGCTGTGAGTTCCCAGTTTCTGCATAATTTTAATCAAAACAATAAAACTCTGTTCTTGATTGCAGATATCGATCAATTAAAGCAAATTAAATATTAGATTTGATAATTTATATATATAAGAAAACCTCACCGGTCGAGATTCCGGTAATAGTTCACACCACCGGTAAAGCCTCTCTTGTCAAATTTGGTGGTGTAGTATTGAACTTCTTCCTCAGACAGCCAAGAGGGCAGAATAATTGGATCTCCTGCTGGTCGGCTAAAAACTTTTCCTTTTGGAAAAATAAAAGGACCTGGATTACGGTAAGTCAGGAATTCCTTGATAACTCTCTCTGTACCAAGTTCAGCAAACCTAAAAACTTTTCCCTTTGGAAAAATGAAAGGACCTGGATTACGGTAAGTCAGGAATTCCTTGATAACTCTCTCTGTACCAAGTTCAGCAAACTCCGCTTCTATGTCTCCATACTCCTACGAGAGAAAAGCAAAATTACCAGCTCAAATTAAGATCAAACAGTAATTTAATATGTGCAATGATCAAATAGCAATAAAACCTGAAATCTGCACATGTAGAAATCATCCCCATACGCGGCTCGAAACGCGTCAACGAATTTCATCTCAGGGTTTCTGCGGAAAAACGGCACGCTCAAGTTCACCAAAGCTTTTACTCTATCTGGTCTAAACAAGCAAAGGTACCAAGCGATGAGGGCACCCCAATCATGGCCCACTACAAAAACTTTCTCCTGCTGTGGTGCCACGGCGTCGAGGAGCCTGATTAAATCGCCAACGATGTGGAAGCAAGTGTAGCTCTGCGGATCAGCCGGCGCATCGGTATCACCGTAGCCTCTCAAATCGGGTGCCACTGCTCGGTAACCTTGAGAAGCCAGAGCAAGGATCTGGTGGCGCCAGGAGTACCATAGCTCCGGGAATCCATGGATGAAGAGAATGACAGGGCCCTGAACTGGGCCCAGCTCCGCCACATGCATGTTAATTCCATTGACATTAACGGTCTTGTGCTCTATGGCCTCCATTTTTTTTACTCTTTTGGTTTTAGTCTGTGGTTTCTTCTACCGCTAAGACACTTATATTTCATATCCTACACGAAGGGAGAGATTTTTTTTGTCATTGTTGTCCAACTGCCATTACGATAATGTTAGTAAGAAGATGACGCTTGGCTTTGCTTGGACTGTATGAAGGAAAAGTTTGATACGGAAAAGCTTTCCCATACCCGATTTATGTCCGATTTAAATATTAGATTAATAAAATTCAGCATTTAAAAAATAAATAACTCTGAACACCTTTTAGAAAATACTGAATTCTATTTATTTTGATACATAAGTGCGGTCATTTATCAGATCTAAATAAATTTTTTCGGTTTGGTATTTAGCTGAAAGGTAAAGTAAATAAAGATTTGATAATTTTTATTATTTATTTTGGTAGTACTAAAAGAAAAAATCAAATATTAACATTATAAAAATATCCACCTCATAAAGCATATTATTTTAAATATGCAAATTGGTTGGATTTATTTTTAAATAAAAATTAATTTATAAACATTAATTTTCTCTAAAGTACATTTTAAAAGATATTAAAATAAAAATATTATAGTTATCAAAGTTTATTTAAATCCTAATAATTATTATTATATTTTTCTTTTTAAAAAGTAATAAGTATTTCAAGATAGCATATATGATATAGGAAATGAGTAATTTTTAATACTCCCTAATCCCCAATTAGAAGGATTGAAAAGGAAGAATTATGTTTTTTTATATACATGAGTCACCAATGAATATATGAGTTATTTGATAGAAAGAAAATTTGAATTTAAAAGACCAATTCAATCACACATAATTGATAATGATTTATGACAATTTAATAATAAATGATATTTATTTATTTTCGGATCATTTGGAAAACTTATTTATTCTTGAAAACAAATTTTCTTTAAAAGAAAGGTACAACCACCACCATAGAAGAGTCATAAGATAGCTCGCTTTCACACATCAAAACTTATTAAAGAAAGCATAAATGTGCTGTATTGCTATTTGTCATATTATATGAAATTTCCTTACGTTTTAACGATCAGAAAATATATTAAGCAAATGCTCAAATCATTATGAAACCTTCTTTATTCCTCAAAACATTTTTTTTTAAATAGAAAAAAAGGGACACAAAAGCACAACCACTACCATACAGAAGGGCATGAAATAGCTCTCTTTCACAAATCAGAACTTCTTCGAGAAATCATAAATGTGCTTATTAATTTCATCAGGCCTCTCTTGATTCAGAAAGTGAGCTACTCTTTCCATTACAACCACTTCTTCTAGAAGAGGAACATCTCTCTTGAACCCTCCTTTCTCTATATAATCCTCTGTACCTATAAATCCATAGGCAAGGTCTTGATTCCCCACTATGAACTTAGTCGGTACTTTGACTTGAGCCCCAGTCCACGGTGCTGTGAGTTCCCAGTTTCTGCATAATTTTAACCAAAACAACGAGAATCAATTTTTGAAGTAACTTAAATATTAAATTTGATAATTTAGAAGTATAATTAATTAATACACTTCCAAATTCCGGTAATAGTTTACACCACCAGTAAAGCCTGTTTTTTCAAATTTTGTGGTTTAGTAGTGAACTTCTTCCTCAGATAGCCAAGAGGGAAGCTGAACTGAACTTCCTGCTGGTCGGCTAAAAACTTTTCCTTTTGGAAAAATGGAAGGGCCTGGATTACGATATGTCAGGAATTGCTTCATAACTCTCTCTATGCCAAGCTCCGCAAACTCGGCTTCTATGACTCCGTACTCCTACAAGAGAAAACAGAAATACCAGGCACCAGCTCGACTTCAGAGTTCAAATTCTGTAATTTAGTATAAGAGAAACGTAGTAATTTAATCTGTGTAATGATTCAATAGTACTAAAACCTGAAATCTCCGCATGTAAAAATCATTTCCATACGCAGCTCGAAAGTTGTCCATATCTTTCATCTAGGGGTTTCTAGGCCAAAACGGCACGCTCAGGTTCACCAAAGCTTTTACTCTATCTGGTCGAAACAAGCAAAGGTACCAAGCCATGATGGCACCCCAGACATGGCCCACTACGAAAACCTTCTCCTCTTGAGGTGCCACGGCATCGATGAGCTCGATGATATCGCTGACGATGTGAAGGCAAGCGTAGCTCTGCGGATCAGCCGGCGCATCGGTATCACCGTAGCCTCTCATGTCCGGAGCCACTGCTCGATAACCTAGAGAAGCCAGAGCGACGATCTGGTGGCGCCAGGAGTACCATAGCTCAGGGAATCTATGGAGGAAGAGAATGACTGGGCCTTCCACTGGGTCCATCTCCGCCACATGCATGGAGGAAGAGAATTAGAATCTATGGAGGAAGAGAATGACTGGGCCTTCCACTGGGTCCATCTCCGCCACATGCATGTCAATGCCATTGACATTCACGGTCTTTTGATTCTTTTGGGTTGTGCTTTCTACTGCTAGGGAACTTGGATTTCATGTATACTCGTTCTTGGTTTAGATATATAAATATAGCTACGTAAGTGGCGATAAGTTGGCAGTGGCATTATTACTGCCAAATGCCCATTTCTGTGACAGACACTGGAATATTATATTTGAATTGAATTAGTGACAACATTGTTCGCGAACGAACGTTTAATGTAAGCTCAGGAGGTAGAGTCTGAACTCTGAAGCATCACCACACCTGTATTTTTTTGGAGCATTTGAAACGTGCAGCTTAATATTATTGGACTTTGTGTTACGTGACAGTCTAAGCAGAGGCACACGAATATAAGAAAAGAATAAGAGTTTGACTGTTGTCTTCGTGAGATGAGTTATTCGGGATGATAAAATTAAAGTTATATTTAAACTCTAAACATGTATTACATATAAAGCAAACTTACCCTCTTTATTCCATAACTCAAATCATTAGGAAACTTTCTTTATTCCACAAAACATTTGAAAAAGAAAAAGAGAAGATAAGAACAAACCATAAAGAGGCATGAGATAACTCTCTTTCACAAATCAGAACTTCTTAAAGAAATCATAAATATGGTTATTAATTTCATCAGGCCTCTCTTGATTCAGAAAATGAGCTACTCCTTCCATTACAACCACTTCTTCCAAAAGAGGAACATCTCTCTTGAACCCTCCTTTCTCTATGTAGTCCTTCATACCCACAAATCTATAGACAAGGTCTTCATCTCCCACTATGAACTTACTCGGTACTTTCACTTGAGCCTCAGTCCATGGTGCTGTGAGTTCCCAGTTTCTGCATAATTTTAACCAAAACAATAAAACTCGATTCTTGATTGCAGATATCGATCAATTAAAGTAACTTAAATATTAGATTTGATAATTTATATATATATATATATATAAGAAAACCTCACCGGTCGATATTCCGGTAATAGTTCACACCACCAGTCAAGCCTGTCTTGTCAAATTTGGTGGTGTAGTAGTGAACTTCTTCCTCAGACAGCCAAGAGGGCAGAATAATTGGATCTCCTGCTGGTTGGCTAAAAACTTTTCCCTTTGGAAAAATGAAAGGACCTGGATTACGGTAAGTCAGGAATTCCTTGATAACTCTCTCTGTACCAAGTTCAGCAAACTCCGCTTCTATGTCTCCATACTCCTACGAGAGAAAAGCAAAATTACCAGCTCAAATTAAGATCAAACAGTAATTTAATATGTGCAATGATCAAATAGCAATAAAACCTGAAATCTGCACATGTAGAAATCATCCCCATACGCGGCTCGAAACGCGTCAACGAATTTCATCTCAGGGTTTCTGCGGAAAAACGGCACGCTCAAGTTCACCAAAGCTTTTACTCTATCTGGTCTAAACAAGCAAAGGTACCAAGCGATGAGGGCACCCCAATCATGGCCCACTACAAAAACTTTCTCCTGCTGTGGTGCCACGGCGTCGAGGAGCCTGATTAAATCGCCAACGATGTGGAAGCAAGTGTAGCTCTGCGGATCAGCCGGCGCATCGGTATCACCGTAGCCTCTCAAATCGGGTGCCACTGCTCGGTAACCTTGAGAAGCCAGAGCAAGGATCTGGTGGCGCCAGGAGTACCATAGCCCGGCGCATCGGTATCACCGTAGCCTCTCAAATCGGGTGCCACTGCTCGGTAACCTTGAGAAGCCAGAGCAAGGATCTGGTGGCGCCAGGAGTACCATAGCTCCGGGAATCCATGGATGAAGAGAATGACAGGGCCCTGAACTGGGCCCAGCTCCGCCACATGCATGTTAATTCCATTGACATTAACGGTCTTGTGCTCTATGGCCTCCATTTCCCTTTTTTTTTTTTTCTTTTGGTTTTGGTCTGTGGTTTCTTCTACCGCTAAGACACTTAGATGTCATATACTACACGAAGGGAGAGTTTTTTTTTTTTGACAAAAATGGTGGTGTCGTTATTGCCCGACTGATTTTCCAACAATGTTAGTAAGAAGATGACGCTTGGCTTTGCTTGGATTGGACGAAGGAGGAGTTACCAAAGTCTCAAAAGTAAACTGAAATATGGATCGTACGATTCTAAAGGTCGTTTGATACGGAAAAACTTGCCTGTGCCCCATACATGTCCTATCTAATGATCAAATTAATAAAATTTACTATTTTTATTAAAACGATCATATTTCATATATTTAAAAATAAAATAAATTTAAATATTTTTTAAAAATACCGAATTTCATTTATTTTAGTTTATAAATGCAGTCATATATTGGATCTAGATAAATTTTTTCGATTTGATATTTAGCTGAAAGATAAAGTAAATAAAGGTTTGATAATTTTTATTATTTATTTTGGTAGTTTTAAAAGATAAAATCAAATATTAACATTACAAAAATATCCACCTAATAAAGCATATTATTTTAAATATGCAAATTGGTTGGATTTATTTATAAATAAAAAATTATTTTATAAACATTAATTTTCTTTAAAGTACATTTTATTAAATAAAAATATTATAGTTATCAAAGTTTATTTAAATACTAATAATTATTATTATATTTTTCTATTTAAAAAGTAATAAGTATTTCAAGATAGCATATATGATATAAGAAATGAGTAATTTTTAATACTCCCTGATCCCCAATCAAAAGGATTGAGAAGGAAGAATTATGTTATTTTATATATACGAGTCACCGATGAACATATGGGTTATTCGACAGGAAAAGAACTCGAATTTAAAAGACCAATTCGATCACACATGATTGATAATGATTTATGACAATTTAATAATAAATGATATTTATTTATTCTTCCGATCATTTGGAAAACTTCTTTATTCTTCAGAACAAATTTTCTTTAAAAGAAAGGTGCATCTACCACCATAGAGGAGACATAAGATAGCTCGCTTTCACACATCAAAACTTATTAAAGAAAGCATAAATGTGCTGTATTGCTATTTGTCATATTATATGAAATTTCCTTACGTTTTAACGATCAGAAAGTATATTAAGCAAATGCTCAAATCATTATGAAACCTTCTTTATTCCTCAAAACATTTTTTTTTTTTTTTTAAATAGAAACAAAGGGACACAAAAGCACAACCACCGTACAGAAGGGCATGAAATAGCTCTCTTTCACAAATCAGAACTTCTTCGAGAAATCATAAATGTGCTTATTAATTTCATCAGTCCTCTCTTGATTCAGAAAGTGAGCTACTCCTTCCATTACAACCACTTCTTCTATAAGAGGAACATCTCTCCTGAACCCTCCTTTCTGTATATAATCCTCTGTACCTATAAATCTATAGGCAAGTCTTGATCCCCCACTATGAACTTAGTCCGTACTTTGACTTGAGCCCTAGTCCATGGTGCTGTGAGTTCCCAGTTTCTGCATAATTTCAACCAAAACAACAAGAATCAATTTTTGTAGTAACTTAAATATTAAATTTGATAATTTAGAAGTATAATTAATTAATACACTTCCAAATTCCGGTAATAGTTTACACCACCAGTAAAGCCTGTTTTTTCAAATTTTGTGGTGTAGTACTGGACCTCTTCCTCAGATAGCCAAGAGGGAAGCTGAACTGAACTTCCTGCTGGTCGGCTAAAAACTTTTCCTTTTGGAAAAATGAAAGGACCTGGATTACGATATGTCAGGAATTCCTTCATAACTCTCTCTGTGCCAAGCTCCGCAAACTCGGCTTCTATGACTCCGTACTCCTACAAGAGAAAACAGAAATACCAGGCACCAGCTCGACTTCAGAGTTAAAATTCTATAATTTAGTATAAGAGAAACGCAGTAATTTAATCTGTGTAATGATTCAATAGTACTAAAACCTGAAATCTCTGTTAAAACAAACTACAGTGGAGAATTTACAGATTAAATCTTATGAGATTGATAGAGAATTCCAGCATGTATTTCATTGAAGAATACTGCAGAATTTATACAAGAATGGAAATAACAAACTTCCTATTTAGAAGCCACGGAGTACCATAGCTCAGGGAATCTATGGAGGAAGAGAATGACTGGGCCTTCCACTGGGTCCATCTCCGCCACATGCATACTGAATAAAAAAATTCTGCAAAGCTAAGAGCTAAAAGAACAAACGCACTAACTAAGCCACATAAACTCCAACCATTTTGATGCTGTAAATAAGAAAAAAAGATAATAACAGAAAATATTAACAGTATGCTGAACTGAATGCCGAGAATCTAACACTCCTCCATTGGGCATTTCGGTGACAAATCACCAAATTCTTTGTCTCAAAAGGTCTACTAAATCTTCTACTTAGAATGGCCTTGGTAAAAATGTCTGAAGCTGATTTTCAGATTGAGGCAATGTACAAGTAGCACTTCGTTAGATTGTTGAAGCTTCTCTGATAAAATGAAAACTTAAATTTTTGATATGCTTTCGGTTCGACCATGAAACACTGGGTTTTTGGAGATTGAAACTGCCTGAAATATTATCAACACATGATTTTGTAGTTCTGTCTGCTCCACACTGCAAATCTTTTAGCATCTTTCCTTAAGCCAATAGCCTGGTTTTACAGCAGAGGCAGCAGCAATGTACTCTGCTTCTTGCTGTTGATTTGAGCTGTAGTTTCTTGTTTTTTTTGAGCTCCACTGAAAAAAACTTGTGCCAATGAAAATAAGTATCTCCAGAAGTGCTTCTTTGAGTCTTCAATACAGCCACCTGTCCAACGCTGTCATACAGTAACCAAACCAACTTCAATTCTCCCCTGCAACTGCTGCAAAGAAACATCCCAATGTGCTGGTTTTCCTTTTTTATATACCTTAACACCCTTTTGGGCAGCTGTAAAGTGGTTTCCCTAGGTGAATGCATGAACCTAAGAAGAGCAAACTTATAGGCAAATAGAAATGTCCAGTCTGCCTAGCTGTAAGGTAACAGAAGACTACAATTAAACTTCTATAGAGGCTTGCCCATCTTACTTTTTCAAGCATTTTCATCTTGCCTAGCTTTAAACCCAGTAGAAATGGAGTGCTTACAGGTTTGCAAATCTTTTCATTTTTAAACCTAGTATAATATCAGAAAATTATTTCCTGCTGACTTATAAAAAAACCATCACTAGTTTTGGCAGGGCACCTCCATCCCAAGTAAAAGTATTTCATGATTCCAAGTCAGTCATCCAAAGACTTCTCCATTTCAATTCTTGAACTTATTTGAATGAGTTCAAGTTTCGCTACCTGTCAACAAGCAGTCATCACCATAATTGAACAACTAAACAACTCCATCATCTGTATTTCTTCTTACATACAATAGGTAAGCTTCACTTTGACTTCTGCTAAAGCCAAGTTGGCATGAGTATGATTGTCCATCCTTTTCATACCAAGACTTCCGGCTTGTTTTTAAAGCCATACAAAGCTTTTCTTTAGAAAAGATAAACTTGATCCTCTTTAACCACTTTACCAGGAATTAAAAAACCATCAGGTTGCTCTACAAAAATCTCTTCATTGAGAAACCCATTCAGAAATGCTGATTTGACATCAAGTTGGTGAATTTGGCATGAATTGTGAGCAACAAAAGCAAGAAGGAGTTTGATTGTATCATACCTTGCTACTGGAGCAAAAGTTTCTTGGTAATCCACACTATATTGTTGTGCATATCCCTTCACCACCAATCTGGCTTTATGCTTACAAACTGAACCATCAGAATTAAATTTGGTCTTAAAGACCCACTTTACCCAATCACCTTGCGATTTGCTGGCCTATCAACTAGCTGCCATGTCTCATTCTGGTTGATCATTTCTAATTTAGCTTGCATAGCTCTCCTCCATGCTTGAAATTCTTGTGCTTCAGCGTAGCTAGTTGGTTCATTGACAACCAAGCTACACCTTTCATAAACGTCCTCTAAGGACTTTGTACCTCTCACCGGCAAGTCATCCACCAAATCATCTGCTACAAGTTGAGGTTGCTCTTTTGGAAAGAGATTAGCATGAGTATCCTTTTGATTCTCCCAACACCAAACAATAGCCTCGCCTCATCAAACTTTACATCTCTGCTCAAAATTATTTTTTCAGTTTTCAAGCAGAAAATTCTGTACCCTTTACACGATGAACCATAGCCCATGAAAATGCCTTTTTCAGCCCTGTTGTCTAGCTTGCTTCTTTTTGATTCAGATACTTGATAATAACATATACACCCAAAGATTCTGATATGGTTTACAGTTGGCTTGTGGTCATACCAAGCTTCATAAGGAGTCTTGTCTTGCAAAGCTTTTGTGGGAAGTCTATTTAATAAATAGACAGAAGTATTGACTGCCTCTGCCCAGAATTGGTTTGGCATTTGTTTCTCAGTTTCTCAATTAAAAGACACCTGGCCATCTCCATTATTGGTTCCCTATTCTTCCTTTCAGACACCCCATTTTGTTGGGAGGTGTAAGGTACTAGTCCATTTGATTTCAATGCCCTGTACTTTTACAAAATTCAGCAAACTGGCGAGAAGTATATTCTCCTCCATTGCAAGATCTTAACAGCTTTAATTTTAAGATTTACATTGATTCTCTACTAAACTTAAATTGTTTAAACATATCAAAGACTTCACTTTTGAGTTTAATGAAATAAACCCAACACATCCTGGTGCAGTCATCAATAAATAGGAGAAAATAATTGTTACCACTCAAGGACTTGGTTGTCATCGGACCACACACATCAGTGTGGACGAGTTGAAGTTTCTGATTTGCTGTCCATGCCTGATTTGTTTGAAATGGTAGCTTCGATTGCTTCCCTTGCTGACAGATCTCACAAACTTGAGTATCATAGGAAATTTCAGGCATATCTTCCACCAGACCCTTCTTGTTCATTTCAGCAATTGTTCTTTGATTGAAATGTCCAAGCCTTTTATGCTTCTTTGATTGAAATGTGCCAAGCCCTTTTAATGCCGACAGTTTGGTAATTGAATGCGAAAGCACTTGTGTAAGCTTGCTCAGCGCTTTTCTCCCAATTTACCACAAAAACTTCTATTTTCATGCTCACAGTTAAATAATTCACTCCCAAAGGATCAAAAAATAGTGCATTTGTGATCCTTAAAAAGAAGTGAATAATTTTTTTAGCATTTGCCCAACACTTAACAAAATTTTGGCTAAATTTCAAGGTAAATGTACAAAAACATCAGGAATGGTTTTGATACCTGAATTTTGTTAATGACAGTGCCAAACTAATACCCTTCCTTTGACTTCCTAGGAATTCTCCATTTCCACCTTTACTTTGGATTTGTAGGTATCACAAGAGTCCTGATTAACATCTCTGCATTCATTGCACAGTGATTGATGCAGCGGCTGTCGATAAGCCATGCATCAGATGAAGTCAAATTCATTGAGTATAGCAAGTAACGTCAAATAATGGTTGCTCCCTGGTGCATTATTTTTCGGTTTGCCTATTTGAGCTTGAGAAGGTTTTGAGCCTCTTGTTTTTTGGATTTGAGACTTTTGGGATACATGCCCACCTGCTTACAAACTTCCACATACAGCATTCAAGGCCTTCTCAAGATGCATTGTTTTTTTTTTTTTTGCAATGTCTGCAAGAAGGAAACGATTTCTTTGAACTTTCACTGCTATTTCCACCATCGTGCTTGCCCTTATTTTTCTGGTTGGGATGATGTTTCCCCTTACCAGAGTTTTGCTTTTGCATAAAGAAAGCTCCTTCGATGAATCTCTCCTGCCTCATATTCCTTCTTTGCTCTTGTGCTTGAAGTGCACTCATTAGTTCACCTAATGAAATCGTACTTAGGTCCTTGGACTCTTCAAGAGAAGAAATCTTGGATTCAAACCTCTCTGGAAGAGTCACAAGAACTTTCTCCACAAGACTTCCTTCACATTCTTGGTAATCTGAGAAATCTTCAACGCAAGCAGATCTTAAATGTTATTAAACAATCAAGAAATTTTCGATCGGCATACTTACTGATTGTTTCATCTCCAACATGTTCAATCGACTCAAATGCCCTTTTCATAGTTCAACTTGCATTTGACGTGTTTCTATCACTGCCTTGGTATTCTTCCTTCAACTGTCCCAAGCCTCCTTTGCCAGTTTTGCAAGCCATAATTCGTAGAACACAGAATCTGCTACTGAATTTTGAATAACCTGACTTGGGCTCTAGATTTCTTTGCCTTTTTCTTCACTTGTTGGAATTTGATGTGTGCTAAGGTGGGGTTTGCTGGTAGGCAGAATGGTTTATCCTCTGTTACAAGATTCCCAGAAGATCAAAAGGCTTCCAAAAAAAGCTTGTTCACTGACCAAATGTGATAATTTTGACCAGTTAAGATGATAGGCGGGTTTAAAGATTGGCTGCTGGATGCCATTTGGAGTTTTGGATTAAAAAAACTTTGGTTGTAGTTTGGTCTTGTAAGATAAACTGCTCTGATACCACTGTTAAAACAAACAACAGTAGAAAATTTACAGATTAAATCTTATGAGATTGATAGAGAATTTCAGCACGTATTTCATTGAAGAATACTGCAGAATTTATACAAGAATGGAAATAACAAACTTCCTATTTAGAAGCCACTCATAAGGTGGATAAAAACTGAATAAAAAATCTGCAACTAAGAGCTATCTGCAACTAAGAGCTAAAAAACAGCCCATCTACCTTAAGCCACTAAACTCCACCATTTTGCATGCTGGTAAAAAAGAAATAACAGAAAAATATTAACAGTATGCTGGAAACGCTGGAACTGAAATGCCAGAAATCTAACAATCTCCGCATGTAAAAATCATCTCCATACGCAGCTCGAAACTTGTCCATATCTTTCATCTTGGGGTTTCTAGGCCAAATGGTCGAAACAAGCAAAGGTACCAAGCCATGATGGCACCCCAGTCATGGCCCACTACGAAAACCTTCTCCTCTTGAGTTGCCACGGCGTCGATGAGCTCGATGATATCGCCGACGATGTGAAGGCAAGCGTAGCTCTGTGGATCAGCCGGCGCATCGGTATCAACGTAGCCTCTCATGTCCGGAGCCACTGCTCGATAATCTAGAGAAGCCAGAGCGACGATCTGGTGGCGCCAGGAGTACCATAGCTCAGGGAATCTATGGAGGAAGAGAATGACTGGGCCGTCCACTGGGTCCATCTGAATCTATGGAGGAAGAGAATGACTGGGCCGTCCACTGGGTCCATCTCCGCCACATGCATGTCAATGCCATTGACATTCACGGTCTTTTGATTCTTTTGTGTTGTGCTTTCTACTGCTAGGGAACTTGGATTTCATGTATACTCGTTCCTGGTTTAGATATATAAATATAGCTACGTAAGTGGCGAAAAGTTGGCAGTGGCATTATTACTGCCAAATGCCCATTTCTGTGACAGACACAGGAGTATTATACTTGAATTGAATTAGTGACAACATTGCTCGCGAACGAAATTTTAATGTAAGTTCAGTAGGTAGAGTCTGAACTCTGAAGCATCACCACACCTGTATTTTTTTGGAGCATTTGAAACGTGCAGCTTAATATTATTGGACTTTGTGTTACGTGACAGTCTAATGGGCTCGTTGGGTCTGCAGATACGAATTTCAGGTCTTTAGGGCTTTCTTCTTGGACCTGATTGCTTATTAGTTAAATTTGCTTTCAATAGGATTCTTTTGGGCCCATAAGGAAAAACGCCTGAATGCATTATTGGTATTTTCATCTCTTTTGCATGTTCTGTAATATTTTTGCTAGTAAATTTTGTAGGTTCGAATTTTAAAAGTTTCAACTTTGAGAAATACAAATTTAAAGTTTATTTTCAACTAGGTAAATGAATATAACATTGTTATTATTACATTATTTGTATTTTTATCTCTTTTTCTCAAATATTCATTTTCTGTTGTCTTAATTATGCTAGATAGCTACTTGTCAAAAGATTGAAGTGATGATGGTGATCTTCAACAAACTTTTTCTAATGAAAAAGCTTAATAATTTCTCTTTTTTCTTTTTCCTTAAATATTTTCCATTGGAAGTTTATTGTGTTTGGGCCATGCAAGCAATACAAAGGAGTAGTCTTTTCCTCTAAAGTCTAAATTAACAATACAATGCTCTTATCTTTTTATCAACTTTAAGCATGCCATTAGCTTTATCAAAAGAAAATTAAGAGACATCGCTCTATATGTTTTTATTTATGTTTCATAAGTACTTCTATACAATTTTTTTTTACGTGAGATTTAATTTATATAAAAAAAAAATTAAATGAACAGATATGGCACATGATCTGCGAACCCGCCGCTCCTTATTTTGTAGCTTAGCCAACTCATCTGAAACCGACGTTTCCCAACTTCCCCCTCCTCTTTAAATAATTAACTGCCTTTACCGAAGAAACCAATCTAAAATTTCCGCTCTATTCAAATTTTTAACGGACCGTTGTGGGTCCAAACGTACACGTGGAGATTCCAATGTACCAATAATAATTAATAATATGTACTGTATCTTCCATCTCCTGCAAGTAACCCCCTTCAATGCCGTGTGTGGATGTATTATAGGCCTGTACCGCACTGTCCGCTATCGGTTTTTATTGTCCAATTTGAATATTCAATCCCCAATAAATCGAAAAGCTATCCCCAGATTCAAAAAAGTACCATAATTTGAATATTCAATCCCCAATAACCAATCCAGTACTTGTAATACCTGCCTAACCTAAGATCTGTCAATTAATTGGTTTAACCACTAACAAGGGTGAGAGAAAGGGAGAAGTGACTTCGTCAAACTGCTGAGCAGTCGCATTAGTTGCAAAAATCAATAAAGTGAGCAAAAGAAAATGTAAAAAAGAGGGAAGTATCTCATCCAATCCAACAATCTTACAAAAGGATCAAATACCTTTTGCAGTTTGCACAATTACCTGAAAAAGATTCAGAAAAAGGGGATAACCCAAGATGACAATTGTAATAATGGTTAAAACCCAAAACAGAAAATCACACCCATATCCAAACCCACAAGTGAGCAGTCACTGGTCAGTGAAATCCTAAAAACAAAAGCTGATCAGACCACAGCTCAAAAAAATTTAAGTAACCAAATATATTGGCATAGCAGAAGTGGACATCCTCTGTTGTTCTTGCTGCTCCATGTTTAGCTCTCTTAGACTCAAATACGGTATATCCAAATCTCCTTTCCTAGTTGGAGTTAGAGTTCCGGCGAGCGGACCCGATGACGGACGACTAGTGGTCCTGTACGGAGTATTTGACCCGCTTCTGCTTTCAGTTATGTACACAGGACCCGATATTGATGCCCTGAATGCTCTAGCTCTAGCTTTATGTACATCTTCATTAGCAAGATCGTCATGGTCGTTGCTGTGGATCCACTTCCATTTGAAGAATAAAAATGCCTTTCTCCACCAACGCTTCTTCTTCGTCTTGTGGTTCTTTCTGTTAGTTTCGTCTTTCGAAATGGGTTTTGAGAGTTTGAAATGCAACGAGTCTATAGACCTCGCCGTTTCTTTCTTGTGCTTTCTTGCTTCTTCCAAGAACTTCAAATTCAAATTAAAAAGAAACAAGAAAATGGGTCAGTCTCAATAAAAGAATAATATATACAGAACAAGAATTGGAGAATTTAAGAGAAAAACCTGAAAGTAGTCGATTTGTGGGTCAAAGCCATAGTCGCTGAAGTGTTGAGGCTCAGGCATAGGAAATATGGGAGACTTGTTTGCCATTGAAATTCTTCTAGGTTTGAATTTATACAGGAAGAGGAGTAAGGCGACAGAAACTGCAGATGAGCTTTAGCAAGAAAGGAAAAAATAGTGGGCTTTAATGTTTAGCTAAACTTAGGTTTGGGGCTCAAGGCGATGAGAATTTGGGAATGGCCGTTGGAAAATAGTTAAACCTAGTAAATGGTGTTACTGTTAGGATTTTTGAAGTTCAATGGATTCGATTCCTTTAAATTTATAGTACTTCTACTACACCATTTATTAAATCTCACTCACTCGTCTGAGTTCTGACAGTGGGAGATTATTAAAAGCAACAATGGCCCCAGTTTTACTCCCTCGGCCCCAGTTTTACTCCCTCTGCCCACATGCTGTGAAGCAGAAACGTGCCATCAAGATTTACGCAACCCTATATATACTACATATATATTTCAATTTGGTTATTTTAGTTAGTAAATTTTAAATTTTAAATTTTCAGTCTTCGAGTATGTCCTGATCGCAAAATAAAAATCAAAATAGACGAATTGGGACAGAGGAATAAATTAGTGCCGTCTACGCTTTGGTATGATATTTGTAGCTTTGAATTTTGTCTCCCAACATTCAATGATATTAGACAAGAAGATGGTACCTGCTCCATATATCGGTTAATAAATTAAAAGAGACAAACGGTTTTATCAAGCAGAATTTTTCTGATTAGAAAAAAAAAAGTAAAATTTTTATAAAAAATTATTTTTTAATTGGTTTGCATGAGACCGCTCATACATCGGGTGTAAATAAAATTTTGCATGAAAAACATTGTTAAAGTTTGTTTTTAAAAAATGATTTATTTTGTGTAACATATTTTTAAAGCTTAGATTTTATCAATTATTCACTATAATGGTCAATGCTTTATAATGAAATCTCTTTAATAATTGATAAATAGGTAATATTTATAATTTTCATATTGAGAAATTTATTGTCTACACTTGGTGTTTAGGTCACTCATATATTAAATTAATAAAAAAAATACATTTTTTAAAATATTATTGTTGTGTTTTTTTAGTTGATTTGATATAGATAAGTCGCCGGAGAACTTAAAAATGTAAACCGTAGTAAACTAAGAAAGCAGCAGATGAAATAAAAAAGAAAAGAAAAGAACAAGTGGAGTCCACGGGATTTTTCTGCACCAAAAGATAGATATGATTACAAGAGCAGTGAAGACCGTGAGAGTTGAATCAAAACTTTCACGTGCATGCTATGCAAAAGGGACTCCTCACCAATACACACAATCAATAACTTCCTCGTGACCTTTCCCCTCCCAGATTGGGGACTTGAATGCACCTGCAAACCCATAATCCAATGAATATATTTCTTTTGTTTAAAAAAAAAAATTAAAAGCTTTGAAAAATTTGGGCCCGCCAACTATAAGAAAGCCCAATTTTCTTTCTTATTGATGAGGCCCACTAAGATGGACTTGTCTTGAGGGACAGCATAAGATGGGCTGCCCGTTATACCGCCAGCCCATAATGATCATTATTTTTCATGGCAAAACATTATAATATCATTGCAGTATGCAAATAAAAAATCTGGAGGGAAAAAAGAGAAAGTAAATGGACAAAATAGCTGCAACTTCTTAGCAAAAAGACAATCCTTCACCTTCTCCACTCAGCCTTGGGAGCAGTTTTACCCTAACTCACCGCGTAAGACCCAAGGAAAAGGTTAAGCAAGTGTCAGTGTCAATTCAGTTGCTTCCGTCACAGTTATGAAATTGGGAAGCGGATTAAGGAAAGGGATGCACCAAATTATGGTTTCATATGTCAAAGTAGTTGCTAAGCTTTTGGAAACTTTCTTTTATTTTTTTTCCCCATTAATAAAATCCAGAGATTAATCCTGCTAATAATGTCATAAAAATAAAAATAAAAATAAAGGACATTTCAGTCAATTCCTCAAAATCCCGCGTCAACCCTGGCGACTGGCATCTGTTTTTAGACCATCACACACTCCTAGCCTACTGTATAATAATAGCATTAGCACAGCAGAGGTGTGTGAAACCTAAACAAACCATCCATCTCCATTTCTAAGAAACCTTCAAGAACCTTCCTTTTATATTTCCTTCTCCTTATGTGCGAATCCCTTAACACTATCTCTTCAATTCTCCCCTACTAAAGCCCCCCTCACTCTCCTCTTTCTTTCATAATCAAACGCTCATTTCCGTCTCTCCCAACAAAATTCGCTGAGAGAGAAAGCATAAACAAGCTCTAATGGATTCGGATCCCCGAGATAGTAACAATGATCTGGCCAGCAGAAGCTACGCCATAAGTGGTAGGATAATGTTAAGTGCGATTGTTATTCTTTTCTTTGTGGTTATTTTGATGGTTTGTCTCCATCTCTATGCCCGTTGGTACCTTCTCAATGCTCGCCGCCGCCAAATCCGCCGTGTCCGAAACCGCCGTACTCATTTAGTCTTCTACGTTGACCCCTCCGACCCTAACGCCGCTCATGTAACTGTCCCATCTCGCGGCTTGGATCCTGCTGTCCTAAAATCGCTGCCCGTATTTGATTATTCATCGAAAACCCACCCGGATTCGATTGAGTGTGCCGTCTGCCTATCCGAATTCGAAGAGAATGAAAAGGGTCGAACCTTACCCAAATGTAATCATAGCTTCCACATCGAGTGTATTGATATGTGGTTCCATTCGCATTCCACTTGCCCTCTCTGCCGCTCCCCTGTTGAACCCGTACCAGAAAACGCCGTGCAGGTAGATTCGTCGTCGGAGATTATTGAAATTGGGTCCGACTCTGGTTTGTGCGCCACGTGCCAGCACAATGAAGACCATGTGGGTGCTTCGACCTCGTCGTTTGGGGGTCGAAGGAAACCAGCGGAGCTCCTGGGTGTGACGATAGAAGTTCCTAGAAGAAATGGGAACTTTGAGGACGAGTCAGCCATCGAATCGCCGGCATATCGGTCGCCTATGAGTCGCATGTTGTCATTTAGGAGGATTCTTAGTAGAGAAAGAAGAGGGAATGTGTCTCCTTCAGTGAACCCCACAAGTTGTGGTGGGTCGGTCACCGAGTCAGACTTCGAGAGAGGTAGAGATGAGACTCAGCAAACTCGGTGTAAAATTGGCAGTGACTCCACTGTATGATTAAACTGACACGTGTCTGTTATCTTATAGGGCGTTGAAGAGGAAACATTCGGCCACTGTCAGGTGTCCTGTCACTTGTCTCGAGGCTGTAGCGTGGAGAGAGAGTAGTAAATGAGGGCAATGTTTATGTACTCGTGGCAGTTGATGGGTCCCATCTTGTGGATTCATCGCCGCCTTGGGATACCGAGTTTGACTTTACCTTGTATATATTTATCACATTTCATTAATTTAATTTTTTTCCTTTTTAATCCTTTTTCATAAAATTAGAGGATTAATGATATTTAAATGTCTTATAATTTTTATCCTAATTTTTTTATTTTTCTTAAATTATAAATAAACCCCCATGTCTCAAAATGTAATTCTTTTAAGGCTTTTGGATGGGATTAAAAAAATAATTAATTATCATTAATTATAACTAAATCAATGATAATTATTATAAGTTGATAAAATTATTATTAATTTGAAAATAAAAAATAACTTGTGTAAATGAGCTATTGTATCTAATGTAAGGATAATTTTGAAATACTATTATTTATTGTTTTTTAAAATATTCAAGATAATTTATATTTTAGACAAAATATTCATCTAAAAATAATTTATATTCGAAAATAACTTATGTCAAGGGTTCGAGCTGTCTCAGTTTGTCTTAATTAGGCGACCATGGTCAAGTTAAGCCAACCAAACAAACTAAACCCATTAACTAACGTATAATCAAAAGTTTGAAACTGAATTATTCCTTCTATCCCAAAAAATTATTAATCTACTTTTGAAATTCTGAATAACCAAATTGAACAAAGTAAAATAAGCTGCGAGTAAATATCAGTTCCCCCTCCATGTTTTTCTTACCAAAGGTTGGCCACATAATTTGTCCTTTGCATTGTAGTTTTTCTTTTTACGCGCTTTTTATCAACCACAGACACATACATTTCTTTCTTTTTCTTCTGTTTTTATCTATGGATCATTCAGATTTGGATTGTAGTGGTCTTTAACCCTCTGCAACTGCAATTTCATTGAAATTTTTCAAAGAGCTTTAACATTATCTATAACAAACGTGACCAAACTATGATAATCAATGATTTTGTTGGTAGTAAAGATTTGTCACTATCGCAGGAATGGCTTCTTTCCCTAGCTCAGGTATCGGAGTTACTCAGAAATAGAAATATCAAAAGAGAAGCAAGTGAAATGATCAACGGGTCAGATTGCGTGTTGTAAAGACTAAAGATCGGAATTACAGTTACTGTTACTGTTACTGTTAGACCCACCATGCTTGTGGGTCCCATGTCCAAATAATACGACGTCTCGGTTTAGTGTTGCCCCACACGCTTTCGTACCAATTGCTGACGTACTTAATTTTTGGATTTTTATGGCATAAACAAACATTAAATTGGAGCCAAGTCAAAACTATGAGTGTGATGGTGATCTGGAACACGTCCCACCGGATGCATTTTCAACGGTTCAGATTTGGTGGGTGTAGGCTATGAAGAAAATGAGCAAACTTTGAGAAGTTACTGCCTACTGCCAAGGTCTAGGAGTAGGAATGCAATTTACGCGTAATCGTTGAAATTTTGGCAGGTTATTTCGTCATCTCAACGAGTTGATTCCATTAAGTTATACAAGTCAATGTGCACTTTCTCGCTCAATGCTTGCTTGACTAAGAAAATTGCTCTAGTATCATACGATGTTTGGCGTTTACCTTTCCCAATCTATATTTCGTAAAACAGATTAATTGATTGTATATACTTTATTTATGATTTCGTCTTCAGTTACTTTTTAAAATTTTTTTCATGAATGCGTTAGAATTTAATATATTCTTCTTTTACCATAGTTAGAAGGGACGATAATCATTTATCATATCGAATTTGTATTATTTCTTATAGAAATTGAAGCTGAATTTTTCAAACTTGTGATAAAGCTTTATTTTTAAGAAAAGGGTAGAGCAAATATTTTCCCATAAGAGTTGTTACTTTTGACGGCATTTAACAATATTTACTTACCAATTTGATTAATTATCAACGTTATTTGCTAATTTTTGTAAAAGATTGAGCTAAGGATGCTCATTTTAGTAATTTGTAATAAACCAAACCACTGCTAATCACACTGACTGAAAAAGGTTAATCAATTGGTATTACATCGAAGCGTAACAGGATCATTCTACACTTGAAGTTAGTATGTGTTGTACAAGGCTTTTTCATCTCAAAGCACATCTTCATAATAAATTAAAGATATTACAGATCACAGCTAAACATTGTCAGCAACCTAGAATTACTAAAATGTAATCACATTCTAAATGCTATGAGCCACAACAAAGTTGAATGGATGAGTCACCTACAAATTCTGTGTCACCGTGTGGAATTTAGGTCTACTGCTTCAACAAATCGAGATCTTCGTCTCCTCTTGCCCTCAGGAGTGCACCTCACACCACCACCAACCTTCCCAAGTTTCGCAGAAAATTTGCAGTTTGGTTGTTTTAACACTGTTGATCCACTTTGTGGAGATGAATTGATGCGTGGGGATGCATCTCTACCAAACTTTTTCTCTGAATTCTCATTGCATCCTTTCCTAATTGGTGATTTAACTCTCTTTTTGGGCAATCGGAAGGGTGTTTCCTTCCATCTCTTGTCATGACCAAGAAGCCGAACATGGAAAGGATTCACAGCCGTATAACAGATGGAGTCACCACCCACTCCACTTCTCTTCAGATCAACGTCTCCATTGTTCACCTGAAAATTAGCAACATTAAATACCAACTCTACCACATTCAGAAAGCACAACTTCAATCAACTTTGATAACATAATAGGGAAAGCCAATGTCAGACATCAAAAATTTTACCAACTTCTTAGGAGAAATTAAATTAATGAACATCAAATCAAAGATAGATGCTTTGAGCGAAATCGCTGAGGGTATTGGCCTTATGCTAAAACAACCTATAACTAACCAGACCCAACAAGCCTGGACTGTAAAAAGGAGTTTACCAGCTGAAGAAGTGCTGAAAACGTTCGAGCCACATCGTGCTTTGCTTGGCCCTTCACAACATCAGCAAACGACATGGCGTTATCACAGTCATGAGACAATTTGTCAAGAATTCTTTCTCCGTAGCCATGAATATCAAATGGAGGGCGTGAATCCTATCAGATACAAAAGTTTCCTTCAATTTAAAGGAATTAAATATTTGAGGAGAATAAATAAAACAAGCAACGCATACTGATGGAATTGATCAAGGTTTAAGTGAGATAATTAAAGAGCTGGAATTTACTTGCTCTGCCAAGTTGTGCTCAATCTTTTGTTTCCATGATGAAACCCGAGTAGCCAATTCAGTCTGTTTTTCAGATTCAGCAATGTTAGCAAGGAGCGCCTCCTGCATGACAAAAGGCCATCAGGTAATAACCAGCAACATATGAACAGCAGAATCTTGTAAAATCCATTAAATTGTGATGTAGTTCCTTTCTAAATACAATTAGGATGAACTTAATCCAATTCAATCCAATCCAATTCAATCCAACTGGGTTACGGATGTAGCTAAATTCCAAAAAATACATGCTTACAAGGTGAGAGCGACAAAGGTCTTCTAGGCTTGCTTGGGAACTTGGATCTTCTTGTCCAAAAGCTTCATTAGTGTTAAAGTGCGTGGAGCTATCATGACACTGTAAAACCAGCCAATAAGCAATCTCCCATTTTTTTACTACACTATTCTGATGTAAACATTAATGAAAACATAAACCTACCAACCTTCTCATGGTGAAGAGGTAAATCCCCATCCACATACATATTTTCAGGTATATCATCATCAGGCTGTTCAAAGTCTGGGATTCCACTGTCATGTCCATTTCCTTCATCATCATTCCCAGTACTACCAAAAGTATCATTTGCGCTGTAACCTTCATTAAGGGACTTCCGTAGCTGCAACAGGGACACCAGGAATCATGCAACAGTCACAAGTTTGGAAAGACAGATTTCAGGGAAATCAGTACCTTTTCATATAAGGGAATAGAGTTCCCCTTTATTTGAGATCTATTGCATCGTGCTTCCCATATTTCTGTGAGCTCAGGACTGATAGTACCACGCATCCTTGCAAGTGGAAACAGAGTAGTTATAGACGTCTGCTTAGCAGAATTTGACTCATTCCTTCTGTAAGGTTTTACTGCTTGTTAACAAAAATCCAAGACAAGTGAACATTAGGTGCATAAAGAAATTATTATGGTAAACAGAACTAAGAGAAACAGTTCCTTTAACAACCTTTCCTAAAAGGTTTCACTTTTAAGCTCCCAGGTTCGTGGGGATTCAAAGGCTTCCATGGATCATCATCATCATCTTCTGAATCCTCCAAGTTCCCAGGCCCTGAATATCTATCGTCCATATCAAAGCCATGATTACTGTCTCCAAAATTATCGTAGGCAGAAGGATCCTTCATCATTGTATGATTATCAACTCCAACACCACAATCAGCTGTAGAAGGATGGTGGAGATTCGTATCTGCATTGTTTCCAAGAGATGACTTACGTGCAGTTCCTCCTGAGCACATAGTGGGGGATTGAAAGCTCTTGCGAACTGAACTGCCCCTGTAAGTACTATTTTGTTGTTTCCCAACTTCATCTCCCTTTAAAAAATTATTCACTGCCACAGCATCACTTGGGTCTAAAAGAATAAAATCCCTGTAGAGATCGTGGGTGGCTAACTGTCACCATGCAGAAAAAGAAAAATGCTTAGATCAGGCAGGTAGCGAAGACATTGACATGCTAAAAAGCGGATGAATGTCATACCAGGTATGACTCCAATTCCCCCCCATCACCAGTGGTATCCAAGCAATCACCTTCAAGAACAACAAGATTTGCCGGAGGTTTCACAAAGTGATATGTAGAAGCATCTTTGCTGGTTGAAGCATCTAAGCAATTCCTTGATTCAACTGCAATATAATGAATATTTCAGCCAATATTTGCATTATAACTTCACTAACACCGATTGGCGTAAAAAAAACCCACCTGGGACATCATCCAAGCCCCAAAAATGATCGTTGTCTTCATCAGGAACAGAGTGGGAACCAATTTGATCGGCCTGGACTGATGTACCCTCTGATTGCTCCTGCTGACTGCTAAAAATGTATAAAATCAACAGACACTACTGTGATGGTTTATGGCATGCACAACAAGGCTGTAATTAAATGTGGTCAATAAATTACTTACTGATTCACCCATCAAAGCCAAACGAGTAAACTTACAAATTAGAAAGAATAGATGTTGACAACGTGTATATATATATATAATTAGAAAATTTTGGAAAATAAAACACATTTGAATGTGGCAATAATAAAAATTTAAAATAAAGGCACAATGACAGAATTGAAAGTTATCCATTCTACTGCACACAATGATGGCTTAGCTATCAGAATATGTAATGTTCTATTATTATTATTATTATTATTATAATTTTGAATTTAATGTAAAAAAGTGGTCTGAACTCTGAAGTGATCGAACAAGTCCTCTAAAATGTAAACTCAGCAAATCGCAAACAAATTGAATTTTAACAAGAAAAGTTGTCCAATCAAAAATCATCAAAACTCAACCAAAACTTCCATAAAGAAAAAAGGGGAGAAAGAGAAAACGAACCTGTTTTGAGAAAGAAACTCCAAAGCATGCAGAACCAAATTGTATAAATACTCGACCTTTCGGCTATACACCTGAACAGAACCTTGAAGCAGCAAAGCAGCTATATTTCCCAAAACAGATAGCAACCATTAGACATGAGAACAAAAGGGGAAAAAAAGTGGAAAAAATTTAAATTTGTTACTACATAAGTGCAATGAAAACCAACACCTTCAGCGAAATTAACAGATATGTTGGTGGCATAGTATTCGGAACCAGTAATTTCACCGGAGCAAATTTTCAAGAGGTAGTCTTCGAGCTTCTTTGCAAGATCTACGTCCCAATTGGCCTCTAAGTCGCGCTCTGCCTGCACAGTGTGGAGCTTACTTGGAGGCGGTTCTCTGTTGTTAGTCATGACGAATTAGATTTTACATGGTGTTAGGGTTTCAATTGGCAATTTGGTACCCTAGGGTTTGTACTTGGATGGAAAATGGGGGAAAATGCACAAAGATTGGAATGGTACGGTGGGATTATAATTTGCTTGGTTTTCTGGATAAAGTTTCGATTGTTGCTGGCTGATGCAATTGGGAATGGACGAGAGGTGAAGAGAAAGACTGTCGGATTTAGAGAGGAGAAGTTCAAAAGTTTCGATTGACTGTTTTCCCGCTCGTCCTCCTCTAATCAGTCCAATTCCAATTTCTTTTTAATAATTTTATTTTAATTTATATTGGGTTCCCAAGTCAACATCTAGACACAGGCCCAACCTAGCCCAATTATTTTCCAGATCTTATTAGGCGTTAATGGGCCTGTCTTCAGTTCACTACTATCTTGGGCCTATGATTTTGAATTAAAATTCTGAAAATGGATTTCAAAAAAAAAAAAAAAAAAAAAAACTACTATTTGGGCCTATGATTTGCAATTAAAATTCTGAAAAATGGATTTCAAAACAAAAAAAAAAAAAAAAAAGAAAAAAAAAAAAAAAAAAAAAAGAATAATCGATATTAATAATAATAATCCATGTTTGAAACTGTCTCAGTTTATGGGACTGCTCGTGTATCAAACCAAGGGGAATAGATATATTTTTTAAATATTTTCAATTTATCGTTTCTTCTGTAATGAATAGTTAAAAATAGCTATATTTGATTTATATATTAAAAATATTTTTAATTTATCATTTTTTTCTGTGATGAATTATTAGAATATTTATATTTAAATAAATCATCAGTTTTATTAATTTAGTATATGTAAAGAACCATAGGGTCTAGATAAATTAATCCCGGTAAAAGAGGGAAAAGAAAAAAAAAGCCAAAAAACTTTTTAATTTCTATTTTTTTATAAAATATGTTCTTAGATAAGTTGGGCTTTGGCAAGCAGAGGTACAACTTAACATAAAAACTACTACAATCAATAAATTTCGATCTCCTCCTTTAATAATTCTCCTTTACACGTTCATCATTCCAGAAGCATAACTGATGCCGGTGTCCGGAATCCAAAGATCTCCGCCAATGAATTTAGCAACAGTGAAAGCATCAGCATCCTGTGCCGACAATTTCTTGATACCCTTCCATGTAACTCTGTCCTTGGTGACTGAACCAGGTCCTCTATTTTCGTACTCGGAGTAAGAGAGAGTGTCAAGAGCAAAAGAACCCATCCATGGCAACCATCCCTTTGGGTCAATCAAATCATCGATTTGACATTGCATGTATACAGTCCTTGAGTACTCTTTCCATGGGCGACCAAGATAGGCCTTGTTCTCGAATCTAACAGGATAATACTCTCGGTCTGCGGTGATATTGCAGTTTTGGAGAACAAAACCTGTGGCTTCGCGTGATTCATTCCTTCCTTGAGCAGTCACAATGCAATTTTGATTTTCCAATGGCTTCCTGACAACAATCTTGCAATTCTGGAAGACTGCGGCGGCGTCACCAAAGATGAAGTCAATAGTGCCTGTGATGGTGCAATCCCGGTAGAACTGACGGTGGGTGTGAGCATAAAGGGTATCTTGGTAGCCATCCATTTGGCAATTGTAGAAAATAGACATATCAGATTGAACTCTAAGTGCCACAGCTTGGTGTCCAATAGCTCCTGCTGTGTTCTCAAAGCCAATGTCCTTGGCTATGAAGTGGCTTCCACTCACCGCTACAATAATTGATTAAAGCACATATATATTATTAATTAGACAAATATTAAAACAAAGAAAAAACAAGGAATTTAGATATTACTACTTACAAACAGTTGATGTTTTGAATGTTTGGACACCAGCAGCATAGTTGAGGTCTCCGGTGATCTTTGTCTTAGTAGCACCATCACCGATCATCATAATATGGGTCAAGCTCCTTGAGATGGTGACTTGCTCCTTGTAGATACCTTTCTTTATATATATAACAAATGTTGTGTTTTGCTTCTTGGGAATCTTGTGAACAGCTTCATTAATAGTCTTGTATTGGCCACTCCCGTCTTTAGCAACAACGATATCAGGCTTAATTGTGTCTGGAGTTTGTGCAAGTAGTCTCCTTTTTTCATGGGACAACCAGGAAGGAAACTCAGAGTTATCTTTCAACAGTCTACGTCCTGTAAATCCTGCAAGGTTCAAATCCTTAAGCGTGGAAGAGAGACCAGTGATCAAAGCAAGACCGTTGCTGCTAAGTTGACTAGAAAGAGTTAGGATTTCCTTCATTTTGGCTCCGGCTGGACCAGTAGTATTGTCAAAGCCATCCAAACAAGTTTGTTGATAAGTGATGGTGGCGCTAAGCCAAGTCTTGAGATTTGCCAGATACTCATCCATTTTATTAACATCAAAGTGTTCAACTTCTTCGAAGGAAACCTTGAGATCATGAATGGCGTCGTCCATTAATTCTTTGCAATTATCAAGCGCTTGTTTTGCCATTGGATCTTTTGCTACATCTTTTAATGTGGATGAGTTCTGTAAGGCTTGTTGAAGAGCATCAATGGTCACCTGAAAGCCGGCCTGGACAAGCTTGTGAGGATCGGTGGTGTTACCTGCGGCTTTGCTAAGACTTTTTTCACAGATTTCTCTGTAATCCGTAGGTTGGCAGATAGCCTGGACTGACTTCGACGACGTGGATATTTCGGCCGAAGCGTTTGAGCCATTTTGGTGGTCGCCGCTGTTGATTCCATATGCCACAGCAATCACCATAGCCACCAGAAGAAATGATGCGACGCCAAAAATGGCATACTTCTTTTTCTTCCCGGTTGGATCTCCGGCGCCGCCACCAGCCATCTGCGTTAGTCTTAGTTTAAGCTACAAAACCACCAATCTTCTTGTTTTTTTTAGGAGAATATGATCAAGAAGAGAAACAAAATTGGAGGAAATAAAAACCTAATCAATGTTATTAAGAAGTATACAGAGAAACAAAATTGGAGGAAATAAAAACCTAATCAATGTTATTAAGAAGTATACAGAGCTGTTGGGGCTTTAAGATTATTGAATAAATGCCCCGAAGCTCTGGCTTGGGAAAACAAAGCATAGAGAAACCCTTTATATATGAAGTGAAATTCTAAAAAACTGTTATTTCTGTTACAAATTTGTGGGGTGTGGAAGAGACTTTACTAAAATTAGGGTAATTTTTTCCGATAATAATAGTACTTTTAAAACAATGTTTATTTCTTCTTTTATTACTCAATCAATAAAATAATAATATTTGATTTCTTATTTAAATTCAAGAATAATAATATCTATATAAATATTTTTATGATTTCTTTTTGTCTAAATTGACTCAAATTAAAATTTTGAAGATTGAAAAAATTAATAAATTAGTTATAATTTCATTTATACAAATTGCCTATTTTTATTTGAGAAATATTATATATCTAATATATTCAAATTAAAAGATATTATTTTGTATATTCGAATTAAAAAAATTTATAAATGGATAAAATATTAATTTTTACTCAAAATAACGAGTTGTAAAATTATAATGAGTAACTTACTTAAAGATAATAAACACAACACTAATTTTAACCTTTGCTATATATTTAGATGTATATATCACTTAGTATAAATGTAAAAAAAAAAAAAAAAAAAAAAAAAAAAAAAAAAAAAAAAAAAAAAAAAGTTCTTATTGTCTTTAATATTTTATGTACTTTTTTTTAACTAATTATGAATATAGATTGTCATTGATGATTATTTAAATAATAAATTAATGATGAAATTAATTTCATCAATAATTTTATTAATTATTGTTTTTTTTTAATATTTTAAATTATTATAGGTTGAAAATAAAATTTTGTTGTTAAAAAATTTATAATAAAGTGTTTCCAAGTAAGACAAAAATGAACATATATGGATTTTCAGTTGGAAAAATATATTTGTATTTGTATAATAATAAATATTTTATCAAAACTCTACTAGAAGTATTATTATCAAATTGTACTGAAAAACTATTATGCTTTATTACATAATTACATGTATATGGCAAAATTAATATAGTATTCAGAATGTGGTTTACAAGTTAAATTATTATGTATGAAGTCAACAAATATAAAGTATTATACATAAAATTTTATTATAAAATGTCAAATTCCATTGTACCATGGCATAATTTTAAAATTATATTTATAAATATATAATTTATGATAATTAACCCACGCATCGCGCTGGCTGGTGAGGTAATATATAATAAAGTAAAAACCAAAATTTACAATTATAACCCTATTTTAATTTAAGTTCATTCAGTTGTAAAAGCAGGTCGCACAAGCTATAAGTGATTTTTTTTTTTTTTTTTTTTTTACAAGTGTAATTTCGAAAGCAGCTGAATGAATTAGATGAATTATATGTATAATTCATAGTAAAAATTTACTATTTTATGAAATAAAGTTTATATATCTACATTTTCAAATATTATTAATTTGAAAAAAATAAAATAAACGATTAATTATGTGTTTCAAACTCTTATTTTTAATTTTTTACCAATGTATGTTATACATTGAATATTTATTTTAACTTTTACGTATGCAAAATATAAGATTATTCATTAAACATAATTTTAATTAAAAAATTTCAATGTTAGATACGTATGTAAGAATGGTTTATTAATTTTTTAAAGCCAAGCTAGGTTTTATCGACTCTATTTTCATCTTTTTTTTTAATTTTATTTTTTATTAAACTGATTTCCATCTTATGTCCAATTTTTACATCTTTACTATATATATGTTTTTTATTTCTAATATGATTAAGTGATTTTAAGAATTATTCTCTCCAATTTTTAACTTTATAAATTGGAAAAAATAAATATATACTACACTCTACATAATTCACTGCTTAGAAATTAAGCCAACAAATTGTGTGAGCATGAATATTATTTTTTTAATTAGTTATTTCAACTTAATTGTCATGGTTAAATTTGATTCATCCTTATAAATATCAAAATTTTCATCCTAACATAAAATTTTTAATTATTGTAAATTAAATTTATTTTTTTGTATTAATATTAAAAATAATTTACCGTAACATTACGCGGTTCTATCTAGTCGTATTAACAATAATAATAATCCCAAATCAATAAGCACGGGTAAAGAATGTTTGACATTGTCTCAGTTCAACGGGGACAGATTTTTTTTAAATATTTTCAATTTATCTTTTTTTTTAATGAATAATTATAAATACTTATAATTATTTTTCATTAGTTTAGTTTGTTTTTTAAAAATATTTTTAATTTATTATTTTTTCTAATGATTAGAAATATCTATATTTGATCAGATAATTATTCTTATTAGTTTAATTTATGTAAAGAACTATAGATGGGTCTAGACAAATTAATTCCAGTAAAATGAGGAAAAATAAAAAAAAAGGCCAAAAAGCTTTTTAATTTCTTTTTTTTTTTTTTTTTTTTTTTAAATTTTTTTTTTTTTTTTTTTTTTTTTAAATACGGCTTTGGCAAGCAGCGGTACAACTTAACATAAAAACTACTACAATCAATAAATTTCGCTCTCCTCCTTAATAGGTCTCCTTTATACGTTCATCATTCCAGAAGCATAACTGACGCCGGTTGCCGGAATCCAAAGATCTCCGCCAATGAATTTAGCAACAGTGAAAGCAGCAGCATCCTGTGCCGACAATTTCTTGATACCCTTCCATGTAACTCTATCCTTGGTGACTGAACCAGGTCCTTCCTTGGTGACTGAACCAGGTCCTCTATTTTCGTACTCGGAGTAAGAGAGAGTGTCAAGAGCAAAAGAACCCATCCATGGCAACCATCCCTTTGGATCAATCAAATCATCGATTTGACATTGCATGTATACAGTCCTTGAGTACTCTTTCCATGGGCGACCAAGATAGGCCTTGTTCTCGAATCTAACAGGATAATACTCTGGGTCTGCGGTAATATTGCAGTTTTGGAGAACAAAACCAGTGGCTTCGCGTGATTCATTCCTTCCTTGAGCAGTCACAACGCAATTTTGATTTTCCAATGGCTTCCTGACCACAATCTTGCAATTCTGGAAGACTGCGGCGGCGTCACCAAAGATGAAGTCAATAGTGCCTGTGATGGTGCAATCGCGGTAGAACTGACGGTGGGTGTGAGCAAAAAGGGTATCTTGGTAGCCATCCATTTGGCAATTGTAGAAAATAGACATATCAGATTGAACCCTAAGTGCCACAGCTTGATGTCCGATAGCTCCTGCTGTGTTCTCAAATCCAATGTCCTTGGCTATGAAGTGGTTTCCACTCACCGCTATAATAATTGATTAAACCACAAATATATCATTAATTAGACAAAAGTTAAAACAAAAAGAAGGAATTTAGATATTACTACTTACAAACAGTTGATGTTTGGAGTGTTTGGACACCAGCAGCATAGTTGAGGTCTCCGGTGATCCTTGTCTTAGTAGCACCATCACCGATCATCATAATATGGGTCAAGCTCCTTGAGATGGTGACTTGCTCCTTGTAGATACCTTTCTTTATATATATAACAAATGTTGTGTTTTGGTTCTTGGGAATCTTGTGAACAGCTTCATTAATAGTCTTGTATTGGCCACTCCCGTCTTTAGCAACAACGATATCAGGCTTAACTGTGTCTGGAGTTTGTGCAAGTAATCTCCTTTTTTCATGGGACAACCAAGAAGGAAACTCAGAATTATCTTTCAACAGTCTACGTCCTGTCAATCCTGCAAGGTTCAAATCCTTAAGCATGGAAGAGAGGCCAGTTATCATAGCTAGACCGTTGCTGCTAAGTTGACTAGAAAGAGTTAAGATTTCCTTCATTTTGGCTCCAGCTGGACCAGTAGTATTGTCAAAGCCATCCAAACAAGTTTGTTGATAAGTGATGGTGGCGCTAAGCCAAATCTTGAGATTTTCCAGATACTCATCCATTTTACTAACATCAAAGTGTCCAACTTCTTCGAAGGAAACCTTGAGATCATGAATGGCATCGTCCATTAATTCTTTGCAATTATCAAGCGCTTGTTTTGCCATTGGATCTTTTGCTACTTCTTTTAATGTGGATGAGTTCTGTAAGGCTTGTTGAAGGGCATCAATGGTCACCTGAAAGCCGGCCTGGACAAGCTTGTGAGGATCGGTGGTGTTACCTGCGGCTTTGCTAAGACTTTTTTCACAGATTTCTCTGTAATCCGTAGGTTGGCAGATAGACTGGACTGACTTCGACGACGTGGTTATTTCGGCCGAAGGGTTTGAGCCATCTTGGTGGTCGCCGCTGTTGATTCCGTATGCTACAGCAATCACCATAGCCACCAGAAGAAATGATGTGACGCCAAAAATGGCATACTTCTTTTTCTTCCCGGTTGGATCTCCGACGCCGCCACCAGCCATCTTTATTAGTCTTAGTTTAAGCTACAACACCACCGATCTTCTTGTTTTTTTTAGGAGAATATGATCAAGAAGAGAAACAAAATTGGAGGAAATAAAAACCTAATCAATGTTATTAAGAAGTATACAGAGCTGTTGGGGCTTTAAGATTATTGAATAAATGCAGAAACAAAATTGGAGGAAATAAAAACCTAATCAATGTTATTAAGAAGTATACAGAGCTGTTGGGGCTTTAAGATTATTGAATAAATGCCCCGAAGCTCTGACTTGGGAAAACAAAGCATAGAGAAACCCTTTATATATGAAGTGAAATTCTAAAAAACTGTTATTTCTGTTACAAATTTGTGAGGTGTGGAAGAGACTTTACTAAAATTAGGGTAATTTTTTCCATTTGACTAAGATAAGGGATCTATCTTTCGCAGTAAAATAGGTTTAGAGCTGACCAATTCTCATTGTTGGCAATGCATAAGAAAATTAAGGGTAATTGGAAGTTCTTTTGCCTGTTTATTTTGAAATAACATATTAAAGTACTTTTGATCAAAGTTAATTAAGCAACTGTATTTAAGTTTAAAATCTACATAATACATATAGTCTGCTTAAAATTCCATGGACCCAACCGCGCCCAAACCCATCTTTCATAAGGGGTCAAGGTAATATTCGTCCATTACAACCTGAACAAGGTAAACCAGAAGCCAGTCTTTCCATTTTCGGACCCTAAATTTCAGAAATGCTTGCGACCTTTCCAAGCTGAAAAAGAAAAAGGTAAGGGTATTCGTGAGATCGTACGTAGAGAAAGAATGTGTTTCAGCTATATTTGCCTGCTTTGATTATCATTCATCCATTTTTGAGTTCTTTCTTGAAGGAATATTGGGCAAATAGAGGTTGATCTATGGATAGTGATGAGATTAATTAATGGTTTTAGTCATCATTAATTAGGTTTTCATTCTATTTTCTTGGGCATATTATTACTTCCCTTTTCTTTTTTCTTGGGAATTATTAGGTTGATCCATTTTGCATTATATTGATATATATTTTTCTATTCTTTCATTTGATGTCAGCAATTAAAATGATCTCTTCAAATTTTACTTGTTAGAATCAATTTTTTTATATTTTCCTTTTCAAATTAATTGAAATTGAAATTAATTGTATTTCGTACATCGAGTATTTGAAAGGAGTGATGTGATAAAGATTAAAAATTAATCAAATACTTAGCAAGAACATTTTGCTCCTTAATGGACCAATCCAGGGTGAACAAGATTTAATTTTAAACTGCTTAAATTAAAATGAGTAACATGACTAAGATGAGTGGTGTGACGAGGATTTAATCTTAATAAATTAAACAAATACTTACCGAAGATCTTTGCTTCTTGATAGACCAATCCAGGATGAACAAGATTTAATTTTCAACGAATTGGCCGAAAATACCTATGATTAATATAAAAAAAATTAGTTGTCCATCGTGTTGAGGCAAGGTTCTGATAATCCATTTTACTGTTTTTTTTTTCTTTTCTTTTCTTTTTTACCGTTAGCCTATATTAATATAAAAGTAAGAAATCAAATCATATCCCATAAATCAGAATATTATGAATTGTTAATGTACATAATCTAAAGGTAAATGTAAGTATCTATTTTTTAGAAACAAGAATAAACACTAGTTTTTGTGTGCTGGTATTGGCATTGGTATGTGTTTTTTGACATTATGTCTCATTAGGCTTTTATTTATCGTTACAGAGATATACCACTTCTCTTTTAATTTATTGTGCCCTTATTTAATCATATCTATCAATTCCTTCAAAGCTTAGCTCTCTGTAATTCCAACTTGGCAATGGTACCCATGTGGACTTCATCGGGGCCATCTGCAATTCTCAATGTTCTTGCTGTGGCCCAAAGATGTGCCAATACGGTGTCGGATGATAGACCAGCTGCACCATGTACTTGCATTGCCCTGTCAATCACCATCAGTGCCATGTTTGGAGCTGCTACCTGTTCCACATAACCCAAATTCAGAATAAGTCAAAAATGTGCTGTATTTTGCATTAGCAAGACCAAAGATTATTACCTTCGCCATTGCAATAGTTCCTCTTGCTCTTTTGTTCCCAAGCCGATCAAGCTGGTCTGCTGCCTCCAAAACCAATAATCTGGTTTTCTCCAGCTCTATTCGACACTGCATTAGTCAAATTTGAAATACCGTTATTATAGAGCTTAGGTGTGGGCAGGCAGGCGAGATAAATAAGGGGGCAAAAAAAAAAAAAAAAAAAAAAAAAAAAAAAAAAAAAAGATACGTTAACACGAAGGGGAGGACAGAATTCTAACTCAATAACCCAACTTTGCTTTTTTAACTCGATACTACAGGGCATTTGGGTGTGCCTGAATATTAAAAGTATCCCCTTCCCCCAAACCATTTTTGGTCCATAGATAACAAAAAAAAAAATATATCTATCTATCACACACCTTGGCAATATCTGAACGAAATGAACCATGCTCAGCAATCAATTTTCCAAATGTTTTTCTGCTGAGAGCCCTTTGAACCATCAACTCCATTCCCCGCTCTGCAGCACCTATCAATCTCATGCAGTGGTGCAATCTTCCAGGGCCCAGTCTACCCTGCAAGGATGTAAAATCATTAGAGATGAAATATTTACTTAAAAATGGGAGAATCAACAACATCACAAAATATAGATGTTAAACATTCAGCCAACCCGACTAGACCAATTCTCAGTGGCAAATAAATCACCTCCATTGTCCAAATAGAGAACTCATAAATATCGCCAGCATTAATGGATTCTATTTTTTAAAAAGCATGTGGGACTACACATATAGAACCCAAATCTGGTAAAGCAACTTATGAATTATGTCCATAAAAGTTTGCACAGAAGTTAAATGAAGCTTACACTGAGCTTGTCAGCAGAATTTGACTGCCTCAGAAATTAAATTGAATTGAAATTTTATCCAAAACCAACTAGTATAACAAAGAAATCCATTACATTACCTGCAAAGGAAGGAAGCAACTTTACCTGTGCAATCTCAAATCCACGTCCTTCACCAAGAAGGATGTTCTTTGCGGGCACAAATACGTTTTCAAATGAAATTTCAGCATGACCATGAGGTGCGTCATCAAAGCCAAAGACCGTGAGTGGCCTCTTTATGTGTATGCCTGGAGTCCGAACATCCACTAGGATCATGGATTGCTGCTTATGCTTAGCTGCAGAGAAGTCAGTTTTTCCCTGCATATTGTTCACATTGATTTTTTTTTTTTTTTTTTTTTTTTTTTTTTTTTTTTTTTTTTTTTTTTTTTTTTTTTTTTTTGTGAAAATAAGAATGGCATTAAAATGAAGAATTCTCAGTTACAAGGATAGCAAAACATGAGTTTTAAACTACATGAACAATTAACAGGACTGCCCTTCTCAAGCATACTGGAGGAACTAACCATAACTATAAGAAGTTTACACCTAGGATCCATGGCGCCACTTGTCCACCACTTGTTCCCATTAATGATATATGAATCCCCTTGTCTGTACAAGAAAAGCAGATCTGGTTACAAAGCACTAGAGCAGAAAACAAAAAAACCTTTGCACAAATCACAGGATTATTACAAACATAACATCCAAGGGAGTGAGATAATTTCATCTAGAAGTTCATTGATATCTTCTTTTTATAAAACAAATCAACTTCAATTCTTGAATAATCTGGGCCCCATTAACTACCTTCTAATAGAACACTCAATATTTGTAGCATCTGATGATGCAACTTGTGGTTCTGTCATTGCAAATCCAGAACGGATCTTGCCCTCAAGCAAAGGAATAAGCCATTCAAGTAGCTGTTCTTTGTTCCCATATCGCAGCAATACCTATTAAGGAGACAAAAACAATATAATTGCACTCAGAGGCAGTAAAAAATCACAAAGCCAAAAATAGCAAACAATAAAGCCAGACAGAGTTTCAAAAAGCTTTTCTGATGCATGTTCATTCAAATATTTCCTGGATGGAGTTGAAGCAATGCAGGATTTATGTAGCACATGCATCTTGCTATAATACTCTCCCAGGGTAAAATCACTCCTACAATCTTTATTCAAGCAACTTTTTTACTCTCTTTACTTTCAAATTTTCTTGTATGGCAAAGTATTACAACGGCTACTTAAGGCCATGTGATGACCACACTAATAAATTGTTCCATTCCAGACCTTAAAGAACATGAAACTAACTTTTACCTCCATATTTCCAGTGTCAGGTGCACCACAATTGAATACTTGCGGAGCCCAATTAGAACGACCCATGATCTCGCAAAGGTATCCATATTCAAGGTTTGAGAGGCCAGCACCAAGTAATTGATCATGTGTGCCATTGGAGGCGGCAAAACTACTTTCATCAAAGATAAGTTTTCTCGCTCTTTCGGCACTGTCAAACTGCAGAAAAAAAACATGAGTGCACTTGAATTCATGATTCAAACTCATCTCCTGCTATGATCGATGGTAATAATAACAGAAAGACAAACATATAGCCCAGAAAGACGGGAAAGGAAATACAGGTATCCATAAGTTCCACAATCCTTCTTTCTTTGCCAGCTCCTTTAATCTCTCCTCCTCTGGGTGCACCGTCCAACGTGATGAAGACTGAGCAAGCTTGTAGAACTCATTTTCCAAAGGATATATGTGATCTTCCATAAACTTAATTAATTTTTTTCTCAATTCCAGCACCTTTTTGCTGGGAACAAACCTCCCAGTTTCTTCTGAAATGCCTTGAACTTTCCTCTTACTGCCAATTTGTGTTACGTAGTCCAGTGCAATTGCGCCTGTATAGTAAAAAGAAGAATCACGTTAGGTGATGATATTGATTACACCAAATGTAATTTTTGTTTTTTAGAAAAAAAGGGAAGTTAACGTATGTTTGACAGACATTCAGACTAACATCTTTTTATAACATTTCTAATAGGGAAATGCCTTTGGTGCAGCTGGGGAGGCAGGTAAATAAGAGAATTTCATAGCCTTTTTTGAGAACTATGTCAACAAAAATTCTCTACTGCTGTGAAGTATACATAAACATTGTGTATATGCAGCTTCATCCTTTACAATCCAAGAACTTCTTACTCTTTTCCAGAAACATCAACATTATACTTTTAAATATAGAATACAGAGGAAAGCGTGTCACAATGAGCTGAAAGGAAACCTTAGCATATTTCTTTTATTATCAGCCACACCTTTTAAAAAAGTTCCTCTCATACAGCATGACATATCATTATGATGTTCTCAAAAGAATTTTTCTAGGAATTTTCTGATAATAAATTATTTGGTGACCAATAAATTATAAAATGGTTATATTACCAGATGGAGGGTGATCAGGAAGCACAGATTTTCTTGCAATAAAAGCCCATGCAGAGTCTATGAGACCATTAGCATGATTTCCGGCATTTCGGGCACGCTCACCTCCTGTAGCATTACCCTACATTTGTGACAAAATGTTATGCTAATACATTAAACTTCTATCAGAGAGCTTTTGCTACAAGATTAGCAGTAGAATTTAGCAAACTGTCATTAAGACATTACCATAATCCATCGACTATGTACACCTGCATAAATTGATGCCGCACGGAACATAGCAAAAGCTACGTAGAACTTCCATACATTAGCTGGCCATGGTTTTCCCTAGATTGCATTATTTCCAGCACAAAAAACAGCATTTCAATCAGTTCAACAAACATGTCTAAGACATCCATCATAAGCATCTATGAGACCAAAACACCAGGTAATAAATGAACAAGTAACCCATTGTTATAGAAGTGTAAAAGTTTTCTTGAATTAGTCCTCACAGGTTTTCTGGACTTCCATGAAAATAGATCTTATTCAAATATCAAGTCAGTTTCCCATATGTTTTTTAGTACTAAAACTAACATCAGAAATTTATAAGAATAAGCATTTGGCATAGAATATATAGTCTGCAGACCTGATGGATTGATAATTTTAGCCTGACTGTATGCATTCGTCAATCGCCCACTACGTCTCTAGTTCGAAAAAACTCAATGCATAAAATTTTCTACAAAATTTAATTTCCTCACGGACTTGAAATTTGGAAAACATGCCTGGACAGCAGAATTAAATCAATACTTCGGAAAGGCTCTTACAGATGCAGAGCAGTATTCTGTAAGATATTCTGCCTGTGAAGGAATCCCTTCTGGAATGCCAGTAAGTTCAAAACCTTTAATCAATTGTTTATTGTCAAGGTTAAAATCCACTGTGTAAGCCTGCCAAGAAAGAAGAAAGCAATTAAGTTAAACATATTGCTAAAGTAACATTAAAGCTTTCACCAATTGTGCAAATCAATAAAGCTCAAGCAAAAATATTGCGGCTTTTGCATCATACATAAAAAAGAAAATGCAAAGATAAAAAAGATGTGTTACCAAACAGCTGTATGCAACATCACTCATTTGATTTCCAAGAGTGGACAATTCCCAGTCAAGAATACCAATTACTCGGTCCTGCACCGGTAGGGTTACTCATCAGGCTAATTACTCCAATAATTTAAGCTGTTCCAGACTATTCATTGAAGTTTAAGTTTGAAGACACTAGGAATAACAAAGCATACATGGTAATTGGTTCACATCTCTTCCTCCATCAGACTTTGATGGAGACAATTATGTCAAACCGCTAAGGACCCAAATCAAAGCTGAAAACATATGCATTTGAACTAATAAGAACCTTCAGAGCAACGGACCTCAGTGGGGTGAAATACAACATTATCAATGCGAAAGTCCCCATGAACTAGACCTGCAGATGCCCCAGAAGAATCTTCAGGAGGAATGTGTTGCAGTAACCAATTAGAGAGCTCCAACATCTTTGGATTTCTTGGAGACTTGCCCTCACCAGTCGATGAGATGTACTGTTTAGTCCATCTCTCTATCTGAAAAAGAAAACCATAAGCGACATCATCGAGTTGTAAGGCAACACTTCAAGCCAAAAACTTCCAGTTGTACTTTTCCTCCAAACTCCAACACAACGTCTATGTTGCCCCTTTCTAAATTAGCCCAGAATTAGAGAAGCTAATATCTAGAGTTAAAACCAGTGTACCTGTCGTTTACAATAGTTATCCTTCCGTCCATATCTTCCCAGGCCAATAGCATCTACATTAGCAGAATGTAAAGCAGCCAACACTCTTGCAGTTTCTTGATATATTGCCCTCCTGCTGTTTGGCGCCACGCCCTGATCAAACAAGCATCGGCTCAATTACACTAACCTTCCAACTTATATCACAACAATTCACAAAAAAATTTGAACTATTGTATTTGCGATGCCAAATTTGCAAAAAAAAAAAAAAACCAGATAGTAATGCCATACCGGTAGCTTAGGGTCTATGAAAATGCGACCTTCTAGATACTCCATAATATAAAATGCAGTTCCAATTATACTTGGATCTGTACACAAACAGAAAACTTTAGGAACAGGAACTCGCGTGTGTTCCCCCAGCGCCCGCAAAACCTGTTAAATTAAATTAAAAATATTAAAAACAACACAGAATTAAGCTCCATTTTATTATTTTGATAGCATAATAATTTGCTCCTTTCATTTTTCATTCAATGAAGAACAGAGAGAGAGAAAAAAAAATTACACTTATACCAATCAAGTCTAAACCAATTAACCGAAACTACCAGATATTCTCTGTCTACAGCATGAGCAGACTGGAGCAATTTGCCAGGAGGCTTCTTCCTCAAAACGTAGCGTTTAACGGAGGCTCCTGTTCCCACTTCCAACAGAAACGTAGGATTCGATTGTCCGTGCCCGAACTAAATTAGTACATAAATACAAGCAAACAGAACATCATAATTAAGAGAAGGAGAAGAAAGGAAATTCCAAAAGAAAATTAAATCCTAATAAAAACCTGTTTGACGATGAAGGTGGAGGGAGAGACGGGGAAACCAGCAACATTAGCAGAGGCGTAGCGAAACAAAGCGTCACGGTCAAACTCGTGAGCTTGCTGAACTTGCCTTAATAACTCAGATGTATGGATCGCCATTTTCAATTTCGTTTTGTTTGGTAACAAAAATTAGAGAAAAGGAAGAAGATTATAAGATTAGAGATTAGGCCGTTTCAACCATATGACATGAACACGGAAGCAAAAGGCCGAAGGGAGGAACCGGGAACTAGGGACGTGTAAGGAAATGGGTCTTGGACGGTGGTGATATTATCGTCTGGCTTCGAACAAATCGAGAAAACTTGCAAACGTGGTGGATTATTTATCTGTACTCTCGAGACCGATGTGTACGCACGTCAAGCGCGGAGATTGCTGCCTTGTTGGGATTCGTACTTTTTTGATTAAGAGCGCGTGTTGAAGCTGCGAGGGTGGTGAATTCCCAATGATTGCAAATTATTTAAATTATCCTAGAGAATGGGGATCGCGGCAGACGGCAGTATGGGATACGCTTCACGATGGAGTTTTGTCACTTAGATAAACTTATTTACATAATTGTAAATGATTATAAATGATTTCAGACACTGTTATGAAATGCGGAAATGGATTTTTCCTTTTAATTTTTTTAAATGAATGGGGAAATAGATTTAATTGTCTTAATTTTTAATAAAATGAAAATCCAGTAAGGAATTTTCCTTTTACTACTGGAAACTATCGACATAGGTCCAATACCAGTGGGCCCAATGCAATTTCAGGATTGGGGTCCAACCACCGTAATCAATTAGTACAACGGGAAAAAAATCCAGAAACATGCAAGACAAACACACGTAGCACAAAATTATGAAATTGTTCTGCAAATAAAAAAACAACCACAAATTATTATTTTTTTTTTTTGAAAAGAACAACCACAAATTATTACTACGAAAGAAGCAACATTTTGATTAAACATAAACATGTTAAACAGTAGCCAGCCTCTTCGGCCCACAAGAGCTTACGGCTGCTCATCAACTGCTGGTGTCATAGCCTTCACCTACAACCCAAAAAAAAATCAAAACAACAAATTCAATCCACCTCGTCTTTACCTAGATCATAATTCAGCTTCACATTGTCTACACTTTGTTTTGGATTGGTTATGTTCTATGATATGCCATGGCTCTAGCACAAGGAAATTTAATAAACAAAACTCTCTTGCTCTTAGTAGAGATGTCTAGTACATGAGTATATTTGAAAATCCTTCACTGTTATGATATAATTGAAAAGCAGTCTAAGAGGACAAAAGGAGTCGACCAGTTCGAATAAGATTACTAACCAGATTGCGAAACTTGAGAACATAAAACATCTCCAAGTATCGCCTTATCTCTCTCCTCTCAAGCTTAGACACATGCTTCCAGAAGCCATAAACTCCAGCTAATGTCAGCAACCTCTCAGAATATATCTTCCATGTATACCTACAAAACTCAAAATTGAGGGAATTGGTAAAAACGACCATTTTCACGGGCAAGAACAAGGTAAATTCTGAAAGCAAGAAACGGAAATACTTCTCATAAATTCTTTTAAGCCCTCCATCAGAAATCTTGTTCCAGTAGCTAGGATCTTCCTTGCACCGTTCAAAGAAATTGATGAGAAGTGCAGCAGCACATTCAGGCTGATGGGGGTCAACATGGAACCCTGAAATCCCATGCTCAATGATCTCAGCAGGACCACCGTGACAAGTGGCAAAAGTAGGAAGTCCAGAAGTCATGGCTTCCACAACAGTGAGGCCAAAAGCTTCATAGAAAGCAGGCTGAAATAAAATACATGCAGTTAATAAAGTAAATTTTGCAAAGAAGCTGAGGTTAAGAATTTTGGTGTTCTACTCCACATACCTGTACAAAAGCACCTTTTGCATCAGCAATGTACCGATAGAGCTCACCATTACGAGCACGGTTCATTTGGGCAGCTATCCAGCGAAACTGGCCATGCAGATCATACTGCTTTATGAGGGCATGCATCTTTTCAATCTCTGCCATTTCTTCTCTATCCCTGGATTGCTTCACATTTATGTACCCACCAACCACAACAAGATTCACAAGTTCTCTTAGCTGGCTGCTTCTACCATAGCACTCAACAAGTCCTGTCAGGTTCTTCACCCTATCAAGTCTTGCCATGGAAAAGATGATGGGCTTTGATTGGTCTGTTAAAAAACCTCTGCATTTGCCAAGATGAAATAGGTATCAAATGTCATCATTGCCACCCATATTGCCAATTAGCAATTCAAATAGCTAAGGAAAGAATCTTAAAATGCACAATCTTCATGAAATGATAAACTTGTAAAAAGAGTGAAATGCAGATCTGCAAGTGATGAAATAAGAGACTCAAATTAAACAGAGCTTGCTTGCAAATGCTTAACCAAATGACAGTACATTACAACAGGCATATCATATCTCATGCCATGACAGAGACACTTTGAGCAACAGATTTTGCCCATCGATACTCAATCTGATGAGGCACTATAAGAAAATAACTCAGTGAAGGTAACATTTTCCTCATCCATCATACTGAGATTTCAAGAACAATTAGTGGAGGATAAAACATATGGTTAAATATCTCATAGATGTGGAGCCAAGAGTTGGCTTTCCATATAGCCATGGTATTTTTTAGAACCAAAGGAAAACCAATAATTACTACTGAGTTATAATCTAGCATAAAAGATACTCACACATGCTCCTCATTCTGCTCAGGATCATATAAGAGTTCTTCAATTGAACCATGTAAAGCAGTAAGTCTTCTTTCCCTTTCGGAGTATGGAAAATATATGCACATATCTGCTCCCGGAGAGACTATATTAAACTTGGGATCAAAAACGTCAATACCATGAACAACTCGATACAGCCCAGGAAGAGTAAAAGCAGTATGGCTCTCATACTGTCCAACATTAGTCTTGCTGAGACAAAGAAACATTTGTTTAGAATTAAAACCAAATAAACCAAACTGTGCAAGTATCTTAAGTGGTTAAAACAATGAATAAATAGAATGTATGTGGCTGAAAAAACTGAGATTTTATCCAGCTGGTGAATCTTGCTCAGGATTCATAGTACTTTTTTTTTTCTTCCTTGAAGAAAGGACTTACCTTCCTGCAATCTCCTGGTACGTACTAGTGATAATAAAATCTGCATTGTTCATTGCAATAAGATCAGCTGTAAACTGACTTGCAAAATGGTACTTGTCGTCATATTTTCTCCAGTATATATCAGAATCCGGATACTTTATTTTCTCCAATGCATGCGCAATGTTGCACTGCAAAAAAAATTGAATTTAACAGATCAAAAAAGTATTATGCTCTACAATTTGGTTGCTGTACTACGAACTTTCAGATACTAGTTTTGATAACACAAAAAACCTGCGTAATTCCTAGCTTATAAGACAACAAAGAAGCAACAAGATTTCCATCACTATAATTTCCAATAATAAGATCTGGAACTCCTTGTAATTCGGCAGCAATTTCATTTGATGCATCCTGCAAATGGCAGTCAAATAAAGGAAACAATCATATAATAAATCCAAAATAAATTCCAATGTTAAACTTCTTTCATATTAAACCTGATCCAGGCATTCTATCACCAACTATACAATGAAATAAAAATTCTTGAATTATCCAATCTAACATGGATTAGATTTTTAATCAGGAAAAGGGTTAAACATGCCAAGAAATTTGAAAGCTTCCAATGCAGAACTCTTTACTATTGTCTCACTCACAAGTCTAGATTCAGTAACACGTAAACTTTATTCCACCACCATAATGAAGCATCCTCAGTGAGGGATTAAGGATGTAGTCTCAAGCAGCCTCTATAATGATTTCACTCACAATTCTAGATTCCCAACTAGAATCAATAAACATGGCCACAAATAAACCAGATAAGATTGCTCATTGTGACACCAAAAGGCATCCTAATGAAGAAAGAAAGAAAAGAAAGAAAAGAAAGAAAAATGAAAGGAAATAAATAAGACTTTGTTTGAAAGCTTACATCTGCAAAGGTCTCCAAGAATGGCCACACATCAAACCTTGAAATCCATTTATGAAGAATACCATTCTCATTTCTAAAAGGCACCCGCAAAATATATGTGTGTTCCGTACCGCTGATTCTTTCAAGTCTCTGGTTGCATGTTGTGCCTTTTGCATTGGGTATTAGTCGTGTGACCTTAAACACCATTCAGGGAAGTGTAATATGAATATCAAAATGGAAATTCACTCAAACCAAGTGAATGAGCAAGCAAGATAAAAATGGAATATCAGAATTGGGCAACTGGATCATAAAGCATACTTACTATAAGGATTTTTGGGGTAACATCCAATCCTTGTTTTTCTATTCTAGATATCATCTCATTCTCTAATGCACGCACTTGATCAAGTATGTAAACAACCTGTGCAGGGATAAGAATGGTATAATGCATCATATATTCACTGCATGAACCTTTTCTACAGTTAAAACGAATGGTTCTTTCTGCCAGAATATGAATAAATATAGAATGGCAGGAAACCTTTGACACTCAAGTTTGAACCACTTAAGAATAATCCAATTGATACCTGCCCACCAGTGTCTGGCAATCCTAAGACATTTGCTTGACCAAAGTAACCATGTGGAGACACAATGACGACATTGAAAACCATAGGAATCATCCCAAGAAATGACTCTAAGGTCGAAGGATCCGGAGCCTGAAGGATCTCCAAGAGCAGATGCACCATCTCTGATACCCGTTCTGCTGTGTCACCCCAACCTCTTTCAAAACCCATTCCTTGTAACCTACACTTCAAAGAATTGAAGAAAAATCTAAGTATTCAATCAAAATAGATGGAAGGATGCAGAATTTTTTTGATTTATTATTATTATTATTATTTGAGAAGCAAATTTTGGGATACTTAAAAACAAACTTAATTTCTTACTCAAATTCAAACTCAGAGTATGGTGTATCTGGTGGAAGCTTAGAGAGGTGTTCTTCTGCCCTTGCCAAAGCAGAACGTAGTTTGGGTATGCTCTGTATCCGATCATTCAGCATCAGGGCCTACAAAATATAGTGGTCAAATCAGAATGTTTGACATTAAGATCTTTCCTTCATTGCAAAATATTTTGAATAATGCAACCACAAAAGGAGAGAGGCATGATATGGGAAACCTAGCATTATAGCATAATTCACAGTGAAATCAAAGTGAAGATCAAAGTTCTCCAGAAATTTTATCTCGAACTGCTATTTAATTAAGAATTTGACAAAAATAATAATTAATGCAAATGGAAAAAAAAAAAAAAAAAAAAAAAAAATAATAATGCAAATGGGAAAAAAAAAAAAAAAAAAAAAAAGAATTGCTTGTTGGAAAGAGCATTAGCAAACTCACATGACCATCATGCTTATGCTTACGCAAAAAATCAAGCAGAGGGTCCAAACTTTCTTTGTTGCGAAACATAATTGAAGATAGGTGACGGTTCAGGAATTGAACCCCATTTCCAATGGATGATGACCGGGTTGGCCGGGGGAATGTTGCATTAAATGGCTCAAAATCAAGTTCAAGCACATAATTGTCATTGCATCTGTAAACATTTCAAAATCCCAGTGTTAATATGCGCATTAAAAGAGTTCGAACGTAGAACAATTTTCTGAAAGGGAAATTTATTATATTAATTCTTACTGGCCATCCACAAGTTCTTCTTTTAATCGAAGGTATTCAGCAACAGTTAAATGATCCACGCTGAGTTCATAGACATTAACGCGAACATATTCCCAAACACCAGGAATTGGACGAATTGCTATTGCAACAAATGGAGGTAGGACAATAGCTTCCTACAACGTTAGGACGACATTAAGAAAATTATAAAGAGAAGAAAACAAATAATTCTCATCTTTCATGTAATACATGAACATTTTTTTTCTTTTTTTTTCTTTTTTTTTTTTTTTTTTTTTTTTTTTTTTTTTTTTTTTTTTTTTTTTTTTTTTTTTTTTTTTTGTAAAATAAAGTTAGAGTAGATTTGCAGAATATCCAAATTCCAGAATCGCAATTAAGTAAATGTAGAACGCTTAAGCCAAAAATAAAATAATAACAATAAGCCAAAAATAAATAGTACATACCACTTTAATGACAAAAGCAAGAAAAAATAAAAGATAATTTAACGTGAATCACACCTAACTAGTACTAAACTCATGCATTAGGAAACAAAAACCACGAAGATAAATGAGAGTCTACCTGTGCAGATTCAAGCATTTTAGTGAAGGGGCTATCGCGAAGCTTCTCCAATCCTTCGTCATCTTTAACGACTCTGGCAAGCTCTATTAGCAGCTGATGAGCTTGCAGAATTCCTTTCCCTTGAGCCACATACCTTGCAAAATCAACAAAAACCCATTTTCCAAATCAGCTATCATACTCTTAGCCTAACTAACAGAATACACATAGACATGCATATCTCAACAACATTTACATGTACGAACCTGGAAAGAAGAGAAACAAGCTCGACACGGTAAGTAGAGAGAATGTCCCGCACCCTTTCTCGTATGCTAGAGAGCGGCATCGCTCCGAATCCTCAAAATCACGTTTTCTCTTCAGACGAGCAAAATCGGACAAACAGCGAGAAACTAAAAGCAATCAGTAGGAGGATAAATGGATAGGAGAGACATTTGATGATGAAGTGAATACCATATATATAGCCATATATAGAGCAAATAGCGAAATCGACAAGGTGCAGATGGAGCCAAAAACACCAATAGAGAAACTGCCATAGCTTTTTCACTTTGTTTGCTGCGACTCGAGTCTGATTGTGAGAAGGGGCACTTGGCATTGCATTTCAGGGAGCAAATTGAAAATGTACAACACAACACTTTCCCTCTCTTTCCGAACGTGAAACGGTGGGCTCTGTGCTTATGTTTGTTTCATTTTGCTCATAGACTGTCACGCCCATTTGAGGTTTGAAAGCGTGTAGTTTACGCCCCATGGAGAGTGTAGATGATGCCGATCAGCCCAGAATTCAGCCAATGAAATGTTGAAATGACAGTTTGTCAGCGGTTGAAGACGGTGCATTGTAGGCAGTTTTTTCTTGGGCCCAAACAGGTCAAGAACCGAATGACTGGCCCAAAACAGTTGGGTTTGGACTATTTTTATGGGCTTGTTTCCTCTGAAGATTTGACCCAACTCCCAACAAGGCTATGTCACGTTGATTACGTCATATAGCGAGGTTAATAGAACCTTACCTGAAGAGGCGATATTATTATTAGCTAGCAATATTACTAAGAAAATAATAATGAAGAGCAAGAACCAGATACCAAGGGAAAATGATTCTATTTATACTCAATTCGTACACGTACTGAAATTGAAATTGGAAATAAGTTGCTTATTGGAATCAATTCTCAGTGATCTAACGACACTTTTTTTTTAGAGGATCCTAATGGCACTTTTGAGCAAGATATATATGTGAATAGCAAAAGGATAGGAACTTCACAATAATATATAATTTGCTGAAAATTTAATTAATGGAATAATTTTTTATCCAAAAAATTGATAGAATAAATGTATATCGTATATTATCAGTATAACTTTTCACTACGTGGCTCGTCAAAAGGTTTTAAGAATGTACTCTTATTCAAAATCTTTAATTTAAAAATAAAAATTTTTATTTTCAAAAATTGATTTTTGAATAAATTATATATTACTTTATTTAAAAAAGAACAAATTGAGTTTTATTCCATCGAATATATATATCCGGTGATTCAGACGGGAAGAAATCAAAAAGATATCCAGGTTCTACATTTTTCCGTTTTTTTTTTTTTTCGAAAGGAAGGTTCAACATTTTTCATTACTACATTGTTTTGCTGCCTATATAAAGTGGGTTGGTTAATTATTAACTATCAAAGCAAAACTAACTAAACAAAAACCACCTGAAATTCTCTCTCTCTCCAAAAAAAAAAAAAAAAAAAAAAAAGGTGCAACCACCTGAAATTCTCTCTCTCTCCAAAAAAAAAAAAAAAAAAAAAAAAATCTCTCCTCTCTCAAAAAAAAAAAAAAAACCGTATAGCTAATTATTGGTTCGAATGGCAAGCAATATAGATGATCGTCTTCTTAATGCTACGTTTGAAGGCTTTTCAGCTTGGAAAAAAAAAAAAAAAAAAAACGTATAGCTATTATTGGTTCGAATGGCAAGCAATATAGATGATCGTCTTCTTAATGCTGCGTTTGAAGGCTTTTCTAGCTTGGAAGGGCGCCGGAACAAGAGGCCAAATCCAGCTGCAGGGAGACCTCAGACTCAGAGTGCTACCAACAACCATCATCAGCTTCCGGCAATCACTAGCAAAGAGGCAGCACAACGCTACGGTGGGATAGTGATAGAACCAGTTATCACTAGCGACAAGGCCGCCAAACGCTACGGCGGCATAGTTATAGGGCCCGCTGTCACTAGCGATATGGCAGTTCAACGTTATGGCGGTGTTCTTATTACAGATCGTCCAACGGAAAAACATTAACGGGGCTTAGCTTAAGATTATCGAATTAAAAAGGGCTTGTGTAATTAAAAAAGGCTTTGTGACGATGTACTGCTACTGCTAAATATGTATCTTTTGTATCTCCTGGCACTGGTTGTCTCTTCCAAATATAATAACAATAATCTTTCTTCCTTCTTGTTTCCAGATCATATATATATATATATATATATATGCATATGAGAGATATTTTAGTCATTATCTCTTGCCTCTTAATTAAAATTAATTTAAGGTTAATTACAGTAATTCATCTGCTATTCAGATCTTGGATCGAGACTTTTAATCACGCTTTCTTCTTCTTTATTATTATTATTTTTTAAATTTAATTGAGCCTAATACAATTACTTCTACAGTTCAATTATATATATATATATCATTCAACAAATTGGTTGGACATTCTATTATTTACATTTTACTCGCAATTTCAAAATAAAACCAAACCTAGCCGGTGAAAGACATGATGAATGTTTGATGAGTTACTATACCCTCCAAACTCTTTGCACTATACGCATCAATGAAACATAAACAAATTAAATTAATTAAAATCTCGTGCAATCAATAAAGAAGAAATACGAGTAGGATTGTAAATGAGACAAACTGCTCGTGAGCTGTTCGAGGCTCAATTCATAAAAATTCGATTGGGCTTGGCTCGATAAAACTCGTTCGATAAGCTTATCGAGCCGAACTATTGAGCTCGTTTAATAAACAAGCTGAGTTCAAGCTCGGCTCATTAGCTCGCGAGCTAGCTTTATCGAGCTGAACCCACTTTAAATTTGGCTATTTTAAATGATCTAAGCTCAACTTAGCATCCTAACACTATTATCAGATATACATGGTTTTCAAAGTTGTGGTGATTTTGATGGAATCCATATCAAAAAGTGCCCCTGAGAATCCATTTCAGATGGATAAATTCAGTTGTCCACTGATTGATTAATTGTGACTGAAATGGAAAAACCAAAAGAAGAAAAAAAAAAAAGGTTAATGAGGAATCATATCATTCTACACGAAAAGAAGTAGGATTGGAAACAAGTTGGTGCGATCAATAAAATATTGAACTTTTTACTTCATATAACTTGGAAAGAGTCCTTCAGTGCCATAAAAGTTAATTTCATAATTTGGAATCATATCTTCTTTTTCGTGATATTTTATTTTTAATATAGCTTCATGGATAAATATATTCCATATATACATATCTTTTTCTTTTGCAATAAGATTGGGACAAACGTGCTAAGGTGACCCAAATCTCAGACCATCTCACATGTAGGAGCACTGCTTGTGTCCCATCGATGCTTAGCTTATATTTATCTTATTCCTTTTACCTTAATTATACTTCTTTCTCCTTAATTATACCTTCGTGGTAATTAACGATTTTATCCTGCCACTTCAACACCTCTCATGGGCATAATTGTCAGTATCTGTTTACACAACTTAGAAAATCAACCAGATCATATTGATTATGCTATGTATACATACAAACGTCATATTTCTTGCATCACAGTCTTACATCGGGTCAAAAAGACATATCAACTAGGATTGGAAGGAATATATAAATCAGTATTCAACGAACAATGACTGACATTTGCCAAGTTAGTGAGGAATCAGATGCACAGAAGACTGATGAGGAACTATTCCTTCTGAACGCGAAATGAATTTGGATAAAGAACAAGGTACTGAGAATTATGGAGCCTATCCCTTAATAATTGAGGGAGTAGACTTGGCTAGAGCTCTATATAAAGAGACCAGGTCCCGAACATTGATAACCAAGCCAAGTAATTAAGCAACGATTTGTTCTTATACAGGCATTACTTTGATATGGCACGTCAGAATGAGCGTGGTAATCTTGCTAAAATCGGGTTGGAAGCATTTTCCGCCGTGGATGAATACTTGGCCAGGTCCAAGAGGCTAGGCACGAGGCATCCTCATCAGATAAACCCATTGATACCTGTTATCGACAGCAATGAGGCAGCAAAACGATATGGGGGTAAAGTTTTTATGGATTATCCCAAGGCCATGGGAAAAAACCAATCTGCTGATGAGATTGGAAGGCTTAAAATCGTAAGAAACCATTAATTTGAAAATTTAATCAATCTTACCAGGTTGTTGTATATTTGTACGTACTAATATGCTGGAATAAGCAAGTCAGATATAAAAAGAGCAAGTTCTGATACGTGTTTAGGTTTTTGCTGCAGCTATGAAGAGCATGCGCTAGTTAACTGTGTAATATATGAAGGAGTATTGACAACCGGTGACTTGTATTTGTACTCCTGTTGTGTATATAAAGAAAAGAACTCTCAAGCTAGTTTCATCTAATCAAAGAATTTTCTCTATATCTCTTTCCTGTATCTATATTTGGCCATGGTTAATTTTGCTCATGACAGGTTTATACCCACAGGTTCTTTTGGGAAAATTATCATAGAACAATTTTTTTCTGTTTTCCTTTGTTGAAAGATAGAAATTATTATTAAGAATGAAGATCATGAACAATAAGAGCTTCTATATGTCTAGGAAGCTCATACCAAACTTGACGACTAGGATCTGAATAAGCAACCCTTCGTATCCAAGTAACAGAAATACTATTACTCCAAGAAGCTAAATCAACCCGATCTGAAACAACATCCCCCATTCAGATAGGTCAGTGACAGGACTTGTGAAAAGACTTCCAAACGTCCTGTGCATCTATTTCAATACATATATTTGTAAAGTTGCGTTGCTTCAGCAATGAAAGGACCTCACGCAATCCAAGAGCCTCAACCATTCTTGATTTATGAGCACCTATAAAGTAACCCGACAAAGCCATCACAAATTGTCGCTGAAAATTCCGAATCATAGCACCAAAACCAGACATGTTAATATCTTTGAAAACGGCACCATCAATATTACATTTAAAGACCCAGTCGGAGGACAGCTCCAACGTGAAATTTCCCTAGGAACAGCAAGCCGTAGAGGTTGGGTACCTGTTACCCTCGACCCATCATCCTCATCAGACCTGGCGCATTTCCATTCATGAAGGTACTTAAGGGCTTGAGACACCAAATCTGAAGAAGAAACTCGCATACTTTGCCATATAGATAAGTTGCGATAGAACTACATAAACCAGGCCAACACTCAACACTTTTTTTTTCTGTTTTCTTTATGTACCTTAATTTAAAAAAAAGTGTATGTATTCCAATTTTTACAAAAAACTTTATCTTTTTCTAATCAGTAAAACATGTTAACTAGATTTTAATAAAATTATTTTAATTTTATGAAATTAACTATATATCATTTTATAATTCAAAATAAGAATATTGTTAAGAACAAACGTATAATGACACCACCAAGTATGATAACGTAAATTTTTATGGTTTTGACGAAGAGTATAGTTACTCTTTATCACATATGTGTTCAATAGGGGGAAAAAAAAAAATCAATAGCGAAACAGGAATACACAAAAAAAAAAAAAGAAAAAAGATTTTGTTCCTAGGAAATTTATTTACAAATTAAATGGAGAGATATAGGCTATCTG